GCACGAGGAAAACTGTTCATTTTCGATTACCGATTAGCAGCTGTGTTTCGATGGTTTTTTAGTGCGTAATCCCGTAAGAGCCGCTTACGACTGACAAGCGGTGCGCGTTGCATGTCGCGGGCACGGCAACCGCTCGAGAAGCTAAATTTGCTAAATTACACGTCAAAACGTATGACTTACGGGTTCTGACGTTATTCCTGAGCTCATTTTGTCATTTTTCAGATGCCAAATTTTTCTAAACACGAAATTTGGCCCAGTGATTGCCACTGTTCGCGCAATTGGGCCACTTGGAACCGGTTACGACACATAATTGCCGCGCGCGAAAAGTGGATTTATAGCTTTGAAAACTCGAAATTTTTGTTTTTCACTTCATAGTCCGTTTAAAAATTAATCCTTCTTTGCCAAATTTTCTGATAATCAAAAGGCCATTTGGGGTGACTGTTTTCCCCGTTCATCCATCCCTCGATCAGGATTTTGATTTCACGGTGGTTCGGTGTGTGTATGCGGGTATGCACTGACCGACCCAAGGTCACGCTATAGCCGGCCACCAGGGGGTGAGATATCTGTTTTAATGGGCCGACCACCCAACCACCCAAAAACAGATCCCGCTTTCGAAGATTTTGCACACACGGCACGTGGTGGTTGATTTCGTGGATTCGTGGCCTTTGGAGAAGGTTGGGAAAAATTTGCGATAAGATTTTGGCCAATAAAAATATGGCAAGCTAGATGCTTTGGGAAAAGAGTTTTATCGAGAATACACTCTGTGGAAAAACTATGAGACCAGTCGTTTTCCGGCTGTAACTTTTCCCCGAATCAAGCAACCATCTTGATATCTATAATTTAGGCTTCATTTTGTATAAGAAACCCGCATGGAAAAACTCAGGCGGATCCGTTGGGCGCAAGGTAGTGTTTCGGAAAACTGATCACCTGCACTTGTAGAAAAACTATGAGACCACTTTTTGTATTGGACTCTAAGAGTTTCCCTTGGTCTTTACTCGCCCTGTTTTTTATGGAAAACGTTTAATTTAGCCCAAAACTATACGCTTTCGTCATTGGTTATGTTTTTGCTACCCATATAAATTTTTCCAAAAAATCGATTTTTACACAGAAATTAGCTTTTAATAAAATTTCTCTGCCAAATAAGTTATATTTCAAAATTTAAGAAATACCATCCTAAAGAGCATGACTTGATGCACATTTTGGTATACAAAACTTTTTCGGCAGAGGCCCAATAAGCAATATTTCGCACTTGCAATTTGCGACTCTGCGGCTCTTTGTTAAAATGCCAAGCAAATGGATGGCAACCTCGAGGACTTCCCACATCGACGTGTAGTTTTCCCATACCGGCCTGTACAGTCAAGTGGTGCCTACCAAAATGTTCGTTAAGTCGTGCTCTTTAGGATGGTATTTCTTAAATTCTGAAATACAATTTATTTGGCAGAGAAATTTTATTAAAAGCTAATTTCTATGTAAAAATCGATTTTTTGGAAAAATTTATATGGGTAGCAAAAACATAACCAATGACGAAAGCGTATAGTTTTGGGCTAAATTAAACGTTTTCCATAAAAAACAGGGCGAGTAAAGACCAAGGGAAACTCTTAGAGTCCAATACAAAAAGTGGTCTCATAGTTTTTCTACAAGTGCAGGTGATCAGTTTTCCGAAACACTACCTTGCGCCCAACGGATCCGCCTGAGTTTTTCCATGCGGGTTTCTTATACAAAATGAAGCCTAAATTATAGATATCAAGATGGTTGCTTGATTCGGGGAAAAGTTACAGCCGGAAAACGACTGGTCTCATAGTTTTTCCACAGAGTGTAGTGTTGAAAGGAACGATAGCACAGAAAACAGGATACCGTAGCGTTGAGAATCCTAGTACACCACAATACTCCTAGTACCGCGCTGCGAGAAGCAACGCGCGTTTAAAATTCTTCCTTTTAAAGGGACAGGCAAGGTATTCCCGTCGATTTTTGTATGGATTCAAGAACTGCAGGTGTGCGATACGACGCGCACGCCACGCATCCGCGGTGTAGTCGATTACGCAATTGAAGGGCCGCCGCGCGCGTTGCGCATCGCGGGCAGCAAAATCTAGCGCGAAAATTTATGCTTGTTCCGCCTCTCGAGCCCGTTTAACCGTTTATGCAATGAAAGGGCGAACGACGCGTGTCGCTGATACGGCTAATTCCACAGAATCCACAGCCTATAAAATTCATAACTTTCCCTTGCCGGTCCCTTTAAGCCTAAAAAGGGATGAGGAAAATTCATAAAGCCAACTTTGTGAATTGAACAGTTCAAAATCGAACCTTTTAACCTCTGACTTCTCCGTCCCTTTAATTTGCAGTAAACGCGCGGAAACCCGGCACGCTGGATTTGATGTCCGTTTTTGGGGTGGGAAAGCGAGAGACAGAGAGAGAGAGAGAGAGAGAGAGAGAGAGAGAGAGAGAGAGAGAGAGAGGGAGAGAGAGATGTGGCTGTGGGCGGAGAGCCCGTAAAACAACCCCGAGAAGAGGAGGAGGAGCACTCGATCACCCAACTCGATTTCTACCCCTCCCACCCCTCCATCATCTCCAAAAAGGACACCAAATCAGCCGCGCTAAAATTCATCCACTAAAAGTGGCCCCATCTACCGTATTTCCCCGTTAATTCCGAGATTTTGTGAAGATGTTTCTCGGCCGCGCGTCAAATTCGATTTTACAAAAAGATGCCGGTGAGGTAAGAATTTCCGGGTTTTCCATCGTTTTTCACTTCCCCTTGGCTATATTTGTAATTTTTGAGGTTTGCCGCAGCAGTAGGAAGTTTTCGATGTTTTTTACAGTACTGCGGAACTGATTTTTCAATTTTTCACGTTTAAAAAACTTTCGAGCACAAAATTGCCATAAATCTCTAAAAATCGTCGGTTTTCTGGGTGATTTTAAGCGTTTTTATTGGCCCAAAAACGCTTCAGGTTTTTGAGAAAACCATCTGATATTTTGTATTTATCATTTTTTTGCATTTTTAATGGGTTTTGACTTTTTAGGGCAGTACGTAGTGCTTATTTAAATTTTTTTCCAGCAGTGTATTTTTGGGTTTTATAATGGTGCTAGGCGTTTTTAGGCCTAATATAAGCTCAAAAATCAGCGTCAAATTTTTAAATTTTTAATTTTTAATGAATTTTTAAGCTTTAAGGAACTCTGGCTTCTCTAACAATCCATATACGAACGATGCAACGGGGGAAATTGCCCGATCCCAACGGTTGACCCGGCTCATCCTCTTTCTATCCCCTTCCACGCGACCAAATTGGGCGAAAAACCCAAAAATATCCGATCAACCGAAACAGCGGTGTGCCTGCCGAAAAAAGCGGAACGCTACTGGCTACGTCACGCAGCCACAAATCGCATCAGCGAGGCGTCAAGGGGGAAATTGTTAGGCGAACGGTAGTAAAGAATAGCACAAAAATATGAAAATGAAAATTGATCTATTACTTTTGTAGTTATTTTAAAATATGTAGTTGTAAGGGTTAGCATACAGCAAAAATCCCTTTTTAGTAGAATTAAATGATTGTTCGTTATCGGCGGAAAACCTCTCATTAGTGCCCTAAATCCAAGACCGAGCTAAGCTACTTGGAAAAGCGCCAAAAAGCCATAACCCAGCGGGGGTTCTCCCAGATTTTTGTGCCAGGAGGAACGGAAAGCGAAATCGCCCGCGGGCAAGGCGATGGTGTGATGGATTTGCTCACTTGGCAGCCGATATGGCACACATCAACAACTTATGGATTATCGAATTTTTGTCGCTAATTTTATGCTTAAAGGAGGCGGAAAGTAGGGATGGCTATGTGCTTTTGACCACGGATTTTGCCGCAACACGCATAAAACAGGCATGAAGCGTATCCTAATCCATTACCAAACGAGTTACCAGTTTTGCCGCGCCCGCGATCCGCTATGCTCTCAAAATTAAATTTAAGCCCTTTAGGCCTCTTTAAATAGATTTGCCTAGATAATCTTTTATCTCTAACCGTCTTTCCACAGTCCCATTCCAAAGTTCAAGCGCATAAAAACACACGTAATCGATCCGGCGCCACTGCTTTCCGCCTGATTTTTATCAGCGGAAGTTGTCTGTGTATGTCTCTTCCCCGCGGGCTAATGCTCTCTGCTATGCCCCCCCGGTCTCCCTTTATGGCTAGCCGATTCCGCGAGGGTTTTTGTGTGTATTTATGCCCGTTTAAGTCGATTTGCGCCTAATGCGCTCTGACCCACTTGATAAGGCGGTGGCTATTCGTGAAACTTGGGGCTTTCTTATGGTTTTTCCTATAGAAATCAATGATTTTTATTAGTTCTCTCTCCGAAAATGATCTCTGCTAGCCTTGGCTCGAAAAACTTGCAATTCGTTTATTTTTGGCTCATCGATTTCGTAGCTTCGCTGGAATCGGCCATTTTGGGCCTTTGGTGGTTTTTTCGCCTTTTTAATGGTCAAAATCGGCTGTTTTCCGGCGATATGATTCCGCAATAGGTCTCTGCTAGCCTGTCCTGCACTGTGATTATAACGGGGATTTGGAAAATCGTTGAAATCGGGCCTGGGCTCTTTCTGTTTATCTGATCCCCGGTATCATTGTTTCATTCGTTTTTGTTTTGAGGATCTCGGAGGTAGAGTGAGAGAGAGAGAGAGAGAGAGATAGAGAGAGGGAGAGAGGGGGAGAAAGAGCAGAAAACCAGTCCGCTGGTCATGCTCGTTTAGATGATCAAGAGGAGGTGGATTCCCCCCCCCCTCCCACGTCACCCCTCCCCCCCCTCCTTTCAAAGATACGCGATTTTGCGTAGTAAATAGAGCTCAAGGTTGGGAGGGGATACGTTTTGGACGATCGAAAAACCATATAAAAGATGGGGGCTTGAAGTCAACACGAAAATCCCGTGGCTCAAAATATACATAAAAAAATTGAGGAAAACAAAAAAATATACACTATTTTTTATGTTTAAAATTTATTCTAACAAAACTCTAGTATTGACAAGCTATAAACTATTTTCAGGTGATGCACAACATCCTCATCCAGTCCCTCCTCGCCTTGGCGATGTTCGTCACCACGGCGGCCGCCGGGCTGGTCCCGTTGAAGGTTTGGTATTCTCAAAATTCCTGGTCAAGCCTTGCAAACACCTTGAATGCCTTTTTATCCGTTTACGCAAGTAAATAGTCATAAAAAATCGTAGTGAGGACTTGCCAAACCCTTTAAACAAATTTTTCCAGCTATTCCGATGGCTTGAGGGGAAGCCGGGTGAGGCAAAGAGCGGAAACGGTGGTCGCTGGATGTCACTTCTCTCATGTTTTTCTGGTGGCGTCTTCATGGCCACATGTTTTCTCGATATTGTCCCGCATATTGGGTACAGTAATGTATCGACTGAATTACAGTATCCCCCTTTTTAAGCGAAAACTACAGCGCGCTCCTCGAGGCGACAAAATGGGAGCCGGCGCTCCCGTTGCCCCAATTTTTCACGTGCATCGGTTTCTTCCTCGTCTACTTCATCGAGCAGCTGTGTATGAGGGTTGGGTTTTTGCTAAAAAAATGCTCTAGATACCGTAGTATACTATAGTAAGGCTAAAAAATTCAATATATTTTAGATATTCGCCATGAAAGGCCACGGCCATTCCCATGGCGCCCTTCCGCATCAAGACGAAATTACGCCCCCGACTCAGGTAGGGCCGAAAATCTTTTTTCCTACAATTTTTGCATCCGTTGCAAAATTATCCAAAAAAAACGTCCGAAATTTCGAAACTTTTGCGAAAATTGATCCTTTCGATCGAGATCTATATTTTCGTAGTTATAATATTATATTTGTATTAAATACTTGTAGTTTGTATGTTCGAATTAATAAAAAAGAATTTAAAACGTTTTGAACTTTTGGCGTTTTTTTATGCTAGAAAAAAGCAAGAATTTCTTGGAAAAACCGGCTTCTTTTGACTAGAATAATGATCGAAAGTAGGAATTTTTATCGGTTACACTTTGCATTATTTAATAATTTTAGTCGAAAAATGGCAAAAACAACGATCGCCGTCATTTGTCGGAGTCCGGAAATGGGAATGTCATGTCGTAAGTTATGCGTTTTCTAGATTTCAATCTTGATTTGCGGTGATCGCTTCTTCTCTTTTCGAGTTTTACACATTCCCCCTGCTTCCACTAACACCCGCCGCACGTTTTGCTAATTTGCAGTGAGCATGAGGGCCGGGCGATGCTTGATGATCGACCGCTGAAGCACCACCGCTCCCACCAATCCCTCCATGAGTCTGTCACCCGGTTTCATTTACAGCATGCTTTTTATTGGCTTAAACTTGGGAGAAAGGGAAAATAAGGTTATAACAAAACAACGAAAGCTAGCTGCGTTTATTAACCTTTTACGAAAAAATCAGGATATTTGGCATTGTTGACCAAATTTCGCTTCCGGCTTCATTTTCAGCATGGTATTTGGTGGACCAAACCTCGGTTGAGGGTTAACTTGACAATAAGGTTTTAACAAAATTACTAATTACTTAATCTTAGCTATAAATTGAAGCTTGACTTATTGCCTAAAGCATGGATTAATTGGCTAAAATAGCGATAAACAAAAAATAACGGAATTAAGGACGAACTTTTAAACTATTTGCTAAAAATTACGGTTTCTAAAGCTTGACTAATTTCCTCAAGCGTGGATCTAAATGCTAGATGGTACTATATAACCATTAAAAATCTAATAACTTTTTTAGGCTAGTTATGGAGGAATCGGTCCGCTACGCAACCTCAGCCGATGAGGAGGGCTCATTCCTGAAATCACTTACTTTTGCTATCGCCATGTCTTTCCATTCGATTCTCGAGGGTTTTGCACTTGGCGTGCAGGTAAATACTAACTAAATTCTTTCTCAAAAACAAAAAAAATGCTCATACCTCATAATATTTCAATTTAGGACACTCCGACGCGTATCGTCTCCCTTTTCCTCTCGCTCTTCATCCACAAAGGCATCGAGGCATTCAGCGTCGGGTTGCAGATAGTCAAGGGCAATCGGACGCGCGTAAAGGTATCGATTTTTTTTGCTTATTTTTGAAAATTAATACTTTTCATTAATGCAACGCGCGTAAATTGAAATATTACCATTTTTAACCGATACTTTAGGTGGTCATCTGCACGGTGTTCATCTACGCGCTCATGACACCGATTGGCAGCGCGCTTGGCACGTGGCTAGAGGTGGGTCAGCACCTTGCGCCTCAAGAAAACCCTGAAAAATACTTGCATTTTTACATGTTTTAGGCGGCCAACATCGATCCTATCCATAAAGAGTCTGCCGTTGTCGTCCTTGAAAGCTTAGCCGCTGGCACGTTCATCTATGTCACTTTTCTAGAGGTCAGTTTGTAAAGGTTTTAAACCATTAAATTAAAGTAACTAGGAAACAGCTTAAAAAACAGACTCAAGTAATGATTGTTTTTAAAGTCAGAAGCTAAAACGCATAGAAAAATTAAAGTAGTCATGAAATCCATAACGATATACCCTTGCAGGTGCTGGCCTCCGAAAAAGAAAACGAGCACGACTCGCTGCTCCAATTGCTGGCCATCTTCCTCGGCTTTGTCCTTATTACGGTGTTACAGGTTGTGATGGGGTAAGTTGCGGGATCTAAAACCGTCAAACGAAAACTCAAACAAAACAATTACAAAATCACGCTAAATTTAGCCACGGCCACGGTGGTGAAGAAGGGCATTAGACAGGCGGTTTTTCGAAAGCTTCATGTCCCTTCATTCGGACTCGGCCGACAGTGTCAATCGTACATCTCGTTAGTAGCCAACCGGAATTCCAGCTCAACTAAATTCAATGTATTTATGTCCCGATGTTGCTTACCCTTTTTGGATCTCAAACCCTCGGGCGGGCCAGTCTCTTTTTTTTGTGAATTTCAACGTGTTCCTCTCTGCGCCGCTCCAGTCCTCAATACGCGGCTATGATACTGTGCATTTTTTAGCTTTAATATTTTTTTGATTTTCTACAGAATGTTCGTACATTTTTCACATGACTGATACGTGCCTTTCTATGTTGTGCCTGCCCGTTTTCAAAAGATACGTCTACCTTAGACAAATACAAAATTCATTTCATAACAGCAATCACAGAAAATTTGTTCCTAGCGCGGTGTCATGATGCCGCGGCCTCCATCGACAGCTAGGAGATGGCCAGTGGTGAACGAGCTGGCCGGGCCGGCGAGAAACACGATGGCATTCGATACCTAAAGCATAACAAGGCTTGAACTTATTAATATCTATACCTCGTCAACGACGCCTGGCCTTCCGAGAGCGTGCGTTTCACGAGCGTGCGCCAAAAACTAAAATAATCAGTGTTAGAAAACCACGGTCAATACAAACCTTTTGATAAGTCTCCTCATCTTGTCCGGATCGCCGATGAATATCCGTGATGATGACCCCGGGGCTAAAAACAAAAAAAATCTAGATTCTTCGGTGCAACTCACTTGACGGCGTTGACGCGAACCCCTTCACTAGCGAGCTCCAACGCCAAACATTTCGTGAATTGATCAACAGCCGCTTTGGAGATGCAGTAATATGTAACGCCGGGGAACTAAAAAATATTCCGTTAGTATTGATAAAAACAACTTGCCGCGCTCGTTCCAGCCACACTGCTCACATTCACAACGGTACCCTTTGATTTGATAATGTGCGGTAGGGAGATTTTGGTCACGGAAATCAGGCTAAAAAATGGATTTTTAAAAGCTATTTTCCAGTTTTCTCTTACCTCCTAACATTGACCAGCATTTGCTTATCGAAGTCCTCCATCGAAGCATCAAGGACTGTCCCATTCACCAGAATTCCTGCGGCATTGATCTTCAAAAAATGTACCCACAGAGCGCCAGAAATGATTATACCAAAGTGTCAATCCGCCCAAATTTGGCTACTGTGTCCTCGATCAGCTTCTTCTGAACGACATCTTCGTTGAGATCTCCGACGGTGATGAGAATTTGGTCGGCCGGGCATCCCTCGGCGACGCAAGCTTTTTGTGTTTCTAGGAGTGCAGATTCCACACGGCCACTCAGCGACAGGAAATAGCCGTCTTTGGCTAGGAAGGCTGCTGCTGAGGCTCCGATTCCGGATGAAGCACCTAAATATCAAGATATTTTTTTGGGAGTTGCTATTAAATAGATTCCTCATTTTATTTTTGTATTTTTAAAATTTCTTAGAAAAAATACAGCTAATTTTCCCAAAGAAGTTGCACTTGCACTGGCGAACTATAGCAAGACAAATATTCCGCAAATGAACGAAATTCTGGTTGACAAACTATGTATCCGCTCCCGGAAAATTAAAACTTCTTCAAAGTTTTTGATTCTCAGGGAAAAAACTATTTTTCTATCCAAAATGACCATATTATCTACTTTTTAATGCATTACAAATTTTTAGGAAGTTTCCTGCCACAAGTTTCGTTTCAGTTATGGTTGTTATCGTGCCGGGTCGATAACAACCCTAGCTTAAATAACTAAAAACAATATACAATCATGTTACATATATTATTGACTAAGCCAAAGTGCGCGCGTAGGAAAAATTATTTAAAATTCCGAAAGTTCTAGTTTTAGAAGACAAAAAATAATTTTAAAACAAAATGTTGAGAAACAGCACGCCCACCTGTCACGACAGCTACCCTCATCTTTCAAGAAAACACCTGGAAATTGAAATGTGCCCTCTTATCTGGGTCTTCCTGTCTCTCTAAAAGTGCCGCGAAAATGATACGGTTCAAGGCCATGTTAATTGTCGACGGGGTCACGATCCTCCATTTATTCCAAAAAATTGATCGTCACATACAAAAGCGGTATCACAGAAGCGAATGGGTCACAATATATCACCGGAAATAATAAGGCATTTTGGGGTCGGGTGAATGAAACGAAAAGCAATGAACAGCGAAATACGATAGATCCCCACGGGTTGGCTCAATAAATAGATATGGCAGCGTCTTTGGCAAGAGAATTTAGGAAAATTCGATTTCGATGGTCATCTGTGGGGATTGGGAGTCGAAGGAGGTGCGGAAGAGTTGAGCATGTTGAAAAGCGTTCGAGCCTTGTCCACCGATGAAATGAGCCTGTAAAAGGGCATTACGTCGATATAACCGATTGCATGCCAAAAAAAATGTCGAACAATTCGCTGTATTGAAATTTCGGCATTCGTAGACTTCGAGGTTATGGTTAAATACTTCCCTAGGTCCCGCAAACGCCGACTAAATAAACGCTACTTTATAGCGGTTTACCCATTTTTTAGATGTAAAAGACCAATAAAATATATCAAAAAGTTTCAAAAAGTGTGGATTGTTGCCCAAATGGCTAAAATTTTATTATCTTTTACCCGTTTACAAAATCATTTTATAGATTTTTAAAACGCGCAAAATACTAAAAAAAGCTAGGTATTACTATATCAGTTATGCCGAATCAGGAAGGCCTCCCCCGCTAATGAACCAGACCGGTGTAACGTAGCCTTCAAAAGAAAAGGCATCTCCGTTTTAATCAATCGATTTACTAACATTATACCGATAATTGATTATGCAGAAATCCATTAGGCAGAAATACATTATACCGAAAATCCATTATGCAGAAAACCATTACATAGAAAACCGTTATATCGAAATTTCAATACCCAGAAATTTCAATACGCAGAAATCCGTTACGCAGAAAACCATTATACAGAAAAACCAGTACGCAGAAATACATTACCTAGAAAATTCATTACGCAGAAGACCATTACACCTAAATTTCCGTACAAGGAAAAATTCCCTTTGCTGGAAATTTCCGAGTTGATGACAACGCATCATAAGGCAAAGAATTTGGTGGATAACATCAGGGAAACTTAATAAAAAGGGTTCGGAGAAAGTTTTCAAAATTTGTTTCAAAAACTCTAGAGAGGAGGGTGAGTATCGGGAATCTCGCACAATTTTCGAACCGATAAGACTATTTGACTGGGTAAAGTCCGCGAGTCAATGATGGATACAACCTCTGCGACCGCGGATACAACTTTTTTTTGTATATAGAATCTTATGGGAGTGGAACGGTTGGGGTAACAAATTTCTGCGAAATATTTTTTCTATATAATGAATTTCTGCGTAATAGTTTTTCTGCGTAGTGATTTTCTGCGTAATGGGATTTCGGTATAATGAAGTTTCGGTCTAATGGATTTCGGCTTAATGGATTTCTGCGTAATGGATTTTCTGTGTAATGGTTTTCTGCGTAATGGGTTTTCGGTATAACGGTTTTCTGTCTAATGGATTTCTGCGTAATGTTAATTGCCCTAATCAATCCTCACCTTGATATTCAACACGGCACTCGGCGGGTTGTCGATGGAAAATTCACCAGAAGGCGGTACCCGCATGCAAATGTCGTCAGCACAAACTGTCACGTTCAGACGGCCATCTAAATCAAAACTGGAAAAATCCGTCAAATCTTACTTTCGTATGTTTTGATGCCGTCGATTTTCAGCGTGGCCTTTTTAGAAGTTAGCCCCGTCAGATCGATAGCCCATGTAATCTGAAAGAGCGTAAGATAAAACAACATTAAATCTACAAACCTCGGCCTCATCCTTTCCCTCCTTTCGGCAAAGATAGGCCATTTTCCAGTCGAGCTCTTTCTTCAGCTGGACGTCTTTTGCCTAAAAACGGCAGTTTTGGCGTAATCCTAAGTCATGCATACTTTAAAAACAAGCGAGTGAAATCCTTTGCTGACCGTGTCGCCTCTCGTGTAGACATCCCTTACGACATTGTATTCAAGGCTGCAAAATCGGAATAGGTATTTTGTATTCAGGTATTTTCAAAAAAATCAGATAATTTACCTGAATTTCTTAGCAGCTAATTCCTGGTCATTTGGCCGGATGACGATCTGTTTCCGCTTCGGGCTGCCGGTGGTTGAACAAGTTCCGGTCTCGCCACGGTCCTAAAAACAAAGATATTCACCAAACATTTTGTTACTCACTTTCCGCCACTGTTCATCTCCGGAAATTCGGCCACTGTAGTCCACAAAATCGGAAGCTTTTCTCGGCTCTAAACGAGAAATTAAAGATTAAAGATAAACCTAAGCAAAAAAATAGATAGATTAAAAGCTTACTAATATGCAACATTTCTGCCAGCTCGATGAGTCGCCGCTTCTTCACCTCCTCCTTTCTCTCCGCTGTGCTGTCTTTTAACATCCGGTTCGTCAATTTCTAAAGCCGAATCCAAAAAAAATACAACTGAATACCGTCAAAAAATTGAGCAACACCTCCTCGCGGACAGATCTCCGCAACCGAACCGCCTTCCGATCATCAAGCACGTAGCGCCATGTGACGTCGCAAGCGTGATCAAGCCCAAACGCAATTACGTAAGAGAGCTTCTTCTTCCAGCCCTAAATCAAAATATGAAAAACCAGATAGCCGCAAAAGTACAATTTCGTAGACTAGCGGAGCGTCCACCAAATTTTCGCACGGGTCAACGTGGACCCAGCGTTCAAGCTCGGGAATCCACACCTCACACCACACGTGGTCCGTCACGTCGTGAACATATCTGAAGAATTTGTAAATTGATAACGATGAAAATTATAAAAGAAATAAGAAAATGCCAGAAAGCAAAAAAAAGTTATGCCTGATTTACCTGATATCGAAATCCATAGAAGCCGCGCAGAGAGTAAAGCAATTTGCCCATTCTCCACAGCGTCCAGTTCTGAAATGGAGGTAAACCTTATTTTTAGTACTCTGCTAATTTTGAATATTTTTGATTTTTATACTATTTTTATAAAGCTAAAAATAGCAACGAACCTCGTCTCAAGCAACCTCACAGGATCGTTATAACGAGGAAAACGGACAGCCTGTCCACATTTGCACGTGTACACTTCCACCCGATTAGCACCTCCGCTTAAATCATCATCGCTAGGCGTGCCGTTTGTATACTAGAACACTGAATATTTTTGGAACTGCAAAAATTACCGATTCCCTCGACGTTTTCTCGCCACAATGACACGTTGGCGTGTCGGTCCATGTAAAAAACTCCCCTTTGAACCATTCTGTCAGGTTTTTCAGCAGCAAGAAGCGATTTACCTGAAATAACGATTAAAAACGAGTTTTAATATTCTCACTTTGCCATCGACCATCGCCTCGTTTGCAAGTCTTTCAGTGGGAATCAGACTCAACGCCAATGTCCTGTTGATTGGATCTTTGTAAAAGTCCATCTAAATAATCATTTTATGGCCTCACTTGAACACTAACTCTCTTTGAAGTATTTTCATATTGCTTCAAAAAGGCAATTTCTTCAGACGAGGCGGCGAGTGGATTTCGTGGAGCATCAGAATAATGCCGAGTGATGGTATCTTGGAGACTGTTTGGGTTTGCGCCCTGTAGCCGATCAACCTGCAACCAATATTGGATCATAATTCGTAAATTAATTGCAGACCTCCGCGCCGTTCTTGAAAAATACAAACGTCGGCATCGCACGGACCTGATACGTTTGCATGACATCTAAAATTTTCTTAACCTGCCAGTCTCCATTACCTCTAGCTCGATCGACGTTTATCTTGCAGAACAGAGCATTCGTAAAGTGATTCGACAGCTGCTCGAAAAAGGGCGCTATCATTCTGCAGGGCCCGCACCTAAAAAATATTATAATTTTAATTTTACCGACCCTACCAGTCGGCGTAAAAATCGCAGACGACGAGCTTGGAGGCGCCGGCCTGGCTGAGCAAGCCCCGGAAGTGCGTCAAGTCTTGAACTTCGGTCGGCATCGCTGGAAAAAACGTGATTTTCGATTTTTATTAGTTTTAGAAATTTTTCTCACATTTTGGAACTGATGACGATGGTGAAAAGCGGGATTGTTAAGGAAACATGGAGTCCAGATGTCGATAGGTTGGGGCGTAGCTCGAATGTTTTTCAGTCCAAAGTCCGGTTCCGGAGTGGTTTACTGGTTCGCTGATAAAGTGGAAAATACAAAAAGCTTCTTCAAAAAGCCTCGTAAAATTGGCCGCACTTTTCCGCGAATCAGCCCTTCGATTTGCCGCCCAAGACGCCGCGTTATTCTTCATACAGGTAATTCTATTTTTCTTGGGGCTATTGCTGACGTAAAACAGCGTTTAATTTATATGTTTCGTTTAATTTTTATATGTATAGCCAAATAGCTTTACAGATGATACGTTGAGGAACAATAAAGCTTTAAAATGGATTATGTCGAGAATTTCCGGCATAATATGCGCAACCAGCAGGCTCACCTCAATCACAATTTAGTTGCGGTAAGCACTAAACTTTCTTCGAAATCTTTTTTAGATGAAGAGCATCGGCTATGAGGTTGTGCAGACGGTCTTGCGGTTGCCTGGGTTGATTTTGCTAGAATTATGGTGGCGGAATCGTGAGATGACGTTCGAAGAGATTTCTCAGGAGATGTTGACCAAGGTGAATCTTATTTTTACTTTCAATCCAAGTTGTAGGCCCCTTTCAACTCGTATCTCGATATCACCACGATTTTGGCGTTTGTTCATAGAAGGGATATGGATCAATCAGCGGGCTATATCCTTTCTTACTCTGGTAAGACTCCATGTGGTGATGGGATAACTTTTTTTAGTGCTTCTCCTCTCCGCTTTGCTGCTAACATTGCCGTTGGGGCGTCTCCTCCGAGTTTATTGCCATTTTCTGGTGCTTGCCACCCTGGGGATCGCTCATTATATGAGCACAATGTAAGCGGCATGCCTGAAATTAATCTTTTCTAGCTACGTACAACTCGAGCAAGATTCTCAAGAACTCGAGTTGAAGCTGGACGACTTTGTGAAGCTCGAACGGCATGGGTTTCATTTTTTGGCGCAGGTTAGGACTAGCTTTCGATGTAATAAGAGCTTTTTTTTCCAGCTCCTACTAGCCGTGATGAACTCGTTCCTTCTCGGACTGGAAAGTGACATGGCTCGGATATTTTTGACGCCATTTACGATCCCGATTATCGCCAGAATGTGCGCGTGTCCGTTGGAGAAATTGATCGTCGGTAGGTGGCGTCCAGAATTGACCATATGCGTTTTTTAGCCCATAACGCTGCCTGCTCGATCGCCATGTTCTCGGTGTGCATCTATATGCTCAACCGGACGCCTCGTATGGCCCAATACTTCAAAAACGCTTTCCTCCAATTGCGTGCCGTGTTCTTCATTCATGGGCTCGCTATGGGTAAGGGTATATGTTTACGCAGACATAAGTATCCGGATCATGGACAGCAAAGCTAGTTTCGAAATTTTATGTTTTTGAAAAATTTTTGAACACTGTTCGATAGCGTCAAAACTATACTAGGAATTTTGATTTCAGCCCACAATAATGTAAAAAAATATATAGTTTTGGACACCGTTTAGGCTGCGTGATAGTCTGGCGCCGACTGCGTGTTGCCGAACTTCTGACTTGGACCTGGCTGACCATATTTCACGTCCGCGTTTACGTGGAGATGTACGAGAAAGTAACTCTTACGGAAAAGATTTGATGTTTATTTTCTAGGGCCGAGAATGGCGTGAGACCGGGAGAGTGCTATTGACTAGCATCGCCGAAGCCACGAACACCCCATTGTCCCTCCTCGCCCTCGCGCTGACCGTGTCTTTTCTATGCAAGTGGATCGTCGATGGGGTGCAACTTGTAGTAGGGGGAACACGCGATCACGGCCATGTTCTGGCGAATTCGGGGTAAGCTCATGATTTTGAGAAGTAGGTATAATTTATTTTCCAGATACACCGAAGCGCTAACACTTGTGCTGCTATGCGTCCAGACTGGCGTCCTCGGCATGAAAACGGAGCAAAAGGCATTTTTGCTGGGCTTGGTCTTCTTTGTCGGTAAGCTTTTTAGTAGATAAAAAAAATCCAACATTCACTTCTAGTGATGTCAGCGCTTCTTCAATCGCTTTTCGAGCTGGTGGAGCCCGAGCTTCTCACGCTGGCCGCTTCGCCATCCGTTGCTCGTGGGCGGTAAGGTGCTTCTCACGATTTTTGGTATTCTCTTTTAGACACGTCCGCTGCATTTTCGTGACGATTCTCCTGTTTTTCGCGCCTATCGTCATGTCTACGGCTGTGACGGCGTTTTTGCCGTTGGATTTGTGGTCGGTTATGAGTTATTAATAGTTTTAAAAGCTTCTAAGTCTATATTGATAACGCTAAGCTTTAAATTTCTAATATTTTATCCTCAGGTTCGTGATCATTGCGTCGAATTGTATCTTGACGGCCGTCCATTCTGCTTGCACGCTGTTCATCTACCTGATAGGGGTGGTCGAGGTACGTTTTTAGACTTTAAAAATTTTTTTTGCTTTATTGTCACCAGATATACCGTTTTATCAAACCGATATAAGGAAAAGATCTACATAGCTTGTATGTTTTTGAAATTTTATTTTCTCATTCCAGGCTCGTGCTTCTGAACCGTGGGAACGCAGTGACGATCTGGTCTACAATTGTCGCCTGGCCACCAAAATAACGGAGCTGACGATCGCGATCCTTGTTTTCCTCTACGGCCTCTACACGACTTTCACCGGTGTGTTGAGCGATTTTAAAGTCATAATTATGTCCATTTAGTTGGGTGGACATACGCCTCGCTGGGTGTCCTGCTCGTTCATGCCGTGATCAACATCTACACGAGGATCGGCGGTCTCGTATCCTCGACGAGATCCCGCAACGCGGCCCGTCTGAACCTCTCGCTGCTGCCGATGGCCACCCCGGAGCAGTTAGAAAGTATGTATTTTTTTCTTCTTTAAATTTAGATATTTCTATTGTTCAGGTCGAAAAACTATAAAACTTGGAAAAGTTTAGACGGGAAAATTAGGGTTTATGGTTGTCGCCCAAAAAGTGGTTTTATGGCATGGAATGTGTAAATAAAGGTCAGAAACGGGTTTAGAATCAAAAATTAGGCAGCGGCAGACACTTTTTAGTGTTGAAATCGATATTTTATTTTTGCGATCTACAACCATAAACCGGGGTACGGGGGACACCGGTTTATGGTTGTCACTCAAAACTGGGATTTTGTTATATGAAAAGAAAGAGGATGATCTGAAACGAATTAAGCTGCAAAAATAATGAGGCGGAAAGACCGAAAAAGGGGGCGACGGGGTTTTTGAAACCTGGGACTTCTAGAATCGTCAGGCAAGGCGGGCCGTCGCTTCGGATGGGCTGCCGCTCCACTCTTTCGAAACAGGGCGCCTGGGCGCTGCGCGCTCCTCGGGCGCCCCGATTTCGAAACACTGTACGAGCTCGCACCCATCCGAAGCGACTAGGCCCCCGGTGGCACGAAGCCTTATATTTAGGCTAAAACTGGGCGTGATGACCAACCTCCTAGGACAGTGTCGTTCTGCCCTTTTTCGGTCTTTCCGCCTCATTATTTTTGCAGCTTAATTCGTTTCAGATCATCCTCTTTCTTTTCATATAACAAAATCCCAGTTTTGAGTGACAACCATAAACCGGTGTCCCCCGTACCCCGGTTTATGGTTGTAGATCGCAAAAATAAAATATCGATTTCAACACTAAAAAGTGTCTGCCGCCGCCTAATTTTTTATTCTAAACCCGTTTCTGACCTTTATTTACACATTCCATGCCATAAAACCACTTTTTGGGCGACAACCATAAACCCTAATCAACCCGTTTAGACTTTAAATTTTTTACGGCAGGCGACATTTTCTTATTTTTTAAAATTTTTTTTCTAAATTTTACATTTAGAAATCGAAAAAAAGCTGTCCTGGCGGATATTGGAAAAAATGAAACTCAGAGGAAAATGCCCCTGATATTGCCATAGAACGGTTCTTTTTAATTTTTTCCTCAGAAATCTCTGCTCTAAATATGTGCGAATTTTAGAAGCAAAAGACGACATGTGCGCGATATGCTTTGGCGAAATGGTGACCGAGGCCCGGGTTGCCCCATGTAACCATCTGTTCCATGGAGCATGTCTCAGGAAGTGGCTTGCGATAAAACAGGCAAAAATTCCATTTTGACCTTAAATCTAAATTTTAGGTCTGCCCGCTCTGCTACAAGGAGATGAGCACCGGTCCCAAGCCGAAAGATCCTGCCGAGGAGCCGGTATAAACTTTTCGAGAATTTGGCAAAATCCTTTAGCTGCTCGATGCCGTGTTCAACCCGATCGGTGCAGCTCGCGATTTATGGCCGTTAGGGCAAAAGTAAGCTAGCTTCGTTTTTCTAAGCAAAAGTATGCATGATTAAATAATAGCTAACGTTACTCTTGTTTAGCCCGGGCTACGAAAGCGGCTTTGACTCGGACGAGACGGACGGCAGCGAGTTCACTCTGGGCAGCAGCGACGCCGATGAGCTCTGATTTCCCTGTTTCCATTTTCCTACCTGCCATTTTGTTGTACATTGCTGATTTCCTCTCTCAATAGAAGCTTTTGCCTTGCCGCGGAGTTGAGCTCCCCCTTTTCTTTCGAATGTTGTGATGGATGTTGTTACGTGGTAATTGACTTACTTATCTTGTTATATCGTTTGTACATACTGGGGTTTGATAAATGATTCATGTCTTTGTTGGAAAGTGTTAGTATCCGTTTGGCGGTTTGTTACTTGAAGTCACTATCCCGTGAAGGAGGCCTCAATCCGTAATATTTATTTGATACACAATTTATTCACTATTGGGTTGGAACGTAAGTCTCTGCGCTTTTTTCAAAGCTCGCTGCTTATCTTAATCGTGGACTTTGGACCAAGTGTTATATATCATTCGAAAGAGGTTTCTTTTCTCTATCAGACACCGGCATTAGTTTATTTTCTACGTCCGCATTGCTCAAAATTAATAGGTTAGAATGAAAATCATCGCTTTCCTTTGAGCTCGATTTTGAGCACGATCGCTAATTACTTTTACCTTTGATCTATTGGGCTTTCAAAGAGTTTTTATTCCTCTACCTTTTCAGGTAATTAGTTTATTTTTTAAATTGCTTTTCACTAATTTTTAACAGATCGAAACATTGACCAAAATGCGCCCTTCCTTCACTTGCTAATTTCTGCGTTAAAAACAATTAGTTAGCACATCCCAAGCTCGTGCTCGACTTTTCTGCCTATTTAGAAGAAAATACAACGTTCAAAATCACACAGAGCTATCTTGAAATTTTCATGGAAAAACGTCAACCAAGGAGAACCACTGTCTGGTATGATATTTTGAGCGCGAGTTTAGCGTAGACGAATCCATAAACCTGTTAATCTTTGGCAGCAAGCTGTAGTCCTACTGGGTGAGTACGTAATAGATCAAATTGAATTTGATAATTATGGTGCTAAAAGATTTTGCATGGTGCGGTCGTCGAGCCTTCGTGGGTCTTTTTTGTCGATACTTCGTTCCCCGAAATCCATTCGAAAATAACGCCTATAAAATAGGCGGCTATTGGAGCCTTGTAGAGCAAAAAATGCTCTTTCTAATGGTATATAGGACACAGCAAAAAAGTTCGGATTTCCGCGCGAAAATTGAGCTTGAAAATACGCAGAGACTTACGTTCCAACCCAATACTTTAACACGTAAATGCGCTATTGGTAGTAATAATAATAGATTATGCATTAATTTACCCTAATACGCTAATTTTTCGCTTTAGATGCTGGGCAGGCAGCTGGTCAAAAGCCGACGGCTGACCGGCACTGGGCTGGAATTGATACGAGGTTATTTATTTCTGTCCAAAAAAATAGTTTATATTTTTAGGGGCTTGTAGCTCGAAGCCGGAACAAGCAAACACTGCGCCGTCCGAGCTACCGAAGAAGGCCAAGCAGTTACAGCACTTGGAAAAATTTCCGTAAGTCAGAAAATATGTGTACTTTCGGAAAAAAAGATTTTTGGATTTATTTTCTATTCGAATTTCCGCACCAATGTTTTTGCGGATGGGGATTCTAAACATTATTTGTATGGGCAACAACGTCACGTGTCCTTTCAGCCGTCCTTACCCCTCTTTCCTTTGCGCCTCTGCTGAACCCCCGTTTGATGGCGCGGCCATAGCGCCACATTTTCCCGTTTTCTTTATATAGTATTTGCATATCTTTTTAAGAAAAATGTACTGTAAAATTTTAGAAACCCTAGAAAGAATGGCTGAAAATTTAGCTTTTTTTTGGCTGCTCTAAATTTCATGCCAATTGTTCGCAAATTTGGCTGGACTGCTCGACTGCTGGTTAGGTTAGTCTTCCACATTCTCTGGTTTTCACAAAAAAAACACAGCGATGATCATGCGGGTGGCTATCGACTCGGCCATTGGGTCGCCGCGACTTTCTCTTTGCACACATAGACAGCCAACCAGCCAGCCTGCTGCCCCCTCTTTTCCCTTTTTCCGGGGCGCCCCTTCCCATCCTCCCAGCTGACAAAATCCGTCTCTCACCCCGTGAAGTTGCACAGTTGAACGGCTTTTCATTTCGCACTTAAAAAATAGCGTTATTTCGGAGGCAAGTGAGTCTAGAAATCCCTAGTAACTTAATAGTAAGCGTTTTTAGTGACTTTCATGGGAAAAAATTATAAACCACTAGAAATATTTTAGTCTCTATTTATAATTATTTTTCTACTTAATTTTCTCCGTCGAAAGCCAAAAACCATAAGATTAGAAATTAATCCATTTTTTAGTGAAATCTTCCCCGACTTCGGCCAATCGCCAGTATGGAATCGCCGCGTGGCCCTCCGAGACGAGCTCGAACGTGCGGACATGCTCGAGCGTCGCATGCAGCTCGACATCCCAGAATTTTATGTCGGTATGGAGATATCTCCTTTCCTTTATTCATTTCCTAGGATCAATACTGGCCGTCACGTCCGCCGACAAAAATCTGGCGTCACGTGAGCATCGATTCGTCGGCATTTGCATTCGACGGGAGCAAGAAGGGCTGCACCATCGATTCACGCTGCGCAATGTGGTTGAGGGGATCGGTGAGGAATTAATGTTTTTTTTGTAATTTTGACGCCAATTTAGGCGTTGAGATCATGTACGAGATGTACAACCCGACAATCAAGAAGATCGAGTGTTTGAAGCTGGAGAAACGACTGGACAACGATCTCTCCTATCTGATCGACGCTCTCCCGGAATATTCCACCTTCGATTTCAACATGGAGGGCGTGGCTCACCCGGCTGGCACCCCGATTCCGGTCAATTCGTTAAAGGTAAAAAGATATTTTTTTGTAGTAGGCTTCAGGGTTAGCTTTTGGCGGCCTCTTTTTGTTCTGCGCCTATCCATGCCTTTTGATCATATTAATGTAATTTATAGTGTTTTTAGTAGTTTTTTGTTTGCTGGGAAATTTAACAAAAATTAAAATTTAGTGAAGCCGTTTTTTGCTTTTTTTCTACATTTTTATTCAACAAGTAAAAAATTTCCAACATTTTTAGAATTTCTTATGACCATTTTTTATTTAAGACTATGGAAAGTGTTAAGAAATCTGTGTATATAAATTAATGCGGCCGCACGAGATTACTAGGTCAAATTTGACTTCCACCCTCGCTAACAGTCCAGTACCGATTTCTCCTAGGTAAAAATGAAGCCGGCCCCGTGGTCAAGCCGATGGGAAATCCGCGGTTGCCAGGGGATCGAAGACGCCTGGACGGCTCAAACGCCGTATTTCAAACGAAAACTCCATCACACGAAGGTCTGGCCGATTGTGAATATCTCGATCAGTAAAAGGTCTAGATGAACGATTACTTGCAATATGATCTCATTCACGACTACAGGACCGGCAGCACTTTGGAGCACGAGCTGAAGGTAGCCCTTAAAACTTTAGAAATAGAAGTTTTAATTGCTTTAGGTGGAAGAAGACATGCAAAAGTTTGAAAAGTCTCGCCACGAAGCCGGCCTGACTCGACGACGCATTTTCCGTTCAGCCGCCGTCGCCAGAACATAGATACCATAATTTTTTCCGCGATAGACTGTAATTTTTGCCTAGCTCTAGTTTATTGATCCGTTTTGTTTTGTTGACGATATTTTGTTCGTCCATTACTGCATTCTCTCCGCAGGAGTTGTGCCCTTATCTTTTCCCCGCCGACCCCGATGAGGCTGTTTTTCCCCTACTGGAGTTGGCGTTTTTTGTTTTCGATAAAGGTTTCGCAAAGGGTTCCGACGCGTGAATCTTCCGGGTTACGACCCGAATATCTTTAAATTTCTTTTTTTTATTTATATTTTTTTCCTGCAGGGCGATAGAGCACTATATGAAAAGGCGCCACAAAATGCCGTGAATTATTCCTCATTTTTTGCCACACAATAATACGGGTAAATCAAGGTAGGACCTCGGCAATAATAAATTAGTCGGAACCAATTTCAGGTCGATGACAGCAAAATCGGCCGTTGATACGTGTCTTGATGTCATCAGAATAATAGCCGAAGCGAGGCGTCTAGAGAAATGGCCTGATCAAGGTTTCAATTTTCAGTAAATCCGAGCTTATCGATAATTTTTAGAGCTTGAAGTTCAGCAACAACTCGTGAAAGGGCATCCGGTTTCGATCGTTGTACAAACGGCCCACCAGCAGTGCGGCGCGGTGTGCGCCAAGGCGCGCTTGCTGGAAATCTGGACCATCAAGCGGCAGATCGGCGAGGTTTGATGAAAAACACGAAATCTATAGACTTCGGTCAGGAAGCCGCCGGGGGTATGGATCCGTTCTTCCTGCTCAGCGCCGTTCGGTCTCAACTTCACTTTTCCCCGCTGCATTCCTGGCAAACTGGAAGTCAGATACCGCCAGGCGTCGGCGTCATTTCCAGCCTAAAAATGACTGTTTCTTCTCAACAGGAGACCCTGGCTTTATTGCCCGAGCTTCATGCTTTTCCACCATCGAAGCGGAGTGGTACGTCAAAAAACTAGATGAAAATAGAGTACATTTCTTGCAGATGGCTACCGGTGTTCTGTTTCACTACGATTCCTAAGGGCCCCGGCTTTACCAACGCCGATTACAGGTTGTAGTCGCCCGATCGGAGTGTCAAGGTTTGACGGATCTAATAAATAAATCAATTTTTTTTGTAGCAGCACATCGGGAAGTCCTGCTAGTTCGCCACTCGACGCACCGGTTTTTCCAGTGGAAGCATTGCAAACGTGTGTAGAACGTGAAGCCTTTCCAAATATCGGAAATTTTTGAACTAAACTTATGCGAAAAGGAGCAAAACCCAGTTTTTTTTCAGACTATCAAGGCCATGCAGCCTACAGCGTGCCAACGACGGTGTTTTGCCCAGTGATCATCTCAAGGTAATTCGCAAAGAAGGCCTACAACCTTTAGGAATCGCTTGAGACGCCGCGAATTCTGTTTTCGGATTCTCTGGAAGCTACATCCCCGCAGCCGCTGTCATCACCGCTGTCGCGTTTCCTACAGGACACCAGCAAGATGGTAATTTTAACTAGAATTAGCTATTTTCGTGTCTATAGATGGACGGTAAAGAGGAACAACGAACTGGTCGCAGCATTCAACGCTCAAAGATGTTTAATCGGGTTTGAAAGGCTAAAAAATAATATTGGTTGTGTAGATGGGCCTGCCAACCTATTCCAGCCCTGCCCCACCGGTCGAGCTGAAGCGGCGACGATTGAGGAGGTAGAAATAGAATATTTACGATTAGACTGGCCTACAGGATTTTTTTGCATACAGACCTTACCTTTCAGTGGTACCAGCATCTGCCTGGATTCTACAACTTCGAATGAGCCAGACGACGATTGCCCCCGCCTTGCCTCCAGCGCCCCGAGCAGCAAGAGTCTTTTGTGTAATTTTGAGGTACGTCGAGAACCCTCGAAAAACGAAAGAATAATATTTTAGGAAAGTGCGCTGCATGGCCGTCTTGATCCTTTGGCCGTGGTGGGAGGCTTCATTTGCCACCTTGGTAAGTCAAGGAAAAGCTAGGCATCCAAAAAATTCTAGTCGTCTCAAACGGGCCACTACCATCCGTGGATCTACGACTACCCGTCCGAGCCTGTTATTTTGAGAACGACTCGGACACGGCGGCACCTTCACCATATTTGGTGAGTTAATGCGAAGGAAGCCAGACTTTATAATAGCAACATGATCTAATCGGTTAATGAAAAAATAGAAAATGTAGGTTTAACGACCAAAATGCTTTGTTTTGTAAAGTTAGACTTTGTAAGGAGCAAAACGCTATGTTTTCAGGGAATTTGCTCGTTGGAAAGTATCTCGAAGCGTGGCATTCGCATCCCGCCGGCCGGGACACTCCAAGTGACGCTTCTAAATCCACAGGGGACCGTCGTCCGCATCTTCGTCCAACGGTTTGTTGATTAAATAGTGGTAAAAACAAATTTCTGATAGTCAAAGAATATAAAATTATAAAAACGTATAAACAATACAGGCTCACTACGAAATTTTAGGTACGACTTCACAGATATGGCGCCCCGGTCGACGACCTTCCTGCGCCAGCGCACCTTCTTCATGAAGGAGGGCGACAAGCAGAAATGGTTGCGCTATCTCGTCCACTTCAAGTTCGTCAAAAAGCTAAAGATCAAGCCAGATTTTCAGGATTCGTAGCGATAAGCAGGGCGGCATCCGGTTGCACAGCGATCTACGCATGCTTTTCGCTCCGAATAACACTATTGACGCTTTAAATATTGAGGTAAGCAGTAGCGTATAGCATGTTATCATTATTTCATCTTTTTAGCGCGCCGAAGACGACCGCTACGTGCTGAAGACGTTCACCGAAACGCCGCGGCCCACCACATCTTCTTCTAGCCGAAATGATTAGTGATTAGAAACATTTTAGTCGTTTTGAAATTCCCCCTGGAGGCAAATATCCTTGTTCGACCGGCCCTCCAGATATATAAACTTTGTACTACGTTGTATTACTTTGTACGTTCGTGTATTTTCTGACTTCGTTGCACATATTGGTGTTTTATAAGGCTGTACCGGCTATGGCTATTTTCTTAGTAAAACTCTAGAAATTTGTCTTGGAAGTCGTAGACTGCCCCTATTCTCGTAATTATATTTTCTAACGACTTTACGTTACGTTTTTAAACCAACAATTAATTTTTATTTTTGCTAGGTTTTCGGCTTAGAAATTTGCAAAGTTGAGCTGGGAAAGGAAAATCTGAAGCGAACACGCATCGCGTTTTTAATTGCCTTTCCCAGCTTCACTTCACAACTGTCTCACCACTTTCCTTAAAGGACCCGGATTCGCCATGTTTTTCCGTTCATCCATCACTTTTTCGTGTCCATTTTCTTTATCACCCAGTCAGGGAAAGGTCGTGTATTTTTCTATCGTTTTTTTTTGCAGGCGTTTTCGCTTGGATCCTTGGCTTTTTGTGGCATAAAAAATGTGGCAATGCCAGCTGGTTCAACGTTTATTCACACCACAATTTTTCAGGGTTGTTTTTGAAGATTTCGCAGCTGGGCGCGTATCACTCGTGGTCATCGCTGGAAAGGAAATTGGAATTCTGAGGTTTTATAATGTTAAAAAGTTGATTTTAGAACGGAGCTAAACCAAGTACCAAGCGGACGACTCGGGGCTGCGCAGCGAGTCGAGCAGTCGCGCCTCCATCAGATCGTCGATGGCCTCTTCGCGCTAAAAATTTGATTTCGTTAATAACTTGAATTTTTTAAGGCAATCTAGCAGGGATAATTGAGGAAATGACAGTTCACCTCGGGTCCCGAGCAATAGCGCTGGATGATGCTGAAATTGGCAGCTTCAACACTTTTTAAGGCATAAAGTACCTCTGGACTTTCAATTCCTCATGCAACTGGCCGAGGCTCGTCATCTCATTGGTCGACGTGCGCAGCATACGCAACAGCTCTCGATCGTCGTGAAAGCCCTTCCACGCCCAGTAATAACTCGAGAGACTCGCCAGCAGCGTTACTGGAAATCGGGGTAGGCTAGCAGAAGTAACTGACTAGGGAATGGTTTCGGGCGGACATCGGACCTAGATATGTGAGTATGTACATCTTGTAGATCTCAACGAGACGAATCGATTGATGTAACTTTTAGCTGCCAACGCCTTTAAATAAAAAAGTTACAACGATTTAAATTTTTCTGGCATGGCTTCATAAGCCCTCCCGGCAACCCCGTCACCGTGGTCCAGTGGCCTAGTGGTGTAGTAGTCAGCGTCTGGGGGAATCTAACGAGGGTTCGAACCCTCTCACGATTTTTATTTTTTGCTTTTTTGTCCGACGCTTCCTTATTGCATTCTGAAGGCCGTGAATAACTTTTTGTACATTATTTATACACCAAGAAACGTTCCTAGCGATAATACCGAAATTTTTTTTGCGAAAATTTGGAAATTGGTAAAAAACGTAACCATAGTAAGGATAGTTCAGGAGAAAATAAAATATTTGTGATGGAACTTGGGGTACGCTACAACGTTGTAAGAAATGTGACCACAATTTTGACCACTCCTCCAAAATATTTTCGATGCATGAGCCAGAGGCACCAGCCAACAGGATCAAAAAATTAATTTTTCGCCCGAAGCTGTATTATCGCTAGGAACGTTTCTTGGTGTATAAATAATGTACAAAAAGTTATTCACGGCCTTCAGAATGCAATAAGGAAGCGTCGGACAAAAAAGCAAAAAATAAAAATCGTGAGAGGGTTCGAACCCTCGTTAGATTCCCCAGACGCTGACTACTACACCACTAGGCCACTGGACCACGGTGACGGGGTTGCCGGGAGGGCTTATGAAGCCATGCCAGAAAAATTTAAATCGTTGTAACTTTTTTATTTAAAGGCGTTGGCAGCTAAAGTTACATCAATCGATCGTCTCGTTGAGATCTACAAGATGTACATACTCACATATCTAGGTCCGATGTCCGCCCGAAACCATTCCCTAGTGAGGAAACGTACAAACAATGATGCCGATGATGGTGCCATCGAGCGACAAATGGACGGCCTTCAGGACGTCTTCTGAAAACGGCCTTTGAAATTAACTTTACACCTTTATATACAACGTAGGCGCCTATTTACAGAGAGAGAGAGAGAGAGAGAGAGAGACGCAGGTGTAAAATCCACGCTCAGGTAGCCTTGTAAAGGGATTTTGAGGCGGATTCCGACCTTCAGTGAGCAACTGGCTTCTCGGCTGCTCCTTTTCGATCAATTGCACTTCCGGTTTCACCCACGGGAACGTCGAGCTTGGCGCGTTAATAGATTAGGTCATTAGGAAACGTACCTAACACCTTGCCACAACAAAAATGCGGCCAGCCAGCCGTATCCTAGCATGATCTTTGGTTTTATTTAAAAACCTCAAGGCCTTTCCTGCCGCAATTCGTTATATTATGTAAATTTTGGCCCTTTCATTTTTTTGACGTGAAAATGCGGCTGCATTTGTTTTTGAGAGGTTTTATTTTTTGCCGAACACAAACAGTTGCCTTTGAATTTTTCGATAGTTTTTGACGTGGAATCTGTAGTTTTTAGTTTGCAGCCGTACAAGATTCGCACGATTTAGCTGAAAAGATTTATTTTCAACCTCTAAAAAAGAAAAAAGGTGAAGACGGGGTGAATCATTACGGGGAAAAGGCGAGGCTGAGGGCGCGGGAGATGCAAAGGGTTTTTGAGATTTTTGGATTTTTTTTGAGCTCGGATCTCCGGGAATCACAGCATGGGGAAATGGGAAGACTAGGTGGGGTATTGCTGGGAGTGGAAAATGAGGACCTATCGACCGGTAATGATTCTTTTCGGGGCAATTCAAATATTTTCGAGCAACCAGGCTTCGAGAAAATAATGTACAATAGAAACAATTCTGTACAAGATGACAAAATATTTTTTTTTGGGTTTTTGGTATTTTTCGCAAAATAAAACTTAAACAATAAAGAACATATACAACAAAATAAACGAGCACTAAATAACATACCACAAAATCAGAGGAATAGATGGTAGAAAGATTTTTGATAAGGGGAACTACTTAAAGAGGTTCTTTGGCATTATCGGGGGGGCAGGAAAAGTTTCCAAGGAATCTGAGTTTTCTGTTAACAAAAGAGATACGTCATTACTATTTTTTGATCACAGCTAACGCAAAAAAAATATAAAATTTTTAACAAAAAATCGATCTCGAAGAAGTTATCGGGTTTCGACCACAGAAAATTATATCTAGGCTAATAGGAAAAAACTCAGCTCCTCCACCCCCGATAATGCAAAAGAACCCGCAGAGTCTATATACAAGGGACACCTCCAAAATTTAGGCATTTGCGCGCAGACCGTCGAGGGCCCTGCCCTGGTTTGAGAGGCGTTTGGTGAGCAGGTCCCAATCGATGTCTTTCCCCTTTTTCTCCGGGGCTCCATAAGCGCTAAAATAGTTTTAAATTATTATATTGTAAATTTAGGTTGCATGAACATCGATTAATGCACAAACATACCTTAAGTACGCCTTGAAGAGGTCGGCGCCCCGTTTGGCCAGCTCGTCGGCCTGGTAGACGGGCTCGGGGATTGAGATCGATTTGCCGGAAATCTGGAATAAACTGCTTGGTTAGATTCATCTAATTTTTAGTGATTTTGTGATTATTGTAGTTATTTACTTTGTTTAGGTTTTAGAAAAAGAAGCTTCTTTTTTATCTCATTTCCGTACCTGATGCTCGAAAGCGAGGGCGATAATGAGGTCTTGCAGCGCATCTTCCGTCAACCCCGGGATCTCATTCTTCAGCACTTCGTATTGGGTCATTTTTGCGGTGCCTTGCAGCGGGGAATGCGATTGGACGTAGAACTCCGTCACGCTGGCGCTGACGACGTCCCGATCGACAACGGTCAATGGAGGCGCGTTTGTCACGCCGTTTCCAGTCGTTTTCAGGAATCTAACGGAACATCGTGTTTTAGAAAACGAAAAATGCTTCGGTGCTTCTCATTTAGCGGGGGGAGGGGAATTAATTTTTGCTATACCTTTCTTCCGCCTTGACCTTTCTGTTAACAGTATCTAGTGTTTTATAGTGTTTTGGAATAGTTTTTCGTTACTAGGAAAACAAAAACACTTTTTTAATGTCGAAAATTTTAGAATGTTGACATTTATGGTTATTTTTTCATACCGTTTTGACCAAAAAAACTGGAAAATCTTCGTAATTTTTCTGAGGTTTTTTATCTCGAAAAATGGTTTAAAATGCATAAAGATTGCTTACATTTCGCTATAGGGTCCTTCGAATTAAGGGGGAAATTGTCCCTCCCCCGCTAACCGGAAAGAACCAAAGTTCGCTTACCGCTTGTGGTGGCGCTTCGTGCAAACGTTCAGACAAAAATAGGGTCTGTAGTTTGATTGGAATTCCTCGCACGCAAATTTCAGCGCCTCCAGCTCGTATTGGACGACCTTAAACAATCAGGGGTACGGTAGGAAGGGTGTAATTCTAACGGTAACATTTTTTCTAGACGACCTACCATATCGTATTGCCCCTCAGAGACACCGTCGCGCATCACGATGATATTCTCAGGCAGTTGTTTGCCCCGCTGATCGTGCCAGCTTTTCAGGGCCCATTTCAGGAACTTGATCAGCACCTCGTCATCCACCTGAAGAGGGGAGATAGAACTTGGATACCGTAGAGGTTGATAGTACGTTAAATTCCTACTTACCGCCTCTTTTCTTGGTTTTTGATAGGCGAAGTGGCCGATGAAGGCATCGCGGAGTTTCGTGCAGTTGGCAGCGAACTGAAAAATCGGAGCTTGAGCAATAAAAAATAGCTTAGAAATAAAGTAGCATTTTGGACGTCTATCCGTTATTTAGAAGTTCTTGGCATGCTAACCGGCTGGAAACTCCCGCTCATTACCAAAAAAAGCGGTTCCTTTGCGTGGTAGGCAGATGGCCGATTGGTGGTGTTTTAACTCCCCACTCACAACACGCGGTTTCGACCCCGGCCCTATGCAACACTTTTTACTTTTTGCCGAAAAGTGAAATATTGGTTGTGCCGACCTACCCCAACCACCGACGGCTCGCCAATACCACCCAGGGCCAGTTGCTGGGCGGTTTGTCCTCGAGTCGGATGGGCCACATCATAGCCGATCACCAAAGTGTTGCCGTTCCACAGTTTTTGCCTAAACTATCGTTACGATGCGATTGATGAGAGAGCAAGATCGCGAGAGAGAGAGAGAGAGATGGAGGGAGCGAGAGAGTGAGAGGGACCGACGGATAGAGAGAAAGACACCGTAAAAACGTACGCAGGTCCTTGTGGCAGCACGGAATGGTTGAGCCCTCCAGCCTTCATGTTCAACTTCGCTAGCAGATTTTCCCAGGTCGCATTGTTAAGACGTTGCAAGAGCTGGAAGGAGATTTGCATAAAAAACTAGACGTTTAGACACTAACCTCAATTGTGATATGCATTGTGAGAATCTGGTGCTTGGCCTCGGCGAGCTTCAGGCTGCCGTGCGAGGTGACCGTCTTCGTGTCGACGTAAATAATCATCCACCGCTTATACGGATCGCCAGGGCGGCGAGAGGTATTGGCTTTCGCTTCGGAATCTCGGGCCTAAAATACAAATAAATAAATACTGAAACTCTAAATATAAAAATAAAATCAATAAAAAAAAATCGTCGCTAAAAACTGACCTTTTTGAAGTAGCTACCCTCCCCATTCAGCTGGCTATCAATTTCGATCGGCTCCGGGACGAAGTCCACCTAATATCAAAAATGAATTTCCGGCTTTTCCTCGCCAACCTGTCCAATCGTGACTCCTTTCCGCTGCGCGGTTTGCCGAAGTTGGTTGGCAAACGCTTGGACCGAACCCTCAGCGCTTCTCGGGTCCTGACCTCGTCCAGCCCCGCCCCACAACACCGTAATCCCGGCCAACTTTGCCCCCACGGTGTACCCGACCGCAGCCGTTCTCCAGGACGCCTGAAAAATGAGATTTCCGCTGAAACGCTGAAACTCACATTCTCGGTTTTCCAGTTCTTTCCACCGTAGTTGACCGTTGGCGCGTTGCGGATAAATCCCTCGACTTCCATCGGCTTTTGGCTGATCTTCACACCAAGGCTAAAACTCGGAAGGTACCCAAAGGAACTCTGCTAGCTCGCCGCTGGTTCTTTTGCAATATCGAGGGGAGGGGGTTAAGGAGGAAAACTTAATTTTCCGATAAATCCATAAATAAGTATTTTAATGGTGTCAGTAAAATGGAACTATATTTCAAGGGGGAAAGATTTTTGTTCAAAGTTCTTCAAACAAAAGAAAAAAGATACTTTACTTTTATGAATAGTAAAAAAGCAGTTTAAAAAGATTTTCTCTTTTATATTGGAAGAGTTGGACCTCTCGGCCGATAATGCAAAAAACCCTAGGGAAGTCCGCTATCCTACCTGGCCAATGTCCTGCTCGAATCCGTCGCCAAGTCCAGTGCGGCCAGATGATCGGCAATTGCGCTGTAGCGTTGGGCCGGGAGGGCGGGGCGATCCTGAAAGTTTGGATAAAAATTCTGTGTCTAAAATACGCCCAATTCCCCAAAAAATCTCTGCCGGTTGGCTCGACATACCGGTGGGACTTCAGCCTTTTTCAGGGGTACGCGTTGATTGCCGAGGATGGTGAGTTGGTCGATAGCCATCGGCCGTAGCGGCCCATGACCTTTTGGCAGTACCAAGGGCCAGTCGTTTCTAAACAGTGGAAATGGATACGGTATACCGACTTACCCAGCAGCATCTTTTGAGAGTCCTGCGGACACAAATGTGGTCGGGGTCCCATTGATGCCGAGACGGAGTCCTAAAATCGAATAATCGGCCCTTTTGCGTTATAAGGGGGAGGAGGAGTTGAGGTTTTTTTACTATAAATTCAGAAATTTCTAATGACGTGACTGTTTTAATACTGGTTTAGTCAAATTTAAATATATTCGAAGCCCCAAAAGCATCGAAAGAGTCGCTAAAAATTTTTTATGCGAAACTAATCGGTATTTTTGTATTTTCAAATAAATTGTAAAGTATTTGCGTTTAAGACTAGTAAAAACTCGTTAGAAACCCTTCCTCTACTTATATATCAAAAAAATCCTTACATAATAAAAATTAAATTAAAAAAATTGTTTCGGCCTTGATGACCGTCTCCCTGGAACCGGATACCGGATAATTTGTTCTTTTCTTTCAATTTTTGGATTCGTTTCGCCAATTATCTTCCCCAAGGCTCTCTGCCAGTTGCCCCTAGGGACCTACCATGCAGAAGGCAATTTGTTTTCGCAAAGGCCCAGCGACCCTGATCGGTGGTTTTTCGGAAATCGGCGTCCCTCGCGCTTCTCCATCCATTGATGGCGAGAACCGCGTCGAGAAGGGGTTGTGGCTTGTAGAATGTGCCGATACAGGCTGAAAAAGTGATTTTAGAATCTATAAATAAATATAAAAATATTGAACCTATATCAAAAAATGCAAACCGAAAACGACCGTACCATCCAAAACGAGAGCGGCCACCAAATCTTTGCCGCCAGTTGGGCCCTCAATAAAGCGGATTCCCTAAAAAGCTACTTAGAAAGGTTTCAAACTGTATTACTGCCACTGTGCTCGTGTTCTACTACCAATATAACCAACCTTTCTGACGCCCTGTCGACGCTCATGGCCGCACTGACCCAAAGCGCCGCGCACATCCGGCATCACCTCATTTTTGTACGATCGTCCCCGGCCGAAATTTGTGTAGCCGCTCCTAAAATGTCCCAATATTTTAGGCACGAAAAACTAACGCAGGCTGGCTGGTGAGAATCTCCAAAAACTGCCGTAGTGGCCGGTCGGTGCCCCCGTTTTTGATGTCGTCCAGGGCGTCGCCAAGCCGAAATGAGGCCACGTACTCCCTAAAAGGTGGTCTATATCGGGTAGGGCTTCCCTTACCGACAGGGCTCGATGAAAAGCTCGATTTGTTCAGCATCCGGCCGTTCGAGCAGCTCTCGGGCCCGCGGGGGCAATTGGCGGATGTTGACGGTCAAAGTGTGGTTGTGCTAAAAGTTTGATTTTAACGGAATTAGGAAGCGGCAAACCTGTTTCAGCTGTAGTTCTCCATCAGTAAAAATGGTTGCGGAATCATCATGGACGATGTGGGCCCCGTTGCGAAGGAGTCCGTACGCCTCGAGGGCAGCTTTTAGGGCCAGGCGGATCAGCTCGGCGCGGCGCGTGCGTTCAGCGCTAGAAATTAGCGCTTATCAAAGAACCTAACTTAGAAATTTGACAAAATAAACTTTTTCGACCACGTCCGACTCATGGTCAATTGGTAGTGCTCTCGCTTCTCACCCACACTACCCTGGTTCGAACCCGCGCGCGGAAATTTTTTGCGTTTGGCATCAAGGCTCCAAGAGACCTTGTTATAACCGATTAACTATCTTTTGCTCGAAAATCAACATCCCGTTATAACTCTCCTAGATTTCAAAAACCTACTCGTCGCCTCCTCGACGATTCAAATCCACAGCGGGCGCTTGGTCAGACTTTAGAAGCAGCTTTGGCTGCATCGAATATCGATACACAATCGTTTCCGGATCCATTTGAACCGGAAAGATGTTCGTTCGAAGGATGATCTAAAGATCTCGTAAGCCTCAAGTCGCCGATCTAAACCTTTTCAAATTTACTGCGATCGGCCGGGGCCATTTTCGGGTCGATGAGCGCCGAAGAGTTGGAGCCGAGACGGTTTTGGCGGGGTGTCGTTGCTTGACTTCTCCGGAAGGAAGCCGCTGTAAAGATTTTTTTACGAAAAACATCCGCTTAAAATTGTCCCTCCCCCCGCTAAGAGTTCAGTACCTGATATCAACCAGGGCACATTTTTTGGCTTGAAGTTTTACGAATGGAAAACCTTGGTATATAGAAATAGAACTAACACGATTCCGGTAGGGACGATTGTGTTGCGACAGATAGTGGCGATGGACTGCGGGTTGCTGATTCTAAATACATGCTTGATGTTTAAAATTGCCCGTAACGTTACCTTCCGTTTCCTTCGGTGGCTCCTCCTGTTTTGGTTGAAGGCGCGCGGCGACCTGTTGTCGCCGGCGATTTTTTGCCGCGTTGCTGGGCATTTTTGCGTAGTTGTTAGGTAAGTTGGTGGTAGCTGTAGATTTTTAAGGTTGATTTCTGGAAAGTGAGGAATTGTTATGTAAGTAATATTAGCTAGCATAAAATGAGGGAGTTCAGGGAAGGTTTGGAAACTATCGAATCGTAATTAAATAGCGTAAGCTAATTTTATTGCTCAAGGGCTACAACTTTTCCTCGACCTATCACGGGAATCAAAACTATAAAAATAGTATTAGTTTTCAAAGCCGCAAAGTTTAAACATTTAGTTTGAGGGGAGTTTCGTAACAGCCGAGAATTAAATCGCGTAAGCTTCTGGCTCAAACGCGTCCACTTTTCAGGTGTATAAAGGGCAGAAAAATGATAAGAATAGTGCTGGTTTTAAAAGGGACTGAACATAGAGCATGATTTTGCTAACACACGAGTTTCCAGAACGCATTTTCCGAGTTTACACTGGAAAGTACGGAGGAAACCTTGGAATTTCATTACGCAACTACAGTAACCCATGCAAATCAAGCTAAAATTGTCGGAAAATTTTACAAAGTTACAAGCTTCACAAAAGATATTAATAAAGTTGGTAAAAGAATGAGAATGGCGGTACAGGCACAGCTGAGCCTTTTATACGGCGGTCGGGGCGGGGCCGCACGAATAAAATAGCGTAATCATTTGGAGATTTCGTCGCGTAAGCGAATGATGAAATCGGGGTTGTTTTATGAATTTTTTAATAGAAAATGATGGAATATCACTATTCAAACGGTTATAAAGGCTTTTATGGCATTTTATAAAGTTTTACTTCTAGAAATTTTTGATCGAAAATTTTGCGGCTTTTTTGCGGCGCTTTTCTTAAATGATTTCTGTCGCTTCCCAGCTTTTTATGTGTTTTTTTTTGCTAAATGAATTGTCGAATTGGTTTTCTTTTCATTAAAAGCTGTCCAATTGCTTTTTTTCTGCAAAAACTGGCGCTGATTCACATGTTTAGACTCCATAGACCGCCATTGCCCGGGCGATAAGCCCATTTTTCTCCAGTCAGCATTTCAACTCCATGGAAACCAGGGGGGGGGGGATAGACCGCAATAAAAGCCCATCCTTTCGTAATAATGCTCCAAAAATATAACAATCTTTATTACATCATTTAGATACATTTTTTATTAAAAGGTGGCGCTGGAGCCGGCGATTTGGCTGGTCACGACGGTTGAGGCTGTCGCCGCTGGGACTAAATGGACTCTTTTTTCTTGCTAAAAGTTGAAATAGCTACCGTATCTATATCTCAAAGTGACGCCAGTTTTGTAGTATCGATTGTAGATGAGGACTGGCATGATATTGCCCTCGGATATGATTTTCTTGCCGCTGTCGCCGTTGCAGCAGTATCTGAAATTCGGGATCTTTAGGACAAAGGGCATTTCCAAATGATCTTTGCTAGCATACCGCTGACCTGGCCTACCTATGAATTTATTAAAAATTTTTCTCGCCCTCGACACGCAACCGAATTATGAATTTGGCCGCAATTTGGCAGTGGTAATCGATTACTCAATAATGGGGTAAGCCGCGCGTAACTATAACTAGTCCATAACTAAATCGATAGCGATGCCTTGCCCGCCCCTTTAAACATTTCCCCAAATGATCCCTGCTAGTTTGCCCCACCTGATTCCGGTGTATCGATGATCCTTGGAGGCTTTCACCTCAACCCCCGTATAAACACATCCATCAAAGCATTGTTGGTAGAGCATGTTGATCAGCGTCAGCTCGACCTTCATCCCAGTTGGGGCCTAAAAGGCGCTCCATGTACCGTATGCTATGCTTTACCTTGAGATGATAGATGCAAGTAGCAAAGGTATTCCTTTCCACCGATGCCCCATCACCGACAGTCACTACTTGGTCTTTGACTGTAGCCGTGGCGGTGAGTTCGGCACCGCAACCGGATGTCTGAATCGATTACGGCATTTAATAACGGCTCTTCAGTACAGTACAGTACCCTTTGATTACAGGTGGCTCCTCCCCATCCAGTCGGGCAGATGCAGGTGCTGCAACTTCGTGAATTTCTGAAGCCTCCGTTGAGGCACGTTGCTCCCGTCGTGCAGATGGCTGAAAGTCAAAATTAACCCTTTACATTTAGCACCAAATTGTCCTAAATGGTTTCTGCTAACTGCCCCGCTATAAGCACTTGGCCAAAAGGCAAAAGGTTCCGCCGCGGGCGGGGTCGAACCCGGGTCGTGCGGGTGGGAAGCGAGAATACTACCAATCAGCCAAGTCGAACCTTTGCACTTATAGTGCTCATTCATCATCGAAATGTCGTAGAAGGATACAAAATCTGATCCCATCGTGTCTTGATAAGGGGCCACCTAGAATATATAGCAATTTTTGGCTTTTAATCGTATTTTGATCGGTTAAAAGGGGCTACGTATTGAAGCTTTCTTAATTAAATTAAATTCGTAACGTACAGTAAAGTTAATGAACTAACGTATATTTTAAACACGAACTGTAAAATTGAATAAATGCTAAGAAAATGGTACCTTTGCGACCATGGTCGGTTTTCCATTGCCCGATACCGATTCCCCGCCATATTGCATCACGCTACCGTAATCGTACGGCATCCCATAGTTGTAGTTTGTACTTGTGGTTTCCTGAATAAAATGTTGAAATTACTATTTTCTAAACGCATACCTTATCGAACTGATCGGCCCATCCTGTCTGAATATTGGCCAGATTGACGGTAATTGCCGTATCGCGATCGAATCTCGATTGTTCGTGGAAGAACCCGAGGGCATGGCCGATCTCATGGGCAGCCGTTCCGAACTACAACTCTTTACAGTACTTTTTGTACCTAACAAATTACTGATTCACATCCAGCACCGAGTGACAGATCCTGCACTCCTCCAATCATACCCACGTACGAATAGCAGCCGGAACCTTTGAAGAAACGGACACGATTCCTGAAAAATGGATTTTAAAGTATGGGCAACGCAAAGGAGGAGCGCGTTGCGTGTTGCGACGCGTAAAGCCCGGATAGAATGGTACCCACTTTGCCGTGGTGCTCTGAACAAAATTGATGCATGTCGAGTTGTGCCAGAAGGCGATGGCCAACTGGGCGGCTGTTTTTCCGGCAGCCGAGAGGGATGAATCAAAATAATAGTAGAAAGTTTTGCCCCAGATTGTTGATGGGTAATACTTGTCCTTGTAGGCTTGACGCTTCTCACGAATTGTTTCTAAAGGTCGTATTTAGATGGTTGGTAACATTCGACCGCAAAAAATGTCGAAAACTAGGACCGTGGCGCACACGCCACGCACAATTTTTGCGATTCTGACAGCGCCAGTTTTCCGTTTTTGGATTTGTTCGGAATTCCGTGGCGCTACTCTGTACATTCTGTTGTTGTATCGCGTACTCACCAGAATCTGTTGGCACGGTTGTCGCCTCATCGACAAAATCTCCAAGCAAAATTTGGACTTGTTCACTGAAAATTAAGGCTTTAGATGCCTCTCGCTATCCCACTCCCTCGCTCTCTCTCTCGCTCTCTCTCTCGCGCTCTCTGTCTCTCTCTCTCCCCTCTCTCTTCACTTACTCAGTCAATGCCATATCTCCCTTGTACAAATTCTCGGCCACCCCAACATTCTCATTCACTTCGGCCACATTATTCCCCAGCTTCCGGAACGATTTTGAGCGCGTCTTCTGCCCAATTTTCTAAAAACGGGCCCCGTCGTGATCAACAGCAGATACTACTTGCCTTGATACGTTCATTGAACTCCTTGATCTCGCTGTCACTCTGCGACATGCTCCTCGATTCACGGAATTTCTCGAGCGCGTTGTGGAAGCGTTCGACGTTGGTGCGTCGCAGCGACTGCAGCGGATTTTCCGACTCGAGTTGGGTCCTAATTTTTACCTTTTTGAACTCCGCCACGTCGTCCGTGGTCATGTTGCCCCAGCGACCTCGGCGGAAGCGGCGGACTGTAAATTTTTTTTTGAAAGTACTATTAAATTTCCGGGACAACGGGGTGCATAACGCCAGATTTGTGTCCCAGCTACCGTAACCCATCCCTGTATACCTCCAGGAAAAGCTGAGGTCACGTAGAAAACGCCGATGGCCAAAAACAACGCCTCTAACCTCATGGCTAGCTGGGAATTCAGTGGTGTCGGCCGGTGACCCCGACTCCTTATAAAGCCCGATTTCTCTCCGAATGACCCGAGATCCATGTTTATACAGCTTTAGTATCCCCATGTCATCCCCCAATATATTTGATGGGGCCTCATTTTTTACAGTTGCAGACCCGTCGTCGCATCCGGAGCCCCAAAAAATGTACCCCGGGAGACCTGGGGGGATTATTTGAAGAGCCGATCGTGTTGTATACAAATTCATCGATCTCCCAATCTTCACCCCCGCAACGTTTACACAACTGTACAAATTACATGGGTTTTTTAGCCGTCCATTCTCCAGCCAAAAGTATACTACATTTGTGTGGGTGTCGGGTGTGTTGGCAACGTGAATACCCGCATAATATGACAAGTAGCGGGGCGGTGTATTCTCATAGCTTTATTACATCATTGAGATGCATTTGCTGTTAGTATGTTGCGCGGGAGCCGGCAATCTGGCTGATCATGACCGTTGTGGCTGTGGTGGCCGGGACTAAATTGAGCGATTGCTCTTGGTGAATTATGCTAAAGCTACCGTATCTGTAACGCAACGTGACGCCAGTTTTATAGTATCGATTGTAGATCAAGACCGGCACGATATTCCCTTCAGAAACGATCTTCTTGCCGCTGTTCTCATTGCAGCAGTATCTGAAAAATTGGGTCTTCTGGCTGTCCCTTGACGAATTTCCCCCAAAGGATTCTGCTAGCGGGTCCTTGATGTTACCTCATCCCGGTGTAACGATGATCCTTCGATGCTTTCACCTCTACCCCGGTGAATACACAACCATCAAAGCATTGTTGGTAGAGCATGTTGATCAGCGTCAGCTCGACTTTCATCCCGGTTGGGGCCTAAAATGCGCTCCATTTATGATTATTGCGAAAACACTTTACCTTGATGTGATAGATACAAGTGGCGGCGGTGGTCCTTTCCTGTCGCGTTCCATCTCCCACCGTCACTACTTGGTCTTTGACTGTGGCGGTTGCAGTGAGTTCGGCCCCACAACCGGATGTCTGAATCGATTACGGCATTTAATAGCCAATATTAGGTACAGTACCCTTTGATTACAGGTGGCTCCTCCCCATCCAGTCGGGCAGATGCAGGTGCTGCAACTTCTTGAATTTCTGAAGCCTCCGTTGAGGCAAGTTGCTCCCGTCGTGCAGGTGGCTGAAAGTCAAAATTAGGCCTTTACATTTAGCACCAATTTGTCCTCAATGGTGCCAGCTAGCTGCCCCGCTATAAGCTCTTGGCAAGAAGGCAAAAAGTTCAGCCGAGGGCGGGGTTGAAATCGGGTCGTGCGGGTGGGAAGCGAGAATACTACCAATCAGCCAAGCTGTACCTTTGCAGTTATAGTGCTCATTCATCATCGAAATATCATAGAAGGAAACAAAGTCTGAGCCCATCGTGTCTTGATATGGCGCGACCTAAAATGGGATGTTTTTCTAGGATAATCTTATCATATGCGCTAATAAGTGTAATTAACAGGGTGTAGTTTAATTTTTCAACTTTGAAATGATTTTAAACGCAACAATTTATAAAGTCTCAACCAAAAAAAACTACCTTTGCTACGATGGTCGGCTTCCCATTGCTCGACACCGATTCGCCACCATAGTGCATCACGCTACCGTAATCGTAGGGCATCCCATAGTTGTAGTTTGTACTTGTCGTTTCCTGAATAGAATTTTGGGGATTCAAACCTTTTTTAGTAATATTTAAAATGTATTGCAAGTATAATATCCTTCTAAAAGGCTTTTAGAAATCTAAAAGAAAATGTTAAAGTTTTTACAGAACCAAACAAATTGTTGCTAACCCTTAAAGTTTCCAGAAATTACAGTACTCCATACAAAATTTGCAAACCTTATCAAATTGGTCTGCCCATCCGTTCTTGACATTCGCGATGTTGACCTTAATTGCCGTATCCCGATCGAGTCTCGATTGTGTGTGGAAGAACCCGAGGGCATGGCCGATCTCGTGGGCTGCCGTTCCAAACTACAACTCTTTACAGTTCTTAAACCCTCTTAAAAACACCGATTCACAGCCGGCACCAAGCGATAGGTTTTGCACGCCTCCGATCACGCCTATGTACGAATAGCAACCGGAACCTTTGAAGAAACGGACGCGATTCCTAAAAATATTGGATTTTTGTGGTCTACCTTTGTGACATCCGTCTGGCTTTCCTTTGCTTTTAACCACCATGTTACTCACTTTGCCGTGGTGCTCTGAACAAAATTGATGCATGTCGAGTTGTGCCAGAAGGCGATGGCCAACTGGGCGGCTGTTTTCCCGGCAGCCGAGAGGGATGAATCAAAATAATAGTAGAAAGTTTTGCCCCAGATTGTTGATGGGTAATACTTGTCCTTGTAGGCTTGACGTCTCTCACGTTTCGACTCTGAAAAAACTTAACCATCTGGTATAGAACTCATTCATCTGTACTGGACCAGCTCTGGGATTTCGCCCTGATACTCCGTACACTCCCTTTCACCGTTTACCTACCAGAATCCGTTGTTTGAGTTGTTTCCGTCGTCGCCTCATCCACAAAATCTCCAAGCAAAATTTGGACTTGTTCACTGAAAATTAAGACTTTAGATGTCTCTCGCTCGCTCACTCCCTCTCTCTCTCTCTCTCTCTCTCTCTTCACTTACTCAGTCAATGCCATATCTCCCTTGTACAAATTCTCGGCAACCCCAACATTCTCATTCACTTCGGCCACATTATTCCCCAGCTTCCGGAACGATTTTGAGCGCGTCTTCTGCCCGATTTTCTATAAAACAAAATAGCTGAAAGTCGATATAAACTATACCTTAATCCGTTCATTGAACTCCTTGATATCGCTGTCACTCTGGGACATACTCTTCGACTCGCGGAATTTCTCGAGAGCGTTGTGGAAGCGGTCCACGTTCGTCCGGCGCAGAGACTAAAGGAATATTGGAGTCTGCCATAGCAAGTCATTACCTTTTTGAACTCCATCACCTCGTCGGTCGTCATATTTCCCCAGCGAGGGCGGCGAGGGCCTCGGCCTGAAAATGCTACGATCTTGGTGAAAAAGCAAATATTTGGCAATGACAGGGTTGGAACCCTCGATCGTTAGATCACGGGCCTAATATGCTAATCACTACACCATGGATAAAATGCCGTGCCATAAAGAGATACGTGCCTGCCCTCCTATCTCTTACCCTAGTTACCGTAACCAATAGATTTCTACCTCTAGGATGGGCCGAGGTGATGGCGAATAGCCCGATGGCCATAAGCAACGTCTCCAACTGCATCGCTGTAAAAGATTATGCTCTGTAATGAGAACTGACGGCTTTGCTTGCGATGCTGCAGATCAGGCAAAAACTTCGCCGCCGGCGGGATTCGAACCCTGGCCTTGTGCGTGCCAAGCGAGAGCTTTACCACTTAGCCAGGGAAAGCGAGTCGGGAAAATCCAACGATTATTAAAATGATGTTACATTTCTAGGGGAATTTCGATTTTTTTTAGTAATTAAGGCTGGCTCCCAGTACTAAAAAGTTTGTATATTTGCATAGTCAAAGAAATTACAAGCTGGCTATTGTGTTTATATTTTTTGCTTGACCACTAGCTTTTATATATTCTGTATATTTTAATCCAAAAGATTAATCCTCCGATATTTGCTTTGTGCTGATCCACCTGTCCAGCCGATTCTAAAGGTATCGAATTTCTATAAGCTTTTTGTGCATTTAGATCTTTCGATCTGTCCCATGTTTTTATAAATTTTATTCTCAATCTTTAATCCAATAGGCTCATTTCCGATATTGGCATCGTGATGATGGATGTGACGAGCGGATTCTAAACGTATTGAATTTCTATAAGCTGCTTCGGCCTACGCTGCGATCCTTTTTACACAGCAGGGCTCGCACTTCCGAATTCGTGCCTTTTTCCGGGTGTAGACAGGTGACGCCCGTGAAATAGGAGTAGGAACGGCCTGGAATTTTATTTTTAGGAATTTTCAAAAGGGTCTCTGCTAGTTCGGCAAGGTCTAATTCCGTTTTTTTTGTATAACTCACCAGGTACCACGTATGCAATATTAATCATCGAATGCTGAAATCGATACATTGACGAATCGTAAATGAATGATATCACAGCCTCATCGATTGGGGATTTACTAAAAAATGAAATTTTATTTTCATTAACTTACGAGCTATTGTTGAGATTGACCGTTAGTCTGAAGGATGGTCCAAAACCGTGTATCTGGAAAAGGGTTTTATTTATAAAAAGCTTTAAAAACTTAAAATAATCATTAAAGTTTTTAGCTTATCCTCACTTCGACACTAATATCGACAGCCTCTTTCGAATCACCAGAAATAGCAACTGTATTCAAGGATGATCGTGTCATCTCGTAGAACGTCTTTGTTGTTAGGTATTTCAGCATGAATAGATCGCGTTGATAGGCCTGTAATGTACAAATTCACAAAAAATCACATACACTCCCACCTGATGCATCTGAATGCCGGCTTCTCTCTCTCGCATCGCTTGATCCACAAAAACTCGCGTTTTTCGGGGGATGCTGAGTTTTATGTTGTGGGCGGCTACCTGAAAATAATATAGTACGACACGCCTAATTACGGTTTAATGAACATAAATTTTTTTGAGGTTTCTCCTAAAATTCGTGAGACCGCTACGCATACGCAACGCGTCGGACGCCCTTTTCTGCCAGATTCTAGCTCCCAAGAAATTTTGCGGCCCGCGACACACAACGCGCACGCACGCCTTTTCATTTCGTAATCGATTACGCCAGCTAAAAGCCTGCGTGTTGCGTGTCGCGACGCGTAAAACTCAATGTAAAATTCATGGCCAATGGCTGGCCGGTCTCTTTAAAATTTATCGCCCACCTGTTGGTTGATCTCAATCTTCTCGTCCAGCTTGGCCAACCGCCTGAACAGCTTGACGATGATGCCGCCCTCTGTAAAAGCCACAAAATCGAAGAACGAGCTCAAATTCCGTACCAGTGGTGCCAATAATCAATCCGCCCTCCTCCCTCCCAAACGGTCCATACTTTATCCACCGTATTTTCGGATCGACGCGCAGTTGGTCGAGTTGGAACATGTCATTGTAGATGCGCACCTGGAAGAATGGATTTTAAGATATTTGAAGAGATTTAAGCTTTTTAAAAGCTTCTTCGGTCTAACCTGATGATCGAGGGCCACCAAAACGCCGGTGTACTGCCGAGGGGCGTAGGAGAACGGCTCGAGGCCGCGGATCGGGGAGTGCAGTTTGATCTGAAAAACGGATTGACCAAATTGTGGAGAAATCGAAGTTGCAAGTGACCGCGACGCAAACGCGACGCTTCGAAACTTTTCCATGCAGCCCCGCGGCACCAATTTCATCAAATATTTTAGTTGAATTTTGACCCACCTGATTCTGGCGTTTGCCCTTGAACGTGAAAAACGTGAGAGTGTTGTCGACGCAGGCGACGGCTAACTAAAAACATACCAAACATAAAGGTTAAATTTGTTGTACCATTTTGTTAAGCTTTGTAATAGCCAAAATATCGGCTTTCATGGTGATCGTCGGCTTGTCCACTCGGGCCTGGTCCCGTTTGACCGTGAAAATCTGACCGTCACGGGTTGCGACAAAGATTCGGAAATCGACGTCGAAGACTCCTAGAAAGCAAGTGTTTACGGCATGTAATTGACACTTTTTACGGGCTTTTAATTGTCAAATGTCTTAAATTTAGATTAAAATTTTGAAGCTGAAACATTTAAACTATGTTCAAACTCCTTTAAAACCAACCATGCGTACATAGAAATGCTGGAGTCGATGGGAGTTGGCAGGTCAGGACGACAGTGAAAGCCTAACATTTGCCTAATACTTATTTTATGAATTTGATCAGCGTTATTGACGACTACGGTCATTTCTTTAATTGCTCAATTGGGTGCTTTCGCATTCACGGGGGGGGGGGGGGATAGTGGGGGTTCGAAGTCAGCTAATTTTTTTGTGTTTTCTGAAATTAATAAAAAATATTAGGCCGAGAATAATACTAACAATTTAATAATAGGCATGCTAATATTATTTTTAGTAGTTTTGCGAGTGCAAAAATTAACTTAAACCCCGTTAAAAAATTCAGAAGTCGACATTCTGGTCAAAAAATCTTAATTTTTCCAATTTTTTTCGTAAAATTTGGAAAGGTAAGGCTTTTACATTGGTTTTCCTCTGATAACATCCACTAATGTGGAGAAAACTTAATAGTGGTTTTGATTAGTTTTCTAACTGGAAAGGCACCTGTGAATCGATGGCATGCACCACCCCACGTTCGGTTCCGATAACTAGCACGTCGATTGGCGAGACATCGGCTGTATTCTTTTTGATGGCTGTCAAGCAGGTAATCGAGCACTGAACCACGTTTACAGGTACAGAAACGCACTGACCGTATTCTGAAGTGTTTTCTGGCCATAACGATGCACCAGCGCCACCCTGTCGTCCTCACTGGCCAGCAGGAAAGTCTGTGAGGTGGAGGTGAGGTTCCGGAGGAGTACCTAATTACGGATTGCTGTAATAAATCATATGAATAAATTATACCTCTTGTTTAAGGTTGCTGAGTACAGTGTTGAGCTGATTTACCGAAATCTCGCCGGCACCGGCTTTTTGCCAGGCTTCTTCCTCGATCGGGTTCACCTGAAGGACATTTTAAAGGGGTGGCGACAGAAGGAAAATGGACGGAAACGACTTAAACAAGAAAAATAGGCTTAATCTATCGACTTTCTGAGCTCGACTCCGTGGCTAATTGGTAGTGCTGTGCTTACCATTCACAAGTTTCGGGTTCGACTCCCACCCGCAACAAAACCTTTGCTTTCGGTCAAACCGTATCACGTGAATGGTTGATGTCTTTGAACGCCGTTGCGGCTTCCAATGGTACGATACCTTCGAACCAGGGACCGTAAACTTGTAGAAGGGCTTGAGATTCTTGTAGATGAGCAGCGAATGGCCGGATGCGATGGCGACCGATGGTACGGTAGTCTGTTCATTGTGGAAACAGCAGACAGCACCTGGGACTTCGGCAAGTACGGACTCCCCGACCACGCCGACCCCTTTGAAGATGCGGAGGCGCATGTTGATTCTGGAAAGCGGTTTTTTCTGGCGACGAAGCGCATCAGAATGAGAGAGAGAGAGAGAGAGAGCGAGAGAGAGTGAGAGGAAGCGTGAGTGAGAGTGACACAGAAGCGCTGTGCTCCGAGCCAGTACTTTTATTTGAATGAACTGGGCGGCATGATCCCTTTAAATGTAAAAAACGTCAGCAAGACGTTCAACAGCCAGCTGGCACTATCCCTTAAACTATACCTATTAATGCCCATATCAGCGACGATCAGCTTCACATCACCGTCCCCGTTGAGGTCACCCATCGTGACGCATGGCCCAATAGCATGTACCTGGAAATTAGACGCTTTGTGTCAAATTTAGATAGTGATTTGCGACTAAAAACTACAAAATCCTCTAGAGACTACAAAATACTTTGTGGTCGGGGTTACATTTCGTGAGATTTTAGGCTGCGAACTACGATTTCGATAATCGACTACAAACTACAGAAACTTAAAGGATACCAGCCTCAGCTACCCGGAGATAAAACATTACCTACTACCCTGCTCCTCAGGCTCGAATTTTTCGACTACGACCGTTATTCGAAACTTTAGCGTTTCCGGTAATTCAGGCCCTTATGTTTGACTACAGGCAAGAAAATTAAACCAGAAACAACAAAGTACAAACTACAAACCTGTGCGGCGTCATCGTGCAGTGCGTTCACCCATTTGTTCGTCATTTTTTGGGAGTTATCAAGTCTTTTGAGTCAGGTTTTCCCTGCCCCTCCAGAAAAGCATTTTGCGCCCCGTTGCCATGGTTACCGTAGTTTGTATTTTGCGGTCACCCGTTTCCGTCAAAAACCATTTATTCACTTAGACATGGAAAATTTCGCGAGAATTGAGGATCCGGGGAATGAGGAGAAAATTCCGGAAAATTAAGAAAATTTGTTTACAAAATAAAAAACGGAAAAATGAAGTGTCAGTTGCCAGATGGGGGGACTCGTATTTTCAGGGGAAGGATGCGTCTTCTTGTGATCTCATTTTGGGGGGATATGCCGGGGGATCGGAAATGAAAACCTTGGCTTGAGAAAAAATGGGTTTAGGATGCAAAAAATTGATTTATTTAGGCGATGATGAGCTCGGGGCGTTGGCGGAAGAAGCAGTACCTGGAAAAGATGGATTAAATTCTGTTTGATTCGCTGGAATCTCTCTCTCGCCCTCTCGCTCTCTCTCACTCTGTCTCGCTCCCTCGCTCTCTCTCCACCTACCAAATGGCGTGCAGCGTGGCAGGAATAATGAAGAAGAAGATGAGGAACAAGTTGATGATCACGTGCACGTTGCACTCATTGGCCTGAACGGCGACGGCGGCTGGCTGAAAATTCGATTGCGTAATCGTTTCAAGAATACATGCTAGCCCGCCGTCTCGAAAGACTTACTGGGAACACAATAATGAGCACGACAAGGAGGATGAGCTTGATCCAATCGTCTCGGGATCGGTTGTCGACAACGAAAACCTCGCCGGTGGAGACATCAGCGGGCGGACCGGATTTTTCCATCTTTTAGGCTGAAAATATGAATTTAAGAACTTAATTATAGAAAAGGGGAGAGCGTGCAAGAGAGAGAGAGAGAGAGAGAGAGAGAGAGAGCGAGTGAGCGAACGAGAGAAAGACACATTTTCTATACTATTCGGCGGATTTCTCTCCGAGCCGATAACGCGTTAAAAAGCATAATTCACTGGTAAAAAGCGCAACCCCAAATCCGCGGCAGTCTTGTTTACTTGCGCGCGGGCGTGTTTTCCCCGAAAATAATTCGAGGGAAATGGATAGTTTCAGCCCCTCTGCCACCCAGGCTATGAAAAATATTTTTCGGCTGCCCCCAGATGTTGCCCCAAATTTTATGGGGTGGCGGAGCGGAAATGAGTCATGAAGTCACAAAAACAACTGAGTTCGGCTTTGTGAGTAATACAAGAAGATAAACGACACTCACAGCAATCTTTGGGTGGTCAAAAAGCAAAAAATTTTGTGGGCGGCAGGTGTCGAACCCACGACCCATGGCACGGTCTACCTTGCATCTTACCAGTAGGCCACCCTAACAGCAAGGACAGGAGAAGCTAGGGGTATGTAAGAGTCGGGCCACCACTGGACCAGGGCTTCGGCACTGTTTGAGCATTGGGGTGTTAGCAGCATTGATTTGGGAAGTATTACGGTCTCTGAGTCGCATTTGGATATACCTAGCTTTAGTCAAGACTTGGCGGCGGTAGCCTCTATGGTGCAACCTGAATAAATAGAGCGGGGCGCTGGTTGTGGCTGCTGACTGTCTCTGTTTTGGCCTTGTACCATCCCTCCCTCCCCTCGCTTGCATACCCGATACAACCCGATCGATACCCCTAAAGACTGGTGGGGGTGGAGGGCGGATCAAATTTCGAAACTGTATACCGGACACTTTGGGTCAAGTGGAGCGTTTCGTAATATCTGTGCTTTTCCAAAAAAGGGACGGGAGAAGCTTCCATGGTTTCCTTATGGTTTTGCCGCGGCCGCGGCAGCGGCCGGTAGCCCGTAATTTCATTGCGTAATGTATTAGACCCTTACAGCGGCCAAGCGGGGCGTGCGCGTTGCGTGCCGCGAACAAAAACTTAAAGAGTCCATAGCAAAAATCAAAAGTAAGCCTTATCCGTCCCCTTAAAACTTTTAACGGGCCAGGCAAGTCAAAAAAAACTGAAATATGTAGATTATCGATGCAGAAAATGTGTTTTCCTGGATTCGTCTTTCGTAACGAATCGAGGAAATGAAATCCCGGCGATTTTGGCCCGGGCCCAGAATTAATGACGACCCGGGGAGGGATGCCAGCCAGAGGAATGGATAAATAGCAGCCATGTTTGCATTGGGTGGGTCGCAACCAATACGGAAATGCATATATAGACATCGGGACCAGAGCAAGCGATTTTGCAGGCTTGCTCATTCTACTAAAAAAATACATAAATATACAGGGTGTCCCAAAAAAAAACCCCCCCTCGGCATTTGGCCGTCTTCTATCGGATCGGGGCCAAATTTTTACCAGAGATGGGGACCCATAAAAACTATGTGCAGCCAAATTTTCTAAGCAAAATATTGTAAAACCAAAAAGTTATCGCTAAAAAACTGGTTTTTGGAAAAAGCTGGTGCTCGTTTTTGGCTATGTTTTCGCAATTAGCATGCGGATTTTGAGTAATTTTCCAAAAAATGGTCATTTCTCAGTCAGTTTCTGGCAATTTCGATATTAAAAAGTGATCGAAAGGCCCAATTTAAACGTAATTTTCGTAAATCAAAAAATTTCTACAGGTAGAAAAGAGCGCCCTCTTCATTTTTGCTAAACATTTCGAGGCCGAAATCCGTCAAAATCCTAGTGAAATCGGCAAAATTAACCTTAATTTTGATATATCTTCTTTGTTTTACAATATTTTGCTTAGAAAATTCGGCTGCACATAGTTTTTATGGGTCCCCATCACTGGTAAAAATTTGGCCCCGATTGGATGGAAGACGGCCAAATGCCGAGGGGGGGTTTTTTTTTGGGACACCCTGTAGGTATGCGCTTAGGCACTTTCCAAGTTTTTTCGTGAGAAGCCTAAGCCTAAGCCTAAGCCTAAGCCTAAGCCTAAGCCTAAGCCTAAGCCTAAGCCTAAGCCTAAGCCTAAGCCTAAGCCTAAGCCTAAGTCTAAGGGGAATCGTTGGTCAATTCAAGGGAAAATCTGAGCGACCCCCTCCACACTATTGGGCCAGGTGGGGGGCGGGTGGGTAGCATGTAGAGTGCATGCAAAAATGGAAGATAATACAGCAAAAGTAAAGAAGGAAAAAAGCTGAAAAGGAAGTGAACGTGCCGGAAATACTAACTTCAACTGGGAAGCCGTCAAGAATCACAAGAAATGCCAGGATTGAGCTGAAATTGGGGCCATCGCACAAAGAACCCATAACCCTGTCGTTTTCTGGCCGTTCTGGCATCTGGCGGAAATTGGAGCCCCCGGGGGGAAGGCTAGAGAAAACGCGCAATGTATCCAGCAGATCTGGCTGGGGGATGTTCTTTGGACTGGATGCGTCTAAGCTAATAGAATTATTATAGGGTAGACGAAAGATTATTCTATTAAAGGGACAGGAAAGACATGGCCGTCGACTATTTGGGAAGCCGGGGTCTCGTGTCGCGTAGTACGGCCAAGTCTAATCCCTTTAAAACATGAAAACTCCGCAAAATCAAAGAATGGAGCGATCCCAAGTTCAAACCAAGCACAAAATCTCCCGCCTTTCAGAATGCATAGAAATAACTTGTGAAAGAATGGGGGGGTCTGTCGTGGAATAGAAAATACGAGGAGGGGAGGCTGTTTCGTCATGCCCACTTCCTTTCTTTCAATGGCCAAAAACCCCAACATAGTCCTAGAAAACCATCAGAGCTAACAGAAGCCTCCTAGAATTCTAGATCGTTTAGGAATTGGGGCAGGCTAGCAGATATAATTTGGGGGTAGGCAAGCTGGTGGAGATCTCTAAGGAATCGCGGCAGTCTAGCAAAGATCATTTAGCAATTTTCGAGTGAAAGATAGCAGACACCAGTTGGGGAGACTGAACTCTGGCCGGAAATGTTGTCGTGTGTGTGTGAATCGTGGCGTGTTTCGACAGGCCACGCCCCCTTTTGAATGACTCATCTCGCATGCACACACACATCCATTGGCCCAGTTTCCCCAACAATAGCCTCCCTCTGTCTCTCTCTCTCTCTCTCTCTCTCTCTCTCTCTCTCTCCTCATTCACACGCCGATGGGCGCATATTATTATAGGGTATGTGAAAGAGGAGGAAATGATCCGAATACCATGCTACAATGCAGAATGGACGGATGGGCGGAAACTAGAAAAGTAGGCTCGAGGTTTGAAAGGGATCTCTGCTCTCTGCTGTAGTATTTCCGCAAAAATCTTTGCTAGTTTACCAACGAAAAATTGGATGTCGCTTCAATGTTCCTTGAAGGGATCGGGAAGGCATGGGGGGGAAGCCAAAATCCCAATGGCCGAAATCTCTTGATCCAAATACCTCAAAAATTCAAAAACTCGGTGTGCGCAGAAAACGGGAAAAAATAGGAAGAAATGGCATTGAAAGTTTGTCCGGATAGTCCTGAGACTTCGACAAAAGAACATGACGTATTTTGGTTGTCGGAATTTTCGGCGTCGAAATTTTTTCTTGTCGTGATTTTATGAAATATTTATTACTGCAAAAATTGCGGACCCGGGCGTTGCGGATGCTAGGCCAAGACACGACAATTCAGCCATTAAAATAATTTTTGAAAATGTTTAAAATCGATATAACTGCATAGCCACAGAAAATCCGGTAGCATAGAATTTGGAAGAACAATGACTCCGGGCGTTCTCCCTAAGCCGTTCGTGCGGATATTGGCATGTTGCTAGGGGAACAGACCCCCTGAGCACTCAGCCCCCATTATGGATATTAGATGGGGGGCTTACCATCGGTTGAATGAACAATTAAAGGTCCGGGGAAGGGATGAAAATCTGGATTTGGTTGGCTAGGGATTTTTTGGATCGCTAGCGCGCCCCGACACGCAAGGCAGTTCGAGTATTGGGGCGACACGCAACGCACACACACCCGAGGTATCCCTGCTGGATGGTTACGACAAGGTTAAAGGGACATGTAAGGCATCTTGCAAGCATTTAGAAACATTGCAAGTCAGTAAGCACTTAGGCACCTTTTAAAGGCTAGACGTTTAATCCATACCAATTTCACGGCGATAAACTCATTGCCTTGCCTTGCCCGTCCCTTTAAACGTGTTTAATCGCCTTTAGTTTGTAGTTAACATTAAAAAACACATTCCGATAAAACAACGATTTATTCCAAAAACATCAGCAAATGTGCAAAGCAACACGATATTACTGTAGGGGGTATCGAACCGGAATATTCAAGGGTCGGTATCAGGGGCATAATATACAGTTCAGGGGAGGTAGGCCCACCGGCAATTCTTTGGCTAGCACACAATCACCGGCTCCTCATTATCATCAAAAATAACGGGGGGAGAGAAAGACTAGACCGTACACCAAACGACACACGCACAAAATATTGACTATATTGCAATATTTTTTGGGTAAAAAAAGGGTGAAAGCGGAAAAGGAAAAGCTTTGGAATCAACGGGAATGGCCGGTGCCGTTAGCAGAAACAAAAACGTTGGGGGCGCGGGGGCGAAAGTTGCAATCCGATTTTCTGCGGAAAGCCGGAAAAAGCGGAAAATCCGATTTTCACCCGAAACAGCATCCGGGTGCGCACATTAAGGGGAGGAAGAGACGGAGCACAACGGAATTCAGATTAGCATTGACCCCTACACACTTGTACTCTGGACACAACGGCGATTGAGTACTGAAGATGCGGAAGTGGCGACTAGAGGCTATTTTCACACAATATTTCCAGAAAAAATTTTTTGTAGGGAACGAAATTTCCTGTCTATTTTGCCGTTTCGGTCCCTATAGAAAAAGGAGGTACGTTTCTGCTTTAGGGGGGAAGGCTTTTATGCATGGATTTTCTATTTTAGCCTATACAAAACATAAATAATTTTTATACCCTTTTAGGCAGGTTTTAGATCTAGAAAAACTCATAAAAGTTTTAGTATTTCTAAAAATGCAACAAATTCCGACAAAAACTGAGTTTTTTACCTTAAAACACGATTTTTAGATAATTTTTCAATTTTTCGGAGATTTTTCCGTCCCCCCACGTATATAGAAAAGTACCAAAAGGAGGAAAAAGCACGTAATACCGTGGCACAAATCGTCGAATAAAATCTCTAGCGAGCGGCTAAAGCTTTCGAGCGTATAAAAAATACACAAAATACACGCAAATACGCGGAAATACAAAGTACAAAAACGAGTTTTGGGGGTAAATAAGATTGCCTAAAAAACAAGCTGACCAGTGTTCCTAGAGGATTTGCGGGGCGACCCGATTTAGGGAAGTGTGGACTTAAACTGTCGGGGAAATCGGGATATAAGCAAAAAAAATTTCCCGAATTTTCGAAAAATGCAATCGGGCCATCTACAGGATGGGGGCACAATTAAAACACAGCAACATAAAATACACAGAATCTTCGCAATTTTCATGTGATGAGGTGGATTTCCGGTCGCTTCACCGAGAACCATTTTTCCGGGAAACGATTCAATTGGCAATAGCCGCAAAGGGATCGTCAAGCGGACTGGGCGGAATGATGCGTACTTCTTCATTTCCGCGCGCCAAATGGTATTGACGACATCCGCAAGCGGCGCATGTGAAGCACTCGTTCACCAGGTTGAAATTGCCCTAAACATTTCGATATTACAAACAGGTGGTTTCACACCTGATTTAATTGTTGTAGTATATTTTCGGGTACAAGTAGCGGAGCGCGACACATTGAACAGCTTGGCGGGCAGCAGCGGCCCGCGCTGATCACATCGTAGAAGTAGAGGGTGCCCAGGATTAGCGCTTTTCCCGAGAACCATTGGTCTAGAAACGGGGAATTGTCATGACCCTACGCCGCCTTGAATTAACTCCGGTCTTAAGGATGATTTTCTGTAGTAAAATACCTACCTCGTCCACAATTTGAGCACTGCCACTCGGAGAACAGACACCGAGCGCATAATTGTTGGATGTAGCAGCGGCGCTGATCGTACAGTACCTCAACTGGTGGCCCGTAGCGCACGACGGGTGATAGGAAAAATACGCCATCAATCAAGGGGTATCGATCGTACACCTGGAAAGATACGGACGTTTTTAGACACTTTTACCACTACGTCCTTTTCATACGTACGTACTTTTGATTTTCCGCTTATTTTTTGGGTTGAAACGAGCTTTCCTTTATGCCAAAAAGAGCGACAACTACGCTCGCTACTTCGTAAATATAGAATTTCACGTCTGAAAACGTACCGGAATCGCCTTCGTACATCCGACGCATTGGACCTCACGCAGATTGTGGGCGCCGAGCGTCTTCAGAATGCATAAACGCACGTCGTCACCACCCTGAGGGCAGTCGTCTTCCATCTGGAAACGAATAATGTAATTTTTTACTTACAAAAAAAGTATAAAAGGATTATTGAAGTAAAATCGAGTTAAAAACTCACTGAGCAGGTAAAACAGCATTCCAACAAAAATATTCACTCCGTAATATTTATCCTTACCTTGATGTGAATCCCATTAAATTTGCTGAGCGGTATCACGCTCAGCAAATTGTTGAAATTCTCGCGGCGTGAAAACACGGAGCCGTTTTGGCGTACCTAAAAAAATTCGATTAAAATTACCAGTTTTCCACGTACCGTCTCATCCTCAAAATACCAGTGATTCTCCACATTTTTCTTCAGAATCTCCGGGTTCACGCAACATCTGGAAAAGCAAAATACCTTTTTTTCTGCTTTCCCTTCGCGGTAAACAAATTCTGGGGGCAATTATCTTCCAAAAATTGTGCAAAAACACCGCGTTTTTTGCGGCCAAGGGCAACGCCAAAAAAGTGTGGCGGGGTGGTGTTTAGCCGCCCAGCGGGACCATCAATTCGTTTTTTTGTGTTGCGACTGGCTGGCGGGGGAGAGCGCGCAAAATAGCAAACAGATTCTTAGGGTGATCTCCGAAAGGCAGCTGATCAAATTTAGTTGAAAAAATAATTACAGGCCCGGGAAATTGAGCAGATTGAGAATGGAATACTGTAGATTGGAGCAAGAGATACAAAAATGAAGATCTTTCGCACTAGCGGGGGGGGATAGAGAGCCAGACAGAAAGAGCGAGAGAGAGAGTGAGAGAGAGAGATAGAGTGAGAGAGAGTGAGAGGGAGAGACCGAGAGTAAGCCGCCGCTGAACCCCCTCCCCCGCTAAGGAACCAGAACCTTTGCACTTCCTATTTGAGTTTCTCCCCTCTCTCACTCGGTCTCTCTCTCTCTCCCACTCTCGCTCTCTTTTTTCATTCAAATACCGCTTCTAAAGCCTAAAATCTAGGATTTTTTATTTTCTGATTTTTTTCGGGGCTGAGCAACAAAAGTGCAAGAGTGGGTTGTTTGTTTACGAGTCGGCCTCACGGCCATCTTTTTTCTACAGCAGCATTAGAAAATCGAGGGGGCTTGTTGACCGCTCGTCGCTCGCTAAAATGCGCCCCCAACTCGGCAACAAAAGGGCAGCCCGGCCAACTATGGTAATGCTGGTTTGGTGGGCAGGCTAGCAAAGATTTTTGATATTTTTTTTGCTTTTGCAAACTATTAAAAATCTTTAAGAAAACTTTGGCAAAATATCGGGAAAAACCGCTAAAAAATCTACGCCACAAACCTGAGCTCAAATTGTGGCTGCGTCTCCCGCTTTCCCCATTTTTTGGTGCTCGCCGTCGATCCGCTGCGTTTCCGGAACTCGTCGCAGGATTCTGGAAGAAAATGTTGTTTTCTCGGCATAGTTGGTCGCCGGAAGTCGAAGGTCAACCTCTACATTAGGCTCTGAACTACATATACGTTCTAAGTTTTTCCAAAGCTTCAATAGAACTTGTTGAAGATGTTCCCCCTGCCAGGAAAAAAGCTCTGCGGGACCTCTTGCGGCGTTGGGGGGTTGTTTTGGCGCATTGCCATCTCCGTCCCGCCGCACGAAGCCGCCCGGTTTTTATGGAGAGATGCTTGGGGAAAAGCGGTCGTAGGGTTTATGAGTTTGGGAGAAGAAGCGCTACGATTTTTATAGAAACTAAAGTTTAAAGGTACTAAAAAATGGCACAGCGGACGCGCTTGTGTATCATGTGCACTGTTTTTTAACAGCTATCACGAAAAAGTGTCTGAAAAATCCGGCCAAGCCAAAGATTTTTAGTGGTATTTTCATGGCGTAATCGGTCAGCTAGCAATATTTTATTTTTTCCAGAGATAAAATCTATTTTTTCCGTATGTTTTCCGCGATAAACCCAAATACGCAACGGGTTCAAGGTTAAGCCGACCCCTTTGGGGCTGGCTGGGTGTTTTGTTGTTCATGTGCTGGCCGTGTGTGTATGGGGGGGGATTCAGCAAAAGTGCAGACCCTTCCCGAAGACCCAGTCGAAAACATGGCGACCGCGAGAGCTGCGACTGATGAAATGTTCTACGGGGTTCTTTTTAGGGCAGTAAATATTGTGTGGGAACTGGTGGGTGGGTGAGATAAAAACCCTCCAAAAATAGGTCCCACAATCCAAAAAAAAAATAAATTATTCCTTGGGGATCGTTAATTTTTTAGGTTTTTCAAAACAATCGCAACTTTTTTAGCCTAGAAGAAGCGCAGAAACTATTTTTTTCACGTTTTGATATACCATTTTCCCTGGAGATTTCTATAAAAACTTCTTTTTATTGTGGAAATAATGCTAAAATTCGGCAAAAAAATATATTTGGACTGTTTCGAAGCTAGATTTCGCCCCAAAAATGGCCGAAAATCGTTTTTGCGGTAATTTTTAGCACCTGTTGAGATTTTTAACTTTCAACCCTGGCCCCCATCTAGGTCCAATGAGAAAAATACTTTGCATATTCTGTCCGAATCCAGCTGAAAAAAATGAGAAATCACTTCTGTGGAGTGATTTTATAGGCGATATCCACTTCCGGCGCATGCAAATTTTCCCTAACAAAGGTATTTCACAAAAACCTAAATTTAATGTCGAAAATAGTATATTTTAGAAACTCTAATAAGTCGGCAGTCATCTTCAGTCCATTACGCACCTAATGACGTATCGGACATGCCGGAAAGCTTCTTCTCTGAACCGCTAAGAGCGGAACATACATCCGGAAGTGGATGCAAATCTACACAGGACACACACACACTATTTTTTTATATATAGTAGGATAACATATATAAATTGTTTTACACACTAAAGTTCTGCATAAAGTAATACATACTATTAGTGCGTGAATACCTTAAAAACTGGACTCACCAAGCGATTTCTTACGGTAGGTGGCCACCTCGATCATTTTCGGGGTAAGTGGTGGAGGGGAAAACGTCGCGGTAATGTCGTGGATTGGTGGAATGGTGGCTGAAATACCAATACTAAGCTCTACCAAAACCAAGAAAAAGCACCGATATAACTTCGATAACGTTGAAATCAAGGCATATTAGCCGAGATCCTTTAGTAAATATAATCCGGAAAGGCCTGGGCAGGCTAGCATTGGTCTTTGGGGAGGAAAATGGTTCGGTAAGCGAGCAGAGCTCATTTCGGAAGGAAAACCCGGTCAAAAAGGGCAAGAAATGGGTTTTTAAAATCCGACGATCCGCCTAATTGTGATGAAAGACAATAGCTTACGCTATGTAATACTGTCTTGACTACAGAGTGCGCCTATAAACGCTTGTCCGTTCATAGTCTGGTTGGTTTCGGAATCGAGACTAGAAGCTGTTAGATCATCTATCTGTCCATGTGATAATCATACAATTTTCCGATAGACAACAGATTACGCTATACTAGTCGGTTTAAGCTACAGAATACACCTATGAACGCCTCGGCGGTGCAGAGGAGCGTTTCGGAGCCGAGATGAGAAATGGTCATATCTGTCTGTCTGTCTGTCTGTCTGTGTATGGATAGATGGAATGGATAGAAGGGGGGGTAGGGCTAGTAGAGTGACTTGTCTGGCTGGCCCGTCCCGCGCCACCTTGTTTTCCACGGCTGCCACGAGGGGGAAGGACAGAAAAGGGGAGAAGAGAAGAGAGGGCGGGACCCCCTCTTCTTTTTCTTCTTTCCTTTCGTCCCAATCCGAAAAACACCCCCCGTGGCTGGCCATTCCCCCTCTTTCCTTTTTGGATAACACAGACTAAGAAAACCACCCAGCTGATCGCTGATAAGCGTGGCGCCCCTGCAGCCTTGCTGCGGCCTTTAAAGGGACTGGAAAGCGGTGGAAAAAGCGCTAAAAATAGGAACTTTTGGATATGGATTCGCTTAAATTTTTTCTGAGCTCCCCACGCAGCTCGGCGCAGCTTTTCAAGGGCCAAAGTGCCGAAATGAGACAAAATCTGGATTTTTACTCTTTTAGATTCCCTAGAGCATTTTCCGACCCGCAACACGTGACGCGCACGCAGCCTGTAGCATGAACGGTCTTTAAAGGCGGCTGAAAAGCCAAGGCAGCGCGCTCAAAATACGAAATTTCGGGATATGGATTCAATTAGGATTGTTTTCGCGCTCGCGACACGCAACGCGCACGCGACGTTTAGAGCCTAAGCGCCTTTAAAAAGGCCGGAAAACAAGTACGTAGAAATTACGCGCTGCGTTGCGTGTCGCAGCTGGCGTAATTTTAAAGGAAACTCTACCCAAAAGCACCTCTTGGCTATGCCTTGCACATCCATTTAAAATGGCATTTGAGAAAGCTCTTATAATAAAATTAAATTCAAAAAATTAAACTGTGAACAAAAATTTTCAAATATTTCCGCGGAATTGGACCAAAAAGCAAAAAGGTTTGCACCGTGGGAAGGGGGGGCGTGCGGGCGTCGAACCCGTGTCCCTTTACTGAAAAATTCGATCATAACCATTTAACCACACCACCAACGACATAAGAAATCATAAAAATCCTCGGGAAAATATGGTTATTTAGGCCTTGGGGGGCCGTATGTCGACTGGCAGAATGGGGATGTTGGCGGCGGCCAAAGTGAGATAACCGCGTAAACAGAGGCTGTTTTCCAACCGACCACCCCAGTCAGCCAGCGAACGCCTTTTTTCTGGCTAGAGGGGCTGGGGTCTTTTGCCAGCTGGAAGCGGGGCCATTTTAATGGCAGCGGAGGCCCTAACGTCTGCTTTGCTTGATTTTTAGGTTTAAAGGGATTGGCAAGGCACAGCTTTGGATCTTTTTGTCTAGGTGCATATGAAGCATGGGGGTTGCGTGTCGCGCATCTGGAAAGCTTAGAAATCCATAGTTATATTCTTGTCTTGCCCGTTCCTTTAAAGTCCTAAGGAGGCGAGGTTTTTAATGAAAATAGAGTGACCCATCCATTCAAAAGAAGGGGGCATTAATCCGGAGGAGGAGGTCCCCTCGAATCGCCGATGGAGGCCCAAGTGCAATCGAGGGAAGAGGAGGAGGAGGAGAGGAGAAAACAGACAGACAGACACCTCCAAAATATATAACATCATGGGTCTCTGACCGCAAAGTGCATCGGCCGGGCCCTGGAGAAAAAAAAACGCACGCTTCGAGTGATTTTTAAAGTATGGGCTGTTGACGACTATGGGTTGATTTCTAGGCTGCAGGTCCTTAAATTTCAGTATTAAAGGAGCGGGCAAGTCACGATTTAGTTTTTTGAGGCCAGGGATTTCATAGGGATGAAGTCACCACCCCGAAAAGACACTACAGACCTAAACCTAAGCCTCAGCGCCTAAGCCTAAGCGAAGCCTAAGCGAAAATACTTTCCGAAAATATGACGAGCACCTTAAATAAAAACGGTGCGCAGTTGCGTATTTTACGTTCGACAAATTGCAGAAAGGAATAGCTCCAAACTGCTAATTTCAAGCCTTGAAGCAGCTCCGTTCACAGACTGAGAAATACTTGACATTTTCCCACTCGCGAATTAGCGGACGCAAAACCGGTAAAACCTGCAATTTAAGGCGTAGTTTTTGATTTCGACAAAGGGCCTTTTATAGCCATAAATGAACTCAGCAAAACGAAACCCAAAATGATTCTGTCCCGATTTCTGGCGCCAGAATTTCGTCAAAGCGACTAAAAACCAGGTACACGCCCCTATCTCTGCCGGCCGGCTAAATTTCAGGGGCGGATAAATGAAATTAATTTTCGGAACTGTACCTGGCCTTCTCAGCGTCCAAAGGAGCCTCGCGTAGTCGTAATGGCTGGCTGGACCCTTTACTCAATAAATTTTGTGTAGGATGGCGTAGCGTAGCTTAATTTTGTAAATTCCGGGCGTTTTGGTGGCAGTGGGCTTTACCTTTGTATTTCCAGCGTCCGGACGTAACGTAGCGTCGCGTAGCCAGACGAAGTTTTGTCTATATTTTTTCACGTTTCCAAATCCCGGCGGGGATTAACCTGGCATCTCGAAAGGCCACCAAGGGTCCCAATGACCGATTTCTGGCTAAAGAACCAAAACGGAAAGGACAGACCAGTGGAAAATATTTGTCTCGCCTTCGCCCACCCCCCCCCCCGCCCTGGGCTTTTTGCATTTCAGGAGGCGAAAAATATTGTCTCGTTTCGATGGGGCCCCGCCGGCTTGACCTCGGGGAATTAGGGATCAGCTGCAGAGAATTGGTCCATTTGCGTGCTCTAGACGAAACGGAAAGTTATAGAATTCTCAGAAAAGAATTCGGAGGCTAAAAGCCGTCCGTGGTTGAACGACTTGAACTTCTCGCCCCCCCTTGGATACGAATAAAGAGTGTTAGTACAGGCCGTGAAATTGCTAGCGCTCTGACCGCGACCCGTCTACATTTACTTTCTACAAACAGTTTCGCTAAAAAACCTGTAAAAAGCGCTTTCAATTTTGCCCCCAATACATCAGCCCCCTCATACGGGTCCCCGGTGTAAATAGTAGTGTTTTGGCGGTGTGTGGAGTAGTGCAACGGAGACGACAGCAACAAGTAGGAGAAGTGAAGAGGGAGACATTGTTGGTGCGGATGGCTGCCAGGCAGAAAACACGTTCGCTCCCTCCGATGCAACCCGGAGGAAGGGAACGGATGGAAAACAGCCCGCAACCAACTGGTAACCTCTTCACAATACCCCCAAGTGCCATTTTCTAGTGTCTTAGAAGGGGTAATCAGAAAAATATTTATTAAACAAACACCAAGGTATCACAGATAATAATGGTGGTTATTCGTTGCAAAGCCGGGGGCGGCTAAAAGGATTTGAAATCACGGAAATTTCAGCGTAGTCATGAGGAATTTTTGGTGCTGTTTCGTTAGCGTAGCGGGGGAAGACGGACCGAATGTAAATAATTTTATAGAAATTTCCGCACTGTTTAGTTATAAAGCTGCGAAAAAAAATATTAAAACCGGGAAAATTCTTGGATGCCCCTTGCGAAAGAACCAGCGTCGAATTATTTAAAGGAACAGCCAAGGCTTCGGCTATGGATTTCGATTTCGCCGCCCGCGACACGTAACGCGCATGCCGCTTGGCCGCATAAAATTACGCAATTAAAAAGCGAAAAATTTCTGGTATGTCGCTGGGATGAACGGCAAAAAAAACTGACATTTCCGTAATTTCAAAAGCCCCTAAAAGCAAGAATTATTACAGCATATGTACAGGGCAGAAAATACGCACAAATCGGACTCAAGGCTTCTTCTCTTCCTCGGAATCGACCTAAAATGAACCTTTTAAAGCCAAATTAAAATTTATCAGATTGTTTCCTCCTTTTCTGCGAAAAATATAAATATTACAAAAATTCTAAACAAAAAAAAATAAGTCAAACCTCATTCAGCAAATCGCCAATCTCCTTCTCCCATTGCTCGTCATTCTTCCCGGTCTCCTCCTTGACCAGCTCGTAGTCGTTGAGGTCCGCGAGCAGTTCACGTTCCCAGTCCTCATCTACAACTCGAGCATCACTAGCTTTTATTGTCTAATTATGGTTATTCATAACCACTTATGTTTACTCATCTGCCAACCTGATGGCGATCCTTTGGCTTCTTCGTGAGGGCTATCCACTTTTTCATCATGCGATTTGACCTCAAGCTCGAGCTCCTTTTCCGTTGCCTTCGAAGATGACGGTTCCTGAAGCGTGATTTTTTATAATAAACTATTTTCTTTTATCTTTTTTTAATTATTTTCGATAATGTGAATTTTCCCACCTTTTCTTCCGGCTTAACCTCCTCTGATACGGCTGGCTGCACCTCTTCCCCATTTGCATCCATCATTGCCTGCCGGATCAGGTGGATACGGTAGAAATAGTTGGTCCAGAAACGCTCGTCAGTAATCCTAAAAATAGCTTGTTTTCGGTGTTCTCTTCCGGTTCTCACTGTTTTGGGACGAGTTTGAAGCGAATCTGGCCGAGGCTAGGGTCCGTTTCTAGCATCAGCTTGGCCATCGAAGAGATCTGAAAGTAGGGTTTTTCAAAATTAGATCTTTTCTTGTCTTTTTAACTATTTTTTCAGCGGAAAAAACCTTAAACCCAAAAAATGGCATACCTGATTCTCGGTAAAGGGCAGCGTCGAGGGTGCGTCGCGGAGGAAGGTACGTTCTTCCTAAAAAATTCATACTTACGAATCTTGTAATAACTAACCGACGACAAGGCCAACATTTGCTTTTTAGCCGCCACCTGATCCGGTAGATCTTCCCAAGGCGCAACAGCTGAAAAAAGGTACTTTAATCTTAACTAACTACTAGCTCAATAACGCCAGAAATTAAGCGGCAAAAACTCACCATCGGTCAACTTCTTTGAATCCAGCTCCTGTTGAAAGGCCTTCTGCTCGCGATCCAAATCCCCGAAAATCGTCTGAAATTAATGTCACATTTTGCTTTTTTAGCTAACCTTGTCGACAACGGTCTCCTTCATGGCCTCCATGTGCTTCTGAGCCTCCACCGTTGTTTTACGCGCAAAATCCATGAATTTACCTGTAATGCACTACATAGTTTAAAGGGTTGCCGACCGCTCATGTCGATCCCCCCCATCAACAAATTGGCAAGTAGCCAACAGGGTAGAGAGCGCGCCCTGGGGAGAGGCGCAGAGAAAATTTTTTCCAGCGCGTAACCGATTGACTATGCCGTCGGCAGCCCTTTAAGGTGCGAAAAACCCACTTGCAAACGCCATCCCTTGGCTTTGCAGCTTTTCAGTGTCGATGAAGCTGGCGGTGGTGGTGGTTGGGGTTTCAGGTTTATCCTAAACGGCCAGTTGCCATCTTGCATAAATTTTAGCCTACCTGATTTTCCGCAGGTGAAGCTCCTTCTCCTTCTGTTTTTGTAATTGGTTCCTCTCTAAATTAATTTTCGTAAATAGATATTCAAACCTTGGTACTCTCAAATAGGCGGGGGCAATCTGCGTCTCTGCGCCCGCCCTGTTCCCTAGGCACCCCTCTGCCTATAGGCACACCCCCTATTTACTATTTACCCAAGCCTTTGAAAATTAGGTCCATTAAAACACACTTTTCTTCCGTTTCCTGCTTCGGCGGCTCAAAGACCTTCAGCGCCTCGTTGGCCTTTTTCTTTAGGTCATCGAAGAGCCACGCCATCGCTAAAAATGTTCTCTTAACTCTTCCTATTTATTGTATTTAGAGTTTATCCTACTATATATAAAAAAATAGTGTCTGTGTGTGTGCATTTGCATGCAACTTCCGTGAGGTTGTCTCTCACCTACAGCCTCAGGGGAAGGTATTTAGGATACGTATGATACGTCATGGTGTCGAGATGAGTGCACACGAATCAAAGCTTTGAAAAATTACTGTTTTCGTTATTAAAATTGAGTTTTTGTAGAGATATCGGAAAATCTCTTTGTTAGGAGCCAATTTGCATGCGCCGGAAGTGGGGAAAGCCTATATAAGGGGATAGAGGGGTCCTTTTCATTTTTTTGCGATCAAGGTTCGGGAAGAACTATGTGTGCGTTAGACGGGGCCAGGGTTTCAAAGCCGCGAAGCGGTTTTTCAACCCTGGTATTAGCTTAACTTTAAATATTTTAAGCAACAGGGATAAAACATCTATCAAATTTGTTACATTTATTTTCGCACAAATTTCCATTCTTTAAAATCAATTTTAGACTTATTTTAGTAATTAAGGGTCAAAAACCCTTCCTTAAAATGAGCAAAAATTTCCACTTAAAATCCATTTATTAAAATGCCGTCCCCTCGATGCGTGTCACCAGCAAGAAAAAGCAAAGTATAATCACAAATCCTAAAGCTTGTATCACAGATTGGAGTGCTCATCATCCACACAAAAAAGCAACGATAATTGCACGGGTTTGGTTAATCGATGTTAAACACGGGGGAGAAAAATCACAGTGGCCTACAAAAATTATTCCAGGAAAAATACACGGCACACACAGCAGAAAATCAAATGCACACGACAGACGTATTGGCACGTATGGAACAAATCGGATGCTATTAGTGAGCAAGTATTGAAGGCTGAGAGGGGGGGAGAAGCTTCGGCGGGGGATGGATGAAAGGCTAGGGATTACTGGGATAATATTCGTATTGTATAATTAAACGGATCCGGAATTTAAAAAACCTTTAAAAAGGCATTTTCCTCTTAATTTGGCACAGCAAAATGTTAGTCGAATCAGTTATAGCAGTAAAAAAGGTTTGCTCACAAAAAGGGATATGTAGGAAATTTGTAAAACTCGGTGAACACGGCCAAAGTCACGCAAAATATTATGGCTATCGGGCAGACGTTCATGCAAAAAAAATCGTTTTTTGGCTAAAAATCCGGCTTGTCCATCCTCGTCAAAAACTTGGCATTGGGCATGGTGCTGCTGCGGTGGGGCGGTATTGGCGGGGGAAGTTGGACGCGAAGACGTGGGTCCTGCAAGATAGAAAATTATTTGAAGTCCGTAAATATGAAGCCAAAAATCCCAGGAATGGATGTATGGATATCGGCCCGGAACTGTTGTTTACAGTTGCCGATATTTTCCTCGCGTTCCCATACGTGCTTTATTGGGCGGCTGTGGGGGGGGGGGAACAACCCATTTCCAGCCTGGGAGCCCCACAACAAAAATCAACTATGCATATTTACCGTTTTGCCGTTCCGCTGACTACTAAAAAGGGGAATCTTGCCTTCCGCATAGCAGGTGGTCAACTTTTACCTTTCGCTCAGATCTACTTTTCATAAAATGTAGTAGCTAAAATGTATTTGGCTGGGGGATTTGGCTGGTACCCCCGCTAAACGGAAAGCACCACCGACAATTGTTTTTCAAATGTCATTATGGAAAAAAGTGCAAAAAAATTTTTCCGGAAGACGAGAAGCTCAAAATCCTCACCGGTCGCGGGATCGAGCTGAACGAGGCGGAAGTGTGGAAGCAGGACACATCTCGCGCGTAGTCCACCATCGAAGTCAGGCACTTGTCGCGTTCGAGGCGCGGAGATGAGTTGTCGTGGAAGAAGACGTCGGACCACGCCCACAGATGTTCTAAAATTTTAATTTTCTGAAAAAAAACAGTTTTCAGCCTACTTCTAGCCTCGCCACTAGTCGAAACAAGCTCGCGCAGGTAATTCGTCAAATATTCGATCAGAGCCTGTCGATTCGTGTCCAGTTTTGCGATCTAAAAGAATACATTAAATTTTAAAGGCATCCAACCTCTCCCCAGAGCAGCGGCGGGCTTGTGCAATGTTTGTAGCAAGCCGCTCTATGGTGGTCTGGTATTAAAGGATCTTAAAAAAAGTATTTCTAAAAATTAAAACCAAAAATACCTTTAAATGACCCAATCAATCGTAGAAGTACACCGTAAAAAGCCGTTGGAGACATCCGGTTTATCAAAGCTGCAAAAAATATTATTAAAAGTAAGCCATCAGTCTTCACTCAAATCATTCGGCGCGTCATTCTCCAAAGCCTTTCGCACGATGCTGAACTTGTCGTTGTCCACCAACTAAAAAATAAAAAAACTATAATTCCCAGGACTATACCGTTTCCGTGATGTTTAACCGATCGTGGCCCAGCGTGCGAAGCGCCGTCACGAGACGATGAATCTCTCGCGGAACGCCCGGCGGACAAGTGGCATCAATATTTGAGGTCTCGCCCTAGAAATGGAAAAATTAATTAATAAAATTTATTGATGAAATAAATCATCGTTGATTTAACAGAAGAATGCTGCCTAAAAAATTATAAACTCACAAAATCTATCAGCATCGCATGGCTAGGGCTTCGCTTCAGAATGTGCTCCAGCGTCACACCAAAGACCTTTGGCTTGTAGATGGCGCTGGCCGTGATGAAGTGATCACTAAAACAGATTATCACAGTGACAAGCGCCTTAAATTACCGTCCACCCTCCAGCCGCAACACCAAAATATCCTGGAGTTTGTCTTGATTTTTGGAAAACGCCGACCACGATTCTTTATTCTCGATGGCAGCCGTCAAGGAGATCTAAAACTATCATCAGAAACTTCTGAAGCTGTAAACCTGCATCTCCTCGCCTGGATTCAGCGTATAATTCAACGGTGTCACTTGCAGCCATGCCGCGCTGATCGTCGATTTTGTGTGCGGTGGGACAAAGCTGGAAAAATCCAAAACAACTTGACGTACGTCAGATTTCTCACTTCATCCTGACGGTCGATTTTCCGACGTTTTTGATGGGCACCACCATGCAGATCGGCTCCAGATAGAACACCTCTCCAAAGTCAATCTGAAAAAAAGCGATATAAACGCGGAAAAATCTTACGTCCGTTAATGTCAGCTCAATTTGCGGAAGAAGCTCATTGGCTCGGCGGTCAACCTCACGCTGGGCTTGAATGTAGAGCCTAGAAAATCACACGTAATCTACGTCGTAATAATGTGGCACTTACTCATCGGCCTTCACTTGATCCATCTCACGTATCCCCACGTGGAAGAGGGAATATACGGGCTTGTGATCGGAAACGATGACGCTCATTTGGGAGTCGTATCTAAAATACAAAATCCCTTGTATAAAAATTCCTAATTACGATATTTGGTTGACATTCATCAGAGGGTCGCGCTTCTTCCACAAAATTCGGTCGGTCCATGCGGGGACTCGAGCCTAGAAAGTAAAAATAAAATGCTTGAAACTTCCGGTAATCCATCAAAAAGCCGTAAACCGAACGCATCAAAAAATGGGCTACCTTTTCACTGCTATCCCACATACACGTTCCAACATCATACTTGTAGGTGGGCCGAAATTGGGGTACCGATTCCCGGAATCCAATAAACACCCGTCCTGCGCTCATCTCGTTGAACAACTAAAAAATGAAATTAGTATAAACTACATTTATCCTCTTTTAGGAATTTAAACGACCCGCGAGGTCGGAATTACCTGATCGTACGGGAACAAATCAGCAGGCCTAGTGTTTGCCCGTTCGATAACTGCTGCCTAAAGAAAGTGACTAACTTTCAAAGCCCTAAACACAAACCCTTAGAGAAAACGACTCGACGCCCTCCAGCGCCAACCGATAGTTCAGATCGCCGCACCAGAATACGACGTCGTGGTCAAAGAGGGAATAGGTATTGGGGTATCGCCCAAATACCAGTCCGGTGATGTCGCTAAAAAAAGCAGTTTTTTTTAATTCGTATCACGTTAAGAATTGTTAATGTTTATTGCTAACCGATGGTCCTGATGCCGTCTTTCCATTTCACCATTGCCGGCCGCTAGATGTGAATTGATGAAGCATATCCGGGAATCGTTCATTTTCACCGAAATCCCGACACCGCCCTGCAAAAATCAGAGTTGGACTGTTTCTCTGTGATAAATTTACGAGGATTTATAGTAGTTTTACCTTATTGCCGAGCTTGGTGCCCATGACGGAGATGCCGGTGGGGAGCATGCTGGTGAACTCGTCGGACAGCCTCACTTTCGTGTCGCTGCTCTTGAACATGACGATCAGGATGCCCGCTAACCGATGGAAGGCAACCTGAAAAGAAACATATAAAAATATTCCGAGCTATATTCAACCGAAATATTCGGCTCAAAATTGCCTACCAGCGTATGACCATGCCCTTGTTTTGGTAGAGACGCCCGGACACATTCCAACCACTCGTGCTCCCGCTTCGAGCTGCTGCTGATGTGGGTGCCGAGGGAGAGGTCCATTTCTTGGAGCCTTAGAGAAATAAGATTTTTTCAATGAATAAATTTTTACCCAATAATGAAAAAGTCCGGGCGAACTTCTTGAGGGATCCATCCGGGGATGCCATGGTGCGGTGCGGGCCTCCCGTTGACATTGAACGTCGAGATGAAGATTTTGGCATCGTTGTAGACGCAAAATCTGGAAATATAGCCGTTAAACAGCAAAAATAACAAAAATCCAATATTTTTGCTGTTGCATGCATTAAAGAGCATCACGAGAATCCCCGGAACGTGTGCCACCGCGAGGATGAGAAGAGAGAGTATGTGAAAGAAGAGGCGCAGAGCCACGTGGCTATGGGTCACCTATGGGTCGTAGAAGCGTAAGAAAAGGAAGAAAAAATCGTTTTGAAGAAGGTCGAGATATAGAAAATAACAAGGAATCATTTTCAGGTGATGTTGGAGTTTTGCGATGTGATATGGCGCATTGTGATAAGGTTCGACTTCTGAACAAACTCCATAATTTTAGAATTTCTGAGCAATGACAGTTTTCGAGATAAATTGCTCCGGAAGGTCTAGTTTTGCTCATTTTCGGCCCCTTCTTTCCAAAACATTATCCCTGAGAAAAATATTCTGTAAGAGCGTTATCGTTCAGCACGTTTGGAGGGCTACACGCCCAAAATTAGCGGCAATAAAGGCCAAGCAACGCGACGCCCATCGTCAAGAAAAGTATGGGGCCTAAACTTTGGAGGCTTATATCTTGAAAGATAAGACCAACTAAAAAAGCGTTCCAACATAGAATGGGAGACGGCGAGTCAATGATACTAAGAACAAAAACGAGCAAAAATACAAAACGAAGGCGATTTATCGTTGAATTTTCTGTGATGTGCCGGGCTTTGACGGGTCGTGATGGGTGTAGCGAACGGTCCTGGGAATGAGATAACCTGGTGAAAACCTAAAATGCTTATAAAAATCTGCTACTCATGTTAAGGCTTCCAGATACCAAAATTCGCCTTTTTCGGGCACAAAACTAGCTACCGGTCAGGATGCCTACATACCAAATAGCTGAGAAAATTACGAAAAAAGTCGAGCCACCACCTTTGTCACAAATAGAAAGAAAGGAACGCCTGGTAGTGATTCATCGCCAAATTCATTTTATTTCACTTATCTTTACATTTGCCGTCCGATTACCCACTAAAACATTCGAACCGAATGTTGCTTGCCGTCGTGGTACGTACGTGCCGTGTAGCGCCCCGTAGCCTTCGCCTCAAATTGCCGAAAATCTATGCACCTGAATGGGCGTGGCTAGGACCCGCCCAGAATTTCAGGCTTTATCGAATCAGCAATGCGAAATCGCAAATTCCAATATCCCCTAAAAAATATCCCTTCCAATATGCTGTTACTTTTTTGTACTCCTTGTGGAGGCGTTTATGAATTAATTACTGGAAGAGCCAAATCCCACCAAACTTCATAAAACCAACTTTTCCGTCCAATCATTCATCACATCGTCGACGGTCGGCTCCCGGCCCCGAACATATTGTCGACCCATGCCTTCTGTATAGAAGGTCATGGCGCCGCCCGCCTGAATATATACCTTTCTGATGATCAAGAATATAAAGCAACAAATCAGAAAAATAACGAAATGTAACAACTTGGAAAAGCCCGCGACTAGCAAATGTTTGAAGGTTCGGACAGCCGCATTTGCTTGTAAACTTTGTATAATAATAATCAAAGGGTTAAGCGATGCATTAATGCCCAGTATTTAGTAATAGAAGGTATCAGAGCATACCTCACAAGCTAAATTAGTTTTTTAGGATCCATATATAAATATAGTGATGCCATATCACTGATGTTTCGGCCTGCCGAAAAAGCCTAGTCAAGAATTCCGCTAACGAATATTCTCTACTTTTGCACCAAATGCTGTCTGGATGATGTGAAATAAAATGTGATGCCGACACGCTTTGCCGATTTTTTGTTTTGCATAAATGAACAACGTTTATTTTTTGAAGAATGTGTAACCGTCAAACAGCAATTAAGCATCGATGAGACCATTTTGGTTTAGGATAAACGGCGAGAACAAACTAAATAAAATAAAGATAGAGAGAGTGAGGGAGGTGAATCGGGCTGAGATTTGAGACGCAGATACTTTTGAGGAGGCAACATGAGAAGAAGACGTCGAGGAGAGCCCGCTCTAGTAGTGACCGGGAGTATCGGGGAACAGCTCGACGTATCGGGAGCCTGCAAAAAATATAGATATAGGGATTTGTGGAGGCGCGACAAAACGGCAATAAAGTGCTCATGCGAATTCGACCGCGTGCCGACCAAATCGATCGCCCGGGCCACATCTTTGCGCGCAAAAAAGGCAAAGGTAAACATTGGGCTTATGGGGGTGCTGACTATCAGCTAGCCATAAATCGAAGGTCCCAAAAGAAAAGCGCCCACCACCGGAAGTGACTGCGCAACGAATAGCCAGAATTCAAAAGCTAAAAATTTGCGCGCCAGGACGTTGGTACTGGACTGTTAGCGGGGGGGGTAAAAGAGAAGCTAACTTTGTTTCGTCGTTCCGTAAGTTCCCTAAAGAAATACAAAACATTTCTAAAGCTTTTTGCGCCGTTTGTAGCATAGAAAACTCGCAAATATTAAGCTTTCCAAAATATTGATTTCTGAGCAAAAATGGTGTAAAATATCTAAATGACAACAACAAAATGATTTTGTTAATATATTTTATTTCTATAGATAAACGTGCTAGGCTCTTTTGAATAACTAAAAACCATAAAACACCCTATAAAACCAGATCACCCCCACTGCTAACAGCCCAGTCCCCGGGCCTTATCGTAAATCAAAATTTACCCATATACTCCTTGTCCTTCCTCAAAGCTTCATCGTACGCCGAACGGCTGCCAAACTCGACACGGGCTTCGCCGGCGGCTCGTCCATTGGACTCGAAGAGGATCTCGACGTTGGTCGGGCGATTCAGGCCAAAGAACTAAACAAGAAATCTTGCATTACATTATAAGCTTACATCGTAAATCTCAGCCTCGGTGGCCCGGAACGGAATGCCACGCATCTTCAGCACGAAACGACGATTACCGCCGCCACCGCCGGCCGGGGCTTGTCCACGCCAATTCTCGTAGTTGCCCTGCTGGGGGGCAAAAGCACCAGCCGCAGCTCCACCACCATATTGATCATATCCAGATCCTGAAAAGTTAACTTATTGACTTTGTCCTTTTCCTAAATCAGCAATTTTCGGTTTTGGGGACATAATGTCACATATAACATCCAAAATCGACAAACATAACTTTCGGGACAACCCTCTTTTCTAAGCAAATGCCATAATTGCCCCTTCAGAAAGAGGTAAAAAAAACTAAACCTATCGGAATCTCGGGAAACAGAATCAAGAATTTTCAGAATCCTGGGTTTATTTCGCCCCTGCTAAAGACCTCCCCGCTAACCGTCCAGTACCAAATTTTCGAGGTTCCGAAAATCCCGGATTCTGAAAAGTCGTTATCCTGTTTTCCGAGGTTCTGACAGTTCCCAGCCAAAAACCATTCCCCACCTCTAGCGTATGCCGCCCAGGGGTCCTCCCCGCCCCGCCTATAGTCCCCTCCATAAGCGGGTGCCCGATCGTATCCATATCCGGTATCGTAGCCGGTATCGTAGCCTGAGCCGTATCCCGAAAAGTCCATCAAAGGTCGTGGACCGGCGCCGCCGCCAGACTGAGCCCATGGCTGTTGATGACCCCCGCCGCCGCCTCCGTATCTTGACGCGCCCGCCGAGGGGCGTTCGTAAGGAGATGGGCGTCCGCGCGGCGCGTAGTAATCGTCCCCGTGGCCCCCGGCGCGTCCCATCGGTCCCCCGGCCCCGCGACCGGATGATCCCCAACTATCTTCGTCCGGGTAACCGCCCACGGCGGCCGACATCTCGTCTTGGGTGGACTTGAATACCTCGATGTACCTGCAAGTTAAGCCCAATCTACCGGAAACTGTTCCCATGGTCAATGCGGGGCTCCCGAGATACCCGGTCCGTCGGGGAAGTCGCGGCGCTACCATGGATTCTCAAGAGAGTTTTCATTTGCAAGAAAAAGAAAGACATTTTTGGTACTTGTGTGGTAGCGGGTATTCAAGTTGCTTTCCTACACAAAACAGTGATTTTTGCAGATTTACGTTAAAGCTTTCATTTATTTGCTCATATAACCCTAAAAATTGCCTTGCTCCCCAAGTAACACAGAAGCACCATATTTTTAAGTTCGTTAAAAAGATCCCAAAATCCGGTAGCGCCACGATTCCCCGGGAATCATCCCAAAGCCAAAAGGCCCATTTGTGCCACCGGTTCCCGCAAACCCCGTATGAACACAAGGAAATTAATTGCAACATTGTATACCTATGCTGGATGTTCTTGTGGTCGTATTTGAGGGCTTCTTCGGCCGTCTCGCGATCCTTGAATGCAGCATAGGCTTCCCCAGCTCCACGAGGGCCGCTGCGGTTCGAAGGGAAGGCGATTCCCTCCTTCAAAAAAAGACAATAGAGATCAGGAAGACTTCAACTCACGGTAGTAATTGGCAGTGGGGAGAAGAAGTTGACAATTTCCTTCGCTTCGGCGCCGAAGGGGAGGCCGCGGAGACGAACGACGTATTCACCTAAAAATGCACGGATAATATGAGAAATTCGAACAAAACATTCAGTTAGACGACCCGATGCTTCCGTGTTAGCGGGGAGCAAGACAAATTTTTCGATTCGACCTATACATACCTAGTAATTAAATGAAAGATGTTTTCAAATGTTTTTAGCCCTTTCCGATCGCCAAATAATTTAGCACGTTTCCTGTTATTTAGTATTTTACATTCATCTGTGCAATGCTCTGAAAATTGCTTAAATTTAACCACTTCCCTCCTAGAGCACCTGGTCAAAGGATTGCCTTGCTCCCCCCGCTAACACGGATGCACCGTGAACCCTTTACCTGATGGAAGGGTATCGGGGGCAGTGAAGTTTTGAGCACGACGGGCAGACACTCCCCAGCCGCCGGCCTTTGATGCGCGTTCGACGATGTCCTTGTCTTGCGGAGTTCCGGGGAACACTTCGACGTATCTAAAAAACAGCACTACTTATTTTAAATCAAAATAATATAAAGCCCAAGATCCTCACAAAAACCCACCGAGATCCCATGTTTTCGCGGTCCTTCTTGAGCGCGTTGTCGTATCCCTCCTGGCTGGTGAAGACGATAAAGCCCTCGCCGGAGGGGCGGCCATCACGACCCATCGGCAGGGTGACGGATTGGATGTCTTTGTCTAAAAAATACAGAATGTGTGGGTTTCAGGTCGTTTCAAAAGCCAACAAAAGGCTGGTACTATTCAAGTTAGGGGGGGCAAAATTTTTTTCGAGGTGATTTTTGGGCTACTTGTTAAGTTTTTCGCGGCCAAACAAGCGCATTGCTCTACTTCTAAGCTAAGCTAAGCCGAAGCTCAGCTAAATCCAGCTTGAACAGAGCTAAACCGAAGCTAAAAACCGCGAAGCTAAGAAAAACTAAGCTAAGGCGAGAGTAGTTCGCCCCGCCCAGAAGCTAAGCCTAGGCTTCGGCTAAGCTAAGCCTAAGCCTAAACTAAGCCAGTACTAAGCTAAGCTACGCCTAAGCGAAAAGAAAAACTAAGAAGAATGGCTGAAAATGACCCAAAAAATTTTGCCCCCCCGAACTTGAATAGTACCAAAAGGCTGGCTAAAAACGTACCTCCAATCCATTCCCGCAACTGACTTTCGGTGCAGGCAAAGGGCAAGCCCCGGCAGCGAACCAGCAGCTCCTGAACCATCCTTCTGAAAAACAGATATTTTTAAAATTTTAAAAAAAGCAGAAAAGGACGAAAATAGGAAAAGTAGGAAAATTCGTATTCACCAGAAAAATCAATCCGATAGAGCTAGAAAAATAAAGATTTTTTCCGGCGCTATTCTGTTTCTAGCAAAATCTGAAGAATATGAAACTTCCAAAAACATGGGGCTAATTGAAGATCGCGGGATGCGTCTTGCTTGGGTTTGAACAGTCAATACATTCGAGGCGCCAGCGCATACGGTGTCTGGGGCGCCGCCCTATCCTACATCCCCCAAATGGCGCCTTTTCAAAAAGTCTTAAAAATAAATGAAACTAAAGAAAGACGAAAAAGACAAAGAAAGAAGAAAGTAAAAAACCAAAAAGTAAGTAACGCCGAATAAACGGGTAGAAACGTCACCATGATTGCCGATTTCGATGCGGTCATCTTTTCAAAAAGTAAAAGCCTTACAAGCCAAATAAAGGGAAACTAAAGGACGATTATCAAAGAATTATCAAATTACCAAACCTATGCTCAAGACCTAGAAAAAATCGTTTCTTATTATATTTTTGATTAGGAATTAAATAATTCTTTTTTGCTTCGATAAATTCAAGCCGGGTACCTGAAATACGGTACTCGGGCTTTCTACCAAACCTTTGCCCAATTTTTTAAACTTAGATGAAAAATCAAAAAAATTTGAATTACGTTATAAATTAGAATGCGCATTTTCCCTAACAAAATCGAATTTTTGTAGCTAAACATTTTTAGCGCGCTAAATGATGCACACTTTATACTCATTTTCTATTGTACGGTCAATCGTATTCACCGATTTCTTAAGATGAACAGACAGGTAAGTCTGAGAGGGGCCTGAAGCTAGAAAATACTGTTTAGAAATCGATCTCGCCACCGTTTCGACGCCATTTGGAGAATCTGCTGGCGGGCGGGGCCCGGGTCGTGTCCGTGACGGTCGAATCCAAGGGGGTCAAGCTGGTTTCGGGCCTTACTGCCGCCAAATCTACGCAAGGTACGTAAAAAGTGATTTTTGGGTGCCTTCACATTATCCGGGGGGAGGTAACTTCATATAAATTGTTTTAAAAAGTGGTTTCGGTAAAATACAACTATTACAACTAGAAAAACTATCTGAAAAATCAAAATTTTAAAAAGTCTGTATAATCGATATTAGTGTATTTTTTAATCATTTGTAAATTTTTACGTCTAGGAATAGCAACAAGCCGTTTAGATACACTTCTACTATTTATATTTGAAAAATTAGAGCCTAAGAAAAAGCAGAACCCCCTCCGATAATGCGAAAGAACCTTTTCTACAGTCCTCGTTTTAGAACGTACACCGGATACTTCGCAAGACAGCAAGGACTGGCGAAAGAATGTATTCTAATCAATACTGTCCTAGTTTCGAATTTAGCACCGCAGCGTCTCCCCGCCTCGCTGCCAGAGGTCGGCCTGTAGAGGGCAACGGACTCTTTCCAGGTTTGTAAGCCTTGTTACTATCATTTTGGCAATTTTAGGGAACAGTACGAGGTGAGGAAGCAGGAGCTGAACCAATGCGTCGCCAACCTGGACACGTCGGCTTCGGACGACTCGCGCACCGACGAGCTTTTCCCCTCGGCCCGCATCTATGACCCGATGAACCCGACGCGCGGGGTTAGCCTTTGTGATCTGCAGGTCGGTCAAATGATTATACGGCTAATGGCGCTGCTTTTAGAGTGAGATGAACGATTCGTCGAGTGTGGGCTTTCCGGTCGCCAGCTCCACCAAGGTGGGCGTTTCAGCACTTGTCTATTAGCAGGGGGCGGGGGCAAAGTTAATAAACTCTGTTAAAACGGCAAACAATTTTTCATTTTGTTTTTGAAAAGGTTTGAAAGTGGTTAAAATTTGCTCTTTTTGTGATTATAAAAAATTGAATGCTTGAAAATTGCTAGCAATAGCTAAAAACGCTAGTAAAATTAAGCAACGAAAATAAGATTTTAAACAAAAAATTAAGTGAACTTAACTAAAATCCGATTATTTCAAAAGTCTTGCTTTGCAAGCTGAAGCAGAAAATATTTACGAATTCCCGGATTCCCTTCCAGATCCATGACGACGAAGACTCGTCATCAAATCGGCAGCTGAGCACGGTGCTCTCGCGCGACTCCATCTTCACCATCACCGAATACGAAGCGTATTATCAAAATCGCCGTTAAACGTTAAACTATTTCAAGGAAAATAGTAATACATTTATTACCCTCACACACACCCGTTCACATATATTCCCTTTCGACAAACGAGAAAATATCAGCCGCGAGCGAATGGGCGTCCTGCAGCGAATGGAACAAACCGCCTTTTGGCAACGTGTTGTAACGAGTAATATTGTGGAACTTATGGCCAAGAAGGGCTCGTGAGGTGCGGAATGGCGCATCTGGGGTCTGACAGATTGCGGTGGGTCGGCTTACCGTGGCCCTGAAAAATATAAGATTTTTGGAATTTTTTTGAGAGCTTACAACGCCAGCTGGCACCGATCCGGATGTGATGATGAGTTCTCGAGGAAACGAAGAGCGTGTGGAAGGCTGTCCGTCAACCAATAGAGCGCAGACTAAAAGCATTGTTCGATTCTCAAATTGCCCGTGTTGCCCACCTCCGTTAGTAGTTCGTCTACCGTATACATTTGGTTCAGCTCTTTCGTGCCATTTCTACTGTAATCCGCCCAGCGTGCCATCAGATAGATGAGCTGGCCTTGGGGAGAATTGTGAAGGGCGACCCCTAAAGTTTCTAGGCTAAAGCGGGCTCTTGGATATCGAAATCCGGTTATTTCGCATTATCCGGGTCATAGGTAAACTTCCAAAAAATTTTCAAAAAGAGTCCCCCTCCCCCCGATAATGCAAAAGCACCGAAAACCAGAATTTACCCAACGAAAACCTACCCAAAGCATCAGCGTTCTTGACTTGCAGAAGATGAGCGATATTCTGCTGCTCCAACAAGCCAGTTGCTTCCCGATCTTCATCCCTCAACCATGCAAAAGAGGCCAACACCGATTGAAGACCCGTCTGGAGATCGCACAACGGCGGAAGAATCGGGTTCGAGAGGTGCAAGCCGCGCACTTGCTAAACTTTTAAAAAGATTTGAAATCAGATTTTTCTCGTGGTAATTCTAGCCTTTTACGTACTTTTGGATATAAAGCTCCCATCGCTGCAGCCACATCAGTCCCCAAAATCGAGCCTCCGTGGATGAAAGCGGATGTAATCTCCAAGCGTGTCAATAGTTTCGATAAGATTCGGGCCGCTTCGGCTGTCCACAAGCCTAAAACTATATTCCAAGAACAGAACCATCAACAAACCTAAAAAAATTGAAGTTTTTGTCAAAAATCGGTCGTTCGCATCGCAAACCGAAATTTTTTTTCGAGGTTTAATAAAAAAGTAGTAACGTTTTTACGCTTAGTAATGGTAAAAAACATGTAGAAACACTGCCTCTATTTATATTAGAAAGATTGATTCCTTAGAAAAAGTTTGTCCCGACCCCTGATAATGCGAAAGAGCCTTAAAAAACTTACCGCTTCGAGTAGGCTTCTCCGACCAAAGAAATCCGGGTAACGACGGGACAATAACGTCAAAAATGATCGTTTCCCGGACCCCAAAATCGAAGCCGTGTCGGCTAGGGTTAGAAAGGAACGGAATAACCTAAAACGGGGTATTTTTGGCCCATTGCCGGTTCCTTACCTTATAAAAATGCCAGAAATTGCCTGGAAATCCGTGCAAAAGCACCAACGGCACCACCAGCTTTCCATCGACCGGGGGAAGCGCTGGCCGGAGATAATGCATTTTCAGACCTTCGATTTCGGTTCTAAAAATTTATATACATGCGAGAATACATTAATAAACATAACAATAATAATAACCCTCACCTATACTGCTTGAAGGTGTTGAGGAAATATTGATGTTGCTTCCAATCAAATTTCGCCAAGTTTTCGTCCAGCAATTTTTTCAGCGACTCCGAGATTCCGTGATTTCCGTATGGAAGCGCTGGCAAACGGCGTTCGTTCTTGAAGCGCTCCTGAAAAGTAAAATTCGCTATTAAAAAAATCAATTCTGCTACCGAGTTTTTGTTTTAGTGGACAAAACTACATGCTGGTTCAACTCATGCTAGATGCTGGTTCTTTAGGATTTCCGGGGGGTAACCAAATTTTTTCGGCACAAGCCTAAATTTTTTATAAATAGCGCATGCGTTTCTAAATGGTTTTTAACTATTCCTGAGCATAAAAACTACCCACATTTTAATTACAAAAATTAATTTTAAGTCGATAAATCCTATAGAACCTTTGGATTAGCGGGGGGGGGGGGAACCAAAATGACTAAATTTTCGACTTTTTCAAATATTTTTCTAACTTTTTTTTGGAGGGTTTTTCTACTTTAAATATAGTTAAAATTTACTAAAAACAATGTGAAAACACTTTATATTTGATTACTAGGCCAACCGGGAAAACCAGGAAAAATTTGGTCCCCCCGGAAATCCTAAAGAACGGGATTCTGAGCATATGGGGAAAAAAGTTGGTCCCCCGATAATGCTAAAGCACCAAAAAACTCTGACTTTACCTTCCAATCATCCACCACATCCGGCGAGACATCAATGGCAAACGTTTCAATCGTACGATCGTCTTTTCTCGAATCGCCAGCTCCGAAATAACCGGTCTAAAAAGGATTACCGCAAAATCAAGCGCATACCTTTTCAACTTGAGGCGGCGCTCGTTCGATTTGTTGATTAATTAAATAATTAATGCCCAAAAGCGGTAATAACGCTAACCCGATGTAGGTTAATGAAAACATAACTGATTTATATAGTTTTTAGGAAAATTTCGGAGGGATTGTGTCTACCTCAAACGAGTCGATGGGGGCACGAGCGAGTGACCAGTCGTCTCGACCGGTATTTACCCATTGGCCATTGCCCACTCGGGCCCTCGGCAAATAGTCTTTCTTGCGAGACAGCCTAGGATTAAAGGAATCGTGCCAGTTCGCCATGGGGCACCGTGATAATTTGAATGGTTCTGGTTCGTTAGCGGGGGGGGGGCGAGAGGCCAACCCCTTCAACGAACCAGAACCATGGAAACACTGTCCGAAAAACTTGAAAAATGTTTCCAAAATTCGTAATCTTGGCAGAAAACCGCCCATACCTGGCCGAAAAATCGGTATTTTTTGTTAATTGTTGTGTTGATAATAAACAATTTCGAAATCCGTCTTCCATAGAAAAACCGATTTTAAGAAAACAGTTTGCTACACCAGATAATCCGAAAGCCCCCCATCACGATTCTAAAATACCTTATATTAGCATAAAACTATAAAGTTAACATTTAGCGCCATATATCGCGCATCCGCTTAACGCTCTCATTATTCCGATGGGCGCCGTCGACCCGTACGATCTGGTCAGCCGCCTGCTGAATGCCACCACACCCGATAAGGGCATCACAAAGACGATCAAGGAAGATGAGCTCCTCTCGCTCTGCGGTTTGCACAATTTTTTACTAGTTAAAAATTTGGTTTAGACCAGGCAAAGCAAGTCTTCCAAGGCCAAGCGTCGTGCCTGGAGCTGAACGCCCCGGTCCGGATTTGTGGCGACATCCACGGGCAGTACAGCGACTTGCTTCGACTTTTTTACAAAGTAAGGCGCGGTTCTTATGTATTATCGGGGGGGGGGGACTAGTGTTAGTCAGTTCTTTATCGTGTTTTTCGTAAAATTTGACTATATTTCGAACGGAAACCTATCTAAAGATCAAATTTTTGGTGGAAAATACTATTTTTTTTAGTATTTTTTTTTGCAAATTTTAGAAGTTTTATGAATAATAAAAAACGGCTCAAGTCTAGGAACCCCCCAGCCGACTTTTCAACTTTTCTACCTTCCTTATTTTTATTTTTCACTACTTTTTTCGACTGAGCTGCAATGTAGTCTTACTAATTAGCCTACGGCGAACATTTTGATATCCTTTAGAGCTCGCTAGCACAACGGGGGGCCGACCTACAAAAGTTGGCGCCGGCTGGGGGGGGGTTTTCTAGACTCTTACCTAAAAAACAACGCAGAAACACTTGCTCTCTTTGTTCTAGAAAAATCGATCCTAGGAAATAACTTCTTCCCCCTGATAATGTAAAAGCACCCAAACTTTTAGGGCGGCTTCCCCCCGTCGGCCAACTACTTGTTCCTTGGCGACTACGTGGATCGGGGCAAGCAGAACCTTGAAGTCATCACGCTCATGTTTTCCCTAAAGGTTGGGGAAACTTCAGGACGACTAACGCAGCTATTAGGTACTGTTTCCGAAGAATTTCCACCTGCTTCGCGGCAACCACGAGCTGGCCAACATCAACCGCGTCTACGGCTTCTTCGAGGAGTGCAACCGGCGCTACTCGTCGACAAAGCTTTATGAAGCTTTTCAGGTATGAAACTGATTTTCTGGTCTTTAAAAAGCTTCCGCAAAACCTAAAATTGGTAAGACTGTAAATACCCGAAGTTTTGTATGTCGGCTCCATGTTAATCTACAGGCGTGTAAGTATACCGAAATGTTCGTCTTGCTCTGGCGAGCATTTTGATATACTTTACAGGCCTTAGGGCAAAGGGGGAGCAGAGATACAAAAGGCTACGGTCGGCTGGGGGGTGGTGGTTAGCCCTAAAACTCTCAGCTTTAACAAAAGTCATCGTTTAGGACACGTTTAACTACATGCCCTTCACGGCGGTGGTGGGCGAACGGATCCTCTGTATGCACGGCGGCTTGTCCCCGGATTTGGAGTCGCTCGAGCAGTTGCACAACATCAAAAGGTGTGTCTATTCCGGAACAGCCCTGACTTCATTTAGGCCAGCCGAAGTCAGGGATGCATCGCTAGAAATGGACCTTCTGTGGTCGGACCCCGTTCTCAACTTATCCGGCTTCGAAGTAGGCTGAAAATAAGCTTCGATTCAAGCTTCCTTTAGAAAAACAGCCGCGGTGCCGCGTACGGGTTCGGCGGAGATGCTGTTCAGGCCAAGTGCACGAAGCTCGGCGTCGATCTGGTAGGGAAATAGCTGCGCAGTTAAAACTTTCTTAGATTGCCCGCGCTCACCAGGTTGTGCAGGATGGATACGAATTCTTTGGCAACAGAAGGTAAGTTCCCGCATATACCTCGAGCTTCTCCTTACAGGCTCGTCACCATCTTCTCGGCGCCACACTACTGTGGCCAGTTTGACAACGCGGCCGCGATGATGGTCGTCGATGAGTCGTTAAAGGTATGGGATAAAATAGCTATCAACAAATATGGTGCTCCTTTTTTAGTGCTCCTTCGAAATCTTGCGCCCCACCATCGGCAAGGCCGGTATCAAGATGATCCCCACGTCGCAATAGACCACCGCCGCTTCCTCCAGCGAAATTAAACGACTGTCCTACTTACATTATGCATGAATCGACTAGTTTTGCGTGTAAAAGCTTGAACAAATTCGTAGTAGCTGTGACTATGTGGATTGCTGTCAATAAACAAGGGTGAATGTGTGTAACAATTGCATGTGTTATCCGCTTGATTGGAAATGCCATTGCCGTTTCATCATTCGTTTCCTGAAATCTTACACAGGGAGAAGTCCGCCAGGTTTTGGCCACGTGGCCGCCAGCTTCCCGCCTGATGGCCGCCACATGGCGGCCACGTGGCCGCCGCCTGGCCGCCACATGGCCGCCATCGGGCCGCCGGGTGGCCGCCACATGGCCGCCACGTGGCGGCCAGGTGGCGGCCAGTAGGCGAAAATCCGGCGGCCACATGGCGAAAAGCTGGCAGAACGGGGATTCCCGGGCCAGGTAATGCTCCTCCTAATATCGATTATTATTAATGCTAGTGGCGCTATTATGCATTGCAGCCATTTAGAAGCAGCCCGCTTCATGTCGGGGATGCGCTGGAGGTGTCCCTGCCTGAAATATGGCGTTTTTTAGTTTAATTCGTCGTTTTTTTATTTAGCTTTACTTTTTTATGGAAACGATTCTAGTTTGACTTCATACAGATACTTACTTTCATCAGTGACCGATGTCCATTGCGTAGACAGCATCCGAAGTAGTAGCAACGAACAAAACTAGTATATAGACCTACCGGACATGACTTACTTGTTTCACCGGCGTGCGAGCAACAAAGTAGCAGCCTTCAAGCTGCTCCTTCTGTTGCAGCCAAATAACCTATAGATGATTGAACCTTAATCATACAGGTAGACTTACCCAGGAAGCAATGCATTAAAATAACCTCACGTTTCCATAAAATAGAAACCAAAACTAAAACTAAACAAAACTAAACAAAACTAAAACTTTATCAAAGAAACCGGTACTATTGAAGTTGGGGGGGGCAAAATTTTTTTAGGTCATTTTTAGGCTACTTGATCAGTTTTTCGTGGCTAATCCAGCGCAATACTCAACTCCTAAGCTAAGCTAAGCCGAAGCACAGTTAAATTGAGCTTGAACAAAGCTAAGTCGCAGCCAAAAGCAGTGATGCTGTGACGAAGCCAAGCTTAGGGCCAGGTATTAAGGTTTAGGCTAAGCATAGGCCGAAGCCTAGGTTAAACTAATTCTAAGCCTAGCCTAAGTTAAGCTTAAGCCTAAGCTAAAGCCTAAGCCAAGCCAATACTAAGCTAAGCTAAGCCTAAGCCAGAGAAAAGCTGACCAATTAGCCCAAAAATGACCCGAAAAAAATTTTGCCCCCCCCCCCAACTTCAATAGTACCAAGAAACCAATAGCAATTGCTTACTAACCGAAATGCCATCTTCCGATCCTGTTTCCGTCACATCATTGTCTTTTTATTTGGATATATCTAAAATAATACTCCGAAAGTAAATAAAATACCTGAGAGAACAGATATTGGTGATATGTCAACGAGGTGGCGTCTCTTTTCCATCTAAATAGCTAAAAGACGCAGTAAAAGTAAAGTAGCAATCAATTTACAAGCGTTTATAAAAAGTTTTATAAAACTTGATAAATTTACCTTCGATGATAACAATAACATTGACTGAGGCCCGAAAAAACGCCAAAGTCCCCAGAGCAACGCAATAGTACTATCCACAACTGGCCGAAATCGGGCGGAAACCTGGCGGCCACCGCCGCCAGCTTCTGGCCAAAAGCGGTACGACAGTGTACTAAAAACCCCTGGCGAAATTCTGGCGGCCAGGTGGCGAAAACCGGGCGGGCTGGCGGCCATCGGGCGGGAACCTGGCGGCCAGGTCTGGCCCGATGGCCGCCAGGTTTTCGCCAGGTGACATGGCCGCCTTCTGGCGAAAATCTGGCGAAAAGCTGGCGAAAATCGGGCAGCCTGGCCGCCATCGGGCCAAAATCTGGCGGACTTTTCCCTGTGTTCTAACGGAAATGCTGTAACTGGGTTTGTGGAGCCCTGAAAAACGTATCTATACAAATCTCGGTGCTAGTTTTGTCAGCAAAATACGCGGCAAAAACGTTTCCGACTTCGAGTTTTTTTGTAATCCTACTATATATAAAAAAATAGTGTTTGTGTGTGTGTGTGCATTTGCATGCAACTTCCGTCACCGTGTTCCAGTAGTATCTCAAGAAGGGAAGTACTTAGGGGTATGGTCGATACGTCATTAGGTGCGTAATGGGCTGAAGATGACTGCACACATATTAGATTTTACAAAATATGATGTTTTCGACATTAAAATTAAGTTTTTAATGGAAAATCGGACACCCCAATTTGTTAGGATCAAATTAGCATGCACCGGACGTTGCGGTAGCCTATATAGAGAGACGGCGGGAGCATTTTTTATTGTTTGTCATCCGAATCCGGGAAAATTATGCAAAGCCAAGAATATCATTGGAGAAGACGGGGCCAGGGTTGAAAAGCCGCGAAGCGGTTTTTCAACCCTGGTTTGTAGTCTAAAAGTTAAGTTCTTGTAGTCTAAAAAATGCTAAATTCTGACTCGGCAGAAAAACTAGCACAGAAAACTTGCTGTTTATAGCCTGGAACATCCGGAACGGTGCTTTTAGCACCCAACTCCCAAATCTTACCAAAACAAGATCGCGATATTCGTGCAATTTTGCGACCTGTTTTTCTTATTTTGTTTTTGGATTTTTTATAACAAGGCGCCTTTGGCAATAGGGCTCTCTCTCTCTTTTCGCGCACTCTCTCCTTCTCATTCCTTTACGCGCACTTTCCCCCCACCAATACGAACAGCCAATTCGCACGCTTTCGAAGCCGCAAAATCTGATACATGTTTTACTCGAAAATTACTTCAAAAACCCTTTATTACGCTTTCAAAACAATTCTTCAACTGCTAAACATCTAGATGCCGCGTGTGACGCGATCAACAGCCAAGGGCAGCCTCAGCGAAGAGCTCAAAGAAGATGGCCAGGGCAAACTTACGGATTATTTTCGGGTTTGACGTTTTTAGCTTTGTGAAATGTGTACTTTTTTAGACAACACGCCCTGGACGTAGACCGGGGAAGAATGCGAAGCTTGGCACAAACGACGTAAGTGATATTGTTTCCGTGGTGAAAGTATTTTAGGCCCCAATCGCTAGCTCGGAAATGATACTGCCCGAATCGGGGAAGCTGCCCAGCCCGCCAAAATTGAAACGCGTCGAGGTATTACATTTGTTTAATAAAAATTGTTATTTCCAGGAACCCGAGCCAGTAGCTAAAGATGCTGCTGCGCCAGCCGAAGGTTCGAGACAGACGTTGCCAGTGAGTTTTTAGAAGTCCTCTCGATCTTTTCCTTTATTAGCTCAAAGAAAAGGCGACAACCCCAAAGCGTGTGGCCCGGAAATTGTTTGCTGAAGAGGTGCGTTGACATTTATCCATTTTTATGATCTGTTTTAGTCCCCCATCAAGCACGAGGAAGCAGCTACTTTGGAAGATCCTAACCTGGAGAGCACGGCGGCGCCTATAGATTTGCTGCTCAAGAGCGGTACTGATTTCATTTTATCCTACTATTCCTACTATCCTACTATATATAAAAAAATAGTGTCTGTGTGTGTGTGTGTGTATATTTGCATGCACTTCCGTTTGGATGTTCCGCACCTACAGCCGCAGGGAAGCATTTTTTCGGTAAGGAAGAAACGTCATAGGGTAAAGAAGGGCCCGGAATCGACTGCACACACATAAAAGTTTTGAAAAATTGCTACTTTCGATATTAAAATTAGGTTTTTGTAAAGTTTTCGGCCAATCTCTTTGTTAGGAAGCAATTAGCATACGCCGGAAGTGGAAATGGCTTATAAAAAGGAAGATAGGGCGCGCTTTTCATTTTTGGTGAGCGGTTTTCGGCAAGAATTATGCAATGTCAATAACTTCATCGATCCTAGACGGGGCCAGGGTTGAAAGGCCGCGAAGCGGTTTTTCAACCCTGGTATATAAAAAAAATAGTGTTTGTGTGTGTGTTTGTGTATATTTGCATGCACTTCCGTTTGGATGTTCCGCACCTAAAGCCTCAGGGAAGCATTTTTTCGGTAGGGAAGAAACGTCATAGGGTAAAGAAGGGGCTGGAATCGACTGCACACACATAAAAGTTTTGAAAAATTGCTATTTTCGATATTAAAATTAGGTTTTTGTAAAGTTTTCCGCCAATCTCTTTGTTAGGAAGCAATTAGCATACGCCGGAAGTGGAAATGGCTTATAAAAAGGAAGAGAGGGCGCGCTTTTCATTTTTTGGTGAGCCGTTTTGGCAAGGATTATGCAAAGTCAATAACTTCATCGATCCTAGACGGGGCCAGGGTTGAAAAGCCGCGAAGCGGTTTTTCAACCCTGGTTTCCTAAGAAATTCGTCTTTAGAACGAACGCCCACCCGTGCAAAGCAGTCTGTCCGAACCGTTCAGGAATTACAGGTGCTTTTAATTTTGACCAAAAACACGTGTGTTTAGAAAATTTTGGCGGAACGGGGCGCGGCGAAGAACATCCACAAGCAGGCCGTGGAAAACAAGGAACGACGGGTATGATCGAAAGGAGGATTGAATTTGAAACTTTTGTAGGCTGTCAGCGCATTGGCCGCACGGCTTTCGCCCAAGAAAACTGTTACTACAAGGATTCTCAGCGTTGCCGAGGAGAAGAAGGCTGCTCCCACAAAACTTTCGGTTCGTTTTTTGAGGAATATTTCGTACTAGGCTGTTAGCGGGGGGGAATCAAATTCTTCTCAGTAATCCTGTATGGCCCTATGGCAAAATGTAAACCATATTTTTTTATAACTTTTTACTAGGTTTTTAGATAGGAAAAGCTTGCAAAAATTTTCGAAACTTTTGTTTGGCCAAAAATATTTTAGAGTGGCCCAAAAAAGCTCAAATTTTTCGATTTTACAAATTCAGATTTTTTATGATCTTCTAACAACCAAAAACAGAGAAAAACACTATAAAGGACACTATATATTAGCAACAGGGATCCAGGCGAAAAAAAAACAAAAATGAGTTTGCCCCTGTTAACCGCCCCCCCGCTTACGGTCCAGTACCGAAAAACTTTTCACTATTTTGCTGGTTTTCCTTATAAATCCAATTTTTCAGACAGTTTCTGTCCCTGATTATGTGCTCCCCTCCACGGACGCCCTGAAGCCGCAAGTAAATCTGCGCGAGACGACCCCGGAGCCGTCAGTTTCACGAATCTTAACGTACACTTTTAATTTAGTGTAACCTCCGACTACAAAACAAAGAGCAGCCTGCTAAAACCGGAAGTGAAAGAATCGGCTTGGATCGCCTTGTCGCGAGTATATGCCCAGCTACACAACAAATTCCAGTCCGGCGACCGCGTATGAAAGATGCCGGCTTGATTTGATTTCTGCGCTTTAGGTCCTGTCGATTATGAGCCAGCAGGGCAAGCGCATCGTCTTTGAAGATTTGGCGGAGAATATCCGGAAGAATATTAGGCAGTGGGTGATACCTTACATTTTATGACTTCTATTGTAGAAACTTTGTCCTCAGCGATTTCGCCAAGATTGTCCACCTCTACAAGGAGGCGTATAATGTGAAATTGGAGGAGTCGTGGCAGGTAGTTAACTTGTAATAGGCTTCACGTTTAGGAATGGCAAAACTAATTTAGAAACATTTACGTTCGAAACACCCCCTCCCCGATAATGCGCAAGAACCTGAATTAATAGCCCCTTTTTACAGGCATTTGGCGGCGCTCAACGTGGAAAGTGGCAGTTGGTGATCAGCCCGAATGTTACAGATGGTAAGCTTTTTGCCAATTATAAATGATTATAAAGAATAAATGTTTATAAACAAGCGTCTAAACCACGTTTTTAGATCTACGCGGCTGGCAGGTCGAGGAAGCAGCTTCCAAAGAGCTGTCAGGCGAGCTGCCGTTGTCCCGGCCGTCACAACTCTGCTCACCCACGAAAAGCCCGAGAAAGGTGGCATGCAAGCCGTTGGCTAGGTAATCGCGATTTTCACCGTTTCGAAACATTCATTTTAGAGCCCCAAAACTGGAAGACAAGGTCCGACTTGAGGGTTGGCGGATGCTTTGCCGGGCCCAGATTTTCCGGCACAAGCTCACCGAATTGGTGCTGCGAGCTCATGCTGCTTTTTGCGAATCTGTTGGGGGTAGGCTTATACTTTTTTATAGAACGTCTTATATACGAAAGAAATAAGAACCCTTTAAATTGTAATTTCTAGTTAAATTGGACGAATCGAAGCCATTGCGCCGTCTCCACCCCGGCTTCGACGTTGAAAATTGCGATGAATTGGCCGAGGCAAAGCTGCCGGAACCGCCCAAGCTGGTATAAATTCCTCGGATTCTCGGATCGGGTTTTTAGGAAACTAACGGGGCAACGACGATGGCCGACTTCATGCGGAAACTAGATGAAGCCCAGTTGCCGAAGGGCGCCAAGGTATTGGACGGTCTTTGTAATAACTATAAATTTGTGTAGAAAGTCTTGGAGGCGCTGAAGAGTCCACAGAAAGCCACCGCATCTGGTGTACCTCTTTCGCCGAAGAAATTTGCCGAAACCGCGGCTGCAAAGGGCGGAATGGGAGGCCTTTTGGCGAGGGTAAATTACTTTTTAATCAAAAGTTCTTATCAAAATGGTTCTTTCGCATTATCGGGGCGGGGGAGCGTTAATTTTTTTCCTGTAAGTCTAGTAATGCCTCATAATGTAATAGTGAGTATTTTAATAGTGTTTTAGTGAAATTTTACTGTATTGAAGTGGTAAAACAATAGAAAAACTTGGAAGCAGCTAAAAAACTGCCGAAAATCGGCCATTTTTATGCGAAAACTTATATTTTTGTATTTTTTTAATGAAAACCAGGGTTAAAAAGCCGCTTCGCGACTTTTCAACCCTGGCCCCGTCTAATCCCATGTTATTCGCCACTTTGCATAATTATCGCGATTTTCGATGACAAAAAAATGAGAAACGCCGCCCCTCTTCCCTTATATAGGCTACCGCAATACCGCCTTTTATCAGTTTTTACGTGTAGAATAGTCACAAAAGCAGTTTAGAAACTTTCTCGATTTAGATTAGAAAAATTAGTTGCGTGGAAAAGCCCCCGGTAATGCACACGCACCATCAAATTCAGCCCTATTTTATTTTTTTTGTAGATTCGCGCAAAGGAAGCCGCCAAAAAGGCCGTCGAGTCCGCGATTGATCCAGTGAAAGAGAAACGCATAGCCAGGATAGACAAGCTGATTCTCGGAACTTTGCGTACACTCACGAGGTCTGTCCGCCTTAAAATCCCTCATTTCCGTTTCCAGTGTCTTTGCATTGAAGAAAACGCACAGCTTGGCGATGACGGTGATTGCGGAAAATGTACTGCGCTCAACGCGATTTTTAGCATACGGTTTGACATCGTCTTATTCTTATAATTAGCCCATTTTAGAAGAAGCTGTGGGCTGCGTCGAGTTATTATGCGAGATTTCCCCGAAAAATATTTGTGTCTCGGAGGTACATTAATCGCTATATTTTCCTCTATGCCCGAAATTTCAGGTTCATGGCCAAAAATACGTGCAGCTGACGAAAAACGACTATGACGCAATGCTGGCCGACCTCAAACAGGAGAAAGCTTTCCTCGCCAATTAATATATTCCTTCATGCACCCCTGTATGCTCAATGTTACTTCCAATTTATTGATGTCTAGCAATTTCTTAACCTTCACATTGTTTCGATGCTGGTTTTGACCAGCGCATAATTAGATCTCACCCCTCTTGCCCTGCTACCAAGCTCATTCCACCCTCTGATCCGTCAAATGCTATTGCTCGCCAAAGTTTGCTGTCGATTCGTTTCTTTGCTGGATAAATTCTTTTACCGAATTCCGGGAATAGCTTACGAATGTCTTTTGCACGGTAGTTATTTTTTTATTAAACGCAACGCTGCGCTCCTAATTACGTTGTCTATCGTAGCACCAACAGTGGCCACCTCATTTATTCTTTACAGAAACTTGTCAAATTTTGGGCAATTAGCAAATGTCGGACGGCTCAGATGGCAGCATTTTCTAAATAAACTTTTATAATGATAATCATGACGTCAATCTGTATTAATCACAGATTCGAGCTCAGGGCGTCCACTACCTAGAATCGGTCGAAAGGTCTTAAATAGGTTTCACTATTTTTGCCCAAACGTCTCGATTCTGTTTTCTAGTAATCCTCTCTTTTTTTGTTCATCCTACTGTTTCCGGTCTATATCTTCCATTTCAGTGCGCGACAATGGCCACTTCAAAGCAGACGAAGGGCACCAAGGTCGGCAAGTTCTCGCGCGAAGAAGAGATGCTGCTCTTCTCATTCCCGAACAGCGATACTTCGATGAAGGACACCGTCGGCTTCGCGGTGAACTCGGCGTTGGCGGCGCTCACCCAGCTTTATTTCTTCTATGCCATCAAGCGCGTAAACCTTCAAGAAGGATGGGCCCTGTGCACCATCACCGTCCTGGTAGCCATCGTCCTGCTCACGTGGGCCGCCATGAATCTCAAGCGCCTCCTAAAGACAAGGATTCTTCAGAAGCGCAAGCCGGTAAGAATTTTTACACATGTCATCAGCTTGTTTGTTTGTTTTAGAATTCCGGCCGTGACGGCAATAAGAAGACGAGCGTGGACAAAAAGATGACCCAGAAGGAAAAGGACGAACGGGCCCTGTACCGCCGTGGTGAAGGGGCTGAGGGCGAATCTACTTGGCTGGCCATCGCCTTCACGAATACATTCTTCATCTCCGCGTCCCTGATCATCTCGTACGCCTTCCTGAGGTCCTCCCACCCACTTCTCCAGTGCATCGTCACGATGTGCTCTGCTGCCGGATTTGTCGCCTTCTGCTCCACCAGCAAGAAATAAGACACTGATTTTTTTTGTAATATGCTGTGATTTGTATATGTGTGTTTGTTGTCGGGTTTTTATCATATATTCGTGTTAGCTTCGTTGTGTTTTTCTCCTCGGATACGGGTTACTATGATTTTTGTGATCGAATAAATTTCAGGGTATGTCGGCGAAGAAAAAGCTGGTATTTGAGTGCCGGAACTGTGGGTGCCATGTGCTCAGTAAAGATGAAATAAAGCATACGACGATGTGTCGAGGAGAATCGGATCTAGTTGGTTTCGAGGTTGGGATTCGACAAATGAAGCTAACTTTGCTTTAGATCGTGTCTCTGAAACCGGCGGGGCGATTTTTCGCGTCGGTGCAGCACCTAGATGGATTTGAGAAATACTTGCCCGGCGAGACGACTGGATGGCAAAAGTCTGTTTGAAGCTTAATATCAATATAACTATTAATAGATATCACACAGTCTTCATGAGTCGACAAACAATCGACCTATGGGGTGTGCAACCGCGACAGCCCTGTTTTCTAGATGTTGGAGGCGAAAAAACATTGGTGGTGGTGTGGCAATGTAACGAGGTACGACTGTACCCCTTCAATCTTTAGGATTATCTTTTAGCTAACCATCCTTCGCATCGCTTCCCCGTTAGCGCCGAAGGAGCGAATCGTCGAATTGCGGCCAGTTTTTGAATATACGCCGGTGAACCGGCTGGAATTGAAAACTACAGATGGCAACCAAAAAATTGACCGCCCATTTCTCAACTTCCTCGAGGTATTTACTTCTTTTTTTTCGACCCTGGTTTAGGTATACCTGGCATCTTCATTTCTTTCGGAAGGCTGCCCCATAACCCTGCGATATTTCGGGAAAAAGGTTCAATTCTTTGTTGCTCAAAAATTGCCTTTTTAGTTAACTTTTAGCCCAGTGACCCCGATATCTATTGCCGTTAATAATCTGTCTTTGGATGAGGGCGAGAAAAAGGTATTAGATTTCGTTGCAAACGACCTTACGATTTAGCCAAACGTGATGAGCGTGGCGCCGTCTTGCTCGATACTGGTCACTGGTCCTGAGCTATCGAAAGTTGCAACAACAAAACGGACAGATCCATTTGGGGCGATCGGCGGATGTACACTAGTGAAGAATTTATTACGGAGACTCGTTCTCGAGCCACACAAAAGGTTTATTTACAGTTTAGCTGTTGATCCAACCAATTTTAGTAAAACAGACCTCTGCTCGATTCTTCTATGGGGATTGCCGGGCAGCGGGAAAACGCTTTTATTGAACGCCCTGCAACAGTTACTTGGTGCAGCCGCGATCAAGGTAAAAACGTTAAATTACGCAATTTTTATTTTAGGTAAATACCCTGGATGAGCTCGTCGAAAAGAGCTCCATTTTTGCGGCCAACACGATATTGTTGGTTGACGTCTCGATCTATCCAAAGGAGCATAAGGCTTATGGGATTTTGACTGATTTGATGTCAAATGGACAGGTAAGCTTGATCAATTTATTTTAGTCTGTTTTAGATTGGTTGTGTGATATTGACGGCTCGGAGCGCGGATGATGTGGATATGGGGGTGCGGATTCGGTTTCCGAGAGAAGTTGAGGTTCCAGTGCCGAATGAGGTTTGTTTATTATGGCTTTCTAGAACTGTATTTTAGGCGGAACGAGTCGATATTCTGAGGATTCTGACTGGCGCCGATGAAGCAGTTGTGTTGGGCGTTGCAAAGTATCAAGGATTCTGTAAAAATTATTATTGTGTTTAGGGTAACGCACGGCTTTACGGGCAACGATCTGGCAAGTGTCGTGCGGTTGGCTGCATTAGAGGAAGGGGAATTGACTGTCAGACTCGAGGTAAAGTATACTTCGCGATATTATTTTTGTGAAAGAAAGCCCATCGCGTGGTCCGTCCTACCGGCATCCGCCAATTCATCCTCGAGGTCCCGAACGTCCGCTTCGCAAATATTGGAGGAAATGAAGAACTCAAGTCGGAGATTCAGCAAGCGGTGATTTGGCCGCAAACACGCCCGGAACTTTTCGCGGCGTTTGGCATCGAACCACCGGCTGGAATCTTGTTATATGGACCACCAGGTCGAATTGCAGCTCTTGGTGTAAAGTCTTTTTTAGGATGCAGTAAGACGCTGATCGCGCGGGCGCTTGCCAACGAATCGGGCAAGAATTTTTTGGCGATCAAAGGGCCGGAGCTGTTTAATAAGTACTGAACGCTAGAAAATCGGTCTTAATTGTATTTAGATGGGTGGGCGAGAGCGAGAAGGCGGTGAGGGATCTATTCGCGAGGGCTCGACAAGTCGCGCCGACGATCATCTTCTTTGACGAGATTGACGCTGTTGGGCAGGCTCGTGGAGCGTCTGGGAGTACTGTCGGGGATAGGTACGTCATAACCAGCTAATTTTCACTTATTTGTTAGGGTATTGGCTCAGCTCCTGACGGAATTGGATGGTCTCGAGAAGCAGTCTGGCGTCATATTGCTAGCCGCGACGAATCGACCTGATCAATTGGATTCAGCGTTGTTACGGCCGGGGAGGTGGGGTTTCTGGTGCTTTAGCATTATTGGTGACGGCCAACTTTTTACTTAGGATCTATTTTTCTCATAGAAATAGAGGAACTGCTTCTAAACGGTTTTTACTTTCTTGAACCTAACAGCAGCGCAAATTTTTATTAAAAAAATATAAAATAGGATTTTTCGATCTATGTTTTTAGGTTTGTTAGATGGTTCTTCCACTTGAAACACAGTTAAATTTTTCTAGAAACGCTATTAAAATACTAGCTATCAGGGTTCGATATGATTGGGACGGGGCGAGACTTTTGCCTATAGTTGGCCACTAGGTGGCGGCGGATCAGGTCTTAAGCTACACCATCCGATGGACCTCGCTCTTCCGGTTCGACTGAGTGCATAAAAACCCTAGAACGTTCTAGACAACACCAAGCTCCAATTTGTGCATATCTTAACAAAAAAGCGGTTTTACGGTGATGTTTTTCCGGAATGGACTCGAATCAGGTTTTAAGCTACACCATTCGATGCGTCTGACTCTTCCGCGTCAGATGATACCCATAAAAACCTCTTAGTACCTTGCTAGACAACCTCCAGACCTCAATTTATGTAAATCTTAGCAAAAAGCTGTTTTACGGTTGCGGTTTTCCGGATAAGTATCGGATCACGCGTAAACCACCTCAATCGATGCAGCCACCCCCCACGTCGATAATACCCATAAAACCTCCTTAGAACTTTGTTAGACAACCTCCAAGGCGGTTTTTAGGCCTGGGTTTTTCTCCCAGCCCATCGAACCCTGCTAGCTATTATGTCACTAGGTTTTTCTAGGCTTATATGAAAATTTGGGGCTACGGTAAGATGAAACAACCGCGTTCCTTATACCAACTGTTTCGAAAGCGTGATTTAGGCTCGACCGTGCCATCTACGTGGGCCTTCCTGATATGCAGACGCGCAAGGACATCTTCGAGATCAACGTCAGCAAGATGAAGACGAACGGCGTGCTGGACAAGACGCTCAACATTCCGTCGCTAGTACTAAAGTTGGAAGGTACGTGAATCGGCAGATTTTTACGTATTTTTTAGGTTATTCGGGAGCGGAGATTGTGGCCGTCTGTCGGACGGCAGCTATGAAGGCCATGCGGGAAGACCATGATAATAAGGTCAGTTTAATTTTTTATCAAAGTGGTTATTAATTAACCATAAAAATATCTTATTATTATTCTTATTTTTTAGATTGTTGAAATGCGTCATTTCGAGGAGGCGATGCGCGCCGTCGTCGCGCGCACTGACAAGAAGCTGCTGGACATCTACGAGCGGTTCAAGCTGGGAAACGGCCTCTAGAAACGCACGAATTTTTGATTGTTATATTGTGATATTGTTACTTTTTCCTGAATAAAGTCTAGAAATTTACGATAAGCGTTTATGAATTCTAAACGCTGTATTCATTGCAGATCTACTAGGCCATGGAGATGAATTTGCCGCAAGATCTGGTCAATCCATCCGGGCGGCACATGTTTCCGGGGGCTTCATATGGACGGGCTGTTCGGCAGGGATGTCTGACTGCAGCGGCCCCATCAGTCATCTTTCGTTCCGTTCATCAATCAGCTTTCTACTCCAACCGGAAGTTGACACTTTGTTTGGCATTTCAAGAAGTGGTGCTTTGGCATTATCGGGAGGGCAGGAATTTGGCGAATTTTTCCTACATCTCCAGAAATGCCAGAAACGTAATAGTTCGTAGTTTAATAATGTTTTAGTAAAATGTAACTAATTTTAAGTGGAAATCCCATAAAAAAGGTTGACATTCGGGTCGAAAATCGGCCAATTTTGGTACAAAAAGAATATTTTGTATTTTTAATAGGATAGAAGTTTGTAAAAATTTGTACGTTTGCAAATAGCAAAAAAACTGTTCTGAAGCGCTTTTGTTTATATTAGAAAAATTTGCTCTTATCAGGACTATCTTAGCTTGAAGGAAAAACGGTGATTCATGCTTTTTTATTATTGCGTTTTCTTCCAGAAGAATTTTCGGAAGTATATTTTCGAATGGTTCGAGCGATCGCCAGCACAGCAGGTCCTGTAACGAACGGTTCACAGACCCCGTAGGCAACCCATCAATCTCGCGATGCTGGTGCTGCTGTGATGCCTGGGAAAATGGGCTCTCCTGGATTCTTTTCGACAGCGTGGAGGCCGTGTTCGTGGATGCACAGAATGATTGATGAACGCGAAGACGCCACAAGGGCTATCAAGGTTATCTAAGTATTCTGCGGCGTTCTATTCATTCATTGTACCTTTAGACGAGAAATTTCAAATTTTTAATAGTTCTTTTATGCGAAAAATATGCTACTTATTTTCGGTACTAGGCTGTTAGCGGGGGGGGGTAAACAGTGCAGTACCGCTTTCTGCACCATGTATTTACAATTTTGAACATTCCCCTGTTCGAAAAACCACCTTTTTGTACGTTGTTGTGATTATTAAGGGTCTAGAAGTAAGGGGGTGGATGGAAAGACGTGATGGTTGGATGGATGGCTGGGGAGGTGGGTGATGTGACGCTGAGTGACAGCTCTCCCTCCTTACCCGCCATCCAGATTCTGATCTCAGAAGAAGGCCTCCCTCTACCCGACATACGGAGAAGAGGAGACACTTCCGTTTTTTGGGTCGGCGTTATAGAGGCGATTCGGTGGCTAATTTGGCGGTTTCGGCGGGTTTCGACACGAGTTATTTTGTGTATGGCCATGGGATTTTTCACTTTTCAGGAAGAAAGGAAAGAAGAAGAAGGAAGATAGTGTTTTTTTGGGTGTTTTATTGGGATTTAGAAGTGAACGCTGTAGTTGACTGAATTAGAAAATTTCCTAAGGATTAAGCGAGCGGGTTTTTATAATTTCGAGCGTAGTAGCTTCAACGAAAACCGGTGTTTTGATTTCCGTCATTTGGCGTGTGGCTTTTTAAAATCGTGTTTACGAAGGAGAAAATTTCTTCTAGGTAGCTATGTGCCAGCGCGTAACCCCCTCCCCGCTAACAGAAGAACCCGATGCTTCCGGTTTACCGCCTTTTTTGTCTCCACAATTTTCGACGCCATTTTCCATTTCTGGAGCCCGACTACCGGCTCAGAATCGATAATGTTGAGTGAGTGCGAGGTAGAGTTGAATGAGTGAGTGAGTCGACTTGTGTGTGTATGCGAGGGCGGTTGCTAGAAGAGGGCACCATAGCCCCCAACCCCCCGCCGTCGAATGTCTTGTACATCAATCATAGATGACGATAATGTATGTGTGGAGGGGAAGAAAGAGGGGTAGAGGAGAAAGAAGAAGAGGAGCAAGAGAAGGAGGAGGAGGAGGGCTGTCGAAACAAACACTCATTCAGCCCTCCGATCCCTTCTTTTCTGCTGCTTTGGACAGACAGACATCTTTGCTCATCGTCCCTTCCGGCCCCATATGTGCTCTGACAGTTCTCGTCTTGTCTTGCCTTCGTCTTGTCTTGTTGGGCCCCATATGGGCCCTGCAGAGGGCCCAAATGGCCGTCAGTCAATTCGTCTGTGCTCCGTCAGATTCGCTCAAATTCCATTTGGCCATTCCTTCCGCTAAAAATACTGTTGCTCATCTCTAACTGTTTATTTTCTTTGTTAGTTTTGGTTTCTAAAAGTCTTTTTCATTGCTTTTTTGGTGCTTTCAATATCAAGGGACCGCCTTTTTTCAACTTTCATTTGGCCCTACTATCCGCTAAAAATTTGCTGCGCTCTACTTCCGGATCTTTTGCATTATCCGCTGGAACCAATTTCTCTCTAGTTTCCAATTTTTCAAGTATAAATAACGGAAGTGTTTCCAAACGCTTTTTTACTGCTCCTAACCGTCAAAACTTTGCAATTTTTAAAAAATCTAAAAATATAGTTTTCGACAATATTTCGAATCTTCAAAAGTTTAGAAAGCTTTAGATGGTTCTTCTAGATGAAATATAGATCTATTGACTAAAAACGCTACCGAATAAGCTACTAGAATCTTTCTAGATGGTCCGCCGTAAACAAGAAAAACCCGTCCGCCTTGAAGACGTCGACACACCGACAACGTCTTCGACAAGCGCGCAAACGGAGCGGACGGCAAGCAGGAAGCGGAAACTGGACGAGCCAAGCTCTGAACGGTGAGTCAAGTTTGAGGTCTAAGATCCCTATTTTCAGCGGACCGCTAGCCGCCCTGGAAGAATCGTTGTTGAAGCTCAGGCCTCAGAAGACCGTGGAAGAACCGCACGCTAGCGCCGTCCACTCATCGAAAAATGGCCGTTGTCCTGTTGACGAGCCCTCTACAAGCACTAATGGTCAGTATGTTTTTGGATCAAAACGCCTGGGCGACATTGAAAAACATGTTTCGATATTTCTCTCTCACGATTTTTCTCTCTCTAACCAGTAATTTTCAGAAAATCTGAATCGAATCCCTTCCGACGGCCTATGCTCCCTCTACAAATTTGTCTCCTCAATGGCCGAGCCGGAGAAGGAACCACGACGGGTTGTCGGCTCCACTAATGCGGTGTGTACAGAATCTTATTTTTTCCTGAACAGCAGCCGCCTTGCAGATCCTACGCTGCCTCGAGTGCGGTGCGGCCTTTGGCCATATGGAGCAGCTCGTCGTCCACATGACCACCACGCGCCATTTCGCATCGTTGACCCGCAGGTCGAATAGGTACGCTAGAAATGCCCTGTCTATTTTTTTTTATTAAGTTGGTTACCAGCGGCCCCGAAAAAGCCGGAAGCACCTCGCAAAATTGCGCACACCCCATCACCAAAGCCGATCAACCAACCGGCCATCGGGTTTCCGTCGTCGCTTTTCAACAGCCTCATCCCCAAACATTTACGATTGATGTGCGCGCATTGTGGGGACACCGAGGCGGATATTGGTGAGCATTCGGTTTTATTTTTACAGAATTTTAATATATTTTTATGGCATGCCGGTTAGCTGGTAGCAGGCTACGGTAGTTTCCAAATTACGTTATAGACGGTATTTTGTCTAGTAAGGTGGCAAATTATGGCATTTTCGGTTTGTTTTATTCCGGCATTTTATTGATTACGGTAATAAATCACGGTATATACCGGATTACTTTAATTTCCAAATTACGGTATTTCCGGATTACGAAAGTTTACAATTACGGCAAAACCGTATTTTCAGGATTAGAGTAGTTTCCAACTTACGGAATCTAACTGACAGCATTTTCCGGATTACGGCAGCGAATTCGTGAAGCTAAGAAATAGAATAGATACTTTTTTAGCTTGTTTGATCGAAAAACGTGATGGTTATGAAAAGATTAAGAAGATTTATGCAACTATTTAATCTGTAGCAATAACTTATCACAAACCGGAATTTAAGCGATATTCCAGTGCCACATCTCAAAAAGCAGCACTCGATTGAGGTGAGGGATCTGCCAACGTGGCTCGTCAACATTCGATTAATCCCCGGTACGTCAAAATCCAACCAAAAACGCTAAAATTAAGCTGTAAAAATCAAAAACTCCTTTTAGGGGATTCCCAGAACCCATCGCCCTCACAGCATCAACCCGACCAAATCTCGCCTCACCTCAGCCAACTAATGATGATGATCGACTCGGTGAACAAATGATAAAATTTTATTTGAAAAAAAAAGCCGAACAAGATAACAAGATAATTATACAAATTTGATAAGATACAACTGATTTTCCAACGATGGGCTTTCGATGGATTGATAGTAGAGGTAGCGATCGCGTGGCTTTTCCGGGGCTTCATCGTCGGAGCTGTCCTGAACAAAATCTTCTATGACCTTTAAAACGGTTTATTTTCATTTGTCGAAACTTTAATTTGCCTATATTTCCGTTTGCCTTTTTCGCCTAGGTTATCCATCTCAAACATTCGCACTTTGAAATTTCGACAATTTCCACAAACTGATGACAAATCCTTTAAAACATACGGAAAGTCCTAGTGACGATGGCCGATTGGGGAAGATACGTTCCCCACTGCCGACTGCAACGATAGGGCTTGTTGGATGGATGCTGAAATATAACGATTTTAAATGGGTTCTGAACTGTTAGCGGGGGGGGGATTTTTAGCACGGTGGAGAACCACTTTTTGTTTGGTCGGGTTTCAGTAGTTATTGCGATCTAGAAATTTTTATTTTAAATTCCTTACAAAAGGTTTATATTTCGTTTATCACCGGTACGGAATTATTGGGAAAAGCCTCCCCCCTCGATAACAGTACAAAATCTTTTAATGTATTGCCTGATTGTCGATAGAGCCGAAGTAACCGGAAGTGATAAGACGATTGGTGGACGGTTTAGATCGTCGATTCGAAAGAGGTATATCTTTCCGCCGTCTTCAGCCACAGCCCCCGATATTAGCCATGATCCGGAACTGAAAACTGAAGCTCATTCTCGAATGTAATTCGGTGCTACCAATCGATATCAAATCGAATGCGCTGTGGCGAACGTCCATAGGGCCGGGGAAATTCTTTTATGTTGTCTGCCATCAAACGGGTGTTGACGGCAAAAATAGAGTCACACTAAATAATGAAAATTGGGTGTTCCGTAAATAGGATACCTTTCGATGTGCGACGAATAGCGTGAGATCATCTGGAGCGAACTGCAGATCGACGACGGCATCGGGGTTGAGCTGATAGGTCGTTACAAACATCGCCATAGTCCGTTCATACAGCGTGACTGAAAGAAAAGAACGTTAAAAAAGTTTGTGCTTTTACATCGTGAGGCCCAATTTTTTCGTATAACTCCCGAAATGCGTAATTTTTTAAGGCGTTTTTGGACACATCTGACATATACCAATTAAGACACCAATCGAAAATGCCATAAAATGTTTGAAAAACCCGACATTTTGGCCGAAAAATCGTTATTTATCGTATCTTACAATAAAATTTGGAACGTTTTTTTATTTTAAGAATCGCAAAACAAACTGTGTAGAAGTACTATCTAATCATCTTGGAAAATTAAATACAAAAATATAAAAGACCTTGTTTTCTCGCTAATAAAGTTACAAAAGCCAACCTCCACCCCTGAAATCGCCAATAGCCAACATTCGACCATCACGGGTAGACGACAGGCAACTCAATTTGGCCTGATGAGGAGCCGTAAGGTTATCTGAAGCTTTCATTTAATTTCAAAAAACGCATTTATCCCACCCTTCATCAAAACCCGCCCAGATTCGACCAGCGGGTTGTTGACATCATAGAATCGAATCGAATTGTCCAGGTAGCCGATAGCCAGCTCTGTCGGTGTCAGCCACGACAAACAACACGCCTCCGCCAGTTCATCCTGAATACTTTTACGGAAATGTAGACCGAGATACCGCATAATTCTTGGCTCGAATCGATGTTACTCTGGTCCCATCCTTAGAATAGATACGCACGCCGCACGAACGGACGGCAACTGGAAATAACGGAATCTACGTTATCTAGCTCAAGCCGTTTACCAGCCAGGTATGGTTGCACCGGATGCCAGCTGAGATCCACGAGAAACCCGCCACTTTGGAACGAAGCCAACGGCGTAGAAGACTAAAAGAAAACGAAATCATGATATTGATATTCATTACCTGCTCTTCCACCCCTTCCTGAATCCCAAAAATTCGCACGATGTTATCCTGCGAATCCGTCGCCAAAAAATTTCCGCATGACGAAAAAGCCACTCTCCGCAGATAGCAATTTGGTAAGGTTTTTCCCTGCCTAAATCGTGATTAATGGAAAAGTGTGCATTTCTAACCCGATCGGGAAACCGACACCATTTCTGAAAGGCGACGCGATCTTCTCAATTTTACAGCCGGAAGTGGAAGGATCGGTGGAATACTGCACGAGGTGGTCATTTAGGGCTGTATTCGTCGGCACTGCCTAAAAAAACTTGACAAATTAGAGCTACCGACCTGTGGATCATCTTTCTGTTCGGCGAAATAGTAAAGCTTTTCTCGGAGTGGTATTTGTACATCGGGAACTTCCGGGATTTCTTCGCTTCGAATGACAGCCCCCTGCATCAAGGCCCGCCGCTCTTTTCTATTCAGCTTTCTCGGGGGCTCGCCATCAACATTTTCTAAAGAACAAAACATCATAGTTCTTTTTCTGGCAAATAAATACCTTCCCGCACCACTTCTGGCTGCTCGGTGTTGTCTGGTTCAGCTTTTCTTAGCTAAAATACAGAAATCCAGTTAATTCAAAAATTTCTACATTTCCCAACAATGTTCCAAGACCGGAAGCCGCCCTTGCTGAGTGGAACTTTTGAGGTGCCGTCTTTTCAGCTTCTTTCTCTTCTACCACCAGCTCGACTTCGTGTGGGGTTTCCTTGGCCGCATCGCGTAGCTGAATCAAAATAAAAGCCGTAAAAATGAGCTCACATTTCCCAGTAAAGCTCCGAGCCCGGTAGCTGCTCTGAGAGAACGCGCGGGCTTCGCGGCTTCTTCATCGGATGCTTCCTCTGATACGGGGGTCGTAGCTGCTACTTTCGCGTCGTCCTGATGATTGAAATGGACGAAAATGACAAGCAAAAATACCGAAATTTCCGGCTCTGCAGAGCTTGGCAGAATGGATGGACCCGCGAGTATTTCCGCTTCTTCAACCAGCACTGCTACCTCGCCAGGGGCTATTTCGGGGCTTGAATTCTCCATTATAATGCTCTAAATATAAAACTGGCATGAATAAATCAATATAAAAGCTACGGTATTAGATGTTACAACTTGTAATTTTATTGCAACAACAGGAAAGATCGAAGCCGCAACTTTGAGAAACGATTTATCCACTAACACTAATCCTACACGTTTCAATCAACTCGACATAAGTACAAGCAAATTTGATCATAATCGATCCTTTTCCGGCGACTCGCCCTCGATCACATCGCCCACCAACGGGATACCTCGCAGGAAGCCGGTTATCTGAAAAAAAACACAATCTGAATGCTTTACGAAAAGTTGGTGATGATGATAAAATATTTTTTATAAAACATTAGTCGAAAATCGGTCCTTTTGCTTGAAAACACTATATATTTTTGTAATTTTTAATAAACGTTGTAAGGTTTTTACGTTTAGGAACTGTAAAAAATTTTTAGATCTTCTGTTTATATTAGAAACATTTCTTCCTTAAAAAAATTGCCCCCCCCCCCGATAATGCGAAAGAACCACAAAGTTGAATTACCTTTTCTTTCATGGTTTGTCGGACTTGTGCCTCGATGATAATCTCCTTGGCCAGATCTGGGTCGGCGTCCATTGTACTAAGAATTATTTGCGCATAAAAATGAGTTGACTTTACGCAAATATTCTATTCCTTCCCCAGAGCTGTGTATAGGCCGATAATGAAGCTACGACGAATTGGAAAGCCACCAGGAACGGCATTAACGGTCGGGCCGCTTTATTGCCTGTAAAAAAAGGCGGTTTTGCAATAAAAACACGTTTATTACCTTTTAAACAAAGCGTAAACATTTCTTGCGCCTTGGTGATCGGGGGGAATCTAAATGAGCGTGAAAACTTGAACAGAACACGCCTACCTATTTTTATCTGAGGAATTCACGACATAATAATATGCCAGATACGGTGTCGAAAGCATTGGCAATGCAATACCAGATGCGAGGGAGATCAAGACGTGCTGAAAAGATTTGAAAGTTAGTCAGCCTAATTTTCCCCACCTTAGACAGCACACAAGACGCACATGGATCGACTTCGCGATACAATGCCGGCACTATCATGATCTAAACAGATCTTTCGTAATTTCCTCGCAGCAAAAATTACCGTATGGAGCATAAAAAGCGTGACGCCGGACGCGTAGACGCCAAAAACGAGAGGCGGAAACGGGATTCGCCGGGACGCGTCGATAAATGGCAATTTTGGCTCGTAAAGCACCTAAAAATTCTACTCTGCCGGTTTAGAAATGACAATACCAGATCCGCCGTGATCCGGGTAGCAATTAGAGCAGCCGTTGCCGAATTGGCCAATAGAGAAACATGCAACGGATGCTGGACAGCACGGCGCTCCCAAGCAAATGGCCATATCGTCGACAATTTTGAGAAGAAGCGAGCCTGTAATTGAATGGTTGCTTCGTTTGTTTGCGATACTGGACTGTTAGCATGGGGGCTAATTTTCCCAGTTTTCTATATAACGAACAACAAAAGAATTTCAGAGCATTTTACAAGATTTTACACATTTTACATTTAAATAAACATACAGAAAAATTGAAAATTCCGAAATTTTTTGATTTTGTGGTCAAAAACGTGTGAAAAATTGTCAAAAAACTCAAAATTGATACTTCCAACATCTTAAAAATCTTCTGTAACTTGATAGCATTCAAAAACTTCAACAAAACATTATATATTCTTAACAGGTCCAGGCAGAAAGAAAAAATTATTTTACCCCTGCTAACAGTCCAGTGCCTAGTTTCCTTCCGAGTTGCTCAAGCCACAAAGTAAGATTGACCTGGTCACTGGGCGGGATCTGCGAAAAATTTGTCCAAGTGCTCGATCGAGAGCTCTGATAGCGCTCCCCCACAGAAGTTCTCGTCATGGCGATCGTCTTATCCGGTGACATGCTGCTTGGCGCCTAGAAATAATACAAAAAGTTGGCTGTTTCAGATAGTTGAAGGATTACCTCTGAACGGTTCCACATCTCGAGCAAGTCGACGGTCGTCGACTTTGGTGCTCCATTCTGAGACATTCAGCGTCTGTCTACACAGATGAATAGCTTTAGCTAAAGATGAATTTAGTTAATAAAATCAAGATAGTTTAGTTTTTAGCGGATTTTGAGTTTTAGAAAGAAGCCAAATAACTGCTTACGCTGGGGAATCAGAGAGGCTACGGTGGTTTTCCCATCGAATAGCACCGCGGCAACTGCTTACGCTCTGGAATTCGGCTTGTTTTTGAAAAAATTTAAATCAAAAACTAAATCATTTTCAATTTCACCGGATGGCAGACGATAGTGATGTGATTTGGATATCCGATGGAGAGGAAGAACCTTTGGTTTGTTTTTATCATTAAAAGCAAAGCTTTGCTTCAGAAACCAGCCGAGGTCGCTGCTGACGAGACGGTGATTGAGGATTCGTTTTTGAAAATCTCTGGAGAAACCGGGAAAGTGTGCGATGGCGAGGCTTCCACCTCAACGCGCAAGGCTTCAATTCCAAAACCGTCTGAGGTACCCGGTTCTTTCGCATTAGAGGAAAGGCGGGGGGCGGGGTGCAACTTTTTTCTAGAAGTCCAGAAATGTCTAGTGGCGCAATGTCAAGAGTGGAATGTCAAGTGTGTTTGGTGAAATGTGACTATATTTTTAGTAGAAAACCTATACAAAAAATAAATTGGTTAGGAGAAAATTTTGGACGCAAAATCGCTATTTTTGTTTTTCAAGCAAAATTTGTAAAGTTTTTACGTTTAGGGACAGTAAAAGCAGCTTAAAAACACTTCCTGTAAGAAGAGACCATGTACCCATCTAATTTTTCGCCAGGTGTCGATTGACCTCCCCACCAATTCCAACGCGGAACCAGCAAATTCTAATGATGATGGCGACTGTCAAGTAATAGCTGATTCGCCGCCACCATATTACGATCCGATGGTATTTTGAAAATGAGATTAACAAAAGCAAATAGGATTACAATTATAATGACTGGCCCCCGAGCCCTCTGCCAAACGTTGTATCACCGAAGGCTGAGGATGTTGGTCAGGTTTGTGGGCTGTTTGGATTTATAATTGCTTTTTTGTTAGAATCCTTCTGGAGGGCGCAAACAAACGTCAAAAGAGCCAGAATGCGTCATACTCGACGACTCTCCACCACACAGAGAAAGCAGTCCGGTATCGTTCGTGGGTTCTTTCGCATTATCGGGGGAGAGTAATTTTTTTCCTAGGATCTAATTTTTCATTAAGACATATTGTTCGTGTTTCTAAACGGGAAAACTTTACGATTTTTATTTAAAAATTTCAAAATATCGATTTTTCGACAAAAAGTGACGATTTTTTACAAATATCGACTTTTTGAAACACTTTTTAAAGTTTTTATATAACTTTCCTAGTTGAAATATAGCTGTATATTACCAAAAAAAACTTTCTATTAAGTTACTAGACATTTTAGACCTTTACAAAAAGTCTCCCCCCGCTAATGCGAAAGAAGCTGTTCTTGGCTGGCCTCAACAACTAGCTTATAGGTGAAAAGACCGCCGAAACACGTTGCCACTGAAGAATTCGATAACCGCCAGCCCAGCCCTGATATTATCGCCGAAAAATGGTCTAGCAAGATTTTGGCCACGACTGACTCGCCCAAGAAGAAGCAAAGACGAACGAAAGATGAGATTACGGAAGAGAAATCTTTGAAAGAGGCCGAGAAGCTGAAGCGCGCGAAAGAAAGGGAGCAAAAAGAGGTGGCTACGCGCGTTTTTGGTAATGATTTTTTGCAGGTGGCCAGGAAGCGGGCGAAGATTGAGCGCGAGATTTCAGCGTCGACCAAGTCGCACGTGGAGAAGCATCTTTTTTGTCATATTCCGCAGAGCGTTTTTGATGATCACGGTATTCAATTGGTAGCAATGATAAAGATTTGATTTAGGTGGAGTTGAAGCCGCCGTGAAAGCGGCTTTTATTGAGCGGAATCTGGAGCCGCAGCTTGTTGTGAAACGGGGAAAGGATTCGAGCTTGGTAGGCTTAAGTTTTCGGGGTAAATTTGGGTTTTTTAGATAACTTTCCAACGGTCATGCATTGATCTGTTCGAAAAGTCGGATGGCGATGTGGAGAAGTTTGTGTATGAGGTTTGATTTTAGCGTTTCAGCCTCCTGAGGTCTGTCAAAACTTGCTATTCATATTTTTAGATACAAGAGCCATTCTTCGTGTATGTCATTGACGGGGAGACACTTTCGAGCACGCACAAGACACTGGCTCGCTCAATCGAAAGAGTCAAGGTAAAAAGAAGCATCTATTTCTGTTTATGATCTTTTTTAGACCGAGCTCTCGATACCGGCTTGTAACATGGTGGTGACTTGTATCGGGGCACCGAAACTCTCCAGTAATAAGGTGGCTTTTTCACTTATCTTGTAGTTAATTGGGCTTTTTGCAGCTCGCCTCGTTAAACGTCGATCTCTTTTCCTCGCTCCGGGTGCAGCTGAAAGTTTGTGGCGGGAAGGAGGAATTCGCGCAATACTTGGTCCAACTAACAAGGGGTCTGGCCAAGAAAACCGAGCATCGCAAGGAGGAATCTGCACAAGAGATTGAAAAGGTTTGTTTTCACGTATCGGATAAATGTTGTCAGGGAGTACGAACCGGCCCAGAGCTTGTAGGGGATTGGTGGGATCGAATGCTGACCACCATATATCGTTTATCAGCTGCTGCGAAGCGGGCCATTGTTAAGAAGATTCCATCACCGGTTGCAGGTAATTTTGGACGATTTAGGGTTCTTTCGCGTTATCGGGGGGTGATTTTTTGGGATGAGTCTATAAAGTCCTGGTACCTTAATAGGAAGTCTTTTAACAGCGTTTTTAGTAAATAAACCTCTGTTTCAACCAGAAAAGCTATTTAAAAACTTTAGAAACTGTTTTGGGTGATAAATCGATATTTTTTGTATTGTTTAATAATGATTTATACAGTTTTTACGTTTGCCAATGGTCAAACAGTTTAGAAACACTTCCACTACTTTTATTTGAAAAAATGGATCAAAAGAAAAAATTTTGTTTGGAATCTGGGTGTTGTTCAGGTGTCGATTGGGTGTCAGATGTCGGCGTCGACTCGGCCGTGCAAGAATTGGCGAACGTTGTGGGTTTCGCATCACCTCTCTCGTTTTATGCTTATTTTTTCAGGTATGCGAGAATGATCGCCGAATCGGGAATGCCGTGGCGATTCGCATTATTCGCATGCTCAGCGATATGGAAGGGGATCAATGTGTCGATTGATTTATGCAAGCTTTACCTGTCTTTTTCGCGATGTTAATTTACACGGGCTTTCCGCAAAATAAAGAGCAATACGTTGAAAAATAGCGCACTAATCCGCGGCACAATATATTACACTTACGCGGTTAGGTGCATATCGTTTTGCTCGTGATAGGCATCGAATGTTTATTTGTCATTTGCACGAGTACGTGTACGAGTCTATCCGAAAAACCGTCATGAATCGTGGCGCGATGCGGAGCGGTAGAGGGTGAGTGAGCCGCAGGAGGAGAGCGTGAGTGGCGATCGCGAGCGGGAAACGTTAACTGAAATCGGTTCTTGCGCATTACCGGGGAACTAACTTTTCCAAGGATACATTTTGTGTCATATAAATAGCGGACGTGTTTCTAAACTGTTTTTTAAACGTTAAAACTACAAACTTTATTAAAAAAAAAGACAAAAATAACGATTTTCGACCAAATATGGCCAATTTTCGACAAAAATTTCGCCTCTAAAATTTATTTTAGAGTTTTTAGATAGTTTGTCCACTTGAGATATAGATAAATGTTGACGAAAAACTTTATTAAAGCGCTTTCTACAAAGCTACTAAGCATTTCTGGGCTATAAGAAGAATCGGTCCACCGGATAATGGGAAAGAACCCTTAAATTAAAACATTTTTCTTTTGCTACTGCTTTCCCATTTTTTTGGCTCCAGAGTCATGCAAGGAATTCTTCTTCCCTGTCGACCTGTCATCCCGCCCTTGCCAATCATTACCCCGAGGCACTGCTATAAATCCAGCCCTCCCTCGCCCTATCTCCATGCAGCGATGTCCGAGTGGTTAAGGAGATTGACTAGAAATCAATTGGGCTCTGCCCGCGTAGGTTCGAATCCTGCTCGCTGCGAACTTTTTGCTCGCTAGTTTTTTACCAACCTCGTTCGAAGCTGCGCAGCTCCTGCACCTCGCGCAGCTCCACCTTTTCGCGTTCTTTTTGCTCTTGCAGGCCGGCGCGTTCTTGGCGGAATTTGAGATATTTCTGGAAATGGTGGTTTAGCTCGGTTTAATTTAATTGAATTCTATTAGCCGATAAAACGAAAACCTGATGGTAGAAGTCGGCAAACAGGAAGAGAAAGGCGATGATGCCGGCAGTGGTGACGGCAAGCCACGAGCGACTGACGTGACACTCGGCACCGCTGTAGATGACCCAATAGGCTTGGGTGCACGCCAGGAAGCCGACGACGAATTGCACCAATTGACCTGTAAGGACCTCGTTTTGTTATTTATAACCATAATAAGTGGCAAGTTTCAACCAAATCCAAATTTCTGAATAGAAGCTCGTTAAAACCTACTAAACGCCACCGACAAATAACAAGGATGAATGCCGCAAAATTTCAGCGGGGTCAGATAGGCGAAGAGCAGGACGTGCGCGCCCAGATTTGACAGGATCAACGGTCTAAGGTGGAGGTAATGCTCAAACGCCAGACAGCACCTCAGCAGCGCCACCTCGCCGGCGATGCTCGTCCAGAAGAAGTGAAAGGTGCAAAAGTGGTGGAAGATGTGGATGGGCAAAGGGCGACGGTCGTCGAACACGATCAGCACCGTTTCTAGGAAATTGTCGTAGCCAATGGATGGAAAGAAATACCTCCAAAGTCGAGCAACTTGGAGACGAAGAAGAGATTGACGGCCCAGCCGCTGAGAGGGGCTGGAAAGGGAGTTGATTTTCTTGTAGGAAATCAAGCGCTAACCGCTATAATATGAGGCTCGATCGCAGACTGTACGTGACCATCCTCTGGCTACCATCGAGATGAGAAAGTCGGGGGTGAGGAGCACGAGCAGCACGAGGGAGATGATCCCGTGGATGCGATACCTAGAGCAAAAACAACCGCTATCAATTAGATCAAAACTGGCTCATTTAAAGGCATAGGCAAGAAATCGCTATGGATTAGGTGACCATGAATTTTCGGTACTGGGCTGTTAGCGGGGGTGATTTTAGCCGAAAACAATTTTTTTGTAACTCATATATACATTTTATAACATTTGACAGTTTTTGGCACTTATCAAGTTGGGGGGGCACTTTGGTTTTCGACTTTTTGAGTCTTTCTAGGCTAGTTTTTTGTGCTGGTTCCGAATATAACAAAATCAGAGTAGTAAAACATCATTATCTAAACCTTTTGTAAGAATTAGAGATGCTTGCACCCAATTTGAGCCTAAAAATAAGGCTTCGTGCCACCCGGGGCCTAGTCGCTTCGGATGGGTGCGAGCTCGTACAGTGTTTCGAAATCGGGGCGCCCGAGCAGCGCGAAGCGCCCAGGCGCCCCGATTTCGGAAGAGTGGAGCGGCAGCCCATCCGAAGCGACGGCCCACCTTGCCTGATAATGCGGCAAGCCTAAAATTGTGCAGAAGTACACCTTTATTAATAAATTTTTACACTGTTTTTCTGGATAAACCCAACCGTTTCGCATGCTGTTGCGACTCTATTCGCACTCAGCGTAAAAAACTACCCCAGAAAGAGTCGAAAAACCGATTAAAAAAATGTCTCCTAATAGGTACCCAAAGTGGCCCCCCCAACTTGATAAGTACCCAGTTTTTAGATATAAAAATGCTAAAGGCCGATAAAACATTAAAAATTTTGTGCAAGAATGGATGAACAATGGCCAAAAACAGTCGGTTTCGAATTTTCATGTTTTTGACTTTTTTGAAATTTCTATCTATTATATACTACTAAAAACACCATAAAAATAAAGTTTATATTACCAACAGGTGGGCGATACAGGCGGGAATATAAAAATTAGTCCCCGTGCGAAACACTCCCCCCGCTAACAGTCCAGCACCCAATTTATGCTAACAGCCCACCAATACGGCATAACATTATGCTTGTAGCGGACGCGCCCGGGCAAGTAGACGACGATGGCGAGGTAGAGGATGAGCAGCGCGTACAGCAGCGGCAGGTTCCGCGAAGCCCACACAGTCAGTCGAGACATCTGCACCAAAAGCTTTTCAATTCCTGTGTTCGATCCAAGCAAAATTACGCTTTATTCATAGACACCAGCTTGAGACACATAAGCAATAAACGCTCTAAAAAATCACACACCTGATTAATGTTCTAGCCAGCAGAGACAAGTGAATGTAACTAAATTCACAAAATTAGACTCGGGTCCCTAGGATGAGCAAACCGTTAGGAAAGGAGACGAATACGAAAAAGTGGAATTCCGGGGTGGAAAATGTCAAAACGAACAACGATCCGTGCAAAACCGGTGGATTCAAATTACAGAAAAGCCCTAGAAATGGGGGCGGGGAGGGGGGAAGGGCGCCGACTGACGAGCACGGCGAAGGTGTCGTGTAGGTTGGCTTTAGGTGGAAGCTTCGGGGTGGTTATACCTGAATTAACTATATCAAAAATGTAGGAGTATAACCTACCGATAGTTAGCGATACGACAGCACTGCGTGAAGCCGGTCAGAAAGACGAAAACGTTGACGCTGAATTCAGACATTTTGATTGAAGGCAATAAATTCTGGTACCTGCACAGATAGTAGTTGACCGGGGTGATGACAAGGCAGTAGCGAGCCCAGATTGATCCAGTGGCAGCGAGGGCAAGATTCTAAAACGGTTAAGTGGTCGATAAAATGTGGTTATTTCGTTTCGGGGAACAATTACAAAATTTTTAGGTTCTTTCGCATTATCGCGGGGTCCAACTTATTTCTTAGAATCCAATTTTTCAAATATCAGTTGCGGAACTGTTTCTAAACGGTTTTTCCTATTTCTAAACGTACAAAGGTTACAAATTTTGCATTAAAAATATAACTTTTTCTATCAAAATTGGTCGATTTTTGATCAAATTTCCGACTTTCCAATACTTAAAGCGTTCAGATCGTTATTCTAGTTGGAAAATAATTATATTTTTCTAAAACACTACAAAAATACTTTCTAGTCAGTTACTAGAAATTTCTAGACTTACAGGAAACAAGATTCGCCCCCCCCCCCCCCGATAATGTGAAAGAACCACTTTTTAGACCTTTTTGGAAGTTTTCGAAGAATACTAGACATACCTGGGCAAAATTAGCCTTCCCCCTTGCTAAAACAAAAGAATCGAGAATTTAGATACCTGTGAAAGAGACAACTTCTCCGCCGGGCGAGCCAAATCCGCGATTCCAGCGCCGACAAGGGCCCATTTGATGGTGGGCGCCCAGAAAAATACCGTCTAGAAAAACCCAGTATTTTTAGGGAGAATTCACGGACCTTTGGCCCCGCGGCGTGATTCCAGGCGGGCTTGGCGAACGCTGGGAGAATGGGGTAAACGACCTAGCAAAAGCATATTCAAAAATTCACGAAAAAACGCACCTTATCCCCGACTCGACACAACGTTTGGTAGAGGGCCCGGTGCGGCAGCATTGTCCCAGTTATTACCTGAAAATGGAGAGTATACTATTTTTCTTCGTCGATCAGCAAAAATAAATTAGAAGAATACATTTATCACCCTTTTCAAGGCACCCATTATTTCTCGGAAACCCAATCTTATTTTTAACGTATCCATCCGGTGCGCGCGGCTAATTTGGTGTCCCATAAATCTTCGACGTCCCGCCGAATTTATGGGATTCGCCGAAGCCCCTGCGGTGGAGCAAGAAAAGCTGGGGATTTCGCTATAGTGGTGGACAAGTTGTTGTTTTGAAGTGGCTGGTTGGTGGGTGGGAAGGGGTCTCTGGAGCTGTTAACACCCATAAGCAGCCGTATTTGTCAGCGTCGGTCCATTTTTAAACCGAAAGAAAGCCTACTACTATGGACTTGCTATATCAAAAATCAGATTTAAACGGTAAAGCGCGACGCTAGGGCTATAAATATAAACAAAACGTAGCGACAGATGGCATCTAATCTCACATATACCTAGAAAAACTTTACTTTTTGCTCTCAAGTTTTAACTCGAGTTTACGCAACCTCCTGCCCGAATTTGACAAAATACAGGGTGGCCCGAAAGTACGTTGACCGGGTTTTTTTGGATTTTCTAAAAAACTTTAAGTACTGGCAGGGTCATATTGACATAGGATATTTCTTGCACAATTACTTTCAACATGGTATTATCACTTTTCCTATTGACTGACTTAAATTCGGAAAAACTGGCCGAGAAGATTGCTGAAAATGAGGTGCCGGCACGCGGGTACTCGGCGTTGTATTTGCCCCATAACTCAGCGAAGACCCAACTAAGGATGTTCAAATTTGGATGGGAACTAGCCAAGACCGAGGCCTTCAAGACGTATCACACCAAAAAAATTAGCCGGCCTAGGTTCTGCCTACAGAAGGGCGACTATGAGCGATCAAAAAACGCGTGTTTCAAAACCTTAATAATGGCTCCAGACACTTGCGCTCGTAGTCACAGGCAAAACAAGGCTATGAATTGTATTCCTTATGCAATTCTTCTAAATTTGGACAGGCGCGTGGAAGGCAACACTACCCCAATTTTCCGTTAGGACCGTAATTGCACAGCACATGGCGAAAATTCCTGAAAATGGTAAAATCTAAAATTAATCGCCTTTGGATAAAAAGGCATATGCTGGCTTTCTGAGTCATTTAGGAGGTGTGCCTAGCATTTTGGTAAAGCACGACCTTCCGGTGAAGGCTCAGGGCCCTCGCACAAGCGCAAGTGTCGGGAGCCGCTATTAAAGTTTAGAAACACGCGTTTTTTGATCGCTCATAGTCGCCCTTCTGTAGGCAAAACCTAAGCCGGCTAAATTTTTTGGTTTGATAGGTCTTGAAGGCCTCGGTCTTGGCTAGTTCCCAACCAAATTTGAACATCCTTAGTTAAGTCTTCGCTGAGTTATGGGGCAAATACAACGCCGAGTACCCGCGTGCCGGCACCTCATTTTCAGCAATCTTCTCGGCCAGTTTTTCCGAATTCAAGCCAAAAAATAGTAAAAGTGATAATACCATGTTGAAGGTAATTGTATAGAAAATAAAATATGTCAATATGACCCTGCTAGTACTTATAGTTTTTTTTAGAAAATCCGAAAAAACCCCGGTCAACGTACTTTCGGGCCACCCTGTAGGAAGAAAATTTCAAGAGACTTTGAATTTTCCGGTTTAGGACTAGAGTTTGGTCAAAACGAGGTGTATTGGAGCGTCGCGTAGCCGCATTTCCCGTCCAAATCCCCCAATTTTTCGTTACAGCCGAAACCACGGCAACCCGTATTTAACGCCCCTTCACGCCCTTTCGCGCCCTCCTGTATTTCGCGCCCCCTGTAAATAACGCCCCCTGTATTTAACGCCCTTCTGTATTTAACGCCCTCCAAATGATCACGAAAAGGGCGTTATTTACAGGAGAGCGTTAAATACAGGGGGCGCGAAATACAAGGGGGCGTTATTTACAGGAGGGCGTGAAGGGGCGCGAAAGGGCGTTAAATACGGGTTGCCCGAAACCACCGCTTGGGCACCGTGCAATTTTCTACCGCCAGATTTCGCAACAGAACCCCCGCCAGTTTCCTGTTTTAATTCCCGCAGATAAGCGACTGTCACGAGCGCTTATATCCGCCAGGGGAAATGGGCAATTCCCTGGGGTCCCCCCGAGGCCCCTAGGCTGCTTACGCTATGCTAGCTATTTTCGTCGGCCTGGGCCCTGGGTGGGCCCTCTGAATGGGGAGGGCCCTCCGAAATCGTGGGTGGTGTGTATGTGTGCCGTTGGAAGGAAGGAGCCCTCGGAGGGCCGTCCCCATTGATTTCCATCCTTCTGGGCCACCCTCCACACGATCCGGTGACGTTAGGCAGGGGCTATGTGGAAGGGGAGGAGGGCCCGGAGGCTGAGCCCGAGGGGGAGAGCATCCCGAGATGAAAAATTCATGGGCGAGTTTTAATTGAAGGCCGCGAAAATTGGGGAAATTTCGAATATTGAAACCGACGCTTTCCTAAGTTGCGCTTTTATTGCTAAAACAAATACATTTGCTATGTTCTAATACTGTTTAATTATCATACTCCTACTTTTTATTTCTTTGAAGAACGAGAAAGGTTAGTGAAAATGATGAAAATGTGGAAAATTGAAGTTAAAAAACTGACGTTATGATTCCATATTGGCCGCTACGATAACTCTGCAAAAACCAACTGACTAGACGCTCCAGGAGTGAAACCTGGGCCCTCAGCTTGGCGTTGCCCACACTAACCGTCTGCGCCACGCGCGACCGTGACGCTAGGATCCAAGAGCAAACCAGCAAAGGCAAAAAGTGGCCTATACAACCGGTTTCAACAATCCAACGCAAACAGTAATGTCCTCCGATAGTGACACTTTATTTCACAAGAAAGGAGCGAGGGTAAGTATCCCAATTCGGGAAAAGGTATAAACGTTGGAGTTGGAGAGAAAAAAGCCAGAGGGAGTTTGTTGGGACGGAATCACAGAAATGGCCAGATAGTAGGGCGGAAGCGGAAGCCTGCGACGAGGCCAAGAGGAGGGGGAAAATGAAAAAATAAGAAAAAGATTGGCAAAGAGGTGGTATACGCCGAGTTATGATTATGATTCTCATCGGGGCGGGACAGGGCGTGGAAATGCGCATATATTTAGTGTTTTGAAAAACAAGGGCGGCTCACAACCGTCGTTTTAGACAAATTTAGACTTTGCAACTAGGAAGGGGTGACTATATAAAAAATGGAGTTTTGGGTATGTTCCGGGGGAAATTCCGAGGGCATGAGGGTTTAAAAACTTCCGTACTGGACTGGTAGCGGGGGCTTTGCTTTTTCCGCCAATGTGTATACTGTAGTTTTATAGTTTTTAGTAGTTTTTCATCGCAAGAAAGTCGTAAAAATAGTTAAGCAAATAACAACGCAGGAAAATTCTTTCGACTTCTTGACCAAAAAAGTAAAAAAAAATTACGGAATTTTTGTTATAAACTTGGTATCTAAAAACTGTATAAAACGCTATAAAAATGGTTGATATTTCGTTTAGGACCGTCAGGGATTACTGGGAGGAAAGTCCCCGCCCCCCGCGAACAGTCCAATAACAAAAAATTCCCTAAAAAATGTTTTCACGCCGGAATTTCCCCCCGAATGTGACATACCGAATCGGGGGAGGCTAGCGCAATCAATCGATCAACTTTTTCGAGTAGCCGATGGAAGGGATAGTTGAAGAGAGAGTGGAGAGAGAGGCGGGCGGGTGGCGGGTGGCTTTGTGCATCGACTATTCGGGGTTTAAAGAAAAGTGACGATTGCAAAGATTAAAAATGACTGGTTAGTGAATGGTGGGAAGAGAGAGAATCTCTGACTATGCACAGACATTGTCGATCGTTTAGCAGCAGCCGCCGGAGCCGCCGAGACCCGTGCCGCCAGCCGGCGAGTTTGGAGAGGATGGGCTGTGCTGCGGGCCCAGCTTGATGCCGTTCGCCTAAAAACGTTGATAATATTTATTATTATCGATAATCGCGGTGATTTTTGCACCGAATAACTTTTCATAACCGGCGTTATTCCTTTTTTTCGTTTCGTTGTTCGAAATGGTATATTATTCTCCAAAATCTCCGAAAGTATCACCTCATTGTTAATATCAAAGACGCCTTCCTGGATCTTTCGATAAATTTCCTTGGCCGTGTCGATGAAAGCCTGAAAATTGATAAGCTTATCAGCAAGCAAAGGGTCAGCATTCTCGAAACACGAAGAGTGACCGAGGTGAGTAAGATGATGCTCATAACAAGACTGCAAAAAATACCTCCTCGACGTTGGCGGCAGTCTTGGCAGAAGTCTCCATGAAGACGAGGCCGTGCTCGCGGGCAAAAGCTTCGCCCTCCTCGCGTTTCACTTCACGACGAGCCTCGAGATCGCTTAAAAAGAATTTAATAAGCTTTGAGAAACAGTAAAAACTTGAAACAACTTTGCTTAGAACATCGCTGCCGTGGTTTAGAATTTGACAATGCTAAGCGCCTAAGTCTAAGCCTAAGCCCAAGCCTATAAGCCTATCACAATTTTGGTGGAGAGAGAGAGAGAGAGAGAGAGAGAGAGAGAGGCCGCACCTCTTATTCCCAATCAACATGATGACCATGTTGCTGTTGGAGTGCTGTCGAGCGTCTTCGAGCCATGAAGAAAGATGATTGAAGGTGTCTCGTCTAGATTTTTTCATAGAAAAATACTTTCAGTTTGCAACCTCGTGACGTCATAGCAGAGCAACGCTCCAGCCGCGCCGCGGTAATACGATCGAGTGATGGAGCGGAAAGATTCTTGTCCTAGACAAAAAGTTGAGGAGCTTTGGGGTTAGTGCTAACCTGCTGTGTCCCAGATTTGAAGTTTGATTTGTTTCCCGTCAATGCTGATCATGCGAGCACCGAATTCGACACCTGAAGGAATTGTTATAGACAATTTCTGTGTTTATTCTCGTTAAAAACTCGAGTTTTCCACGAGAAATCCTCAAGGCTTACCAATTGTGAGATCATGGACGGGTTGAAAGCGTTTATCCGTAAACTGCAGGAGGAGGCAAGACTTTCCGACACCTGAATTGCGAAAAGTTTTTTTGTGAATTCTTGCTTTTGTGTTTTTTTTGCTAGTGGAATAGGCTAAAAAGTCTCAAAAAATGCCTGCTCACCTGTATCACCGATGATGATGTACTTAAACAAGTAAGCGTACGACATGTTGATTTTCTGAAAAATCGGGCTTAGATTTAGGTTTGTTAGGGCCGGCAGAACGAGCGGAAATATTTAAAAACTGGGAAAATCTAAAAGATAGGACGGTGAAGTTTTGCGAATAACCAGGCCGTTAATTAGCGATCTTCAACAAGGCTTGCTGTATCGACTAAACAAAAAGGCAATTTTGGAGGGTTTGCGAAATTGGTTCTCAAGCACAAAGGAGGCAGGGCACTTTGGTCCAAGGTTCCAAGATACTCCAAACTACTTTTTCAACTTCCAAGCTTACCCATACGCTAAGTTAAGTTCAGTTTCATTGACAACCAAGTCCAGGCCAGGCTTAAGCTACGGTATGCCCATAGCAAATCAGCCCTCAAATGATGGTTTCACAAGCCCTTATGGCTAATTAAAGCTAAGCAAAGCCGAGCTTCAGCTTCGGCCGAAGCCGGGATATTAAGGTTAAGCTAAGCTACGCCTAAGCCCATAGATAAAGCTGTCACGGAAGCGGAGTGTCTCGTAACCTTTGCCGACAGAAATTGCCAAATCATCAAAAATAAGTCGGTTAGAGAAAATTTCCATCGTTTCCATAGGTTACGCAACAGACCCTAAAGTCAGTATCGAGCAAGGGGGGGAACGTTGACAAAAATAAACAGCCGTTTCTCGAGGGGGAAGAGGGACAGTTGAGGGACGAAGAAGAGAATCATGTGGGTTTGTGCGTGTGACTGCTGCGAGAATCAATAGCTGTGCCCGTCTGCCTCCCCTCCCTCCTCCCCTTTTCGCTCTTCCAACCGGGACCCTAGACCGGGGCACCGAAAGAGGAGAGAGACAACTGATGAAAGAGAGGCGCCAGACGGCAGAGAACAAGTGCCGCGCAAAAAGCGGCCGCAGCCCTATAGGGGCACTAATGAGGAGTGAGTGCCATACACCGTATACTTCTCGCCTTCGTCGTTAGATGAACCGGGATTCGTGGACAGGCGTGATCTAAATTGCAAAGAGCAAGGTGCAAAAACTCGCCAGAATTCCTGGTGATTTTAAAGGGACGGACAAGGCAGGACATCAACGCACGTTCGGCGTTGCCGCGATGAAGGAATAGCAATTCATTACGCAATGACAACGGCATGCGCGTTGCGTGTCGAGTGAGTGGCAAAATCCATAAAGAATCAGCAGCGTCTGCCTTACCAGTTCCTTTAACAAAATTCCAAGATCGGTCTGACAAAACGCATCACAAAATCACAAAAACCGTCAATAAGGGACCTAGCGCAATAATATATCAAAAATTAAATTATCTTTTTAAGGGAAAGTTTATTCGGCGATAATACAAAAACACACAAGGGATAGCAAAAAAAATCGAGTAATAATATTCATTCAGCGTGGTACTTCTTCTCGCCGCGCACCGAGCCCGAGTCGATCCTGATCTTCTTGAATGAGCTGCCGGGCACCTCGTACTTTGCGTTCCGCAACGTCCGCTCGAGGATTGACCTGAAATCGAAGGATTTGCAGGAATTTGAGGGGAGCTATACCTGAGGGCCCTTGCGCCAGTCTTCCGCTGTACAGCCTCGTCGGCAATGGCCTCGATGGCGCACGGGGTGAAGCTGAACGGAGATATATTGAAGCGCAAATAGCAGTAGATTACCCCAAGTCAATGCCGTCTAGTGAGAGTAGTCGGCGTTCTTGTTGTAGAAGGCTGTTGGCCGGTTCGTTGAGGACCCTGACGAGAAGCGACCGATTGAGCGAGTGGAACGGGACAAAGACGGGGAAGCGCCCAATCAGTTCCGGAATCATGCCATATCTAAAAGGCGAATATTTCTGGGGTTTTCCCGTATTTCCGTACCATTATTCAACGTGAAAACCAAGAACTTTTGATAAAATACTAAAAGCTCGTTACTCCCAACAAAAATTGTCGATGTTCTACCAAATTTCAATCTTTAGACGTTAAAGAGAATTTTCTATGCTTTTCTCACTCGAGACTCACGTTTGCGAAAAAAAAACAAACAAAACCGCCATTTTTTCTATGCAAAAATTAGTTTTATGCGCTTAGCGCAAATCAAGGAAACTCGCTCGATCAAGTCTCCCTGGTCAGCGAGCATCGTGAGCTGATCGCGGTGTTGGGCACGTTCCTGCTCGCAGCCCTCGCTCAGCCCGGCCATGCGGCTCGTTGTCGATGACCCGAAGCCAAGAGAGCGCTCCTCCAGTCGACGCGCCACCACGCGCTCCAGACCATTGAACGCGCCCGAGCCGATGAAGAGGATGTTCTTCGTGTTCACGTCCACCTTCTGCATCGGGTTCAACGGGTTCTTCACCTAAAGGGAAATAAAATTGTTGACAAAGATAACAAGGCCACCTTGACCATGTGTCCTTCGACAAGCTTTAAAAGGCCGGTTTGCACGCCGCGTCCGGAGACGTCACGGTTTCCGGTGGAGTGCACCGGATCGGAGCTTGTGTTTATTTTGTCGAGCTCGTCGAGGAAGACGATCCCGGTCTCGGCGCGCTCGACGTCACCGTCGGCATTCTAGAAAGGGTTCTAAAAAGAAGAAGCCACTATCGATACCTGGAGAAGCCGGGCGATCACCGACTCGACATCCTCGCCAACATAGCTAAAACAAAAACTTTCGAATTACAGGAAGTCGTACCCAGCTTGAGTAAGAGTTGTGCAGTCGCACATGGCGATTGGGACGTGGAGGACATCGGCCAGCTTCTGAGTCAGATAGGTCTTGCCGCTTCCGGACGGGCCGCCGAGGATGATGTTAGACTTTTCGATGGGCAGCTCTTCCTAAAATAAGGTTTGAAAAAACGTTTAAGAATACCGGGCGGGGTTGCTCGTAGCTCGACATCTTGTAGCGGGCCATCGTCAGCGTGTCAATGAGGCGCTCGCGCGCACTGAAAAAAGAATAAACGCCAAAGCTAAGGCTCAACCTCCTAAATTCCACTTCCTCGGGCTCCATCTCGATGTAGGCCTTGCCCTTGCGGAATTTGAGTGGCCGCGCCTCGACCGATGGAGGGCGCTGCTTGCTGGCCCGGCTCTCGAGCAGCATCTCACGAATTTGGCGGGTCTAAACACCACGATAATTACAAATCCCAGCGGTGCAGATACCTCTTCCACATCAAGATTATGGAGGAGACGTTGGTAGTGTTGGTAGACGGCAACGGCGAGCACGCGCTTCGCGTCCTCTTGGCCTGAAGCGGAAAAGTTAATTGAACCAAGCAAGGTCCCACCGATGACATGGCGATCGAGATATTCGACAATCTCCTTGGGGTAGGGGAGGTAGTGGGGCTGAGGAGGCTGGAGGGTGCTGGAGGAGCCCGAAGACCTTGGGAGGATCAGTGAGCGGGGCGGCGGAACGTCGGCTCCAGATGATGAGCCCTCGCCGGAAGAGTAGAAGCCTGAAAAAAGTAAGAGTTGGAGAAAACCAAATAAAAGAATAAAAATCGTAAAATGAGAAATTGTAATACCCTACGTGGAAGATAAACGCTTTTAGGTGAAGCTAAGGTTTAGGTGGGGAGGTTAATCCAAGAAAGTAATAATATGTACAAATCTAAGAAAGGGTTTGGGGAAGCATAAAAAATTTCCCACGAAAAGCCGGCAGATTTCTTTGGAACGCAGTTACGTTTAAAACATCGTTGTAGCTTCATCGGCTCACACCCACGCGACGGTTTCCCCGGCGTCGGCCTGTCGTACGTGGTCAATTTGCCGCGTGGCGGGTTGCGGCGACGGTTGCCGGGCACGTATTGGAGGTGTTGCGCCTGGGAAGTCGAGAAACCAGCTGCAAATGACGGCGTCATCTTCAAGGCGGCCCCTCACAAAGTCCCACCTCGCGCCAGCCGGCCGCCCAGCGTTTGGGGGTAAAATTTCAGCGAGGCGAGCATATTGTCAGTGACGAGTGTAGGAAGTCAGTCGAGTAATGTCAAATGAGGCATGGGCCAGAGGAATTCCTTTTATTCGTGGGAAACACATGTAGATGAACATTATATTTAACAACATGCAAATTAGCCCGTATTTCCGTTTCGTGGGGGGCCGGCCGCCCATTAGGTTTTAGCAGCTGCTCAAGTCGACGAGGATCTAAAATGAACGTGAGAAAAAGAAAATGGTTATTTCTTTAGAAACAAATAATTTTACAATTTTACAGGAAGTCCTACCGTTTCCGGTCGGGATCGGTGAGCACCAATTAGGTGCTCTGGGCCGTTTCCGCGATCCGCCACCTCGACATCTCCGACGGAAATGAACTGAAAACGACAACCGATCGTCATTTTCAGTGACAATACGTCGTAGTTGGCTTTTCTCTAAAAACTAAAAAAATCAACTAACGTTCCAGTTTTGCGGCTCCTCCAGCGAGTGTCTACGGGGTCCAGCGGATCCGATCGGCCTCGAGATTGTGGCCGAAAGCCGGCCGTCTAAAGTTGTCTATTATTATCGACCAGTATCAAGCTTAGGCTTCTCGCGTAGCAACCACAAACCGTCCCATTGAAGCTCCTCAACTCGAACAGCAGGCGACGAATCGAGACGCTCGGGTGGAGCATAATCATTCGTAGCTCCTAAAACAATGTAAGGTACGGCCTTTTTAGCCCTATCATAAAGGTTAAACCCCAACTTACCCGTTTCCACGGTCGCCTTTCCATTCACGATTTTGAAGAGAACAAATTCCAAGTTGTACTAAATGCATATTTTCCCGCTAAATACCCTGAAAACCATGCTCTCGCCAAAGGCGATTCCTGTGAATTCCCGCTCGTCGATTCCACTATTCTCGAACGAGATCGTCACACGTCCGTTGCTGACCTGTTCGAAAATGATTGCATTTTTGTTTTGATGTACCTTCCAGCTTGAATGCACCTTTCCCCTGCTGAACTTGCAGGCGGCAAAGACGCAGCTTGCTAAAATCGCATGAAATTCTCAATTGTCAAGCCAAACCCACCCAATATCACCAGAAGCAAAGCCTGTCGCAACATTTTGGATATCTAGAAGACAAATTCTATTGGAAAAACTGGAACGAATAATGATAAAAAGAGCATAACGGTACACAAGGGATCTTCTGGGTTCAAAAAAATCCCGAATTTAGCGAACTGGGTAACATAACGGCCTGCGCCTGGATGGGAACGGCGGTGTTGCAGAAAAAGAGGGGTGGGAAACGAGACTACCGGCGGAACGACGACGGGGGCTCTCGTAGATAGTGGATACAAGCTATCGCTCGGATAGGATCATCCTGCGCGAAAAAAAAGGATAATCAAACAGGATGCGTATCCTCTGATCGGCTCGGCGGCACCTCGGCTATCAATCATCCAGTCTCGGCTAGCAGTGGCCTACAAGCGTTGGATGAAGGCACCGCCGAACTGCAGTTTTGTTATTGCTCCCAGGATTGAAGGCCACGGATTGGACCATCAGTAGAAAAATGGCACTTATTATCCGAAAAATCTCGGCATTTATGCCCCAGCTATGACAGGAGCTTTAAATCGAAAAGGCAAAAAGGGCTTGATGATATGACAGATGACAGGGAAGTCCCGGCCGCCAGGGAGCCTATGATCCAAGCGCAGGGACAGGATAGATACGCGCTGTTCCACCAACACGGAAATCAGGCTTTATCCGATCCCGAAAGTTTTCCTCGTGTACATGACTAATAAGAAAATGAGAAAACGCAGCTCAGACATCAATTTCTCAACCAACAACAAACATTTATTTGCCAAATTTACAATTTTCAAGTAGAGCGAATCAGAAACAAAAAACTGCATCAAGTGTACCTAAAAACCATTAGTCAGCCCTGGAGGTAGTTTGGCTAATTGGGGTCGAGTGGCGGATGGGCTTCATTTCCTAAAAGAAAGTCAAATATAGACGATGTTCCAAGACGTACCGCACGCAAATTTTCGACGTGGTCGGGCTTCTTCATCTCTTTCATGATGATTCGAATTACTTCTTGCATTACAGAGCGTTCAAATTGCAAAAGCCCGTGGGTCAACTCCTTGTTGCGTCTCGTCAAATCGTGCAGTGTCTCCTAAATAATGCAATAAATCAAAAAAGGATTTCTTACCATAATCGAAGCCGCAGTTCTCTCCTTGTTCCCCGTCGTCGTGTTATTTTCTTCATCTACCAGCGTGCGCCCGGGAAAACTCTCGTCAACCTAAACAGTTTTTAAGGAGTATATCTAGCACAAACCATAGCGATCATGTCTTTGATGTCCTCCTCGATTTGGCCGGCAATCTCAAATTGTTGGAGTTCAACTGCAGCAAAATGATTCACTAGTTCCTAAAAGCACCATATTATGACGGACATCAAAAGCATACCGGATCGTCGAAAAGAGTTCCGATCGGTGGAATAACATCCGCGTATCGGCGGATACCGAGCTGCTTGCACATTGCCGCCCGCTTCGTCATGTATCGATGCTTTACGGCGCGGCGCGCAGCTTCATGTTCGACGTCGGGATCAACTATAATAAAAATAGGAGTAAGCTTGCAAACCGCTAATTATACCTGGAGCTTCTTTCGACTTTCTGACAGCGGCTCGGGTGCGGAGTCTTCGGGGTGAAAAACTGGGCGCCGGTGGTTCGCTTTGATCCATCGGCTCGTCCAGCTTACTGCGTTTCGGCATTGAATGTGGAGTTGACCTGCAAAGGTTAGATGGTTTTTTTAATAGAAAAGTGGAAATAAAAACAAGAAAAGAATCGTAAATAGAAGCAGAAAATCAAAAAATATGGATGTGTACTTTCCACACCAAAAGCCGCTGTACGACGCTTTCCACTGGACGATTTACGCAATTTGGCGTCCTCGGAAGCAATACTTTCAAGCTTTTAGCCTTTTCAAAATAAAGGATACAAAAACAAACTAAAAAACAATTTAAAAAAAACAATAAAAATCCCAATCAAATCCAAAATATACACAAAATGACGCTGTGCTACGCTTTCCACGGAACGATTTGCGCGTTTGAAGCCCCTCGGAAGGAAGGTTTTAGATTTTTCTTTTTATTTGTAATACTTATCAAACTCTGCAAGCTTTAATTTTATCGTGTAATAAAAACAAAGGCAATATCGTAGTTGACGATTGTTATTTGTACAGTCAACGTGCTTTATTGGTTCAATTCGATGCCATTCTGTTCGTAGAGACCATTGAACCGCGAGCTTTCTCGATTGTTGTAGAGAGCCCTGAAATGTTGATTGGTTCGTCCAAGTTTTCGATTAAAGTATAGCCCTACCTCTCCGGTACGGGGTTTAGATAATAATTTCGGGCTTGGGCTGCTTGGGCTTGGGGTTGATTACACTGATTCGGGCAGACGCTTGTCTATAAATCGTTTAGTATAATTTGGTATAATTGAAAAACCGATTTTCCTGCCGCAGCCGCTCCTAAACTGCCATCTGCATTCATCGGGGATGCGGAGATGAACTAAGAAAATTGATTAGGAAAAGTGAAAGGTAAATTACGTTCCAGGTGACGCAGTTGTCTAAGGAAACGCTTCGCGTTCCACTGGCGGTGACGGGCCGTTGAAATTCGGCCGTTAATCGGTTGCCTAGAGTCGGTTTCCTGTAGATAATCCTTTTCAAACGTACTATTATAATTCAAGAAGATTGGCTCGACATCTGGCTGTTGGTCTAGGGAGATGACACTTCCAGAATTTGATAGTAGACCTGGATATTTTGATTTTATTGGCTTCCTTACTCACCCGTGCTAAGTATTCCCTGGTAGTTTTGCACCTTGAAAATGACGGCTTCTAGGTTTCCCTAACGTTTTTTTTAGCGTTAATAGGTTTTGGTATTACCGTCAAATCGCCAAACGCCAGCCCGGTCCATTGGCTGGTGGCAAGATTTTTATTGACAAAGTTGACGTAGAGGATTCCGTTGGCCACCTAGAAAGTTTCTCTTTCTCTGGAGTACGGCTTCTTACGCTCCAGTTTGATGCTATGGCGCCACTTTCGAAACTGCATGGGTTTGCAGATTGGGCGTTGGCTAGAAAAGGCGTTCATTTTTATATAATTACTTGCCATAGCTAAAAACAAGGCACGCAGTAATCAAAGCGAGCATTTTAGAAGTAGAGGAAGGAAATAATGGACTTGTGGTGCCAAATGTTGACCTAAATAATGATCACCCCTGGCCGAGCGAGGGAGGACACGTCGTTACTCATTTTTCTATTTTTCATTTTACCCCGCCTCCCCGCCCGGGGTGAGTTCTGTTTGTTTTAAAAGAAGAGGGAGTTGTGGTAAGCCGTTAGCCCGGGCGCGGTCAGCATTTCTATTTAGCACCTCGCGCACCCGGATACGGTGGTGCTCTTTGTGTTTCGTTGGCGCTGCTTGTTGGTGTGTTTGATGGATCCTTGGAACATTCGGTTGTTTGCAGGATGAACGAAACATAGAAACGATTTATTCGTCCAGAAATTGTGGTAATGGCAATATAAGGGGTTGTTATTTGTAGCCGTGCGGAAATTCGGTGTTTTCGAAGAGTCGAGCCCGTTCACCGACACTTCGATAGCCGCCCTCTCTGGAGACTTTCACCGATTTCGTGAGGTTGATGTAGGAATCTGTTTCTAAACGAGAGTTCTATCGAATTCTTGGCTTTTTTACCCTTCTTGTTTGAGATCTCGGCTCCTGGTCTGGGTGGTGTTGTGTAGGTTTCGTACTTCTAAAAAGTTATGGTGCTTTCGCGTTATCGGGGGGGGGGCTTGATTTACCTTTATGGTCCTCGCCCGAAAAGTGTTTTTTCGGGTCGGAATCGATCTAGAAATGATCAAAATGTAGTTTTCAGTGAAAAAAATGCGCCGGAAAGAAGTTTTTGAGGGCTAAAAAGACCTTTTTTGCTAAAAGTCGGGGACCATAAAAGGGGGTACGGGGGTATGTCGTTTATGGTCCTCGGCTAAAATCCAGTTTTTCGCGTCGGAAACAATCCAGAAATGTTCAAAATGTCATATTCAGTGAAAAAAATGCGCCGGAAAGAAGTTTTTGAGGGCTAAAAAGACCTTTTTTGCTAAAATTCGGGGACCATAAAAGGGGGTACGGGGGTATGTCGTTTATGGTCCTCGGCTAAAATCCAGTTTTTCTTGTCGGAAACAATCCAGAAATGTTCAAAATATCGTTTGCAGTTCAAAAAAAGCGCCGGAAAGACCTTTTTTAGCTGCAAAAATTATTTTGGTACAAAAATTCATTCAGCCCAGTTTTAGCCTAAAAATAAGGCTTCGTGCCACCGGGGGCCTAGTCGCTTCGGATGGGTGCGAGCTCGTACAGGGTTTCGAAATGGGGGCGCCAAGGCCGGCGAAGCGGCCGGGGGCGCCCCCATTTCGGAAGAGTGAGCGGCAGCCCATCCGGAAGCGACGGCCCGCCTTGCCTGACAATGCTAGTGCCGCACCTTGTTCAGAAGTCTTAGGCGACCACGAACATCTTTCCGGCACTTTTTTTCGAAGTATTATGAATTTCCAACAATTATCTATTGATTTGGTAAAAGACAAAACACTTTTCAGGTGGGGACCATAAACGACATACCCCCGTACCCCCTTTTATGGTCCTCGAATTTTCAGCAAAATAAGTCGTTTTAGTGATTAAATCCTTCTTTCCGGCGCATTTTTTCACTGAATATGACATTTTGAACATTTCTGGATTGTTTCCGACAAGAAAAACTGGACTTTAGCCGAGGACCATAAACGACATACCCCCGTACCCCCTTTTATGGTCCCCGAATTTTAGCAAAAAAGGTCTTTTTAGCCCTCAAAAACTTCTTTCCGGCGCATTTTTTTCACTGAAAACTACATTTTGATCATTTCTAGATCGATTCCGACCCGAAAAAACACTTTTCGGGCGAGGACCATAAAGGTAAATTTTCCCCGGGGGGGGGTTTTTGTGTAAGTCCAGAAATAGCTAATAACGTTCGTATATTAATAATGTTTTAGTCAAATTTAACTATATATCACGAGGAAAAGTATCTAAAAATTGAAAACATTTTTCAAAGTCGAAATTTTGTTGGAAAATGGCCCATTTTTCAAAAAGCCTATGTTTTGTTGTATTTCTTAATAAAAATTTCTCAGATTTATGTGTTTAGGCATATTAACACCCAGTTTAGACCCCCGATAACGGGAAAGGACTAGATTTAGCGTTTTTTTTTAACTCACTAGAATTCGATTCTGAATACGTTGATTCGGCTTATTTGTGGGCTGCTCGAATTGCTGGAGGTAGATTTTGCGTTCCTTTTCGGTCAGTCTATCCACGTCGGCTGCTTCTATCATCTGTAAGGGTCTTATTTAGCTATTCGCTATTTTTGGGGTTTCTATTAGCAGATCTGGCTACCGTATTCTCAGGCTCTGGCTGCGCTTCCGGTTCGTCGGGCAGTTCGTTTAGCACTTTTTCGATGACAGCAAAATCGGTGAACCTGAATATTAATATGCCTAAGAATAACAAAATGACAGCCCAACCTAGTGAGCGCAACGGTAGATGGGGTGCTTGGTGTTGTCGGGGGCACCGGAACTGGCGGGGCAGGCCATTCTTCGGTGCTCGACTGGGCTGATAGCGGCTAAAAAGTCTAGGTTGGTAGTTGTTGGTTCTTTTGCAGTATCGGGGGGGGGGGGCTTTATGGGGGAAGTTTGCTAATTTCTAAATAGTTTTTTACTATTCCTAAACGTGAACGATTTCAAATTTTCTTCAAAAAATACAAAAATACCGATTTTTCCACACAAAAAACATGTTTGTTTTGTTTGAAAAATGGTTAATAAAAACTACATTTTTCTACGCTTTGTAAATGTTCTTAAGCTTTAAAAATAGCTAAATTTTATCTAAAACTAAAAACATTTTTTACATTGCTATTCATTTCTGGACCCAGACCAAAATCCACCCCCCCCCGATATTGACAAAGCACTGGCCATTATGTCCTAGCTCGTTAGCGGGGGGGGCGAGGGTTAATGGGCGCCCCCCGCTAATGAAACAGAACCCTAACAATTACCCCCCCCCCGATTTGACCTACAGCAAAAACCCTCAATTGTAGTGTTCGCGGCAATTCGGGGTTGACGGCCATCGGGGATGGGTTGGGGATGGATGGTCAATGAATCTCAGACTGCCCTTCGGAATGTAGCCCCATTCCCCCTGCAGTCCCCCGTGCCCACAATTTGCATTTAGGCCGATTTGTGGTGGGTGTGCAGTCGGAGGGGGAGTGATGGGTGGTGGGAGTGGACTTTTGGCTATGATGAGTCAACAAAGATCACTGCTGATTTTTTGGAGGGCCCCTGGTCTCTTGTTGGTCTCCATCGGGGATGGGTCATTTTCATCCTGTCTCAATTTTTATCCAGGAAATTCCGGCAAAACAACCACCTATAATGGATTCCCTTATCCTCAACCAGAAACACAAATTCGGTTTTACTGAAGTTTTTCCATGCTTTTGCATACGTGGGATTTTGGTACTGGAATGTTAGTGGGGGGGACTCATTCTTATTTTCCATCTATACCTATCTGTTAGTAATAAAATAATCTCTTTAGTAGTTTTTGGTTGCTCGAAATTTCTAAAGACTATAAAAAATTAAATATTCGCAAATTTTGACCTTTTGTTGCCCATTTTCCACACATTTTTTTACTCAAAAGGCAAGATTTTCGAAATGTTTCTCTATTTTATGAGCTGTTTATATATAAAAACTATGCAAAATACTATAAGAATGGGTTTCATTTCGTTATAGGGTCGTACCGGATTACTGGGAAAAATGGGTTTATCCCACTCGTTATACGAATCAAAAACGCTACTTCCCCTAATAATCTCTAGATACCTTCTTCTCCACAACCGGAACAACCAAGACCGGCTTCACGGTGAGAGGCGCCGGTCTTTCCTGAACTGCTTGAACCTCCGGGCGTCGATAAGTGTAGAACGTAGGGTCGATGCGGTATTTGCCGGAAGTTGATGTCTCGTTGGAGCTGAATCTCCAGATTATAAATTAATGGAAACCAAGTATCACCTTGTTGATTGATTCCTAAATTCTGCGTAGCTTTTGCTCGGAGCAACAGTTGACGTGATTGGACTAGGTGTTTTTGGGGATTCCTGGCGGACAGGCGAGTCGAACGGCTTACCAGTTACCTGGAATTTAATAGAACATTTTTGCACTACTTTTGCTTAGTCAACTAATACTTTTCCGCATGTTTAATTGGCGCTATCTATCTTTTTCAGTTTTTTGGTGCTTTCCTGTTATCGGGGGGGGGGGGTTTGCGGGGAATGGCAATGGTATTTCTGGGAGAGGGCAAAAATGCTTAGTAACCTAAAAGTAAGTATTTTAAGATGGTGTTTGATAAGATATAACTATATTTCAAGTGGAAAACCATGTAAAAAACTTCAAAACTTTTGAAAATTGGAAATTTTGCTCGAAATCGACGATTTTTCGTCGAAAATCAATATTTTTGAATTTTTACTAAAAACGGTTTCTCTGTGTTTCTAAGTTGTGCCAGAACTTTCGGTTTTCAAATTTTGAAGTTTTTAGATAGTTCTTCCCCCCCCCCCCGATAATGTCAAAGAACCTAATTAATATATACAGTTTGCGATCGTTGTTGTCGAACTTTTTAATTAGTTTTACTACCTGTATCATCGTGCCCGGGCTGGTCACCAGCGAAATGTAACTGTGCCGTGGCGATGGCGTGTTGGCGTATCCTACCTAAACATCGATATAAAGAAATTAAGGTTTGCAAAAACCGGGGTTTCCGTGCCGAGCTGCGGGGCTGACGTGGTCAATCCGGCCGGCCGAACGAGGGGATACGGGTCGAATTCGATCTCCACCTGCTGGTTGTCGGTTGTCGTAAATTGGAGACGGTCTTGGGGGCGGGTTCCAGGGCTTAAAAACACCATTTAAAAAGTTTTAAAGCCTACTCTTCAACTTTGAAAATCCCATTCGCATGTCCGTTCGAGATTTCGGATGATTTTGCTGAAATTAATAGCTATAGGTATCGAAAAATGCGAACATTGATCGAGGGTCGTATAAAGGGACGTCTGGCTGCCCAGCGGAGTTTTCCCCGATAGAATGGTTGTCTAAATCATCTAAAAAAAGGTATTTGTAAGCCTCACCGATCCAAAATGGACGTGCGTCGCCTCGGGGCTTAGCGTGTTGATGTTGTTGTGGGCTGAAATGTGAACGTAGTTAGGTATTTTGGCGTAGTCTCAATTTTTTCGTGGCATAATCCGTTTATTATGTCAGTGGGGATGGGGGACTAGACGGAACATGCAAATTTCAGGTGGTGTTTGGGCGAAAAACAGGCTAGCACTTTTTGAGGGGTGGGTGGGATTTGAAGGTTTCAAATTTTTAGGTATTTACAGGACATTGTCAAAGATTTAGGCTAGACGCGTGAGAATCTCTTAAAAGTATGGATAAAAATATCTCACTACACTACACTCCTATAGCCGTGTACATCGTGGAGTGAATCACCTTCTCCGGCAACAACTTCTTCTTGTTCAGCATCCTCCGAAGTTCTATACGATTCTTCCAGCTCATTCGGTGGTAGATGATCAGGAACGGCCGGCATCAAGACTTCGTGATCCCCGTACATCGGCAGCTCACTGTGTCTGCTCATTTCATGTTGGATGCTCTGGAAATAAAAATCGTAATGAAAAATACATAAAGATAAAAATTCGTAACAAAACAAATTCTAAATTCTGCGAAAACTACCGTAAGAATCGGGCGATCGAGGCGCGGGATGTCTGCAGGGGGTTCCATCCGTTGCTAAAATTTTGATAAATATTTCATAGAAAATTTTTTACCATAGTTTTCCTCGACGACATCAAGAAATCGATAACCGAGTCGCGCTTTCGAGATCGGCTGAGAAGTTCCTCATTACATGCGATAGACGTTTCCAGGTAGTTTTGGCCGAGCTAAAAAGCACGCAATTTTACACCGAACAGATGGAGCGCCTACGAATGCTCCAACTGGCGGATGCAGCCGGTCCGAATCGCTGATTTCCATTGGCGGGATGAGGCCTTCTGGATAGATCTAGAAAATTATTTTTATGATTGATTTCGAGCGATAAAAAGCTCATTAAAACTACAAAATTTTTCGAGATAATCCGACTTTTTGGTCAAAAAGAAAAACTTTTCGAATCTTCAAAATTTTTGAAATATTCTTGACACTTTTATATAATTACAACTACTATAAAGATATTTTTATGACAAGCATTACTAAAAATATCCCTACCTTGCATAAATCCGTAAAAACATCCCGAACATAGGCCGAATTGGGGCGTGTCTGTGAAGCTGGATCCCAGCACCTAAAAATAGAGTTCTACCGCCTCGACGTATTTTTGAAAAATGCTTTTTTGAAATTCCAAATTACCCAGTGATGTTATGGATCGTCTTATAGTAATTTATTAAAATTTGGCTCCATTTCAAGTAGTAAACCAGCTGGAAAACTTTGCGAAATTTTGAAAACTGAAGATTTTGGACAATTTGATAGCAGCTTTTTTTGCGAAGGAAAGCGAAATTTTATTATTTAAGGAACGAACCACTCCATCAGCTCCTCGAGTTCGGTGATACAATTCAACTTGCGCGGTCGTCGATTCTCTTTGCCCACCAGCTGCATGTACTCGATTTCGTTGACGCGGCGCAACTCGGAGAACGGCTTTCTGGAAGTAGAAAAATTAGTAATGGCAATAACTGATGAAATTAAAGCCAAGTTTAATTAAAAAGCTTAATTTCGTTCCCAAAAACGTACTCCCTGGCCACAAGTTGCCACAAAACGATCCCGAGACTGAAGACGTCGCATTTCGAGTCGTACTCACCGGAGATCATCACTTCCGGCGCCATCCAGAACCAGGAGCCTGGAAAGGTAAAAGTTAACTTTAATGAAACCAATACATTTAATTTTATCCTAAAGAATCTGGGCTACCTGTTCGTAGGCTCATCGCCTGATCGAGCACACGGGCGAAGCCAAAATCGCAAACTTTCACGTGCGTGTAGCTGGGGTCGAGGAGCATGCTGGAATTTGCGAAAAAATGGAAAAATACAACGTACAAAGTACAGAGGAGCCTTACGTAGCCCAAAGAGGACCACGCCATGCTCCAAAATACGCGCCCAAGCTTTGCGTTTTTAGTAATTTTACTTATTTTCTATATTGTTGTCTTAGTTGTTCTTCGCTTTTACACTTCTATTATTACGCTTTTGAAAAGCTTCACTTTATCGGCTTGAGGTCGCGATGAATGACGTTGTGCTCGTGCATGTGGGCCACCGCACTGGATACCTAGAAATATATAATAAGTCTTAATTGCAATAAATATTACTAACCTGCGCCATCCACGAGCAAATGTGGTCAATCTTGTAGGAGAGGTCTTTGTTTTGGACTATAAATATGCTAAAGAATTCTAAGTAGTCCTTACACAACGCATCGAGGGTACCACCAGAGATATATTCCATAACGAGCCCTTTACCATCGACCGGATCTTCCACGAGGCCATACGTCTGAATTCATGTTTATTAATACTTTTTCTTTTTTAAATTACCTTGACAATATTCGGGTGACTGGTCCCGTAGCGCACCAAATACTCAAACTCCTTTTGCAGATCCGTTTGGTCGATGGCCTTCATGCTCAGCGCAAATTTCACCGTCACCGTTCTAAATTTATAATCTTGATTTTTTTTGTTTGGAAACTCCTTACCCCAATGGTTTATAAATACATGTCACCACCCGTCCAAAACAGCCAGTGCCCAGCTCGCGGTGGTCTATTCAAAATAGAAATAAAAAGTTGAACATATCAGGTTGGTAGATAAGTCCTGTCACAATTTTTTGAAATCGCTCTATGAAGCCACTGAAACATCCAATTTGGGCTTTCGATACACGATTTGATAGGTCTTCGGACGCTCTACCTCAGCATGACCCTCCTAGGACCCCAAAGTCGCTGGTCACCGAGATACAGCTTCCAAAAGTTTCGCTCAAAATCTAGTCACAGCTTTCGAGCGAGTTATCTCTGCATAGAGGCATTTGCATGCGATACCATTAACGCCAATCGATAGCTCTCGAGGAGTAGATATCGATAGATGTTGAGATCATCAAAATCGGACATCGGATGACCGAGATACGGCCCCTTGAAATTTAGCCCATTTCTTAGAACTTTTCCCCAAATCCCAACATTTGCACATTTGGGCCAAACTTTGCCGCCGTGTTTTGCACGCACCGAGAAGATTTTGTCAAAAGAGGGATTTCGAGAAAAGTTCTAAGAAATGGGCCAAATTCAAGGGACCATATCTCTGCCATCGATGTCCGTTTTGATGATCTCAACATCTATCGATATCTACTCCTCGAGAGCATCGAGTGTAAAGGTATCGCATGCAAGCTCTATGCAGAGATCCTCGCTAAAACACTTTGCGTAATTATTCAAAAATCTTCAAGGGCCGTTATCTCGGCGACCCACAATTTCCAGACCCTATCCGACTGCACCCACGGTAGAGAATCTCAAAACCTATCAAATCATGTATCGCAAGTGAAAATTGGACGTTTCTGCGGCTTTATAGAGCGATTTCAAAAATTTGTGACAGGACTTATCTACCAACCTGATATAATCCTCGTTCTATGTGACTGTTTCAATTTTTTCATTTTTCGTTATTCTACCAGAAAAAAATACCTGACAGATCGCTTGCCCGAATCGCCGGGAAGACCACCTCCCTTGTCACCATCCCTTTAAAAATCGTGTTGTGCAAACGAATGTAGCAATAATTTTGGTTTTTCGATTTATTAAAAACGGACATAAAATGAAGGACGGTTACAACACGAAGGGTAGAAGGGGATGCCATAAAAAACGAAGGCATGGGAAGGGAGCAGCGGGGGACGTTGTAGGGCCTTATCAGCACGGGTGGAAACTTTTTTGAGGAGGTTTAAAAGAAGGGGATATCTCAGAAGGGGGACTGATGAATTTCACTTAAGGAATTTCAGCGAATAGGGTACGCTTAATCTATATTTTTATGATTTTTATATGGTTAGTAAGGGAAAAGGAGGGAGAAACGTTAATCGGTGGTCCTCGAGGGGGTGGGGATTTCATTGCTTTCTGACAGGCGCGGCGCGAAGAGGCCTCTGTGTTTGGATAACCCGGATCCGCGCGGATTGTATCACGAAATCACGACGGATTCACGGCCACAATTTTTTTGGGCTCTCTCCAAAGTCGAAAGTAGCGTCTCGAAACGATTGCGCGCTGCGTAAGGATCCTAATCCCACCCCCAAATCGCCGAACCAAAAAAGTGATCATAAGAAACATTTTCGAGTCGTGTCCCGGAGAGCATTATCTGTGCTAGAGGGGGGCACGGTGTAGCAGATAACGCGCGTGTCACCACCGCGTACTCGTTTAGAGGTTGGCGAAAAGGCCTCCTGAATTCCTCACGATTCGGTGTGGGTGCTGCGGCTTATCATGAGGATTTTATGTTTTTAGCTCACGCTTTTTCGGTTAGTCGAACAATCGATTCATTACAGGAGGGGATATTTGGTGGTGGGGGACGACTAGTCATTTATAAAAGACGGGGAGGGGACAAGGCATGAAAGAGGCATAAAATAGGGTACCATAGAGCGTTGGGCCAATTTTCTTGATCCAAAAACGGGTAATCGGTGCCTAACTAAGGCCCAATGCTCGAAGGTACCCCGGGCGTATACCCGTAAAAAGGAGTGCGGGGGAACAACAATCACAGCAGACACGGGGAACCGGAATTTTCGGGGGATATGAGCGAGGTGGCCGCTACACGTAGAATTCTTCTAATATCGACAAGAGATTTGTTGGTGGTGGGTTGTGGCTCGACTTCATGGCATCAGCGGGCCATCACGGTTAGCGGCATTTTTGCGCACTCTGGAAATAAAAATTTAGACGGTTTCCTAGTTGGTATACAGTTTATTTCACTAACAACACGATCAAAATGCTTCCTATTAAGTTACTAGGCATTTTAGGCTTATACAAAAAAATTCAGGCCCCCCGTTAATGGGAAACAGTCGCCAAAAAAACCCTAAATAAAGCTGTACGCCTTACCCTGCAGCGGCTGGTGGAGGCTGATCTCCGTGGGCATATCGGCAGCGGTCTCCGAAACGGCAATTTCCAGAAGCCGAGAACATTTTGCACTGGCGATATCCTAAAACAGGAATTTAGTAAAGAAAACAAAGCAGACACCAACCTCCCATCACGGGTCCATTGAAGGGTCCCCTCGGCTTGACCATCGGGCGCTCGAAATCATCGTCCTCCCGGTCACGCAAAGATGGCGGGACGACGGTCGACATCTTGTTGAAGCCCTTGTTGATGACGGGCAGAGCGGGGGCGCTCGGGCTCGAGAACTGGGGGTTGTTTGTAGCCGGCGGAGGCATCGTGGCCACGTAGGCTCCCTGAAAAGGAGAAATTATACCACATGGAAGATTAATAACCAGCTCAACTACAAAAAAAAATTAAAGATCCACTTACCCTTGGTCGATGCTGTATCGGTGGCGGCAGATTGTTTGGCCGCGAGAATGGGGGTCCAGCCGGAGGGAATTGAGGGAAGGCGTTGGCCCCGGGCGGCATGTAATATTCTTGCTGGTAGGTGGGGCCCTTCTTGACCGGTTCCTGCGCGTATGTGACCGTCGCGGGTGGCATCCCGTAATTGGGCGTAGGTTGTGGGGTTGGTTGCGGAGCGGGTTGCGGGGCCAGGGCTGTTGCTCCACCAGCCAGTATTCCATTCTTCTTCAGTCCGGAGAGCAAGGCCTAAAAATAAAATTGCGTTGAAGGAATACGACTTACGGCTAGCTTCTCGGACATGGCAGGCACCGTGGCGGAAGCAGCGCTGGTCGACGGCTCGGTTGGGGCCACGGTAGCGGCGGGAGTTGGTTGCATGGGCGTAGCATCGACGACAGGTCCAGCATTGGCCGGAGTCTTCCATGATGTACTCACAGCGGCCGTGACAATCTAAATCCATGAAATGAATGATAAAGACTTGACAAGACAAGATGAGCTATCAATGGATGGGAAAGAAGGCAATGCTAGAAACCCTAGAAGGCAAGTCTCTGAGAAAGGCCACAACATAGCACGAGTCGCAAGGGCCACGCAACCATTGAAGAATCGCATTCTCCAATCGCACACCGACCCAATTGGTCACAAAAACCGGACTCTATCTGATGTCGTCCTGGTGTGTACCGGTACCCAATCGACTTTATTGCCAAATATCAGAGTCGAGGAAATGCTGAAGTGAGTTCTCCGAAAATCGAGAAGTTGCAATGAGGAGCAAAGTGAAAGCGTAAACAATAAATAATTCAAAATACACACAGGCAGTGTTGTGGCAGGGACTGGGACTGGTGCCGAGGTTACAGCCGGCTTGGGCTCAGCCGCAACACTGTGCCGATCCATCGGGATGTTTTTGGGGCGATGCCTATCTGTCGGCCCAATATCGCTGAGGTCTGGTTCGCCGATGAATTCAGAGGGACTGAAAAATAATATTGTATAGGAAAAGAGCGACTTTTTACCAATTGGGATTGTAGAAGGCTTCCATGGCCATCGACTGCCTCTTGAACTCAGTCTCCTTCTCCACTGAGCGCTTGGCACGCTCCTTTGGCTTTTCAACGTCCAGAGGCACAAGCCGGTACTGCAAGGTAAAAATTGATGGTGATGCGAACAAGGCTGTGGTGCTTTTGCAGTAAATTCCCTATATTTTAGTTACGTAACTCTTCGTGAATGTCATTTTAAAGGCAAATACGTTTCACAAGTTTTTAAACTTCAAAAACTGTAAGTTATTGGAAAAAATCGGCCACATTTCCCCGATTAGTTTTGGTAAAAACGTTCAATCATTCAATTAGATTCGAAAAAGTTGACCGCCTTTCTCCCACTACTGCAAAAGCATCAGGGCTGATAAAAACAGATCTCCATGAAATCCCTTACCGGATGGCGCTCAGCCGGTGCATCATCAGATTCGTCCATATTTGTGTCCACGGACCGTTTCTCCATCTCACACTCCATGGCTCTGATCTGCTCATGGGACATCATTCTCTGGTGGTAGACATTCACTAAAGCAACACATCAACAATTGAATTCCGAATAAGGCTTACCACGCTCCCCTCGCTCCACCTCAAAATATTGCACCTGAACGAGTTCTCCACCGTGTTCATCGGCAAATCTGAAAACTGATTAAAACAAAACTTTCAATTTCGTACCTGATTTTAGTTTGCCTTTGTACCGGTGGCGGAGACACTGATGGGGGTCTGTTGTAGGTAGGCAGCGGCGGCGTCCTTCGAATCGGCAACACATCATCCTTGCCGCTCTCTTTCATCTTGCTCATACTTTTGCAAATTCCGCCCTAAAAATAAGTCATATTCTCAACCCAATGCATTCGCCATAAAAATAAAACTATCTGAAACGTACCAATAAATCATTGGGATCATCGATTGAGCGCCTCTTTTTCTTCTCGGAAACATTGTCAGTTTTCTTCGACTTCTTTTTCGGTGCGGGGGACGCTCCGTCCAGGGCGTCCATGAAGCTTGTGGACTGGGTCAAGTTGCGCTTCGTGACGCCCTTGCTTCCGCCACCAGAGCCTGCTGCTTTCATGGAAGACATGCGACCTCCTAAACGATTTTTTGTTATCAAATCATTACCAAACAAAGCTAATTTTAAAAAAATGAAAACCGACCGGTGTGACCTCACTAAATACAAAGATTTTCAAGAAATACGGCGTCTATGTTACTTTGTATGGTCTGTCGCAAGAGTGCAGGGTTCGATAGATCTCAGATACAAAACTAACGCGCCCGGGTACGTTGACCTTTTCACGCTCTTGTGCGCGGTTACCGATCAAGCCACGCGATTTTCGGGCAATGCGGCAAATTGATGCACCTTGCTTAATTCCTAATAACAAGCCATCGTGTTCCAAACGACGTGAAGCCCTTTGACCTGCTATACACTCTGATAACCACAGCTTTTAGCAATTCCTCTAATGGTAGTATTTTCCAGAGCAGCTGTTTCCTCGAACCAGCGTAAAGACTTGTCGACGTTTCATGGTACCCCAGCATCATTTTCGGTCTTCCGGTAGTTGTGTGTCAATTTCCCGCATTAGTTTTCAATATTCTATTCGCACTAACGGAATTGTCCATTTTCATTCCCTGGGAAGGGGAGAGGGCGGAAACGATAGCTTGCCTTTAGCAGCTAAGCGCCTCCCTTCAAAAACCTAAGCATGCATAATTCCGACTTTTAAAACCATGCGCTGCCGGCAGGAAGTAAAAGGCCACATAAAACAATCAAAACTGTGGGCAAACAAGAGGGGGGCTATGTATTATTATTAAGTGAGGTCACGCCGGATCGATGATCGGACAGCCTGGTGTTCACACCTATAACCGAACCATTTGAAAATTCCACGAAAAAGTATTTACCTTGTTTATCGCTCATTGGTCGCGCCAGAAGTGATGCCATGCGTCGCAGGTGGAAGGGCAGTCGGTCTGAAAAAAAACGAAAATGAAGAATGGAAAACGAAGTTATGCAAATTTATGTTCAATAAACTTTCGAAATGGAAATTGTATATGGAAAGAGGTCCGTCAAATGCGCTAATTATGGAAGCAGATGCGTACAATGGACATACTCAAGGCACTGATAAGTAAGATTGATAAAAAGATTGGATCACTAATGAGGGTTGATAGCGTTTCGTTTGACAAGGAAAATTCGAGTTTTGCTATCTAGTTGAAAAGCTTTTTCAGGGTGGGAAATGATCGGAAAGGAAAAATGCAAAGGAATCTGGAAGTTCAGGTACCCAGAGAAGAGATTACAGAACCCCGTTGAGAAAAGGGCGCTACTTCAGTTTGCTGGCCCCACTTATATTTCGCCAAAACCTCATGTTTCCGGGCTAGTTTTTTGCGCTGATTACGAAAAACACTATCCTAGCCCGCGAAAATGCTATTTAGGAAAAAATATTAAATTAATATTTTATTGAATATCGGGAAAATTCCATTTTACGGCGCTTGCGAAAAACTCGTATTTTTGTGGGTTTTTAACTAAATAAATAACCAAAAACTGGTTTACCAAGAAAAAATAGCTTGTAGCATTGTCAGGCAAGGCGGGCCGTCGCTTCGGATGGGCTGCCGCTCCACTCTTTCGAAATCGGGGCGCCTGGCCGCTGCGCGCGCCTCGGGCGCCCCGATTTCGAAACCCTGTACGAGCTCGCACCCATCCGAAGCGACTAGGCCCCGGGTGGCACGAAGCCTTATTTTTAGGAAAAAACGAACGCAAGGGATAAGCCTTCTTGGAAATAGGGTTTTCCCCGTTTCATAGGCCTCCCACTTCAACGCCCTAGTTAACCATTTGAAACTCAAACCATGAAAACTGACAATGAAATTTGTTTTTCCCTTCAAAACACAACTTTGACGATTTGATGACGACGACGACGTTTTTCGGAATCAGCGCAAAAAACTAGCCCGGAAACATGAGGTTTTGGCGAAATATAAGTGGGGCCAGCAAACTGAAGTAGTGCCGAGAAAAGCAAACCTTTCAGGGAATTTTTCAAAATTGAGGTACGATCCAAGCAACGCGTCACCCTTGAAACATTTGTTCAGTAAATTTTGGCCGAGAACCTAGGGTTCCGGATATGTGGAAAAAGTCCGACGCTAAAATTCGTTCTATGCCGCGTGCCGAATCGCTGCAGCTTGGCTGCTGGGAACGAGAAGAAAGGAGATGATATGAACATAGCGGGAACAGAGCAATCTCAAAGGCACTCCAGGTCAGAGGGCAGACAGGTCTATCGGTTGCGAAAAAGTCAGTGATTTACAGAGCGCTATCCTTAGCAAACCATCGTCATTTTTTGCCAAAAATGAAGAACCACCGAAATGCATGCTATTCCCGTCGTGCTACATATCAACAGAAGGTGGTTCTCCATCGGTGGGAGGAGCGCTAGTTCGAATCTTTAGGCCTGACGGATAATTTAGGAGGAGCACGGGGATGGTAGGACGGGGTGACGCGGCAATTAAAGCTCAACCAGGACCGTGTCGACCAAAGGACTCTTCTGCAGGCAAGCTCTGTATAGTTTTTGCGTGCTTAACTTTCAGGTATCAATTAATACTTGCATTTGTCGTTATAATGTCCTTTCTGTGGAAAGATGGGTGCGTATGTATGCGGCGGCTACTATCGCGACACGGGATTGTGTTTACCATATAGAAAGTGCGGGGTTTGGGCATAAAAGAAACCTTAAAGCAGATAGAACTGGCAGCCAGAGGTCAGAACGTAGAGCAATAACGATAGGAGGATCATGAGCAATCAACGACTTTTCAAACACAAATCGCCACTTGATCGCAGCTTTAAGTCAATGTGCTTCCTCATGTGTACACCGGCTCATAAGCCTTGCGAATAAACTTTTATGTACAAGGCAACTTGCAATGTGTTCACCAATTTTATAGCCATTCATTTATAAGACAAATGCCAGTAAATCCTTACCTTCTTTATTCTTGCGCTAAATAACAATTGCACGCCGTCAAAGCAATGCACTCGCGGGTTCTGATTCGCGAAACTTCTTGTTTGGGCTGAAGAGGTCCTGAAAATGGATAGGTTAGTTAAAAAAATGTATAAGGTTAATCATAAGGCAGTAAGAAAGAGAGAAAAAAGCGTTGGTGATAATCAGAAGCTGTTGGGCGGGATACGAAAGTGGCGGGCAAGGGCTATTGATCCGAGGCGCATGACAGACGGTCGACCCTGAAGTGGCAAGGCAGGGGCGCCAATTCAAAAAGCACCGTGCCCCACCCGCAGACTACGAAAAGCTTGCCGGCAAAATTCAACCAGCAGCCGACGCATGAAAAATAAATGCATTTTTTATCCAAAATCAGGACGCGCAGAGAAACCTTGAAAAAAGCCCGAGAAAAGCAAGGGAAAATAAACTGCAGAAAGCAGAATGCTCCTTGACACACCTCTGGATGTTTACGTTTAGTGTAGCACCACGGACGTCAATAGGTGTAAGACGTAGTGCTTCACCAAAGGTTTTTCTGTTTCATTGAGAGTACTCCTTGGTACAGCTCTGGACGAATACCGTAGGAGTGCCGCGGACGTCGATAGGTGTGACGCGTAGTGAAAATCGCGATTTCGTGAAAAATTATTCGTTCTAAAACTTTGCAGATATCGCATTTCCGCGAGGAAATCTACTGAACCCAAGAATCTAGGGAAAGTAGCAAAAATCTTATACATGCATTTGAAAACCACTGCCAAAAACACTGGACGCCTGGTCTCGATGGGGAGATGACTCTAGGAATTTACGGCTGCGCTGTACTTCTTGAAGATGTTGAAGCAGCCCAGCGTGATCTTTGACATTTTTTACTTTTTTGTCAGTCCCCTCACCCCAAAATCGCAAGTTTTTCGCGTGCAACCGGGGGCAGGGGGGGTGAATGGGTTGATCGATGCCCCCTTCTAACCCCCGATATCTCTTTCTGAATGGTTGAGGCGAATTCTCTGTCCGGGGAAGGGGTTGAGGAGGCGCCCAATTCATTGGCCGATCTCCAGCCGCGGCTGGCTGGCCCCCCGCAGCGCATGAAACGCACTGAAGGAAGATCTCGCCAGCCAGCGCCACACCGGCCTGTCAAAGACTCAAAATGAAACCCCTCATTATTTATCACTGGGTGGACAGCTAAATTTCGCGCAGTTGCTTGGTGAGGAGGGGGATGTCTATCGTCTGGTTGTGGAGGGCAGATCATGATTGGTGGTTGCGAGTGAGAGAATCAGCAAGCTTGTCACCGGCGTCTAGATGTGATTGAGGAATTTTTGACACGTAGGGGTATACCTTGGAATTTTTATACCGAAACTAGCCATTCGGGAATTGCCGAAGATTCACAAGGCTTTTTCACTTTCTTAAAAGAATTTTATAATCGAGATTAGGGGAAGCTATGAAATAATCGATCATAATTGGTAATTTAGCGTCTCAGAAAGTACGTTGTGGTTAAATTCGGCGTAGGGGATCGCAGAGTGCAAAAAACTAATTTTGCCCAGTAACCGAGTACGGCCTTATAATGACATAAATTATTTTTGTATAACTGTACACAATTTTTAAATGTAAAAAGCTGCTAAAAACCGATATATTTTTCGGAAAAGTTTGGCTTTTTGGTCCAAAAATGGATGAAAAACGACCAGAAACACAATTTTTTCTTATAACTTCGTAGCAATTAAAAAGTATTAATAGCCATATAAAATAGATTTTCAAAGGTAGAAAATCAAAGATTAAAATCCTCCCTGCTACCGTCCCCCGCTAACAGTACAGTACCATCTGTGATATAAATTTTCGGTTCTTTAGCATTATCGGGGGCGGGGGTAGGTATAGGCGGAAAAACCAACGTTAGTTTTCCCCGGCTAAAAATGCCACCCCCCGCTAACAGTCCAGTACCAAGATTTTAGTTGTTTCTCAGTATTTTTAGGGTTTAGTTTTTTTTTAGGATCAGCAGCCCAACCCCTCGTGTCGCCCATTCGCAACCCCCTCATCCTCGCCCGGCTAAAAGGTGTGGATGCGCGAACGAGGCGATTGGCCTTTGGATAAGAAGGTCTAGGGCGATCAACATCTCCTCCTAAATGGATGGGTATCATAGATACGTGTAAATGAGATGGGCGAGGGGTGTTGGTTGGGACAAGTCGAGAGAAGGGTTGAGGGGGGACCGTATCGGGCCCGACCATCAGCCTCAACCGCGTATCCAGTCGGCCATCTTCTTGCTCTTCTTGCCGGGACCGGTCTCGGCTCCTTGTACTACATCCTCCTCACCCTCCCCCCCGCTAAGCATTTAGATTTGCCCTAAAAATAAGAGCACACGACGGGGGTGGTCGGGGTGTCCTTTTCAGGGTAGATTGCAACAGATTTCGGGGAGGTTTGTGGATTTAAAGGGAACTGGCAGAGGTGAATCTCTCTCTCTCTCTCTCTCTCTCTCTCGCTCTCTCTCTCTCACTCTCTCTCGCTCCTCTCCATCTCCATTTTGTTAAAAATGCTAAATACTAAAACTTTCGACCAAAAATTACCGATTTTCGTCAAAAACTTCAAATAAAAAATTTTCTAAGTTTATTGTATTTCCACTTTAAATAGAATTAAATCTTACTAAAAACACTCCTAAAAACACCCTCTCGCTGCGTGTCTAGACTTTTCGGAAAAAATAGAATATAACCAACCTGCCGTAGACACCACGCAAAGATAGGCCAAAAATCTCTAGAAAACACCCCTAGCTTGCCTCGAAAATCCTATCCTTACTTTCAAACACCTTTCTGGTCCTAATCCTGAAAAAGCAAAAAGAGTTGCGTCGGCCGGGAATCGAACCCGGGTCGCCCGCGTGGCAGGCGAGCATTCTACCACTGAACCACCGACGCCATGGTGGGCGATGGCTGTGGGAGGGTCATAAGGGAAGGACGCGACGTAACGGTTTCAGGGTTCGGTTTTGGGGGGTTTTTTTGTTTTTTTTTTTCCGAATGGGATGTAAAAATTTTAAGTTTTTTTTTTGGTTTTTTTTTTTAATTGGGGGGGGGGGGGAGGTTTTTGGGGTTTTGGGGGCCGTCCAGGATCCGGTGATGGCCATGCCGCAGTCGGTGGAGCGGTCGCCTCTCATCTACAGGTAGAGGTTTCAATTCGCCGACGCGTCCAACCTTTTGCTTTTTGGCTCAAAGCAAAGAAACGCTGGTGGAAACGGGCAAGCATCATGGGGCCCGGCGCTCGACGCTAGGGCCCAGATGCCAAGCTCTTTCTTTAGGGTTTTTGGCCACCAAAACTCAGCTAAACAATGAGGTCACAAATCGTGTTTCACCCCCCAGACGTGCTGGTGGCCATAAATGCATCGTAGGGGGTATTGGGTCGGGGCCCGGAGCGCAGCGCGCCGAGCGCGATGCCACAACCAACGACCCTTTGTTAGGTAAGGAGGGGTAGAGAGGAGGAGGAGCAAGAGGAGCACGAGGCATCCAAAAAGAGGCCCGTAACGCGCAAAAGAAAAGGGCGACATCCTCGCCCTCCCCTGGCTCGTCCAGAAAAACGAATCGGGGCAAAAAATTCCGGGGTTCCCATGGGTCGGGCCGACCACCGGAAAAAGGTTGTTTTTGTGCCGTAATGTGGGTAGACAACGGTGGGTATCGCTTCGGAACAACGTCTTTGTTCCGTGGTTTAGTCGTGGTTTAGTTTAAAGGAGCTGGCAAGGCTTGCTTTTGGATTTCGCGGCTGTGGAAGCGTCACAACCCATTAGGCAACGTGGAGATGTGTTGCGTTTAGCGGCCCGGTGTACTGTTGCCTTGTTCTTTGCCTAAGCCTAAGCCTAAGCCTGATCCTAAGCCTAAGCCTTGACTAGGTCTCGACAGAGACGCTATATGCCTTTAAAAAGGAGTGAAGGTGTCTAAAAAGGTGCTGGCAGGCTAGCAGAGACTTTTTGAGAAGTCTCAGGCTTTCTCTATCTCTCTCTCTCCTCTTCTCTCTCCTTTTCTCTCTCACTCTTTCTCTCTCTCTCTCTCTCTCTCTCTCTCTCTCTCTCTCTCTTCCCTCTCCTCAGGTCAAGAACTCGTAGCTTCTCGGAATCGTTATCTGTCTTCTCGGATCGTGGCTGAGGGGGCGGAGTCGATTCCGCCCCCATCCCCTGGACGGTGGCTTTGTCCGGCCGGCCAGACAGTGTCTTCCTTCCTTCCCCTCACCCCAAACATCCACAGTTTAACAATCCGGAGGCTCTTTCTATATTTTCTAATATTCATCACCCTCGTTCAGGTATACGGTATATTTCGGGGGCAACATATAGGTCTCGACCCTGTACACTAGGCTCCAAATGACACCTTTCCTAGAGGATCTTGATGTTGTCTGGATACGGTATTTTGGGCGAAAGTTATAGGTTTCTATAGACTACGCTGGGCTCCTAATGACAGAGGCAAATCCTAAGCGATTTCTGTGTTTTTTTTTTTGGATACGGTGATCTTGGACATGTTTAAGTTTTTTTGACCCATTACGCTTGGCTTCAAATTACACATGTTGTTTTTGGCTGCGAAATCCACCGTAACCAAATTCTGATGTTTACAAGTTTCGCGGCCAGGTGGCCCGGCCATCTGGTACGGGTCACTTTTTATGGTACCGCGCGGCGCGCTAGTTTTAGCAGTTTACGCGCCCGGCGTGTAAACATCGGAAATTAGGGAGATTTGGCTGGGCTAGGCACGTAGTCAGACAGCGAGAGAGAGAGAGGGAGAGAGAGAGAGAGAGACGTCCAGAAACCGCTGATTCATCGTCTACCCCTCCTATAAAACACCCTTGCCCCCTCAAAAAGTCGCAGGTTTTGCCAAAAAGGTCCCGCCCCGAGGCCACGCCCCCTTTTTTCTGCCCTAACCTAAACATTCCGGAGAGCGATATCGACCATTCCTGAGTGGATTCCTATTCGATTCCTAAGTCTGGGGCAAAGTCTAGGCCGAGCTCAAGCTCAAGCTCAAGCTCAACCTCGAGATCGAGGTTAAGCCTAAGCCAATCCTAAGCCTAAGGTTAAAGTCTAGGCCAAGCTCATGCTCAGGCTCAAGCCTAAGCAAATCTGAAGGTTAAAACTAAGCCTAAGCCAAAGTCTAAGCCCAAGCCTAAACCCAAGCCTGAGCCTAAGCCTAAGCCTAAGCAAGCCAGAGCCAAGCCAAAGCTCAAGTCTACTCCCAACCCCCACCCGGTCATCCATCCCCGGTCTCTTTGGTTTTCTAGCTGTATGACTGCTTGTTAGTAGAGATGGTTCATAAAGCTAGACTACCAGAGCAATCGTGGCCACTGACCAGCAGACTGAAGTCCCCCAAAAGAATCAAAAGCAGGGGAAAAGCCTTATCAATCCGGCATCGATTTTTCGGGGCCGGTGAGGGAAAGGGGACCCGGAAATTGGTAGAAAATTCAAGCAAAACGCGAGAAAAGAGTCACCCCGACTTTTCGGCAAAAAGCAAAAAGTTTGGCCCTGGACGGGGTTCGAACCCGGGTCTTGTAGGTGGCACTACCTACTACCAAATAGCCAAGCGTGAAAAATATTGTCTTCACGCAAATTTTTTTCTTGTTTTCTTGGACGTTATATCCTAAAAAAACTCTGCTAGCTTGCCTTTGGGTGTGAATCCCATTTGGTGAGTTTTAAGAGAATTCTGCTAGTCTGCCCGGGGAATCAGTAGCGCAAAAAATATACGTTCGGCTTAAAGATTCCCTGCTAGCCTGCTCAAGGATCGCTCGTTTGTGGTTTCCACAAGAATCCCTGCTAGCCTGCCCTGAATGCAGATCAATCGCTAAGGTCCAAATGGTGTCTGCTAGCTTGCCCCGGACGATAATTCTGATTTTCCCTAAAAAGCACTGACAGTTTGCCCCTCGGTCAGGCGTTGCCAAATGATCTCTCCTAACTTGCTCTATCCTATCAAAGTTTCCTGTTCTCAAAGATCTCCGCCAGCTCGCCTCAACTTTTCCAAAATGATCTCTGCTAGGTTGCCCACCCCAACCCTCTCTCAATATTGGATTTTCCTCTTCCTTCCGAGTGACCAGAAGCCGTTATCTCTTCTCAGGGGGCGGGAGAGCGAGAGAGAGCGAGAGTGAGAGAGAGGGTGAGAGAGAACAGTCACCCTTTCAATGTATAATATCGATTAGTCGGGTGCGGGCGGTGTAAAGAGGACTGTCGCGTTGTTTTCTTCTGGAATCCACAGGGCCGGCGATCCGGGCCGACGATAAGGATCGGCCCATTTCTGCATTCAGACAGATAGACAGAGTAGACAGACAGACAGACACGAAAGGACAGGCTTCTGCTTCCATTTAGCTAGAGAAAACTGCAATCTCAATGATTTTCTTCGATCTTCGAGCATGGGAAAGTGGTAGTGTGTTAGCTTGCCGCCCAGAGGATCGGGTTCAACCCCTGGCCGGTGCGAAACTTTTTGTTTTTGGGTGGTAGGGTGGTTGGATGTCATTTCGAAGCTAGATCTATGCAAAATATTTTTATTTCGTTCAAAAGGATAAAAACGTCGCAAAACAAGAAAAATTGGCCCAAAACGACAAGAAAGTTACAAACGTACCGTTTTAAAATGGAATACTGCACTTCGGCTATTTTTAGGAGCGTAAAAATTGACGAGATTCACGGGGGAGCATGGCGGAGTAGTCGGCGCATTAATGGGAAACGTCGAAAAGGGGAAATTCGAAAATTTCGAAAAGTACGACGAATTACGAAAATAAATACCCATAAAATAGAGAAAGAAGATGCTTTGGCATTTTAAAGGGGCGTTGAAGTCAGGAATATTATGGAGGTCATCGAGGACGGCCGAGTAGAAAGGTGCTCTGGGCGGTGTAGAGCTTGTCGAGGTCGCCGCACGCCGAGATCGGCCATACCGCCATGTTTTCCTAAAATGGTGGGTTAGCAGCGATCCTTGAGGAAAAGCAGAGATTTTTTAGGATAGGGCAGGCTGGCAGAGATTCTTTAGCATAGGGCAGGCTAGCAGAGATTCTTTAGCATAGGGCAGGCTAGCAGAGATCATTGACGAAATTTGACAAACCTTTCTAGCCAATTGTGTCGTTTCCCGATTTGCCGTCACGACGACAAAGGAGCACTTTTTGCCATACCGTGCCGAGATTCGCTCGAGCACACTTTCCTTGCCAGTCTAAAATGTGGAAAAATTTAACTAACAATTTTTCGGGCTACGGTACCTTCAGTGCACTGTAGATGTTCTCGATTGGGACGGACGGGGCAAAGCCGCTGAGCAGCGACTGAAAATGACGCTTTTTAAAGGGGTCGAGACAGCAGTTTTTTCATATCTCCGAGCTTTAAAGGAGGGATCGAACAGCAGAATTACATAGTTTTTAAGGGGCTCGGACCGCATTTTCACCCACCTGAACAACACCATTCACCAGCCCCTCCGAGCATAAGAATACATTGCCGTATTTTTCTGTTGATGGGGATGCTGCTGATCTGCAAAAATTAGGTATTAAGTACGAGAAACCGCTCCTTACCTTTGAGCGACAAGGTTAATGCAGCGAGCAGCAGCTGTGTGCCTTCCATCCATCACCGAATCCATCTGAAAGGGTTGTCTTGGAGCTTTTCTGTTAGCAGGGGAGGGGCGGCCCGTAAAGGTCCCGGCAAGCGCGAAATCGTCCGCTTCATACGACTAGGTCTCACCAGCTACGCGCCAGGCCAAATTACGCTAAACCTGGATGGCAGGGCCCAGTCGAGGGAAGGGGTAGGTTTTGGCTTTCCGGTCCCTTTAAAACGCCTGATTTAATTTTTAAGGGACGTATGAAAGTCCAAAATGATCTTTTAATCCTTTAAAGGGACCGGAAAGTGCCAAAATTGACCCTGCTTTATCTAGGTCTCGACAGCTAAATGGTACTCTAAAATACTCCGAATTTGTATGTCGACACCCAGTCCTCAGTGACGGTCGAATTTCGGGCTTACAGGATCCTTTACGAGAAAATTTCGACCCCACCCCCCGGCTAAGAGACCAGAAATTCCGGTCGACTGACCTGTCTCGCGCATTCCGCCACTTCCTCCTTCTTCAACGCCGACCCGAGCGAGTCGTAGAGTACTGTAAAAGGGGAAACTTTTAGAGGAGTGTACGTTTAATACCTTCCGGATTGTCAGCATGCTGTGTATACGTCTGCTTGAGGGCAATATATCGATGTGCCAATCTCCTCATCGCGTCCGCCCCGCTCCGCCCTTCCGGTAGGCAACCTTCCGATGCGGGTGGCTCCTAGGCAGAAATCTGATTTTGCTAGGACTTTTTAGTCTTAGTTGTTTTGGATGGTGATGATACTTCAAATTTTGAGAAAATATAGCTTGTCACTACCGTAGCTTTTTTGGTTTGCAATATTTTTGGCTGCAATTTTGAGGGAATGTAGTTTATAGTTGTGCGCAGTCATGGCAAAAATTTCAGAATTATTGAACGTAATCCCAAAAAGTTATAGTTAAAAAGGTTAATATTCTGACCTGCTCGTCAATGGCGGCATCTTCGATGTTGCACAACTCGTTGTCCTCATTTTGGTCGGGCGGGAAACTGAGGAGGGAGATCTGCAAAAATATGGAGTATTTTTAACGGGACTTGCAAGCCAAATCGGACCAAAACTCTTCAAAAAAAGCCGAAATTCAAAATTTTCCTGCCTGTTGCACGAGGAGCTTCAGCTTTGAGAACGAGGCCGTGAATCCAAAGCCGACTTTATGCCCCACATCAGCTAGCGCTTTTCCGGTATAGACGGAAATGTCGGAGAGGTCCCAGATGAAGACACGGGCGAATTGGCCTTCAGATCCGGACCCACATCCACCCTTCTTCTTTTTGCTCGAGGATTTGCCTGTAACTTTGGAAATTTGGAGAATTCCGCAAAGAATCTTTGCTCGTTGGCTTTCTTAGAAGTTTTTAGGCCCAAAATCCCAAAAGGAAAAAGTTGCTTCCTGGCAGGAATCGAACCCGGGACGTTCGCCTGGCAAGCAAGCGGCTTGGTACTGAGCCTAAAATGTCAAGGTTCTTTAAATTTTAGAATTTTCGACATAGATTCACTGCTAACTTGCTCTTTTTTGGTTTTCGAGGTCAAAATTCAACAAAAATGTTGTGCCCGGGCGGGGATCGAACCTGGGACGTCCAACTGGCGAGCGAAACCTTTTGCAGTGAGCCAAAGATGCACTTTTTGAACTTTGAAGTTGATCAATCACCAAGTGTTTTTACCTTTTTTCGGCTCGGGTCTCAAGGTGAATGCTGGCAATTCGGGGGACACCTCAGTTCCGGTGGTGGTCGGCTAAAAAGCTGGGATTTTTCGGGGTTAAAGGGACTGGTAAAGCAAGGCTTTCCACGGATTTTGCTGCGCCGCGACACGCAACACGCGGCTTTCCACTACGTAATGTATTACGACCCCGTAAAAAGTACGAGACACTCCAAATAAGGCCAAACGTACTTGGTAGCCGGTCGTAGCCCCAGCCAGTCCGCTATAGTACCCATTCCGGACGGCCTGGTTGTAGTATTGGGCGTTGTAGGCGGTAGTATAGTCGAAATTGGCTGCCGCGGCTGTTGAGTACGGGGTTGTACCTATGGATTTTGGGTAGTCAGGCCCTTGAAAATCTAAGTACCGTAGGCGTAGGCTGATGCGGCGGACGCCCCAAGGTATGGCATTCGCGCCGAAGCGGATGCGAGACCAGAAGCGACTTGCTGGTAGTAGGAATTTCCGTAAACACCGTACGGATTGGCCGTGTAGCTGCTACCGTAGCACGGTTGGCCTGAAAATGGTTAATTCACATAAATTAGCAAAAAGCAAAAAAACTTGCTCGGGCGGGCGTCGAACCCGGGTCATGTGGTTTCAAACCTAGCGCACTACCATTTAGCCATGATCCGTCGCTCTTCTTTACGCTAATTTTTACCGTTTTTAGAAGTGTTTACGTAGATTTTTGCATTTTTCAAGTCTTTGGAACAAAAATAGACTAACTCCTCTAGCAAAACTTTAAACTGTCATCCTTAGGCCCTGCTGACCAAAAAGCAAAAAGCTTCGACGAGGCCGGGGATCGCACCTTGGTGGCATGGGCAGGAGGTTAGCACACTACCACTTAGCCACGACGCAAAAAAACAACCAGAAAAAGTTGAAGATTAATGTATTACTGAAATGATGAAACTCAATAAAGTCCAGAATTTCTTACCGTATGCCGCTGCCATATCGGTGATGGCCGTCCGATCAATTGTCGACGGGAGAGCGGCCATAAATGAGGCTGATGATGAGGAGGAGCCCGCTAGGGGGGAGGAGGAATCTAAAGGTATGTTATTTTAATGAGTATATTAAGGATTAATCCATAGTTTTTGCATAAGAATCAGAAAAATACCCTGTGCCGGTGCTGGGGATCGGCTCTTCTCCGGGACGACACACCAGAGAGATGTTCCCCGAGCTGTGGAATCGTCCCCAACGGCCAAAGGGATGAAAGGCTTCGTCTATAATGGGTTACGGTAGGTGGTAGGTTGTCTGGCGGAAAAAGGTATTACGTGATCTAATCTCTTAAAGGTAGCAGAAAGTTGTGATTTGCGAAATGCATGTTTGTTGAAAAACTGCGAAAAACAGTTTTGAAACCCCACAGGGTTTCCCAGAAAAACATCCTCCTTCATAGCAGGCCGTCGGCGTGTCCGATTTTTTTGATTTAGGTATCTATCGAAAGCTCTCGCAAATGCAATTCCATCGATTCTCTTTGATTTTCAAAATTCCGGGAATTCCAGGATTTTTGGTCAAATTCAAGCGGGTTGTGGGGCCCGTCAGATACGCGGAAAATTCAGAAATATGGATTTTGGTAATAACCTTTTAGCGGCGAGAAATTCGGCAGGCATCGCAGAAATCTTCGCAAATCTAACAAAAATATGGGAATTTCAAAAATCGGAAAGACATATCTAATCAGCTCGTCGAGAGCTTTCGATAGATACCTAAAACGCAAAAATTGGACACTAAACGACTCATTAATGGGAGGTTGTCTGTAACGGAACAATTATCCGATCAACGCACTAGAGAGAGCGGAGCCCGTAGGAAAATTAGAGATTATCATGAGAAAATGTGAGTCCGGTGAAAAAAGACGTGAGCTAAGCACTAATTAGAATGTCGAAAGTATTCCGACGGTACCAGCCTAAGGCAATCTGCCTTCAATATCCCTTTAATGACAAAAGAATGGAAGAACCTCTGGCATATCCTGAGGGAACAATGGCTGGAACGTCAAGTGGCTTGGCTCAGGCATAATATTGGGATGGGGGAGGAGGAGAATATGCCATTGGCCTCTACAGGTGTCCCCTCGACTCTGACTACGATTTGCATGGCTGTTGACCCTTCAGAGGAGAGAGCGAGAGAGAGCGAGAGAGAGAGAGATAGAGAGAGAGCGCGAGAGAGTGAGAGAAAGAGAACGGCCAGATATCCTCCTCAAAAAAAGAGGGAAGGGCCACTCATAATCACAGGGCCACAGCGGGACCCCCGGGGGGCCAGGTGTGGCCCCCCTATTAGTCAGCAGTGCGAAGTCATTCCAATGCTGTCTGTTGGGCAGACGCTTAAATGGTTGGGCAACAGATGGCGCATCGGCAGAACCAAAAACGGAATTCCTAAAATATCGCTGCTAGTTTGCCGAAAAGTAAAGCTTTTGACTGAGATTTTCGCATAAGACGGAGCCCTTAATCTCAAAAGATCGACTTTACAGGCTTCATTTCCTTTGAAAAATCCATATGTATGCCCTGCAGGGACTTGCAGATACCGAAGCAGCCGCGTCGGCAACGCATGCCAGACAAATTCTCTACAAAACGCAGCTGGCTTGCCGAACAATTATTTTTTTTCCATTGGCGCTACAGTTAACTGATTTTCGATACTTTAGGCCGAAAAGTGCAGTAGCTATCTTTTCAAAAGTTGAAACTGTATCCGACACAAAATTCCCAAAAAGCAAAAGCGGTTGCGTCGGCCGGGAATCGAACCCGGGTCGCCCGCGTGGCAGGCGAGCATTCTACCAGTGAACCACCGACACCATGGGTAGCGATGGCCGTGGGAGGGTGATAAGGGAAGGCCGCGAGAGTAAGGGCAGGGCGGCCCCGTCCAGGATCATTTTATATTTCGGGTTTTCTGGACACCGTACCCAATCTACCGTAACCCCCAAAATTCCATTTCCACAGACCCCCCTAGCTAATGGGCGCCCCTAAATTCCTCCCGAATTCCGCCTGGGGCCCAGAATCGATGGTGGTGGGCCCTTCCTTGGGGGTTGTGTGTGTGTGTGGGTCCTCTTGGGCCCTTTCCCTCCGATGTGGCCCCCTATCGTATTTCAGGAGACCCTTATTCCCGCCGCCCCGAGGGCCTCTACCCCCCTTACACCCAGTCCCCGAAACGGACTACCGTAAGCGGGTGATGGCGGAGGTTGGAGTTAAAGGAAAAGCCGCTAGAGGGACCTTTGCAAGTGACCCCAGCCGCTAGTGAGACTGTAAAAATTAAGGGGCAGGTGGGTAGAGTACGGTCGTAAATGATTACGATATGTAAATATTCATCAAAATACCTATAAGGGCCCAGAGGAGTGACCAATTTTTACGATTTAGCTATCTATCGGAAGCTCTCGGAAAGACGAGTCGAAATGTGGTATACGATCCTGAAAATTCCGGATTTTTTTAGTTTAACGATGATAATTGTGAGCCGGCCGGAATTTCTGATGCCAATTACGGGCTTTCACAACTCCCTGTATTTGCCAAACTACGCCAGTTTCCAATTTACACTGGTTCGAAATTCCAAACTCTTAGTATACCTACTTAAAGTTCCACTACGTCACACTCCTTTTCACCCACTGCCGATCCCCCGCAATTAAAAGCAATGGACGCGTCAATCCATTATTTATGTTTGTCCCCCCGTGGCTGTGGTGACCGACGGGCCGAGGGGGGAGTTATGTAAACTGTTTGCCCGTGGTCGTGTACGCAAATAGGGAGAGACCACCTCTACCTACCGGGCGACGGCTTTTCGCGCCCCGCAGCCCGCTTTAGGTTAGCCAAGAGGCTGGATTTTGCAAAAATAAGGTTGTCACCGTCTTTTTTTTTGAGGAAGACATTCCGGGTCTAGATTTCAAAAAGCAAAAGGAGTTGCGTCGGCCGGAAATCGAACCCGGGTCGCCCGCGTGGCAGGCGAGCATTCTTCCACTGAACCACCGACGCTACGGGACGAGGGCGAGGGGAGAGGCTTATAAAGAAAAGGAAACGCGTCGCGCCAGGGTATCGGTCACTTTTTCGCAGTTTTCAAGAAAAAAACTGTAAAGTACGCTTTGATACTAACAACCAAAGAAGAAAATAGCAGTTTAAGCGGTTTAAAGCTTCCACATTCCTTTTTCAAAGCGTTAAAGTACGGTGTGCTACTACGGTGTGCTACCGCTCATAATTATACCCTTCTGCAAGGCAAGGGCCAATTCCCAAGCCGGCAAATCCAAGCAAGATAAGTCGGACAAGTCTATTTTGTCGTATGCTGACCCAAAACCTTCAGGTACGCTCTAATACTATGAACAACATTGGCTTCCTATTAATTATAAGATCCGAGAGCCAAGAGCCAATTCCCAGCCGACCAAGCCAAGTCGGATAAGCCGGATAAGCCGATTTTGGGGGCTATGTTGGGGATTCTTAGGCGGGGAGAAGATGAGAACCGAGTGCCCGGATGGTGTCCATCTGGACCGCAGTATCGGGTAGCCCATAGGGGGTCCCTCTATCCACCTGCCAGCTGCACATTCGGACCCCCACGATGGCTACTGATTTACAGGGTTTGCGAGCAACTATACCTTTATCAAGCAGTTTTATCAATTTTTCAGCTAGGAAAACGTTATAAATAATAAATAAAAATTTCGAATTGCTTAAAACTACCATCCTCCAGGGCGAATTTGTCGCGTAAACGATGAAACTTTGCTTCTAAACTAATTTCTTGTATAGCATTACCGGTAAAATATTTATTAGGCAGTTTTGCCAATTTTTAAGGGTGGAGCGCCAGTAAACATACAAAACGCTTTTAAAGCCCGCGCAACCGAAAAGGCATAGTTTCTCCCGAAATTCATCGCGAACGATAAAACCCGGTGCAAAAAAAGAAATTACAAAGAATTTGTAGAAAACGGTGTGAAGATTCAAACACAAATTTTGGGAAATTATAAGGTGAAAAATCTTCTGAAGCCAATCTAAATCCAAATCGGAGAGCACTATACAACCCTTAAAAAATTTTAGAAAAAGAATAAAGTTGTAAAATGGCGTCAATAGCGTTTCTGACTGTTAGAAAAGCGTGTTCTGCAGATGGAAAGCTATAAGGAGAAAAATATACAGAATTGATCCGCGCTGATAGGTGCATTGAGGCTTTTTCTCAAGCAAATCCGAAGATTTTAGAACAGGAATTTATCAAGAAAATTGCGTAAAGCTGCCAAGTTAAAATTTTAAACGCGAAAAAACCTGGAAAGCACCAGAAATGTGCTTGAAATAAGGTGTACACAACGCCATTTTCACTTAAAACCATGCAAAAATGACCTAAATGACAGTAAAAGATTTATATAGGAGTTCTTTGCTTTTTTAGAACATTTCTCCCCCCCCCCCCCGACCCCAGAAATCGTTATCTGCTAAAAATTACGAACTGCTAGCCGAAAAAAATTGAAAATACAAGGCGAAAACTCACGTCTTCCTGCATCATCGCGCGTAGAAATTGTCGATTCGACCGGCGCTGCAGTGTGTTTGGGTGGAAGCTGGCTGCTGTGCTGTCTGTCTCCCTCACCCAACCACCGTACCCCTTCGCCCCGCCCCCTTCCAGCCGCTAGGGCCCACAACACCCCCATGGGCCCTCAGCGAAATGGCCCACCAAGGCCCCCCCTGATGGTCAATAATCTAGCCATAGTATGGACCCAAATTTTGGAACGATGGTTTGACCGTCCGGGCTCCATTTAGTATTCCGATCCGCCCGGTCCTCAGGTTTCTGTCGGTCGTCTCTCTCTCACTCTCCCTCTTCTCACCGTTGCCACAACCTGATACCCCTATTCATTGTTTTTCTCTGGTTGTGCGTCTCTCTCTCTCTCTCTCTCTCTCACGCCAGAGACATCGAGCCGTTTGCGCAACTTCCTCCCTCCCGCCGGCTTCTTTATACAAATAAACCTCGCAAATCGATATTCAAGCCCCGGGGACGAGGTATCGATCTTGGTATCGTATTCCCAATGCCTTCCGACCCCTAGTTTCGCAAAAGCAAAAAGAGTTGCGTCGGCCGGGAATCGAACCCGGGTCGCCCGCGTGGCAGGCGAGCATTCTACCACTGAACCACCGACGCTTGCGTCGTGGCCTTGGGACGAGGTTGATTAAGGGAGGGCCGGTCAAGGCACGCTATCCCCCGGGGAAATAGTACTTTTTCCGACAAAACGTTAAAGTACGTTGTAACCGATTAATTACTAGGTTCTGGCCTTTAAAGTACGCTCTAATACTAACAACAATACAAGATTGTTACCTGCGATGATCCGCGTTAGCTACGTATTTTCGCGCATCACACGAGTGTTAAAAATTCCTTTTTAAACTTTTATTGTTTTTTGTACATCGTAGTGTAGCGGAATCGATGAAGGTATATTAATCGATATTTCAGCTCCTCGGCAGGCACCAGCCGGTCGCATTTGGGCATTGGGCGGTCAGGCAATTCAGGTCGTCGGGGACGCATCTAAATTAATCAAAAAATATTAAAATCCGGCTAAAAGCGATGGTAAACTAGCAGACTTTTTTTTTTGAAAATGCCTCTTTACAACTACGTACTTTTCGCCAGCCGGACACCGGAGACTGCAATGCGTGGAGGGTAGACAGCAGCGCGTGGAAACGTGGGATCGGGGTTGCCCGTTGTTGGACAGGCCTTAAAAAGGTTGGATACCTTTTGGGTATACAAAATCATTAAAAATATTTTACGGCTGTCGTTACGATAGTCCGGTCAACTGGCAAAGATCGTTAAGGATAAAAACTAAATAAAGTTACCCCCAGCCTTCGAAGCGGCTCGCTTGCAAACCGACGCGTAGCCGTTGTAACCGCAATCCCACGGCTATAAAAGGTATATTCATATAGTGAGATTTTATACTTTACACAGTCAGCCTAAGCCTAAGCCTGAGCCTAAGCCTAAGCCTAAGCCTAAGCCTAAGCCTGAGCCTATGCCTAAGCCTAAGCCTAAGCCTAAGCCTAATAAGCCTATGGCAGCAAAAATACGATAAAAATTCATTTTGTGTTTTGCAGCATAAGTTGATGTTCGAAAATCCGATTTTCCTAAAGAATCTCGGCTAACTAGCCTAAAAATTAGCCTTTTCAACGCCCAACCTGCCAAGATCCATCTGCCCTCCCCAAATCGAGCCACATCGTGACACACTGCGTGCTCGGCGATTGTTCCGGCGATTTGAAGCCGTGAAAATGAGATGTTGTCGCGTCATTCCACTCAAATGCTGCCCCTTTTTGGGCTTTTCCGACGCGCCCCAGCCATACCGTGCCCGTCGACAAGTTGGCGGCTTTGGAGACTTCTAAATTGCTTATTTATATCGATTATTAAGTTCTATTAAGCGCCATTGCGTCAGTGAACACTGAAACAGTACTTGAAAATCTTACTAACAAGGAGTGCTTTTTTTTGAGTCATCGGCAAAACCTTACAAGACCTAGCTCATTCGATAGAGAATTTGATTCTGAACAAGACCCCGTTGTCCTTTTTTGCAGAATGGCTATCCCTGATTTTATAAAATTTTAAAACTGCGCTCAAAAGGCTTCCTTTTCGCTCAAAGGGCACTCATGGTAAGAGACAACCACTAATTTTTTAATTTAAAAAAATCAGGGATAGCCATTCTGCAAAAAAGGACAACGGGGTCTTGTTCAGAATCAAATTCTCTATCGAATGAGCTAGGTCTTGTAAGGTTTTGCCGATGACTCAAAAAAAGCACTCCTTGTAAGTCAGGGAAGATGACTCACGATATACAAACTGATTCTCGTACTCATCCCCGATGCCTGCCAATCGACCCCCAGACGCCACGCATTCCGTTTCCGCCTAAAAACAGACATATGAAACCATCAAAGGCCGTTTGGCCCCCCGAATTCTATCCCACGACCATTCCACCGTACCTGCGACCACGTCAATCGCCTCGGATTCACCCGGTAGCACACCGAATTCCGGTGGTAGCGGCTCCAGCCCGGCTGACATTCCGGCGCTGAACTCAAAAAATGGCTACCGTCGTCAAATTTTTAATTCGTCCTAATATGCTTTATAGCTAGGAATCATAAGCCCGAAAAACCAAAAGTGCCGCAGAAAATACGGCCAGCCCGCCTAACGTTGCCCATTTCCACGTCCCGAATCCAAGCGTAAAAAAGTAAAAAGGAATTGCGTCGGCCGGGAATCGAACCCGGGTCGCCCGCGTGGCAGGCGAGCATTCTACCACTGAACCACCGACGCGCTGTGCCGGTGGAGGGAGAAGGGGTACTTAAGGGGTGGGGAGTCGAATGGACTCGGCCGCGCCAGGCAACGTACAATTCCACGGTTGGCCGTTTTTCGAAGTATGGTTTTTGGTTTTAAATTTTAGTTTTTTACATAGTGTTTATTTTTGGGCTTGTGGTATATCGCGTCTCTGCGCCTCTCCCTTTTGTCCATTCCCTCGCCTCTTCAACGATAAAAATGAATAAAAACAGCTGTCATCGGGTATTCTGCAGGATTTTTTTTGAAAAACAAGTTTAATTGTCTCATTCACTCACTATATACTATCCTTTTTAAGAAGAAAAACCTACCAGCCGCCCCGTTCCGCAACAATACGCCGAACAGGGCGCACATCGCGATTATCCCCTCGTTTAGCATCGAAAAAGATGGTAAATTAGTTTTAAGCAGCAAAAAAAGCCACAAATAAAGCGCGAAATCGGCGGGGCAGTGAATTCTGTGAGGTTGCTGTGTTTAAAAACGAGCCGTTTGAAGGGGGGGGATTGTTTATTGGCCGGAAGCCCAAAAAACGGGCCGCTAGAGGGGGTAGACACGGGCACAAAAAGTGGTTTATTCGGGCGGGGCCGTCGTGGTGAGTCGTTGCAACATATCTCCGATGGTCGAGATCCCGTTTTCGTGCTGGAAGCGGGGACTTAATGAAATCAATACTTAGTAAAATCGAATTAGTCTAGAAGTTTTTAGCGTATAAACCTTCATCCTCAGATTCGCGCGTTGAACGGCTTCACGCCATGACGCGGGGATCGCCAGCTCACCGAAACGAGCGCCTGAAATATGAATGAAGTTTCCGGATCTTTTGCAGTGGCGGGGGAAACATTTTTATAAGGATCCAATTGATCTAATATTATTTTGATTAAAAAACACCAAAAACATATGAATTTTGTTTTGCCCGAATTTCGAATAAAATTTTTCTGCGTTTTTTTTTGGTTCCTTTCCCTCTTGAAATATAGTTAAATTTTTTGTTAAAAACAATATTAAAAAACTTACTATTACGCTAGAAAACTTAAAGGAAAAAAGTTGATCTCCCGATAATGCGAAAAACGAGAATTTTAATAGTGTTTTTAGTCTTGAAATTTTTTTAAAGTGTTTCTGTCGTAACAATCTATTAAAATTTGAGCTTTTGGTCATATTTTTGTATTATTGTCGCATACCAAGAAGTGCTGCCGTGATGCATCCATTCGTATCCGTATCTCCGCCGACGCGGATCGAATTTAGAAGACCCTCGCTGAAGGTGCGCGCGTGAAGAAGCTCGTGGAAAGCTATCTAAATACAAATCATATGGTCACTACTGTGTCCCACAAAATACAAAAGATAAAGTTATAGGCCCACAGATTTATTTTATTTCTATTTTTGCATTTTGTAACGCTGATATAACTTACTTGAAAAGCCAGCCCAGAATATCCCATGGCGGCCTTGTCGCCATCTGTCGATACCTCCATCGATGGACCGTATCGAACGGGGGTTCGCTAAAAGTTTTCACTTATTTTCACTTAAAAGGCCGTTTGTGAGTCATCCGAACAAGGCTTGGCACAGTTTTTTTCGACCCCGTTTTTTCGACGCCATGTGAAAGAGCATGGTCGAATTAGTAGGGCTGCATAGTTTTGAAAGTTTAAAAAGTTTAATTTTGGGGCTTAAATGGCCCTTAAAGTTGCGTTCCCCGAAAAACTATCTCGGAGCTCACTGGGCCGATCTGCATGAAACTTTGGGACAAGACCTAATTTGAGGCGCTGATCATTTTTGTAATACATTGCGAAGCACAAAAATGACCGGAACATAGGAATATCGCGTAGTCAAAACAGTTTTTCCGGGTTTTCGTCATGATGGAAAGTTTGCTGTAAGCTGAAAGTCGTGTCAAAAGATGCGCAAAAATTTTTTGCGTCGAATGGTGTATTTTTTAGGATGCAGCCAGTTTTCCATCATGTCGAAAAATTTGATATACTAAGCCTCAGCTACAAAAATTCAGAAGTTGCAAATATAAAAAACGCTCCCTGGTTTATAGAGACGAAATCAGACCGATCGCAAAAAAGAGCAAAAAGAAATTCGGCTTCTGAGAGGGGGCTGGGATTGAACTCGGGTCGTTCGCGTGGGACATGGCGGCGCCCACTAGTCCCTGTCCCCCGTGCCCCCAGGCGGACCATCGCGGGTTCGATCCCGGCAAATCGCCAGTTCCGCGTAGGAAGGGAATTTCTTTTTGCTTTTTTTTGCTTTTGGTTTTGGCTAGTTTTTATATGGGGCTCCATTTACATCTGTTGAAAAAGAAGTTTTCTTACACATTTTGAGATGGTTTCTCTCGATTCTGGAAAAGCTAATTTTTCGACATGATGGAAAACTGGCTGCATCCTAAAAAATACACCATTCGACGCAAAAAATTTTTGCGCATCTTTTGACACGACTTTCAGCTTACAGCAAACTTTCCATCATGACGAAAACCCGGAAAAACTGTTTTGACTACGCGATATTCCTATGTTCCGGTCATTTTTGTGCTTCGCAATGTATTACAAAAATGATCAGCGCCTCAAATTAGGTCTTGTCCCAAAGTTTCATGCAGATCGGCCCAGTGAGCTCCGACATAGTTTTTCGGGGAACGCAACTTTAAGGGCCATTTAAGCCCCAAAATTAAACTTTTTAAACTTTCAATACTATGCAGCCCTACTAATTCGACCATGCTCTTTCACATGGCGTCGAAAAAACGGGGTCGAAAAAAACTGTGCCAAGCCATAATGGGGACTGTTCGAGTGGCCCGCGGACGGCCTTTTAATTATCTGCTATGTAAAAATATATTAAAGCTATCAAACTATAAAAATTAGCAAGATTTACACGTAAAAAGCGCATAAAAATGGCAACGATAACGTTTAATCAGTTTATTTCTTTTTGTACTCGCTTACCTGAACAGCCGCCGCTTCCAAATGAATGCGTGCAACGTTATTATTCGTCGATTCAAGTAAAGTTCTAAAGCTTATAGCATTAGAACTTATATACACGTATACAAAGTATATAAGTAAAATAAAGGTTATACCATATTTTAGTTATATACTTTGTATATATGCCAACCTGTAAACATTTTCAACACTCTCCCCATTAATTAGAAGATGAATGGCTCGGCAATATATCTCGCACAAGACCGCTGGTACGGGATGGCAATGCGTCAATGCGACATCTTCAGCGATATATGGTGCCCATCTAGAAGTACGGTAACAAGAACACTGTATTAAAAGCTACTCCTCAAATGGTCGTCTCCAATAAAACACAGGCAACGGGCTGATCCGCATCAAACATCCGTTAGACTGTGATTCGTCATTCCATTTTGCCACGTTCGATAGAAGTGTCGTGAGTACCCTAAAATCAGAAATTATCAGATTTTCTAGAGACTTCTGGGGTGCTTTAACATTATCGGGGGGGTGTTGGAAAGGTTGTTCACTGTTCCTAAACGCAAAGATTTTATAAATCCTATCCTACTATTCCTACTATATATAAAAAAAACCAGTGGAAAAAGACCGCTTCGCGGCCATTTTCCACTGGACCCCGTCCAGGAACCATAAATTTGAATCGCTTCTTTTTAGCCTGCGGCGCAAGAACCTGGGTCAGACCATTATTTGGCCTGCGGCGCCAGAGGCAGTGTTGCGCTGGAATCCTTGAGCCTGCGGCGCTAGCTACTGTTTTTTTCCCGGATTTAGCCTGCGGCGCGAGAGCGTGTTTCAGCGACCTTTTCTTTGGCCTGCGGCGCTAGAGCCTGGGTAAAGGACCCATCTTTGGCCTGCGGCGCGAGATCCTGGGCCAAGAACCTTCTCTTGGGCCTGCGGCGCTAGAGCGAAGGCCAGGCCTAAATCGCGCACACGGAAAGCCTAGAAATATGTCTTATTGCTGAACTACAAAAAAGCAAATAGCTAAAAATTCTCATCTCCAACCGAACCCGCGATTCTCAACGCCGTAGCCCCGGACTTGATCCACTACACCACAGGGGGGGACTGGAACGGGCAGCGGTAAAGGCCTCTTCATATCCTGGGGGCCGAACCGAGCTGTGTAAAAATGAATGGGCTCCAGCACCTCCGACAGGCAGGCCTTCAGGCCACTTTACAAAATTCAACTTTTGAGGTGGAAGCTGGTCGAATTTTGTGAAAATAATAAGATGCGCGTGATCCTCGCCATTGAATGCATGAGTGCTCCAAAATACAGGTCCAAAATCGCAATGTGTATTGAGATATGGCCTGGACACCACCGCCCGTGACACGATTTATTAAGGACCTTCCAGAAAAATCCTTTTAAAAACTTCATTTTCAAAAATTTTGCAAATTCCGAAAAAATGTATCTGAGGATATACTTTTCCCATCTACCCTCCAAAAATGAGACCCCAATTCCCTCTAGGCGCCGAGAAAACTTCCGGACAACGCGGCAAAAACCCATTTTGTTAAGGATTTTTCACTTTTTTGCTTATAAAATTTTTAAATGAAGGAATTTCGTGAAACAAAAAAATGCATCACTGACAAATGTGTTTCTCCACCTCCATGCCAAAAATCAGCCGGAAATTCGGCCTGACGGCCGAGAAATCGGCTGTACAGAAAACAGACATACTTTTCTCGCTTATAGGATAGGATAGTGTTTGTGTGTGTGTGTGTGTGTGTGTGTGTGCATTTGCATGCAACTTCCGTCCGTATGTTCCAGTCGTATCTCGATAAAGGAAGTAGTGAGGGGTATGTACGATATGTCATTAGGTGCGTAATGGTTAATGCAACACGACTGCACACCTATCAGATTTTTGAAAATCAGCTGTTTTTGATATTAAAATTAGGTTTTTGTGAAAATCTCCCCCGACCTCTTTGTTAGGAATTAATTAGCATACGCCGGAAGTGACGCTAACCTATATAAAGGAGGAGAGAGCCGTTCTGCTCATTTTTTTTATTCGTGGGATGCGGGTGGAATTATGCAAAATGCAAACTTTCATAGGGCCCAGACGGGGCCAGGGTTGAAAAGTCGCGAAGCGGCTTTTCAACCCTGGTTTTCATTCAAAAATAAAAAATATCGGGTTTTCAAACAAACTTTCAAAATTTTCTGAGTTTTTAGATGGTTTTTCCGCTTTAAATATAGTTTAATTAATCTAAAAACGCTATTGTAATACCTACTACGCTGCTACTAGGAATTTCTGGACACCTAGAAAAAATTAGCCGCCCCCCGATAATGCACAAGGGCCAGCTCGGCTTTCTTGCCTTTTTCTTTCCTCCACATCCCACTCCTTTAGCCATTCTTTCGGGATTCTCTTGTCTAAAACAAAACGTTAAAAAATTTATACTTATCTTAAGCCATCAAACTAACCAATCGAAACGGCGGAAATTGTCGTATTTCCAATATCTGGTGGTGCTGTTTGACACCAGCTGTAAAATTAATTAATAGGGAAAATGTTCTTTCAATTACCGTGCATAGGCCACAGCCGTACTCGCTTGATCGAAGCGATTTTGGGCCAATAAGACGCCGGAGAGAGATAGTGCCATTTCGCTGTCATCGGTTATCTAAAAGACATTGAAGAAATCCTATGGCTTTTGCAAGCATTTTACTACGCTATTGTTTTTAAGAATATTTAGAATGAGTATTAATTAATGCTTTCTAAAGTTAGAAAAGCTTTACAAAGAACTTTACTTTAAAGGGCTGCCGACGGCATGTGTCGATCCCCCCCCCCCATCAACAAATTGGCAAGTAGCCAACAGGGGAAAGAGCGCGCCCAGGGGAGAGGCGCAGATACATTTTCTTTTCCACGCGTAACCGATTGTCTATGCCGTCGGCATCCCTTTAAGCGTAAAAAAAATCCGATAAAACAGCTATTTACTGCACTGTTTTTCCTAATAACGTTTAGCAATGATTTAGCCTCATAGACAATCATATAGGTATCGAATAAACTTTAAAGCGCATAAAATAAAGCATTAAACACTGATTTAGTGCATTATTATTTTTTTAATGAGACTATAGATGTCGTAGAAGTTTATAAGTTAGAAAGTCAGAAAAAAGTTTTACGATTTCTTATTATACAATTTTTATTAGGAAAATTTTCATATTACCTTTATGCAATTCTATAGCTCTTGAAAACTTTATTAAACTACAAAGTCTAACCAGCACCAAATAACGCAAAAATTTACATGGGAACCGATAATACCCCGCCGTATCCGCTGCCTACCCGACTCTTGAGAGGGGCGGTGGGGCCCCTCTCCCATGACTCCTTGGCGCAATGGTAGCGCGTTCGACTCCAGATCGAAAGGTTGGGTGTTCGAGTCACTCAGGGGTCAAAATTTTAGCTTTTTGGTCCAAAAGCCGGTATACATGCGAAAAAGCTAATCCAATTGCAAAAAGTCATTTTGCTACTTTTATGTGTGTTTTTCGAGGGTTTTACGGACCGTTCCTGGAGGTAAGTTGAAGCACCCTCCGCCCAGCATTGCCAGCTCTCCAGTCTCGGCCATGTCCGTGTCAAGCTAAAAGATGTAAAGAACCCGTCATTTAATTTATAAATCTTTATAAATTTATAGTTTTGATAAAGTCAAACGTCGATATTTAATACATTTAAAATACCTTTTGTATTGTTTCTTCGCGGCTGCCAAATTCGTAGCGAGACCCGAGCGCATCTCCGACAAATTGGCCCATCAGGGCACCGCGGGCTCGATTTAGGGCCATTACTCGAAATTAAAAGCTTGCTAGCGAATTTCTATAAAGATTCATGAAAAATATATTAATACAAGCATCAAGAACCGGGTGATTTTTATAAACCACTGGCAATCGCAATAAAGAGGCAAAGACAGTCCCACGCACTTTATTCATCCAAAAAAAAATCCGAAAAACAAGTAATAGACAATGAAAATTAGACGATGTTCAGGTATTTGAGGGTTCGCATGACGAACTGGGCGGCCTTGTGGCTGTAGTGGGTCGAGAAGCGGTAGAAGGCACCCTGGAAAGTGATAACGTGTCAGTTGGACAATATATCGAAGGCTTTTGCGAAATATTTGTTTGCGATAAGCCGGCAGAAAAATGGCAGTGCTGCACAAAGACTAAAGAAATATTGCACAGACGATCTTGACGTTATTTGCACTTATTATGATTATATTATCAGCATTTAATAAAATAATCTGTTGATTTGTAATTACTTACAAATAATTGTTAATAACGAATAAACTTCTTTTAGAAGCTACCGCAAGCGACTTATTCGCGGCCTGTGCCACCAGCAAATCGGTCTGCTTCCGCTCGTCGCTCGTCTGAAGTAAAATTCTTTCCCCTTATCGCGGAGAAGGGGGAGAAATTTGTCTTCGACACATATTTTCAAATATAATTATTGTCTCTAAACAGTTTTTTTGCTATTCGAAAACGTAAAAACGTTGCACTTTTTCAAAAAAAAATCGAAAATATCGATTTTTCGACCAAAAATGTCCCTTTGTGGCAAAAATGTTGACTTTTTGCAATTTTTTTTTTGAAAGTTTTTAGATTGTTTCCTATATTACTACCAGCCGATTACAGCCGCTTCGCGACTGTAATCGACTGGCCTTCGGGCTACCCTCCATATCCTACACCACCACATCCCTCGCTACTTTCATCATTACATATGCTGATGTTTTCAGAAACCCGCATAGCCGAAATCCCCTTCAAAAACTACCTAAATATCTTCCTGATGGCTTCAGATACCCCCCATGGCTGAAACCCCCTTCAAAAACTACCCAAATACCTTCCTGATGGCTTCAGATACCTCCCCTAGGCGAAATCCCCTTCAAAAACTACCTAAATCCCTTCCTGATGGCTTCAGATACCTCCCCTAGGCTAAATCCCCTTCAAAAACTACCTAAATCCCTTCCTGATGGCTTCAGATACCTCCCCTAGGCGAAATCCCCTTCAAAAACTACCTAAATCCCTTCCTGATGGCTTCAGATACCTCCCCTAGGCTAAATCCCCTTCAAAAACTACCTAAATCCCTCCCTGATGGCTTCAGATACCTCCCCTAGGCGAAATCCCCTTCAAAAACTACCTAAATCCCTTCCTGATGGCTTCAGATACCTCCCCTAGGCGAAATCCCCTTCAAAAACTACCTAAATCCCTTCCTGATGGCTTCAGATACATCCCCTAGGCGAAATCCCATTCAAAAACTACCTAAATTAACAACGAATGGCTCAGCCCCACCCCTTTTCACTGTGGCGCAGGTACTGGGGCAACCCTGACCGGGCAGGGTATTCGTGGTGTTCAGATACCTCCCCTAGGCGAAATCCCCTTCAAAAACTACCTAAATCCCTTCCTGATGGCTTCAGATACCTCCCCTAGGCGAAATCCCCTTCAAAAACTACCTAAATCCCTTCCTGATGGCTTCAGATACCTCCCCTAGGCGAAATCCCATTCAAAAACTACCTAAATTAACAACGAATGGCTCAGCCCCACCCCTTTTCACTGTGGCGCAGGTACTGGGGCAACCCTGACCGGGCAGGGTATTCGTGGTGGGACCCAGAGCCTTCCTTGCGACCCGAAACTGAGACCTCAGTTCGCTGGTTAAAACCTTAAGTAAAACTTTCAAAGTTAATTTTAATAATTTAAATCAAAACTTTTTGATAATTTTTTTATCAGTTTGGGGGTTTCCGACCACGCTCTATCCGAATCCGAAGAGAGCTAAGCTCTAGCTCCTTTCCCCTTCGAGTTGAATTCGGCTTCACACAGACACACAGACACCACAACAAAATTATTATAGTTGATATTAAATATACTTTTATGTTAATAAAAACATTGTTACAACACTTCCGATCAAGTTACTAGGCCTTTGCAGTATACTTCTCCGCCCACCCCGGGTGGGCCCCCCCTAGGGGGGACAGAGGGGGACTGAAAGGGGGGATTCTTCCCCCCTCCCCCCCCCCCCCCCCCCCCCGCCCCACCACAGGGCGCCCCGCCAAACACGGCGATTCATCCTTTAAAGGGATACCGACGGCATAATCAATCGGTTACGCGCTGGAAAGAAATTGTCTCTGCGCCTCTCCCCAGGGCGCGCTCTCTGCCCTGTTGGCTACTTGCCAATTTGTTGATGGGGGGGATCGACACATGCCGTCGGCATCTCTTTAAGAAAAACGCGCATGAGAGGGGAAGACGGGGCTAGCCTACGGCACGCTCCAATCGACGCGCAATTGGTTCTTAAAGCAAAGGGGGGTCCGTCTTCTGCGCTTTCAAGCCTCTATAACTTTTTTATACGGCAGTTTCATAATCTGAGTGACCGCTCAAAAAATAGAAGAGACTTTGCTCTATCTTTTATTAGTGGTTTTGTCAAAATCGAGCGTTGGAATCGAGACTTCTGATGGTTTGAAGTTTGAAAAATGAGGTGCATGTTATCGTCTGAGCTCAAATCCAGCTAAATCCTGGCCCAACCGCCTCAACTACATTTTCTGGAAGAGTATCTGTCATGAACTACCCAATATTGAGTCAAATTGGGCTTTTAAAAATTTACGCGACGATTCCAATTCAATGTTTTCTGAAGTTTTCAATTAGCTATAACTTTTGTTTATGACGGTTTTCGAATCTACTAGCAGACTAGGAACTAAGAGCAGACCTTCCTCTATCTTTTGCACCTAGTTTTAGGATAGCCCAGCGCAGAAATTTAGCGAATGGGTCCTGTAAGAGGGTGCGATAAGCTTACGATCTTTACTGGCCTATTCCGCATGGAGAGAATGTTCCGCTTGGATTCTTAATTTCTTTATTCGTAGCGAGTCTATTGGCTGCATGCCTCAGGGGGGTAGGGGGCACGGTCATTTGGGGGGGGGCCCACCATCTCCCCTTTCAGTCCCCCCTCTGTCCCCCCTAGGCACGCCCAGAATTAGCGGCAATAAGGACCTAAGCAACGCGACGCCCCATTCGTCAAGAAAATGTATGGGGCCAAAACTTCGTAGCCTTATAACTTTAAAACTAAATGGAATCTTAAAAAAAGCGATTTCCAACTTTGTAGAATGGGAAAAGGCGATTCCAATGATACCAAGCACTAAGAAAACTGAATTCAAAAAGTATCGAAACGAAGGCGGTTTTTGTTGACGACTTTGTGAAAAGTGGTATTTCGGAGGGCTAACTGGCTGTTTTTGGTATCATTCGAACCGTAAAATTCTACTCTGCAATAATTGATATTGGGTTTTCATTATGAAGTCGGTTTGAAAAAGTTATAAGTGCTTAAACTTTTTGGCGCCCGCTACGTTCCGCTCCTATCGACGCTTTTGCCCCTCCCGGCACATTGCCGTTTTTGGCCTGTTTGACTGGCCGTGTAGGGGGGGCCCACCCGGGGTGGGCGGAGAAGTATACTTTGCAGGCTTATAAAAATCGGTTGACACGTTTCTACACAGGATTATTTCTAGACCTACCCGCTTCTCATATTCGATATTATCGTCTTTTCGCCGCAATGCTTCGTCGCGCAGCTTCAGCACGTCCTAAAACAAACAAAAATCAACCTTAAAATCAGAAAAATACCTGACAAAAGGCGTGGGACTCCTTCTCGGCCTGGATGACCATCTCCTGGATTCGATGCCCATCTTCGGAACGTTGGCGCAGATGGCTTTGGACTGTCTGAAAATAACTATGGGGAAAATTGCTGTATCCGGTCACTAAACGGATTTTGTATTTTTATATGTCAAAATGCTCAGCAGGTCGAGCTGATTCAGGATCAGTTGAAAAAACTTGGCGGAAAAATCGCTATCACGAGATATATAGCTTACAAGCTCTCAAAACAGGCCGACACGTAGTACACAATACACCTATATACGCCAGCTGTACATCGGAAAGTAACGGAATGGTATAGAATTACCGTTTCTTGGGTAAAACATTGTCAGGCAAGGCTGGCCGTCGCTTCGGATGGGCTGCCGCTCCACTCTTTCGAAATCGGGGCGCCTGGGCGCTGCGCGCTCCTCGGGCGCCCGATTTCGAAACCCTGTACGAGCTCGCGCCCATCCGAAGCGACTAGGCCCCGGGTGGCACGAAGCCTTATTTTTAGGCTGAAACTGGGTGTAGAGTGGAGTAACGCTAAGCTCTTATCTCTAGTAGCATGAAAAATGACCATTCCGTTACTTTCCGATGTACAGCTGGCGTATATAGGTGTATTGTGTACTACGTGTCGGCCTGTTTTGAGACCTTGTAAGCTATATATCTCGTGATAGCGATTTTTCCGCCAAGTTTTTTGAACTGATCCTGACTCAGCTCGACCTGCTGAGCATTTTGACATATAAAAATCCGAAATCCGTTTAGTGACCGGATACTTCAGTAGCCAACTTTGAAGTGTCATATCTCGAGATAGAAGCGTTGCCGCCAAGTTTTTTCAACTGATCCTGAACCAGCTCGACCTGCTGAGCATTTTGACATATAAAAATACAAAATCCGTTTAGTGACCGGATACCGCAATTTAGCCAAACTATGTATAAAACAAACCAAGCCAATAAAAGGTAAGAGTTTACTTTACCCCCCCACAGCCGAAGGGTCTCAAAGTTGTCGGTATTTTCGCTTATTTTGTCGGGATTTTTGCAACGCCATTCGATAGAGCGTCGAAAAATATACTAAGAGTTTTAATTTGAGCCTACAATAATGTAAAACCTGTATGCTGTTGCGGATCTCAATGGTCAGCTTGACGGCCTCTTCTTCCTTCGCCCTCAGTTGCAACTTCAGGTCTTCGATACTCCTGAAATTTAATGTATCCTTTCCAATACCTCAACTTACGGCTCACCCTCGCCGCTCTGCACCGGCATTCGGATCGCTTCCTGTAGCTTCGATTTTCGCAAAAAAATACAAATCACTACCGTGTCCCTCTCCATCAAATACAGCAGCTACCGTTTATCTAATCAGAAACGAGACTACAGTCCGAATTTTATGCATAGAAAATCGAGTGTAAATGCGCAATTTCGAGATTCAAAGGATTGATTACCTCAAATTGACATGGAAATTTGATAAAATAATGGTATTGGACTGTTAGCGGGGGGGGGGTGGATTAGCAGAATATCGGAGTTTTTATTTTACGCTTATTGGTGACAATATATAGCGTATTTTATCATGTTTTTAGTAGTTTTTGATCGCCAGAAGGCTTGAAAAATGTTTAAAACATTTGAAAATCCGAACATTCCCCCGCTACCAGTCCAGTACCAAAATAGTGATATGTGAGTGTATAATGGAATTCGGTGAAACATTGGTGTGAGCTTTGGAGTGAACTTATCACAATTTTTGGAAGAGAGAAAGACAAAAAATGATCATTTTTCCTGGCACATGTCGAATTGAGACTCGAAGATTAGGTCGGAGATCTGTAAAACGGGAATTTTGACCAAGATTTTACCCAACCTTCTTTTGCAGCTTTAGCGCCTCCAGCCGATTGCCCTCACCAGCCATTTTCCGCAAAATAACCGCAACATATTGGCCAAAATGCGCAAAATCGTCCTAAATATAAATATTTTAGACTTTGTTGTGTTGGCAAACCTGGGCGCTATTGATTGTCAGCAATGGTGGGGAACTGACCGTCGGGAGTGGAGTCTCTCGAGGCTAAAAAGTGTTGTTTTTATTGACCATAGTCCAGGCGGGTTTTTTTCATTAAAAAATTCGATGAATATAATAGAAATATTAAGTTCCTTTAGCATTTCCAGCATGGTCCAACTTTTCCTATACGCCAAGGTATGCGCAGTAAGGCAATAGCAATATTTTGAATAGCTTTTGTAGCGAAATTTAGCCATATTTCCAGTGAAAAAACGTCAGAAAACTCTAAATAAAATGTTAAGACGCTAAATTTTAGCCTCTTTTAACCAAACACACGAGGGTTTTTAAGTTTGGGGAACGTAAAAACACTGTCGAAGGGCTTCATGTTTCTTCAATCGTACTTTATTCGATTACGGTTACTTTACCAAGGTATTTTGCTGGCAGGCCCGTACGAGGGAGGGGGGCAGGGGCAGCCTGCCCCCCCCCCGAAATCCTCGGGGGGCCGAAAAGTACATAAGGTAGTACCCTTATGTTTTTTTTCATCATTTTTGCTGCCCCCATGGAGGGGGCAGGTAATCTAGAAGTTTGAATTTTCCCGCATTTTTTTGGCACTAATGTTAGGGTGGCAGATGGGGTTGGGTGTTGTTAGGAGATTATTTTGGCACCATTAATGGGCTAATATTTGGAGGAAAGGCCCAAAATAGGCAATAATGATACGGCGGTAACTCCATGGAGAAGTAACGGATCGGGATGATTGATATAGCGATAGAAAGCCCAGAGCAGGCAGAATACAGGGCGATGTAAAGCAGAAAACCCGTATTGCTAGAGCACTTTATTCCGGTTACTAACGGTAACTTAGCGCGGCAAAGCGCTTGCCTGTTCACGGCACCCTCGACAAGAATAAAGAGTGAGGAGAAATAGACCTCCCCCCAAAATCGACCGAGCCCGGAAAGCGCATAAGGCCCTTTAGATTTTTTTCGCAAAAAATTTCGAAAAAACTGTGCCAAGCCTTGTTCGGGTGGCTCGCAAACGGCCTTTTAAACGCTATTTATTTTTTATAATATAGACAGTTTTTTCAAAAAATTTTCTGCCTGCGGCGCCTTTTTCCTCGCTCTTTAACACCAATTTTTTATCCTATAGGCACCGTTTTTCAAAAATTTCAGCCTGCGGCGCTGTTTTTCAGTAAATTTATCGCAATTTTCGCTAAGTTTGCTGCCTGGGGCGCTCTCAGGCCGCCCCAGGCGAGCCGCCCCCCCCCCCGCCCCGCAATCGCCCGAAGGCCGAAAAGTTCATAAGGTCTTTTTCCTTATGATCTTTTCCGGAAAATTTTCTGCCTGCGGCGCTTTTTTATAGCTGTTCGCAAGTCGGTTTTTAGTGTTAGAAACACCATTTTTCGAAAATTTTTGCCTGCGGCGCTTATTTTTTCATTCATTGAATCGCAATTTCGGTTCAAAAGTGCATTTTTTGCCGCGATTTGGCACAATCCCAGGGTTTTTCTTTACCAATTTTGCAAAAAATTCGCCTGCGGCGCTGTTTTTAGAGTTTTTACACCGTTTCTCCGCCATTTTACAAAAGCGTCGACCGGGGAGGTCGTCAAAAATTTTTCGGTCCTGCCCCCCCCGAAATTTCGGCCCAGGTACGGCCCTGTTTGCTGGTCATCCTCGGCTTTCTTACCCGTTTTACCGGCACAGCCTCTTCCCGTTGCACCGTTGGCTGCGGTCTCAACATTGTCGGAATAATATTGGTCTTATTCTCGAGCATCGAGTTCTAAAATCTCAACTTTTTAAAGATAGAACTCGATCCAAACCTGGGCATGCTGTTCGGTTGCCTTCAATAAAATATCCATAGAATTTTCGGTATTACGCTCTTCGAATGAGCTGCTAAAATCAAGAAATCTAAATTATCTCTGGATCTACACTTACTTGTGCGGTTCATATTTAACCGTAAGCTCCGGAGCATCATTACTACTCGTTCCGTCTTCTCTAAAACATATTTTTAAGCGTATTAGATAATCTTAGATTTTTTAAGGAATAAAAAGAAACCTCAAGGGCCCCTCATCCCCTTTTTCCAAAAATCGTAGCTGCCGAAAGAATTTCCACGTGGGTTCTTCGGCTGGATCGCGTGAGTATCTAAAAAATATTATTTTGTCATTTTTGATCCCCTTACTTTCCCTCCGAGAGCCATCGTTGTTTCCTTTTGTAGGTGTCCTTCAGGTTTTTCCATTGCGATCGCACCTCATCGGCTGAAAGAAATAATAAAAAATTAAAATTATCAAGAAATTGACTTTTTGGTAGCAAATTTTGGACAAAACACAAGGTCAAAGTCTTCAAATTTTCAAATTGTTTAAAATCTCTTTTAATGTCTTAGCAATGAAAACTACTTATAAACTTTTTCTCGACAGAAAAACGTCTAAACTTGTACGAGATTGAAATTTTTGCCCCTGACCTGTATAGGGATGTTTGCTGATATGGGGGTAGTAGGCTGTGTTGAGTATCTCGACAATCTCCCGAATCGCCTCATGCCGCATAAGTCGAGAATTTGGGTCCTACAAGTCATTTTATTGTTAAAACGGATTATTTTCGAATTTGTAACACACTGAAACGCCCTATTTCTGGCGTACCCCCTGCACGGTTCGATCCCACAACACCGGGCGCAGCTTGACCTGATCGATGAGGCTCGTTCGGCTGCTGTCTGTCCAAGCCATAATCTAAACAAAAAGCAGATTAATTTTTGCTTTCTGAAAAGCGAATTGACGTTCAAAAGATTAGGCTTTTGAAATAGCGGAGAAACAAGTTCTAGTCCGTTATCGGGGGGGGGGGGGGGGGTGCTAACTTCCTTTATTTCACCTAACCGTCTTACAATTATTAATAAGATCTAAAATATTTCTGGAAAGTTTTTAATATTTTCCGATTGCTAAAAGTAATAGAAATCTTTTAAAAAGTTCAAAAATTTGATTTTTTTTGGCGGTTCTCATGGAGTTTCGACAAAGGTGGACATTTTTATAACATTTATAAACTTTATTTTACCAAAAACACAAGAAATACTATGAAAATTGCTTTTCTTTTACCTTGGAGCCAGTAAAGGCAATGAAATAAGAAAATGTTAGGTTCATCCGCTAACTAGTCCCGCCCAATCCAGTGGTTAGTCCCTTTAAAATATAGCAGCCCCAAAAAATGAAGATAAAAATTAGATTGATGCAGCAAGAAACCCCGGCTCAAGAGGTGATGGGCCGAACGGTGAGAATATCGGTGGGGGGGGCCGTATGCGGCGGTGGGGCGGCGCCGCGGCCCAGTTCGCCCGCGGTGGCGATCGATTTCGCGCGAGGCAGCGACCGCCGTCGCCCCATCCGGCCATCTCACAACACAACACCACGGCTCTCCTCGGGGGCACCCCAACATTGCAAACAGTCTGCTCTCCTACTGGCTGGCTGGCTCGTGGCGAACCCGCATTTATTCAATACAATAGAAACGTTAGGATTAGATGAGAAAGCAAGGTCAATGAGTCAGCAGCTGGCGATTGCGACTGGATGGAGAGGCGGAAAATAAGGACCGAAAAAATGACAAAATGACAATATGAATCGGGGACTGGACATAGGCTAGTTTCCTGGTCCAGGAATGTGAAAAGAAATACAAGATATAAACAAGAAAGAGGTTTAAACCTGAGATCATAAAGCCGAAGAATGAATACTTCCTTATTTCTTCCAGTAGTCGATCTTTTCCATCTTCACAAGCGGACGCAGTTGATCGGCAAAAGCACGAAGCATTTTCGCTTCCTTATCATAGTCCGCCGACTCGGGAAGTGACGTGGCTACTTCGATCTAAAACATTTTGTTTATACAAAAATAATACAACTATCTTTTGCTAGCGTTTTCGAATTCACTAAAAACCTACCAAAAGCGATTCGGCTGTAGAGATCGGCTTCAATCCTTGCTCATATTTTCCAGGCGTTTCCGTTTTCCGCAAATCGTTAACGATAACCTTGAAACCGCCATTTGTGTAGACGCGTCCCTTCGTGATATACTCGTAATCCATACGTAATCCTAAATTGTCGCGGTCCTCGAAAATTCAGGAAAAATCCACCTAAGCTTTTCACAAATTCCATCATGTTGTTCGAAGATACCACCGAATCTATCACTTTTCTGACGATAACCGGGCAGTGCGCGATTGGCTCTGGCGTGCCGATATACCTAAACATTCATTATTTAGTAAAAATAAAATCTGTACTACCTCATATGCCATTTATTCGCTGTCGGATGGAAGGCATCACTATGAAACTCACGTCGTAACCTAAAAAAACTTCAAGTAACTAGAATTGGGCTTACCGAACTGTCACATCCGATCCCATCGACATCGGCCCGCCAACTTTGAGGCTAAAGCTCAGCTCGTGCTCCTGAAAAAAATCGTAGAGAAACCAGTAAATCTTCTTACGTGAAATTCCCGGTATCCTTTGTCACACAGACCGGAAAGCCGAGCGTAAAATTGCTCTTTATACGCCTCCTTCAGGCTGCCGTACAAAATCAGCTCCTGATGCTGGTAGGACGTGGGCGGGGTGAACTTGGGTGGATCTTCTCCGGGCTCTCGAGCGGATGATGCCATCCTGAAAAACATATTGCCTATGGTGAACACATTTTTCAATATAATTTGAGCATAAGACTATACAATCAAAAAGCACAAAACAGTCAATATTTTATCAACAATTTTCGTGAACCAATAACCGTATGCTCATGATGACTAGCACAACCGCATATGGGCCTGAGAAATGAAAGAATACTAAACGATATACAACATGTTAGAAGAATCGACTTTAGAGCTTCGAAAAGTCAGTGGGGCCCTTGACAGAATTCCTTGGGTCGCTGGCCTTGAGAGTAGAGGCATCAGCTGTCATCTGGCTATCAATATCGAAACATCCGAGCAGCGAGGCCATCACATCACTGTCCGGTCGTTCGCAGCTCATCAGCTCCTCATACTCCAGCATAGACACGGAGAGCTTCGCCTTTACAGGCTCGTCTGGGACGTCGCCATTTACAGATTCAACATCAGAGGAGCACGTAGAGGCTGCGACCGAGGCGCTGGGCTCCTCACCGGCCCATTCATACAACGACTTCTTCCATGTACGCACCATCTGGTCCCAAGAGCGCCGAGAATAGTTCAGGAACTTATTCGGGGTCCGCGGATGGACATGCGGGACGCGATTTTCCTTGGGAACATCCTTCAAATAACGATCATAAACGTCTTTGTCCTTGGCGCGCTGAATCTCCTTGTTGCGACGCTCCAGAGTGCGAACATCGGTGCACCATCCAAGCTTGGGCTCTGACCAATGTTCGCGCACCTTCAACTTCGGCGGTCCCGAAGGCGTAGATTGTGTCGAGTCCATGGGACCGGATGCCCTGGAGTCGTCCTTGTGAATCTTTCGCGAAGGAGTTCCACTGCATGCAAGGCCGGGCGTCGACAATTCCCGATCGCGCTCAGAGGTGTTGGAACGGCAACGCTTGCGGCTCAACGACTCGCGCTCCTCCTGCTGTTCCTTCAGTTTGTAAGCAACGCGGGCAGATCGACGGATCGACGGCCCATCGCCTTGTTCGTGCAGCATAGCCCGTTGGAAATTCGGCTTTGTCGAGGAGCGGTTAGGTCCCGATGGTTTGCGAGTGCTGCGGCGCGCAGGCTCTTCGACCGGCGCCTCGCTCACACTATGAAACGATTCGTCACAATCTTCGGACAGTTCAGCCCAGGACTTGTCGGATATCTCGTCGAGAACGGCATCTGATAATTCATGAAAAGACGGGCTTCGTGCTCGAGTGCCCATGCTGCTGAAAAAGAACATATAATGGAGGCCTTGAGAGTAAAATAAGGCATTGAAATCAATACTAGGAAAGATTAGCATAAATAGAGGAGTAGAGCCTGTAAGAAAACCAAGCAAGGAGCCGATAAGTAATAGCCACACCCAATTTTTTTAAATACATGCGTGGGAAGATAACCACGACTCTGACATTCATCACTTCCGAGGAATCACAGCTTTATTTACACGTAAAAACATGTTCAAAAAATCAATCGTCCTCGGAGTCTGATTTGTTCCCATTCTTTCTGCCAGCTGTAGGGAGCTGCCGCCGCCGCTGTTCCAATACCGGTAATAGCTGAGATACTTGGGTGCACCTAAAGACGAAAATAGGACAGGAAATATCTGCCTCACTTTTTCATGCAAACCTCTCGTCGATCGCTAAGTACGGTGGCCGAGTCCGTTTCAACCATTTTGACGATAGAATCGAGCTGTGCGTCGATTGAGTTAATCTAAAATTATATCAGAAAAGCTTCTTTGACATACCAAATGACTTTCATATTCTTTGCCATGGTGAGTTTCATCGACGCCGCTTATCCGCTGCAGAAATTCGCGTGTCAACTCGACGGCACGCGCCTGGGCATCCAAAGCATATCTACAAGATATAAACATCTTCATAAAAAGAAATGCTTTTACTTGAAAGCAGCTAGAGCTATATGGGTGGGAGAATAGAGCAGCATCGCGTCTGTAAGAAGCGATCGACTGATGAATTCTGTGCAATTAGGCCTAAAACAAGTTTTAAAGCTATAAAGCTAAGCTTACCGTAAAGATTCGATGTCAAAATTTAACAAAGACATCCGCTGCTTCATTTCCACGAAAATTCCCTCCACCGTCCGATAAGGCGCATGCACGACCAAGGAATAGTTCAGAACCCGCAAAATCTCCGGCTCGAGCGTCAGAATCAAATGTGTATTCGTCTCCGCCGTACCTAAAATAAATTATTTTCGCAAAAATACTATTACCAGATCTCAAATTAGCGACAAATTCTTGTATCGGCACATAAAATTCGTCGATTTTCGTCGCAATATAGTAACAGGCCATCATCACCATCTTCGGGCTGTACTCCATGACGGTCTTCTTCAAAAAGAATCGCTTGAAATACGCGAAGGCCATGTAGCGGACCGAGGGGAAAAGGTGCGGCTAAAAGAGAACTGATTTCTGAGCGTATTTCTTGCCTTAAAATCATCGCCAAACTTTAGCGCCGCTTCTTGGACAATGGAAAGCATAGTGCTCTCATCGATGGGCTCGAGGAAGAATGGGGATTCGCCTGGTTGAAGCACATCATCGTACTGCCTTTTGAATTTTTCGCCGACCTAAAGCAAAATCTAAGATTTTGGGAACAAGCTACCTCTTTTCGCAGTGCCGCCAGCCTCTCGACCGAATCGAAGAGCCATTCACTTTTGTGGGTGCTGGTGGTGAACATGGCTAAACGTAAAAACTGCATAAAATAAAAAATTTATCACAATGTCGCAGAAAAATTGTGTACGAGGAATACACTAGACAAATATCGTCATTTGGAAATTTCGATGAAAGAATAAATAAAAATATATTAACTGTTTTAAATCCTAATAATATATTTTCATCCTAAAATCAACTATAATAAAAAAGTAAAGACGTCTGTCTGTGTGTGTGTGTGTCTGAAGCCGAATTCAACTCGAAGGGGAAAGGAGCTAGAGCTTAGCTCTCTTCGGATTCGTATAGAGCGTGGTTAGAAACCCCCAAACTGATAAAAAAATTACGAAAAACTTTTAGTTTAAATTATTAAAATTAACTTCGAAAGTGGCGCCTTAATAAAACGAGTGGGGGCCCTCTCCCCGGGAGGCCACGCCCCCTTTTCCTTCGCCCCTTTTCCCCAGGCCCCTTCCCGCGCCCAAATAGCTTTTTAAGTTACTTTAATACTTTTAATACTTTTTAATTATGTTAATTAATTATTTAAATTAGTTAAAGTATCTAAAGCCATCGGGAAGGTATTTAGGTAGTTTTTGAAGGGGATTTCAGCCATGGGGGGTATCTGAAGCCATCAGGAAGGTATTTAGGTAGTTTTTGAAGGGATTTCAGCCATGGGGGGTATCTGAAGCCATCAGGAAGGTATTTAGGTAGTTTTTGAAGGGGATTTCAGCCATGGGGGGTATCTGAAGCCATCAGGCAGTTATTTAGGTAGTTTTTGAAGGGGATCTCGGCTAGGGGAGGTACCTGAGGCCGTCAGGAAGGTATCGAAGTAGTGTTTGAAAGGGATTTCGGCTATGAGGGTTTTCTGAAACCATCAGTATATGGATTGATGAAAGTAGCAAGGGATGTCGTGGTGTCGAATATGAAGTGTAGCCCGAAGGCCAGTCGATTACAGTCGCGAAGCGGCTGTAATCGGCTGGTTTCTTATAATAATGATAGAATTTCTTGAAAAAACCTCGAAACCGCTAATTCTCGCCGGATCCTTGAAGACGTCGCCAAAAGCACCTCAGAAACTCAAAAAACTTGTGTCCGAACAATACACTTGACGAATAACGTCATTTGGAAATTCGGAATTACAAAAATCGACGAGAGAAAAAATTCCGAGAAATATTTATTTTTAGCCTACAAATACTCAAAAGAATGTTATAAGCCGTTAGAAACAACTTTCTCGCCTCCAAACTAAGTCTGCCCCGATTCTTGAAGAAATTGTCTCTGCCGGCACCCCCGAACGTTTGGTTCGCTCAGAATTACATGCCGTAACGCCCAAACAATGGCCATTGCCCACCCAAAAACGGCCACTCTCGTGCACAACAACCGGCTTTCGATGCGAAAAGCTGCTTAAACTATTGGGAAGACTCCGAATTTGGACCTCGTTGCTAAATTCCTGTTGCAAACTTGTTCTGGACTCACTCGCGAAAAATCAATTTTTCAGATGCGCTAAAGATGCCGCAGGAGGTGGTGCAGTTCCTCCGCTCCGAGTCGAACGACTCGTTCGAGCTGCGCATCAACTATGACAACAATATAGCGCCGGATAAGGTAAATTTAGCCGGTTTTAGCTCAGAAGCTTGTTTTTAGGTAGATTTTTGGTATTTCCTTCTGACGCTACTCCTCTTTGTCGTGTGGATCATCTTCCTGGCCTACTACTTCCAACGATGTCTCGGGCCGCTTGTCGGGTTTCTCTTTACAAAGTGAGAAAATTGGTGAATTCTTTTATGTGATATTTTTAGATTGCTACGTTTTATGGGCTACACGGGTACAATAAAGATCGGCTCGATCTCGGCTTCGTTCATTGCCGGCAAGATCATGTTTGGAAGTACGTTTCTCGGCTACTGTTTTATGGCATTTTAGACATTCGATATGTGTGTGATGATTTTTCGCTACGGGTCAATGACGGGTATATCATCTTCTCTTTCTGGCGCTACATCCAAAGTCGACACATAAATCTCAAGGGGTAAATTTTGCTATTATTTTGTTATATTAAATTCAGTGATACTTCTCGGCTACACGTTTCATTGAATGGATTCCATTTGAATTGGTATAACCGCTCTTCTACATACAAGGTAAGCTTTATTAGATCCTAAGAAATCCGGTTTAGGAAATTGCCAGAAAATTCCATCTCGAGAAGCTCTTTGGTGATCACCTAAAAACGGAACCAAAACGACGACCAACAAAAGCTACTTTGTAAGGGAAGAGTCAGGTTTTTAAAGTGCTTTTTCAGGGGTGATAAGAAAGCGGAAGCGAATTGGGATCGAATTTGGTCCTTTATCGGCACGATTCGGCTCAGTGTTTCCTCGGGAAAAATTTCGATGGGAAACCGATTGTTGCCCTACATGTTGCTCTTCACCTTTGAGAACTTGGAATGTAAGAAACGTCTTTAAGGCTCTTTTTAACAATTTATTTAGCAAGAGCCTTCCTTCGAGAATCTCCAAAAGACCGAGCTTTGCTGCACATCGATTCGTCGACGGAGAATTTTCGAGCTTCCCTGATCAAGCACCCAGAATATGAGGGTTTGTAGCCTTACCTAGATCGGAGAAAAAAAAATACTTTTTTAGGAGAAAAAGTCGACGAGCCACCAAGAACGATGGGAGACGGCTTTGCGTTGATACAGACAGCAAAATTGGACATTTACTACAGGGACGATCAGCTGGGTCAGTTTTCTAGGCTCTTGTCAAAGATTGTCAATTTAGGGGTTGAAACCAGCGATCGGCAGTCACCCAACGAAAACTGCCCAATTTGGGAGTCTGTTTGGCGATTTGGGCACAACACGGTATTTTTTCTTTTCGAAAGGTTTATAGTTTATTTAGGTAATTTCCTATGGTCCTTGGGCGGAGGCTCAACGGGTGAAGCTATGGTCATTTTTCAATCCGCTAGACTACCAAACGCCATCGGTCACCCCGATGCCAGCAAGAGGTAAAAACATTTCGAGAAAATTTTTTATTTTTACGGTTGTCATTCTATCTAAATTCTACTATAGGATTGGATAAGGCCGATAGAAAACTTCTATAACGTTAAATTTCAGGAGAAAAGCGCATAAAAATCAAGCACGACCTCCGCCTTGTTCTTCTAAACGAGACCTCAATCGATCTCTGGTTTCTACGAGGAGAACAGCTCGAAAGCATGCACACCAGATGTCGTGCTGGCTCTTCATTGGATGTACGTACGGGACTCGTCATAACTTTCTGCTATTTTAGAGTACAATCTGGTGGATCACCCAGCAAAACGGTTTCACCGTCACCACGAATCTGTCTCTGCTAAATGTCGTCAGCACCACGTCACTGATCATCCGCCGATTGATGCAAATCGAAACGTTCTCGATGGGATTTGAGATGACCTATCCCAGGGAGTACAATGCCGAGCAGACGTGGAAGGTCTTGAAAATCACTTTTAAAATATTATATTGTGCCTTTCAGATCAACTTACGACTCTCTAAAGCGACGCTATGGCTTGTTTGGGATCATAAAAGATTTTTCAACGTTGGTTTAATTTTTAAGGCAATTTTCTATCCCTTTTTTAGGACCTGCTCGACGCTTGGATCGGGACTGATCCGCCTGACATTGCAAAATTCATTCCCTATACTGTGGCGTTCGATTTCACCGTAAAAGATGGATTTGAGGTGAAATAAACTATAATTTAGAAAAACTTTGTTTTTAGATAATTCTCTGGCTAAACGAAGGCAATTGGGTGGATACGCAGATTGGCGTTCAGCCGGAAGGGGTCGAGGCGGCGCTGGTTGGGGATAAGCTCAGTTTTAGTGGGTTTTTTTGAGGAGGCCCGAATTTGTCTGACTGAAACAAAAAAATGCGAAAAATCACAGCAAATAATGAGAAGCAAAAACACCTATTTTAGACTTCATGATGCCTTTTGACGACTTCCTGCCTGACACTGTCAATATTAACTATAAGGTCAAAGCCGAAAAAGACTTGGCGTTGAGGATACGGTTGGTTCAATCGATTGCATATTTTGTTTTTTTTAGGGTGCCACCCCAAAGTACGCTCCATCCGGTCCTATCTTCCCTCATTAAACTGGCCAATGTCGACCGATACGCGCCGCCCTCGAACTGCGGAAATATCAGCAATGATGTTGGAATTCGCGATTTTTTCCTTATGTTCTGATTTTAGGGTAACTGGTTCGAGATATGGCGAACGGAAGTGGCCGAGGTGCAGCTCAATCACACCTACCATCCTCTTCCCGGCGACATGCACAGCGATTTGCCGTATCACTTGATACAGGTAGCGTGAAAAGGGACTGCCCGATATTTGCTTTCTGAGAGTCTATTGTATACTTTATTCATATTATTGAATCAGGGCTTTACGAGCTAGTAGCAAGTAAGTAAGAGCAGCTATTTATGCATAGGACCTTATTAAAGGGATGCCGACGGCATAGTCAATCGGTTACGCGCTGGAAAGAAATTGTCTCTGCGCCTCTCCCCAGGGCGCGCTCTCTGCCCTGTTGGCTACTTGCCAATTTGTTGATGGGGGGGATCGACACATGCCGTCCGCAGCCCTTTAAGCGCATTTTTCAAAAATAATTTGCGGCGACTGTAATGCGTTTTTAAAGAAATTGGAAATTCGGGCACTGGCCTAATTTTTGGAGAATTTTCCGGTGATTCCTGCCGAGAAGCCTATTGCCAAAGTTACAGCCGTTTTTGTTATAGATTGGCCTAAAATGGCTGATTTTCGGATTCAATATCTTTTCAAATACCTTTCGGAAAGTTGTACAAAATCCTGGGGTTGAATTAAATAGGCAAAAAAAGACAAAAGATTTTTTTCTGAAGCGGTATCCAAAAAGCGAGCTTCAGGTAGAAATTTGAGCTGTTTTTTGAAAAATTTCTGTACTGCGTGTAAGAATAACGTAAAAGCACTTCAATAGTCCAATTTTTTTTAGGAATTCTCGAAGAATGTCAGCCATCCCAAAGATCTTCCGCCAGACAATCTGCACGTTTTGATTGATGTTGGAGGATCTATGGTAGGTACCTTAAAAATGTTTTAAACTACCCTTCTTTAGGTCCTCGTTGCTGGCCTGATCGTAAAACTGTTCATGGACCTCAAAAATAATTATTTTGGGTGGTACGACCAGGTGGAAATAATTTTACGAATTTTCATGAAGTGTTTTTCTAGCTGACTGATGTCGAGACGGCTGGAAAGGAGATCCCGGTCCCTGGGTTGTTTGGAAAGGTATCGAAAACATTGAAATTGACGTCTGTTTGTAGGATAAGCTAAAAGTCGAGTACTACCGGCCGATGGACATCACACTGGCGGTCCACGTGCACAATATCAGGGCCCACGCGTTGCTCCATACCCAGAATATTGACGTTCGGAGAAGCTCGTACGATGGAGATGCAAAAGGTGGACTACAAGAGATTTTAATAAAATGTGGCTTCATTCCGGTGAAATGTACTACGGGTCAATTAGACTCTTACCTAATTTTAACGAATTTTAAACTTTAAAAAATTGCAATAAATTAGTTCTTATTTTTTAGACGTCTGCCCGATTATATTCGTCGAACAATTAGCAGTGGAGATGAAGAAAACGATGAGGGAGACGATGGTTCAGGTATTTGCTTCAAAAATACTTTAGCTTTTGTTTTTGTTTCTAGGTTGGCGTCGGCAGCGGCGTCGGGTATTTTAGTCGTAGCCAGACGGCGGAACATGACGGTTTTATCGATCTGTCCGGTCTGCAATTCAGAGGTGCGCATTTTTAATAATAATGACAATATGGGAATTATTTTTTCATTTAGAGAATCCATTTTATTTTCTAGAACTTGTTTTCAACGCATGTTTTTTTCAGGTCACGCCATGTTCTCACCAAAAGATGTTCCCTGGGATATGTACGTCAATGAATACGCCTGGCTGATGGAATTGATCGTTGGTGACGTACGCGCACGAGTTCAGCCAGCTCACGTAATTTTTATCGGCGCCGTTCAAAATCCTCATTTTTTTAGCTACTCCAACTATCCCAATTCATCGACGCATTTCTGCTCACGTGCGTGTCACTTGACGAACATGTGCGCCTGCCCGATCGCTTCAACATCTGCCAGCATGGTGCGCATCCGGAACGGTATGTCGACATAGTTGGTTTGATTTTATCGATCTTAAGATGTAAGCACAAAGAGTTGGCCCGGCCCTGCCCTTCTGAAGAAGTTCTCAAGTACAAAAGCTTCCGGATATCGATGGACTCGCTCAAGCTCGAGATATTTGAACATCGCACTTTGCTGAACGTACGTTAAAAACAAATTTTTTGGTAAAAAATGTTTTAGATCGAAGTGGACCCCCTTCGCGTCTCAATATGCAATGCTCACGGCGGTGTCTACAAGGAGACACTTTTGATACGAATCCCAATGGTAAAAATTATACCTCATTTTGCATAGATTTACAATTGTTGGGCAAACATTGGCCAACTCCGGCCGAAAATAAATTATAAAAATCGTAAGGTTTTAGCGTAAGAACCGTTTGGAAACACTTCTACTGTTTATATTTCAAATTTTTTTTTTTTTTTTTTTTTTTTTTTTTATTTTTTTTTTTTTTTTTTTTTTTAAATTTTTTTTTTTTAATTTTTTTTTTTTTTTTTTTTTTTTTTTTTTTTTTTTTTTTTTTTTTTTTTTTTTTTTTTTTTTTTTTTTTTTTTTTTTTTTTTTTTTTTTTTTTTTTTTTATTTTTTATTTTTTTATTTAATTTTTTTAAAAAAAAAAAAAAAAAAAAAATTAAAAAAAATTTATTAAATAAAATTAGATGCCAATAAAAAAAGTTTGTCCCCCGGATAAGGCGACGGGACCCACATAAAAATGCCGATATTTGATTTTCAGGTCCGCATCCAACAACTCGTCCAAGCCGATGATGATGCTCATCTTTGGATAGAAGCCTCCAAGGCCGCCATTGAGGACATCTCCTTTGACATCGTTCTGCCGAAATCAGCAGAGGAGCAAGTCGACGCCGCGAAAATAGACGAATTCCTCAAAAAACACGATGCGGAAACGAAACGTCTGTTTTTCCTGCAAAACGGACGCGGATGCTCGTGCGTTGGAGAAGCGCGTTTCTTTGCCGATGAGGACACGAGTGGCCAAATATTCCTCACCACCCCGCCCGCTCCAATGGCTGTGAAATCGGTGACCGACATGAAATACCAGCCCGCATTCCTGCAAAGTATCTTGCGGCCCGCTTCTGCCATGTTCATCCCCATGAACCACAATGTGTACACTCGAAGGCACAGCCGGGTGGATTTCCACAAAAAGAGCAGCATCGAGACGGTCGAGTTCAAGTCGGAGGTCGGCTCGACGGCGTCTTTCTATTCTGCCTTCTCCAATACGAGCTCACAATATGGGAGGCCGATTATGGAACGGTCTGAGCTGATGAAGCTCTACGCCGCTCATCTTGATCAATTCGAGATTGCGAAGACGCAGATGGAGATGCCGATCCTTGGCTCGTCTGGGGTGCTGGAGGACTGGCGGAAACGCCGGAATCGAAACCAGAAACGCGTTCACAAAGGGCTTGCCGATTTACAACTCAAAAGCCAGGAGCAGCATCGTCAGGAGATGGACGACCGGACACAGCCGGAAGAGCAAAAAGACGCCTTTTTGCCCCCAGGAATCACCCATGAAATCTTTGAAATCAAGGGCAGAGCCGGGAACACGGCTCAAATCTTCATCACCCCGCTGGCTTTGGAGGCGCTGGACAAGATTCTGTCTCACGTGACATTGGCCATTTCCGAGCTGCACCCGGCTTTTGTTGCCCAATGTCTCTACCGGAGCTGCATGTTCAAAAAGCATCGCCAAGCCCTGACGGCCTCTCTTTTCGACGAGACCAAGGCGAAGACAATCTCGATCATTGCCGAGTGTCAAATACCGACAATCCACGTCTGTCTCTTCTCTTGCTCACAAATGGAGAACAGTCGGCAGAATGGGAGTGGAATTCTGTTGCTCCGGATGGACGACGGATACCTCAATGCCAGCATTACACCGACTCTTGGCGATCCCTCGATTATCGTGACTTTCCGGAGATCGGGAGATCTTGCCGCCCAATACCTCCGCTTCATCGACAAGGGAACCACCGACTTTGCTGTGCAACGTCTTCAACAAAAGAACAAGACCAATTGGCACGAGGTGGAGCTGTCGAAAACAATGCCGAAAGTCTCCCTCCGTTGCCTTGTCGACGTTTTTGCCCCCGGTTTGCGATTGTACTACCCGAGCGAGGAGCAGAATCTGGGCCAGGTGTCTGGCCAGAAGAAGCTGACGGTGCGCATGGGCAAAGTCGATACGATGTTCATCATGGCTCGACCGCTGGAGGTGACGGCACGGAATGAGTTCCCGATATTTGAAGCGCTGTCACCGACCGTGTCTGCGTGGTTCCTGGCGAATTCTCGGCTAGAAGCGACCGTTACAAAGGTAGGGTTTTCGCAAAACAAATCCGGGGCTGTTGCAATATCAGGGGAGAGGCTATTTTTCCCACACTTCTAGGTTGTCTAGTTTTGTGGAATTTAGCTAGATTTCAGGTCGTAATTTTGCAGCAAATTAAATTTAAGAAAAATTTAGTAATATAGAAATGAACAGAAATTTAGCAAGAAAGATTAGAAACCTTAGAAAATGTCAAAATTGGGACCAAAAATGGCTATTTTTGTGTTTTTAAGGAAGTTTACAAACGCTTCTGATGTTTAGAAAAATTGCCCGCCCCCGGTATTGCAAAAGAACCAACCTCTTCTTCATCCTCAACGCTTTAAAACGGGTACTTTTAGCTTGGCACGCAAAAGGGCTTCGCCGAAGACATCAAACTGCTCGAGCTGCTTGCCCTGGCCCTGGAGGAGCCGACCGTACTCCGCGTGCCCAAAAGCTGCATGGGAGAAGTGAAGCCGCTGTACAAGAACTTCTCAAGCTGTCCCAGCTGTCAGGTTACTCTAGCGTTGTTGAGGTACGGAATACGATTATATAAAAGCGATAATTAGTATTGATTATATAAATTGCAAACGTATAAAGTATTTCACTCTATTTTCAGATATACAACCGCTTGCCCATCTCGAGCCTGGCCGCTACCACTAGAGGTCAGAGAGCTCAAAGACGAGCAAACTCGAAAATCTGCCATCACTGCTCTGCTTTCGCATTGGCAAACTGTTGTCTGTAAATACATCAAGGTACTGTTTTACCAATCGACAAAATCTTTTTTTGATTTTTAGTTGGCTTCCAACGACGAGGCGCTAAAGTATCTGGAGGTGAAAGAGGTGCAAGAAGCCGATCTCGACCTGCTACGGATGGCCGACAAGAAGGGCGTACGAATCTTTTTAATGTAGTTTTTATTATTGTTTTCAGGAAGCAACGCCAACCCCGAAACCAAAAGCCACCCAGAATTCCAATCCCGAAGCCGAACATCCCGATCCTCCGCCGGCCAAACTCGACCTCTACCAATACGTAAGGAGAGCTCATCAACAACTGAAAAAAGAGGGGAAACGCCTCGAACCGACGCACAGCAAGCAAGAAGTCAACCCGATGGAGATATCGCTTTTCGCCTTTTTCTACTCCTTCTATCGGGTATTTAAAACGTTTTTTTTCATTATTTAATTTTATAGAATTGCTCGCTTGACGTCTCCTTCCTTGATAAAATCCCGCTCGGGATGCTCGACGTGGAGCTGGAGGGATGTCTGGATGAGGTGTTGGTCAATGTCGTGGATCATCGGCTTGTCCTCGGCCAGGCCGACAAGAAGTTCATCGCCCAGGCGACGCATCCGCTCATCCACCTCAAGAAGATTCACGTCAAGGGCAAGGTGGGAAAACGATTTTTTTTCATTTGGTGCTTTCCCATTATCGGCGGGGGAGGGGGGGCGAATTTTGTAGTCCGAATAGAGGAAGTTATCAGAAATTTTATGGTTGCTAAACGCAAAAGTTCTTCAGATTAAAACTATAATTTGATCCATTTAAAAAATTTTTGGAATCTCAAACTCGTCTTTCGAATAGTAGTAAAATTTTATTAAAAATATTATTAAACGAATTATTTACATCCATACCTTTACATCACAAGGCATATCTGGACTTATGAGCCAAAATCCAAAATTACCCCCCCCCGATAATGCACAAGTACCAAATTTCCCTCACTGGTGCGACAAACACGCCCATCCATCCCCTTTAGGTGAAATATGTGGTGGAAATGGACAAGCCTGGTCTACGGCCGATTGGCGTCAAATTCGACATCGACTACGCTTTGGAAGTTGAACATCTACGATCTGTCGTTGCCATCTCGTGCGTTTGTCTCATAAAGGTATTTGGCTCGACGTTTCCTGCCAATTCAATTTAGGAACTGTCGCTTGTCGCGCTCTCCATTGCCGAACAACACAAGCTTTACTTTGAATCTCGCCCAACGACACCTTTGACGAAAAAGTAAACATTATTTCGAGGTTTTACTTCTTTTTTAGGACACCAAGCGTTCGTCGTTTGTCTAATATCTCTTTCTCGCCAAGCGTCAATCTGAAGGTGGCCGCAGAAGCTCAACAAGAAAAGCAGTGGATTCCTGGGGTGGTGGAGAAGGCGAGGGCCTATCAGGTTAGAGGATTGAATAGGAAAACTAGGAAAATTATTTAGCAAACGAGCAAGCGAAAGGGAATGGGGCTGAAGCGCGACGCTCTTCAGATACACTTCCTCGGCGAACGTAAGTCATCTTTACGCCTTTTTAACCCTTTTTTAGTTTTGTTAAACAACGCTCGTCTGGAAGCGATTCTGACTGACCTACGGGTTGCTGTCGCGCTACAACAACTTTCATCGAAGCAGGAGGGCACGAGGTAAAATTAGTTCGATACTAGTTTATTTATTTAGTGCTACGGTAACTGTAGTCGATTTTAACTATTTTTTAATTCCCAGTTACTAAACGGCCGTAAAAAAAATTTGATAAATTCTGGAAGTTGGAATTTTGTAAGATTTTACATGAATTTACTACCAGAAATTCTTATATTTCGAATTTATAAGAAGTTTTTGTGTTTGAGAACCTCGTAAAATTGTCAAAAAATCGTAGTTAAATAACGAAAATAGGGCTGCCTTTTATTGTTGTAATTACTATATTTTTTCAGACGAGACGCGATGCATCCCCCATGCGAAGTCAGCCAAATCTCTATCCAACTCCGCAAAGCTGTGCTGACCATCTTGGAGACGGAGCCACGCACGCTACGCCCCCTTCCTTCTGCCAGCCAGACCGGCTCCAGCGTGTCCCCAACCCCCACCAACAAGCACGACGCCGTGAAGGCTGATCAGCAACATATTCTGCACTGCGATCTACACGCCAGCCACGCCACCGTCACCCGAAAGCTGCAAAGTGAGGGTGTCCCCGTGGAGACGTTCGTTCGATTGTCGCTTGGGGCGATGGAGGGCGACTTGCCCATGTCGGCCCATTCGCTTCACGATGTTGTTCTACGGCATGGGGCTCAGCTTGAGAAGCAGTTTGACAGGTATGTTTTGCAGTTTCTTACAATTAGAGAATCGTTTTCAGACTCTCTGCACAGCCACTCGCTACTTCTACCGCCGGCGCTTTGAGCCCCTGGACGACGCCGTTGGACGAAGCAACTCCACTGAGCAAGGAGGCAATTGTCCAGAACCCACTCAAAAATGGACCGGCACGAAATGTGAACCTGTTAGCACCGAAGCGAATTGTGAAGATCACCTTCCATTTCGACATTGACAAAATCGAGCTGAGCTGCCAGCTGTTGCCGAGTCTTCGGATGAAATACTGCATCGGGCGCATCCTGAGTCAGGGGACTACAGGTACAATACCCGAAATAATTTGCAGAATTTTCCTGGGAAATGTGTTTCTAGTTCGTTAGCGGAGGGGGAAAAGGAAAGGGGATTCTCCTTGATTCAGTTAAGCCTTCATGGTACGAAAGATATTTATTATAGGTTTTTAGGTTTTATAGTGTGTTTTAGTGGTTTCTATTAGAAAATTATCGGGGAATTTTCGTAAAATTAAGATTTTGTTGTAATACTTTGGTAAATTTTACGAATGTTGGACCGACATCGAAAGTTTAGTGGTTTTTCACGAACTTTTTATATCGAAAAACAGTTTAAAATGTTTATTTCATATTTAATAAGCTTTGTATAGCAAACGAAATGGGCAGGAAAAGGTGCCCCCCCCCGCTAACGGCCCAGAACCGGAAATTTCAAGACGAAAAGACCATTGTGGTTTTATGAGCTTCTCCCTTTCAGGCGACACCGCAAAATGGAAGGCCGAGCTGGCGAAGCACGAGGTGCGCTTCACCGTCTCCACCGAGGACAGGCCGCTTCCGGAACATTTCACATTAGCATTGCCCAAGATCAACGTCGATGGCGCATACCACGCTGCCAGCCAGGAGGGTGCTCCAGCAAAAGCCAAAGCCCTCCTCTACCGTGAAGGCGGATATCTGGACGTGCGTATCGTGCTCGGCACCGTCGACTACACTTTCACCACTGATTTGTTGAATCAAATCCTGTTCGCCGAGCAGTCATTCCGCACCGAGCTCGGCTTCCTCGTCTCCCGGCTTCGCTCTTCCAAGCCGATGCCATTTGCGCCCGGGCCGATCAACGAGTACAACCAGCAGCCGAATAAACCGTTGCTGTTTTCGTTGCAGGTTGGGTTTTTTGCAAATTCCTGCTGTAATCGCCCAAAATCCCCGGCAATCTGATCCAGATAACCATAATCCCGACAAATATTGCGGCTGTCGGGGTTTGAGAATGTCGATATTTTGGCGTTTTCTCTTTTTTTGACAAACAAATAATCTACTTTTCTAGGTGCACGGAGCTGAACATCATGGAATCCCTTGGCTTCAAGTGACGGCTTCAACTCCGACCTCTACAGCGGTCCGCGTGACCTTTGACAATCTCCGTGCCAACCTCACCAATCGCTGGGTGGTCAGAGAAGCCGCCGGTCGTGAGCGTGTCTTCGGATCAGCGGAAATTCAACTATCGGCCAAACTTGGACAGCTTTGCAAGCCCGCCCAGTTCCATGAAGTCGCCTACGAGCTGCAAGAATATGCTTCTTTCATGACGCAGGTAATTCCAGATCTTTGGACGAAAGCTCTCCGTGCCTACTTTCAGATTTGCGTCGAAAATAAGGAAGGGCCGGCAAATTCCAACTACTCCTACCTGATAGCCCTGAATCGGCCAATTCTGCTGATCAAGTCGATGGCGTTTGATAAGGTAAGGATACTTTATTTATTTATGCTCAATTGGCCCGTTGAAAAACTCACTGGGAAAAAGTAGAATAAAGTGAAGATAAAAAGCTTCTAGCCGAAATTAATCTTTTAGGCTATCCTCCTCTGGCTCAACTACAAAAACACGTACAACTATTGGCGCAACGAGCGCACGAAAGCGGACAAGCAGCGGATGCGGAACCAGTCGGGACGAGCGAATGTCGAGGAGAAGCCGTTGGTGGCAATGTTCAGCCCGCCTCCAGGACCCTCATCAGCTACGGTAACGCAAATGATTTTTACGGCTTCACGCCTTTTTTTAGGATATCAACGTCAATCTCTCGATGTCAATTCAGAATGGAATGTACGTCTGTATGCCATTGATCGGGGCGGAGGTGAATTTAATTAGCGTTTATTAAGCTTTTTTAAGGTATCCGATGGAATGGCTGCTCTTGTGATGAGCCTCGAAAAGAGTGACGTGACTGTCTGTGTCAAAAAGCAGCTCGCCTGTCAAGCCAGCTTCAAGTCTTTCAAAGTGGCCTTTGTCGACAACTATGATGATCAGGTAAATTATTTCTGTCTTTTTTACTTAATTTAATTTTTAATGATTTTATAATATATTTAATTGATTTCTCAATATTTTCAGTCGCTCTCCGACACATTCCTCAGCAAAGCCGGCGACTCGAACTACTTCTATTTCCCCGATGGGCACTACCAATTTTGTTCCCAAGCTTCGGCTGAGGAACAGGGGCTGGCCGAGTGGGTGCTGTCGGTGAGATCACAGATGCAGGTAGATTTCAAAATTAATTTCTTTATTTTTGATTTAGGGAATGCAAATCGACCTTGACCAACGGATCGGTAGATTGGCCAAAATGCTTGTTCATACTATTTCGTCGTTTGGAGGTAATTTTCCGGCTTTTACTCTAAAGGAGGGTCGGTTTTAGAAGAGGATGACATGGGCGACGAGCACTACGATCAGAATAATTATGCCGAAGTGGATATTTGTGACGAAGACGTGAATGTGGGTCTTAATTTTGGAGGCTTTAAAGTTATGTTTGTGAGTATTATGTATAAAGTTAAAGAGCGCGTTTAAGGGAATTTTATTATTGTTATTTTTAGGGTCTCGAGGAAGCGGCCGAGCTGAAGAAGATCCAGCAACCCGAGGGGAAAATCCGCTGGATCGAGCGGAAAATGCATGAAGAGGCTGTGCGCGTATTCGATCTGACGCAGCGGAAAGCTTCGGAGCAGGAATTGGAGGTTTTATCTAATTTTTGGCTTGGCTTAATCACGAATTTTAGGCTGCCCGGAAACGGCTTCGCGGACTGGAGTTGGTGCGTTTCCGCCAGTTCCGGAAGTCGATGGTGGAGAAATGGAAGAGGAGCCGTGCCCAGCCGGCCAAGGTATCGAATAGTGACATTTCAATTAAAGTCCGATTCTAGTTCCCGCAACAAGCCAAGAATGAGGCGAAGATGAGAAGGCAGCAGTCCAGAGGTTATAAAAACCATTAAAAAATACATTTTTATTAGTGATGGCTACAAATGACGGGACGGTTACTGTAAATCCGGAAGCGGCCAGCTCCAAGGAGACGACGGTTCGAATGCATATTGATATCCAGGTAGATTTTCTGAACAGTTTGTATCTTTTTTCCTAGGTTGGAATCGCATCTGGCTCCTGCGTGTTGCGAACGACGCCGAAGGAGGGCCAGCCACCCGCCGTTTCCGGAATGAGCAAGAAGCCGTCGGCTCGAGACTTGCGCAAGGGGCTGTTGTCTAATCAGTCGCTGAATGAGACGAAGTTTTCGATTCCTAGGTGAGGAATTCTCTCTCTCTCTCTCACTCTCTCTCTCTCTTTGTATCTTCCTCTCTCTAACAAGTCACAAAATAATATAAGTTCAGTGTTGACGTCAATGGCTACTACTCCTCAACCGACCAAACCCCGAACGAGCCTTTAGCCCTTATCGAGCCCACCATCCATCCGTCGATCACCCTGGCTCACACCCAATCATCCAGTCTCCTCGTTCGCCCTACCCCTCTAAACGAGCTCAAGAAGTTGCCCTCTTCCACAAGCCGCTTGACCAAGGAGGTCGAATCGCCGAATCCGCACAAACGAGGCTGCTTCTATCTGAGCATCGCTCTTGCTTCTATGCCTGAAGTCACCATCGTGCAACCGCATTTGGCCGATTTTGTCGAGCAGGTTGGTTCAGTCTACTTTTCTAAAATAATCTTTAGGTCCTCGAGCCTCTACCAACCAACAAAGACTCCCTCTTCCGCTCCTCCTCTATAACAACAATCCCGGAGTCGACGCATTCTGAAGACGCTGGAATTCCTGCGCCGATAGTCGCCATCGACACGTCAACCCTTCCACTTGATGTCGTCCTCTCACTGACCGTTCAAACGTCGACAATTCGTTTTGAGGGGAAACAACAGCGGACCTCGGCGGCTGATTGTATCCTCAAGCTTCCATGTCTGACACTTTTGGCATCGACTCGGCGCATGGAGAGCAATTTGGTGGAGAGCGGTGGAACGGCATTGGTACTGGGAGGGGTAGGCCTTCCATTTATTGCTTTATGCATCACTTTTTAGGTGGACATCTCGATCACGTTGTCCAATTTCTCGCTGGCCATCTTCTCGCCCCATCAACAAGTGACGGCAAACGATGCCCTGTCGCTGACGCTCGACCACCTGGCCATTGTCATTTCCCGCAGCAAGAACAGCTCCCAGGAACTCGATAATAAAGTCAAGGTGAGTGTTTCTGGTTGAGAATATTCGTTATCGTGTTCCTCTAGTTTGTCTTGACGGCCAACATCGGTGTCGCTTCTTTCAACTACGATATGCGCCGCCTGAACGAGCTGATCGCCTTCCCGAAACCGTGGTATCGAGCGGCGATCATGCGGCGGGTGTTCTTCGGGGATCAAAGTGTCCGGCCACGAAGCCCGACGAATCTGAGCAAGGAGCGTGTCGGGAGCCGTCTTTCACCGGTCCACCGGCCCAGGTAGGTTCTTCGTTTTTTTCTTCCGGAAACGAGAGCTGAATTTCATGTCTATTAAGGCAATTGCAGGCTTTTTTTTAGTAAATTTTAACTTTGGTTCAGATGTAAAAAACTATAAGATCAAAACAACCTACGATGAAAACTATAGGATGTGTGCAAAATTTATAAAAATTGCTTTTTGATCAGGAAATTTTTGTCCTCCCATCTAAAGTGAAATTACTGCTTTTTGATCATCCTATCCTCAATTCCAGAAAAACGAGCGTCGGTGCGGTGGGCGATGGGGAGAAGCCGTGGACGGCCACCGTGCAAGTGGCTCTCCAGTGGAAGGAGCTGAACGTCGAGGCGCAGATTGGAAATACGATGGGCAAGACGACGTGGCGAGCAAGTAATGGTGTGCTACGTGGAAGCACTAGGGTAACATCTTACCGCTTTTTCGCAAATCTTTCATTAGTTGAACTCGAGCCACGAACGCGACGCCTCTGTTCTCTTCCACCTCGACTCGTCCGAACTTGTCGCGCATGGTGGTGCCGTATCCGGGCAGATCGGCTTCAAGCGCTTGCGGCTCTCCGTTACCCATGGAAAGAAGAATGGGGTTTGTCAAGTAATACCTTGAAAGTTCCGTGGTTACAGCGGCCACCATCAATTCATTGTCGTGCTCAACTGACGGCTATTTCCGCTCGCATCGAATGGATGAGTCGTGCGGTTCTGATCGCTAAATGCATCGCGCCCTCAATCTCGATTTGTGACGACTGGAAAGTGGATAAAGATGGTCCAAATGTAATCCAAAGTCATTTTTCTCCTCACCGAGTTTTAGGTTTCTCGCGCGGCGGTGTCCATGGCTCTTCATGGCCGTTGGGATGATTTGGAGCTGGTGGTGACCCGCGACACGATCGACTCGCTGGAGAAGATTGCCGACAAATTAGCCTCATTTTTCCGAGAACAGCTGAAGAGCTCGAAACTGGCCTGGGGTGTTATGGAGGAACGGGGAAGAGAGCGGACTTCCGAATCGAACGATTCCGATGAGAAGGACCCGGAGAAGGACGCGGCGGTGGCCACTCGGTTGTGGGAGAATGTGCTCGATTTGTTGTCCGGGATCCAAAGCAGGCAGAAGATCTTCCCACTGCCAAATGTCCCGAATGGGCAGACTTTGGTGAGTTGGGCTACGTTTTCGGTTCTTGTGCAATAACGAGGGGGCAAAAATTTTCCCTAGAATCTGGTCTACGCCCCCCGATATTCTAAAAGCCTCGAATCGTTATTATTGTTATTTTCTAGGCCGGTGGCAGCGTGAGATTTGAGGCGGGCGCGATCAGCCTGGCTTGTATGCACGGCGAGATGAATGCTCACAGGTAAATTCCATGAAAATGGGCTTCAAAATAACTTATTTTAGTTGGGCCCTCTTCCACATCAAGCAACCGCTCATCCTCTTCAGCCCGGAGGCCTCTTTTGCTTATGTTGACGAATCGGCAAATCAGGTACGAAAGCGTTTCAATTTTCTCAAAAAAATTGAGGTCGGTATCTCGCTGCGGCAACGGTTTGTAATTCGACTCGGCGGCGAGCCAGGCACCTCAAAAGCCGACAGTTTGGCCAGGGTTTGCCGGGTTCAGGTCTGTTTTTAAGGAGATGGTGCCAGCCAGCAATTGATTATTTTTCTATCGTGTCTTTTTCTAGAGTCCTTACGACGAGGTTCGACAGAATGCAACGATCGAGGCGTGTCTACGGTATCTGATCAGCGACGTTCTGCACAACGTTGAAAATGGAGTACGGTTTAATATTCTCGCCTACGAATTTCTTTTTCAGAGCACGGCCCGTGGGAGTCAAAAAGTCTTGGAGCTCTTCCAATTTCCGGCGCTCGAAGCCGTGATGACCACCATTCAGGTATTTTCGTCGTTTTTCCTAGAAATTTTCGTTTTTAGATGAGCCCCTGCACTGACAACGACGCCCTGAATGCCATTATGTTTGTGCCAAAGGTTAGCATTATTTTTGAAAAATTTAAATTCCCTTTAGGTTCGATCTCGCTTCACTTGCGCCTTCCAAAATGCCGTCTCCGTGCAAACCGATTTCAACGCTCAAGTGACGTTTCTGCCCGAATTGTGGAATAGCTACCAGAGCAATCTGAAGGTCAGCTATCTTTTTCGGTCTTTGCAATGGGGTTTTTCAGGAGAACTCACCGAAGAAGGGCAACTCTTCCAAGCCGCAAGCCACAACATCCACTAGCACCATGGAGTCCAAGAAAGACCCGCGTATTTTCGAATGTGAGCTGTGGCAGTGTGACCCGAAGATGCGCTTCATCGACCGTTTCCGCTGGGATCCACCTCTAATTGATGAAGTGCTGAAGAAGCTACAGGTACGGTAGCTTTTCCTTCTTTCCTAATTTCCGGTTTTTCCTTTCTAAAACTATGCTTCAGCTATTTTTTAGACAGATTGAATCTTAATGAGAAAAGTCTACCTCCCTCCGATAATGCCATAGACTCTCTTCCAGATCTTCAACCATCGCACCACAATCCCGAAGGCCATCCAGAAGGCCGTGCTCGACCCGTTGGACGTCCTGCTGGCCGTGCTGCTGCGGGAGATGCTCAGCGTTGTATCAAAGCAATAATTCCCGACCCTGTCGACGCCTCTACCTGTGATTTTACATTGCCATCCCGGTTACTTTTTCGCTTATCGCTAGTTTTTTTGTGTGATTTTTAATGATAATTTCTCCGTTTAACGCTTAAGAATTAACCGAAGACGTTCGTGTGCTGGTGATTTACGTGTCTCTGAGCTTACACAATATATATATTCTTGCTGTTGCCGTGTGCATAAATTTTTTGGAATGAAAAAATTTGATGGGGGAAATTACAGAAGAAGAAGTTTCTTATCTTGTGCTCCTTTTCTGTTTGTGTTCCGGTCTGTTAGCGGTGGTGGGGGGGAGCGCTTTTTTCCTATATTTCGTGTACGCCATATGACAATTTTCATTTGCTGTTCTTATTCAAATTTTCGTTGAAAATTATTGGTTAAGCCAGTAAAGTTCAGTTTCCGCCCCGGCTAACAGTCACCCGCGGGAATTTCAGGAGGAGCCGGAGGAGATGGGCAGCGAAATTGTGGAAGGAATGTGCAAGGCAATGCGTGGTGGCGAGCGAGCGATACACGAAATTGGCGACATTTGTTTGCGACACGCTCTCTTTTCGGAGTGGGCATACAGCAATGCCTCTCCTCTTCTCGTCAGCGGGCAATTGGTGAGTACCGTTTTCCGCACAGTTCCCTGCTCCTATTTCTACCACACAGCCTATTTGGACCTTTTCCGGTTGCCTGGTTGGCTGTCAGCACCCATTCGCGCCCCATATTTCAGTTCCGTTCGCCTGGGCGATAATAGCTTTTTGGCTGGGGTTGGAGGTTTTATTTTTATACTTTTATACTTTAAGGTTATTGATAGTACTTCAGGAAAATTCTGACGTTTTGCAGCTTCAGAAAAAACCCCGATAAAAGTTTAAAGTATCCGAAATACGGGAAAACCGAGTTTTTTCATGGAAAACGCTTTTCTTTACCCTAAAGCCGCTCAAGAATAGGGCAGACCAGCGGAGAAACTTTAGGATCAGGCGGATGCCCGAGTTTTGCAGGTATCCGCCGAAAAAAGCACAAATATTTGTCCTGCTGAAACTTTCTAAATAGGATTTTTTTCCTGAAAACGCTTTTTATTGACCTAAAATCCATAAAAAAATACGGCAGGCTAGCAGAGAAACTTTGGGATGAAGCGGGATGCCGTCCTGATCTCTGGATGACCTTTTAAGCCATGAAACTGTATTTCACATTACTCTCTCTCTCTCTCACTCTCACTCTCTCTCTCTCCTCTCTATTTGACTCATACCGTCATTATAACAACAACAGGTATATCGACTGCCCTCTCTTTGGTTTTTGTTAGATTTCGATCGAGAGGCCCTCTCCTCCCCCGGCTGCGTGCCAGCAAATAGCTCAACCCGCTGCGCGCGGAATTCGCCTGTTTTTCGGTCCGGTCAGCGCCCCCAACACGCGCGTTCCGGTGGCCTTGAAACGGGACCTGGGCGCATAACTCTCGCGCCAAGCTATGTTCATTTTTTCGGGGAGTTCGATTGGCCATGGGCGTGAAATTTGGGGGGCTGGCAGCGAATCTAAAGCTTTCTTAGCTTTATAAGGGTGGAACATCAGGTTTTGACGAGTTCAGTTTTATCTTTGCCTGTAAAAACGCCGCTTAGTTTGACCGTTCTTTCCCCTGATCAGGGGAATAATCTGTTTTAGATTTTTTCATACCTTTGACAAAAAGTCGCAATTTTCGAATTTTAAAAGGTTTTTATCTACTTTTGCGATTTAAAAACTGTGTAAAATGTGATGAAAATAGTCTATTGTTCGTTATAGGGTCGTCCGGGTTTACGGGAAATGGCCTTCTGCCATCTTCTATTTTCCTTCCTTTTTGCGATTAAATTTCGCTAATTAATTCTCAATTTATTATTGACCAACCTTTACCTTTTTTTTAGAAGATCAAACGACAAAACGAAGACCAGCAACATGGAGCTGTTACGGCGGTGGTTTGGCTTCGGCAAAAAGAAGTTTGAGACGCGCAAGAATTCCATCACCGGCCGCAATCATACTTTTGTGAGTTTCGTTAGCTAGGATTTAAGATATTGATTTTGATATTTATTGTTTATTTATGTCATTTTATATTCGATTTTTCAGCCCGTCCCCTATCTTTCGCGTCTCGAAGGCGTCCAGCTCCTCCCCGGCCAGTCGCTGATCATCCGCGGGATTATTTGTGGTAGTTTTCTGCCGGAATCCATAAATTTGCCTTGCCTTTAAAAACGCAAACGCCAAATCCAAGCTGATACAAATGCTATTATTTTTGAGGTTTTTAGCCAGCGCCACAGCCCCAGGCCACGAACAATTTCTCGTCAACCTCACCGGCGGACCTCGGGTTGAAAAGGAGCAGGAGAGTGATCAGCTCGATGATCGGTAAGGAATTTTTCCTCTTTTTCTCGTTAAAAAGTTTTTGTAGTGAAAAATATTCTTTTTCATTTATTTTATCAATTTATTTGAAAGGGAAAAAAAGAAAAAAGAAAAGGAAAAAAAAAAAAGAAAAAGAGAGGAAAAAAAAAAGAACACGAAGGGAGAGAAAAAAAAAAAAAGGGGAAAAAAAGAGCTTTAATTGTCGATATTTCAGGCTGCTCTCCCTCCGTGCTGACTTGAAGAAGCGGAAAATGCACATCAACGCCTGCATTCAAGGAAATTGGGGAAAGTGAGTGCGTTTGTATGTATTTTTACCTTTGTTCTACTAAATATTTTCATTATCTCACTTCTCTCGTTCTCTCGCTCTCGCGCTTTCTCGCGATATTTTTTATTCAGCTCATTTCAGAGAAGGTATCGTGAAGAAGGGCTGGAAACCCGGGCAAGAGTTCGATCTGCGCGTGAGGTGCCACGATCAAGAATTCTGCGTGAGTTGAATCGTCCTTATCCATAAAATACCCTTTTTTCAGATATTCCTCGACCACAAACTCGTCGCGAAATTCGCACACTACGTGCCAATGTCCCAGATCACCCATCTCTACATTAATGGCGATGTGGCGCTTTACAGCGTGTCGTGGGAGGGGAAATATTATGTAAGCTGAAGCTTCAACTTTACAGAATTATTGGTTACTATCTTTAGGTGTGCTAAATAGGTATCATCCGGTATTTATTAATGCTTGATTAAACGTGACTAATTCTAGCTTCTAGGAATTGCTATGTTTTAGCAAGTCCCTTACTCGGCGGACATCCCCGCCCATTTCTACCCGGAGCGCAAACTGTACTTTTCCGGACTCGTCAAGGTGGGTGAAAAAAAGCAACGCCGGAAGTCAAATTTCAGTAAGAATCAAGTCTAATAAAAATAAGAAAAATCAATTAAAAAATAGCTTTAGAAAGACGCGAAACAGTTGACGATCGACCTGTTCGCCGGTAACGATATTGGCATGCGAATCGAGCCCCGATTTGCTGAGAAGGTCCGCTTTTTCTCATCGTTTTTGGGCCACTTTTTGCTCCATATTTGATTCATTTTTATTAATTGCAGAAAATCGTTCGTAACGCGCGACTGGAAACTGAGTGGGGCAAGGAGGAGACGTGGATAGACTGTCCGTTCCCCCTGAAACGCGGAAAGGAATTCGACGTCATTTTGTATTGCGGGAATACGGAATTTCAGGTTGGTCTCTGAAGACATTTTGTATTAGATTTTACTAGACTATATAAATTTAATAGGTAAATATATTTAAACGCCGTATCCTCGTGAAAAATCTAAAACGTGAATAATCTAAACCTGTTAATATTAAAATTAAATTAAAAATGGCAATTATGATATAGCATCTTACTTCGTTTTTAAAGTCTGTATCGTTGTTCAAAACCTTAAAAGTATTATACAGTTTTAGAAACCTCGTTCTAGTGAATATTACCTGAAAAATAAATCTTAAGAACGCTTTCAATGCGCCTTTTAATGCCGAACAAAGTTTAAGAGCATCTTTTTATAAAAACAAAATCAAATTTTTTTATCAATACTTTTCAGCTGTACGTAAACGACGTGTTTGTGTGTAGCTTCGAGCATCGCGTGCCCGCCCCCTCGATAAACCGCATCAATATTGACGGTGATCTGGAGGTGCACGGCGTTCATATTAAATAAAAAACCTTAATTTTTGATCCAATGTTTAAAAAAATTAAAAACACTTTCTCACTGTCCTTTCTAACCCGCTAGTTTTATTATTATACTTTCCACTCCCGAAACTATACTATACTCTACTGTGCCTTACATTCCAAAACCAAAAATATTGCCGGTGCAGAATAAAGTTCTATTCACAAAAAGCCCCCCGGAGTCTGCAGGGCCCGCATTGAAAGCCGTACAGTCGGAGAGGCCTTTGCCCAAATATACAATAGTCATTGTCCGCCCGACCGACAGATCGATGGATATTATTTGCCCCGGCTGTGTCATTAAAGACCGCTGGAACTGTCGAACCAGCGTTAGTCCGCACCAAAATTTTTATTAGTTAAAATGGTTCTTCAAAAGAATCAAATTAAGTAAAAAATAAAGTAACTCTTAGGATACACCTTTTTCTAATGAAATTACCTAAAGAAACCACCTAAAGAGAGAAATCCCTCCCCCACCCCCTAATGCAAAAATACCAATTTTTATCGAAACTTCGATAAAAATTGGTCAGTTTCCAAGTGCATAAGTTCAACAATCCAAGTCAGTTTCTGCCTTTAATGTAATTTCAGCCCGGTGAAATTTCGTAATTCTCAATTATACCTTCGACAATTAATCTCCGCATTTTTGCACCAAATCTTAGGAGACGAATAATTTATTTCCAAAATTATATTATCTCGGATATTTGACGAGACGCTACAATCACAGCGATTTTCAAAGCCGACGCGGCGGGCGCCCACACGCTCAATTTTTGGACGCGGATTAACGGGGTGGGGGAAAAGGACACGTCGCTTTACGGAGCGCAATACAACATTACGGCCGGCGGATTTACCAACGGATTAAAAATCGGGACGGAGGAAAAAGACCGCGCTTCGAGTTTGCAAGGAATGAAGAAAGTGGGGGTGGCTGTCCGAATAGTAGTAAAGTAGCTATGGATGAGGGCGGGGTGTGTGACCCCTGGCAACGAAGATGCACACGAAAAAGGAGAGAATATGATGATGGGAACGGGCGGAGGATGGGATGATACTGCAGTAGAAGTGGATACGGCGTGCAAAGGGCTAAAGTACTTCGTGCATCCATCTACAGGCCGCTCAACAGCCGCTCCACAGCCGCGTTCACATCACCGTACGTCGCGCGAAGGGCTGAAATAAGTAAATAAATAATAAAAATCGACCTGGTTAGATAAAATAAATTAAATAGCATTAAAAGCCGGCGAAGGCATGGCGATAATTAATGGATTGGCCTGAATTTTGCCGATTCCGCGACACGCAACGCACCACACGGCTTCATTCCGTTGCGTAAAGAACACAAACCCTTTTCCTCATATTACGTCACGTTGCGTATCGAGGCAAATTCCAGTGTGAATTCACAGCAAAAAAACGATTGTCATGTCTTGCCGGTCCCTTTAAACATGCTCAATATTTACCGGCAATATTGGCGCCCCGGTTGTTGAAACCCATATTCGACAGCTGCTCGAGCTGAGACGCGTACTGCTGCTCGTAGTTCACCTCCGGAACGGCGCCACCACCACCAGCCGCTGCGCCACCCTGAAAACGGATAATAAATAAAATATATGAAACCTTAACTTGAATATTAAAAATAACCAAAGCCAGAAAAACATACCAAGTTCATCTGGCCGAACAGGTTCTGCATGTGGTCCGCTCCGTTGGGCATCATTTGGCTGGAAAACAGATTGGGTTTTAAAAGTTTACAAAAAAATCAATACCTGTAGATTTGTGGGGCTTCGGTGCGGAGGATTTCGAGGCTGCGCCGGATCATTTCGAGCGCCTCCATCACTCGAGGGTTGGTCATCTGAAAAAATTGAATAAAAACTATAGTTCTCAAAAATCAGAATCTTTTTAATAAAATAATTTAAACTCTTCCCCTAAAATTAATTAAGACAAAATCTTTCTTTTAGTCACACTTCCACCGTTTTCCTACGCGTAAATAAAACTATGCTAGAAAAACTTACGGCCTGCATCATTTGCGGCAAATTCCTGGCCAACTCCGGGTTGTTCGCAAACGGCGGCGGATTTTGGAGCATCTAAAAAAATTAAAATCAATGTGATAAAATTCGTACCTGCTCCAACATCTGGGGGTTTTCGCGGATGCGCTGCATGGCGTTGCCGAGCAGTCCTTGCAATCCCGGGCCGCCAGCACCCTCGCCGCCCGCAGCTCCACCGCCCATCATTTGCTGCATCATATTAGCAAACTGTGGGTTGTTCATCATATCTGCAAGCGACGAATTAAAATCAATATAAAAACATAAAATAATACAGAAAACAACTAACCAGCCATCGGATTGCCGGCGGCGCCTCCCGGAGTCGCTCCGGCCGCCGGGGCAGCGCGTTGCGGCGCCGCGCCCCACGGGTTTGGCAACGGATCCGCGTTCTCGACACCGGCACGCTGAGATCGGGAAGCTGCAACAATTTAATTCTTGACGAAAGATATCAGCTTACTAGCATCGGCATCGTTGGAGGCGGTCGAGGCGAACGGGTTGCCGCCCAGGGACGAGGCGGCTGAGTTGAGCAGTGGCTCCTGCACGTCTTGGTAGAGGCGCTGGAGGGCGGCTTCACCGCCGGGAATTCCCTGAAAAATGCGGTTTAATAATGGCATATAAAGTGAAGATTTACAGAATTTTACGCACGCAGCAAAAATCAAAGATCGATATCTCGAGATTCATAACGTATTACAAAAATTAGCAAAAACCACTTTCATATCCCCAAAAATCCTTTTTTTCACTACACACCTGAAGGTTCCTAATAGCAATATCGTGGTTGCGCATCATTTCGTCAAACATATTCGGGTTGCGCACAACCTCCATCGTCCGGCGGATCATCTCCGGGTCGTTGAGCATGTGGGCCAGTTCGGGGTTCGACTAAAAACATAAATTTAGTTTAGAAAAAAGCTGTATACATCGGTAAAAATCATCGTTGCATCAAATTTCCATTAGTTTGGAATATATAAAACTCACCTCAACCAACTGTTGCATCTGTGGATTCGATGAGATCATTGTTTGGAAGATTTGTGGGTTGTTCATGATGCCCTGCATCAACGGCGAGTCCATCATTTGGCGCATAACGTCGCGATTGTTCAAAAGCTGCTGCATGTTGCCTAAAATGAGAAATACATTTTACGCAGCAGGCTTTAGGCTTACAATGGTTTCTATAAACGATACGCTGTCTAAAAAAATTGAAAAATAAATTTTTTAGCAGCAAGTTTCTGGCTTGAAAAATGATTTCTATAAGCGCTAGGCTGCATAAAACGAGAAAATACACTTTTAGCGGCAAGTTTCTGGAGTAAAATAATTTTCTTCAACGATACGCCGCCTAAAAACAAAGCACGACACTGTAAATAGTAAGTTTCAGGCCTAAGAATGATTTCTATAAACGCTACGCTCGCTAAAAGCTCAAAAAAAGCATAGAATCAAAAAATTCAAGCTAAAAAGTTACACTTACCCATTCCTGCAGGACCAGCGAGACCGGCAAACGGAGCCTGTTGACCGGGCTGGGCTCCAGCTGCGTTTGTAGAGTTTGTGGGCGCCTAATGAACATAAAAAATTTGAACATAATAACTTACCGCAGCCGGGCGGGACGGGCTGGCGCCGGCAGCGTTTTGTTGCCTCACCACCAAATGCAACGACATTCCATCGCTAATGTCTAAAAAGTCGGTGAAGAGGATTTAAAATTTAACACTCACTTAGTTTATCCAAAAGCTCCGGGTCCTTCAAGATCTTGCCGCTGAAGATGAGGCACAGCTTGTCGGCCGGGGCGTTCACCTTTTCGCTCAACACTTGTTTCACCTAAAAAATCCAAATCTTTATTTTCTTCCCTTATTTTTAGGTATATAGAAATCTTAAGAAATTTGCTCTAGATTTTACAGCCAATTTCTAAAAATCTAATTTACAAAGTTTAAACCGTACCTCCGATATCGGCGCATCAGACGGCACCTGAATATCGTAGGCTGAGGAAGTGGTCTTCACGGTCAGCTTGATCAACGGGGCCGACTCGTCGTCACTACCCATATTGCTGAAAAAAAAGCATTATCGAGATGCTTAGAAGTTGTACGAGGATAAAAGTTTGAGAACACTAACAGTAAACGAAAACAATTTGGCGTGCAAGAGCGCATTCCGGACTTGGAATTTAAGAGGCTCCAAGCTACTTTTCAATCTATAGTCAAACCAAAGGGTTTCTGCTTTCTTACAAAACAAAGAGTTTACCGCGAGCACCACAAAAAGAGTGAGCATGAGGTGAATGAGTGTGGCAAGAGCAATGCTGACGACTCGTCTCTAACATCTTTATTTCATGCAAAAAATTTCCTCATTGTTGAGTCACGGCAGAACATGCGCGATTTTTCTCGAGTCACCCGCCCCGGCGGCTACAAACTACGGCCAGTCCATGTGGGAATCGATAGGGGGTGGATACGGTGGCCCTGAACAGGGAATATCCATCCTTTCGAACAGGGGGGCGGGCCCGTTTCGCCCAATCGCCGCCCTCCACACCATTTGCAAGTCCACGTCCCGATTCTCGCACAAAACGACCCGACACTGTTACCCAAATGGCCCACTAGCCATGGGAAGAGCCCATTTCCTGGAGGTTTTAGCTTGAAATACGAAGTGTCTTTCCCCGAAGGCCGATATTCCCGCGATTTAGAATGACTGTAATGACCGTACTTCATCAACCACTCTGCTGTGTCGTTTGCTAAAAGACACTAGAGGTTGACCTGGATTCTTGCCACGTAGTACGGGTCACTCTGAGTTTTTGGTTTTTTCAAAGAAATTTGTCTGTTTCTGACTTGTTAATACAAAAATTGCCTTTCATTATTTCAATAAACTAAAATATGCACATATTCTGGGTGCTGGTAGCATAAAAACTTGCCCGTAACCGGGATTCTTGTCACGTAGTGCGGGTCAATCCGAGTTTTTGCGCGTTTTGCAAAAATCTCTTATTCTCGTTTTTTTTGGACGAAAATCGCGTTTCATTGTGTTTGAATAAACCAAAGTATGCGCATTTTCGTGGGACTGGGAGCATAGAAACTTGCAAGTTTGATCCAAATCGCCACGTATTACGGCTCATTCGAAGTTTCAAGTCCGTTTTGGAACCAAAGTCTTCCGCTCCTGGTTCGAAATTTCAAATATGCGCATTTTTGACAGTCGCGGAATTTAGATATTGACAAATTCTGGTCAATGAATATTAAAAAGTGTAATCTTTTCTCTGCACGACAAATAGGAACGCGTTTTATTCAGACCGCGAATGATTATTTTTGGAAATATGGGTTTACTCCTCTTTTTCGTTGTCTTTGCCGCTAGCTTCTGCTACCCCCAATTCACCTTGACCCGTATCGCCCGACTGGGGCCTGATAAGGATACCCGTGTCTCCTGTAAAGCTCATCAACTTTCATTATTCTTTTGCCCCGTGGGAATAGAAATATTAGATAAATCCCTTTTTGTAAGAATAGAAGCTTTGTGTTTACTTATTGGCCCTGTGTTTGACCTCGCTGACCGCGACCTTGGCCTATATTTGCGGATCGTGCTTTGGTACGGCGCCTTTGCAGCGTTATTTAGAAAAGGGTTGTCGCCCGGAAATTTTTTGATAATTTTTATGCTAGCGATTTTCTGCCCGTTCTTATCTTTTGTATTTAGTTTTAAAAAGAAAAAAACTAGTGTTTTTTTGCAGGTAATGAAGCTCATCCTCCTAGGAGCCGCGCTCCTCGTCGCCGTCTTTGCGGCCGATGATGTCCTTGTCTATGGCGACTCGACATGGGAGGACGGAATCAAGGAGCACGAGGTGGCCCTCGTCAAATTCTACGCTCCGTGGTGCGGACACTGCAAGCGAATGGCCCCCGAGTACGAGAAGGCCGCCACCAAGCTGAAGACCAACGACCCACCCGTCGCCCTCATCAAGGTCGACTGCACCGTAGACAAGGCCACCTGCGACAAGTTCGGCGTCTCCGGATTCCCTACTATCAAGATCTTCCGCAACGGAGAGGTCGCCCAGGGTAAGGCGCTTTTCATTATGTATTCATGGGGGTTTGGGGGCAGACATCCGCCATGTACATCCTTTATTACGTATTTTGTCGAGCAAATTTTCGCATGAATTCTAAAGTGGACGCTATACATTAGCGTCTAGTATTTGAAAAAAAAAAGAAAAAATTTAGTTTTGGCGTGAATCTCGTTTTTTTGACGATGATAATAATTTATTTCTCGCACAGATGATAGCCAAAATGTCAAAATTTTAAACCTTTTTCGAATTGTTTTCTGGTCTTATGCTTAAAGGGATGGGGGCGGCATAAGTCGGTCGATTACGCGCGGGAAAGAAAATGTCTCTGCGCCTCTCCCCGTCTCTGGGCCCTCTCTCGCCGCTGTATCTGTTGAACCCCCTCCCCAAGGGGGGTTCAACAGATCCTTAATTTATTATTATAATTTTATTTAAGTACCAGGGTTGAAAAGCCGCTTCGCGACTTTTCACCCCTGGACCCGTCTGCACCCATGATATACTTGGCTTTGCATAATTTGCGCGGATTCGGATGACGAAAAATTAAAAATGCTGTCTCCGTCCCTTTATATAGGCTACCGCGACTTCCGGTGCATGCTAATTTTTCCCTAACAAAGAGGGGTGCCCGATTTTCCATGAAAAAATAATTTTAATGTCGAAAACAGCATATTTTGTAAAATCTAATATGTGTGCAGTCATCTCCAGCCCATTACGCATCTAATTACGTATCGAACATACCCCTAGGTACTTCCCTTCTTGAGATACTATTGGAACACGGTGACGGAAGTTGCATGCAAATGCACACACACACACACAGACACTATTTTTTATATATAGTAGGATTAGGCCAGTCCGAACCTGTAGAAATACATATTCCTTTTTCAGATTACGATGGACCCCGTGAGGCTGACGGCATCATCAAGTACATGCGCGGCCAGACTGGCCCATCGGCTCGCGAGCTCACCTCGCAGGCCGACTACGACAAGTTCGTGAACCAGGATGACAACGCTGTTATCGGTAAAAACATCTATCTTGTCCAAACAATTTTTCTAGGTTTCTTCGAGGGTGAGAGCAAGCTGAAGGACTCGTTCCTGAAGGTCGCCGACACCGAGCGTGATCGTTTCCGTTTCGGATACACCTCCGTCAAGTCGATCCTTGAGAAGGCTGGATACACCGAGTAAGCCTGTAGTTTCCCCTCTAAATCTGTTAATTTAGTGACATCGTCGTCATCCCGCCCAAGAAGCTCCAGAACAAATTTGACTCCAACGAGTTCAAGTACGATGGCAACTACGACACCGACAAGATCAAGAACTTCCTCGTCCACGAGACGTAAGTGATTTTCCCCCCTGCCTTACCTTACTTATTTTAGTAACGGTCTGGCTGGCGTGCGCACCCAGGGCAACCTCTTCCAATTCGAGGCCAAGCCTTTGGTCACCGTCTACTACAACGTTGACTACGTCAAGGACCCGAAGGGATCCAACTACTGGCGCAACCGTGTCCTCAAGGTCGCCCAGGATTACAAGCGCAAGGTAAATAAAATTTACTTCAATTAAAAAAACGTTAAAGTTATTGGAGTTCAATATTGTATGTGAATTTGGCATTTTGATTTTTTTTCTAGGTTCACTTCGCCGTGTCCAACAAGGAAGAGTTCTCGTCCGAGATTGATGAGCACGGTCTTGGAGATCGCAAGGATTCCGACAAGCCCCTCGTTGCTGCCCAGACCCTCGATGGCAAATTCCCCATGGACAAGCCCTTCAGGTTGATCGGAACGACATGTATTCTATAGACTCAATTTAGCATTGAGAACCTGAAGGCCTTCGTCGACGATCTTCTGGCCGGAAAGCTCGAGGCCTACATGAAGTCCGAGCCGGTGCCCGCCAACGACGAGAATCTGAAGGTAATTTGTTGCGCGTTTTTCAGTTCTGATTCGTTAGCTAGGGGGAGGGGGCTGGTTCACAACTTAAGCTCAATACTTTTTAACAAGATTTAACGTGTTTTGGGACCGAAAAAATTGCAGAAAGGGCAATTTCGAAAACATGGACTTTTCCTAAAATTTTCCGGATTAAAAAGTTTAATTTTTTGTTCAGAAACCACTAAAAGCAAATTATTATTGTGTTTATTTCATCAGCGCTATATTTTTCATGTATGTTTTTTAGGTTGCCGTCGGGCGCAACTTCAAGGAGCTCGTCACCGACGCCGACCAGGACGTGCTCATCGAGTTCTACGCCCCGTGGTGCGGCCACTGCAAGACGCTCGCCCCGAAATACGAGGAGCTGGCCGACAAGCTCGCCGACGAGGATGTGCTCATTGTCAAGATGGACGCCACCGCTAACGATGTCCCACCACTCTTCCAAGTCAAGGGATTCCCCACGCTGTTCTGGCTGCCGAAGAACGCCAAGCAGAATCCGGTGCCGTACAACGGAGGTCGCGAAGTCAAGGACTTTGTCAAGTTCATCGCCGCCCACTCGACCGACGGCCTCAAGGGGTACGACAAGAACGGCAAGAAGGTGAAGAAGACCGAGTTGTAAATACAACCCATCCACCCAGTCACAAAATATCCCCCAGATGGATACTTTCCACTTTTGACCTCACTTTGGCAATTGTCCAAATTTCCTCCCTTTTTTTGGGCACGCAATTATGGGTTGTTTTCCTCCTCTTTACTCCTTTCTGGCTTCTCCTTCCCTATCCTAAGAGTGTCAAGGCATGCTTCCGGCGCGTGAAATCTCTTTGTGAATATCCTGCCCCGTTGAGATTTCCCCTCGAATGCATAGTGATACCACCCAGCAACGAGTACCCCTCACCACCACCTAAGCTAGGCGTTTTCTTTTTTTTGTTACAGGTTCTGGTCGTTTTGTTTTTTCTTCTTGATGAATGCCCGTGCCTTCCGCAGTTGAATTTGGCCGCGTCCGGCTGGTTGTGTTTCAGTGTAATAAATTATTTTTCAAAAACCGTGGTTGATTTGTATTACACCTTGATGGAAAAATGGCATGCAATCGTACGTACATTACAAGCATATTTATTTTGCCTAAACTACAGCGCGATATAAAGCTACGTACATACCGTCGAGATACGTTGCAAAACTGTCTTCATTTGAAATAGTAAATTTCCATAACAAATTAGACAAAAATAAAATTGTACATCACCTATTTGCATTTCCGGTTTTAGCGACGTCGCCCGAGCCTGAAGCCAAAATGCGGTCATTTGTACAATTTCTACCATGGCTGAGGCTCTTACCTTAGAATTAAAAGAATCTCTTGTGGGTGATTATGCAAATTTTTGGGATTCTGATTTAGATCGAAAAGCAGCTGGCCGGCGTGACGGGCGAGTACCGCTCGATTCGACTCGATGAGTGGAGGAATGGTGACAAGGTGAGGATTTTGTAAAATTTTATTTTTTGCTCTAGATCCACCGCAATTGGACGTACATCAACTGCGAGCCGCTGATGGCTGGCGAGGTGTTGTCGCGGTGAGTACGAGCTTTTAACATCAAGGCAGACTTCAGCCCGTCCACCCCAGCTGCCGTCAAATCAACAACGACCGTGGTGAAGAAGAGCGGCAAGGCCGACCCGCCGTCCCCGAAGGAGCGCCGTCGCAAACAGGACATGGTCCTCGCCAGGGTCAGCCAGCTTCGAAGATGAACACTTCCGCTTTTAGGAGCTTGCCGAGATGGAAGAAGACGAGAAGCGCCGCAAACAGCGCGCCAAGTCGCAGCCCAAGACTGTCGATCAGCCCAGCAAGGCTGGTTTTTGTATTTTTTGGCTGGACTCCAAAATTACCTGGAAGTATTTCTATAAGTCGAGATATGTCTGATAATGCCACAACAAGTTTTTTTTAATGGTTTTTATTACGCTTCATCAAGATTGCAGGGAGAAAAATTATCTAAAAAACTTAGAAAAGTGCAAATACCCGTCGAAATAACAGTGTTTCATATTTTTTATCAGCTGTGCAGCCTTTTTAAAGATATCAGTGGTAAAAAGAAGTACACTTCTGCAGAAACAAACCGTCGAATTTTTGTTTCAGGAGCGCACGTGTGCGGAGCCCGAGTCGACGGAGATGCGCGAGCGCCAGAGCCGCATGAAGTCGGTGATGCGCGTGGCCGAGCTGCTGGCCCGCGATCCGGATGGGCAGATGATGTGGCGTCAGATGGCCGACAGTGTCCACAAGGCTGCCCTGAATATTCGCCAGTGCAAGGTGGGGGAGGTTTGCATAAAGCGTTTGTCTGTTGAAGCCTTTTTATTGCTTTTTTTGAAGCTATACTTGATTCCAGGACGCTGCCGGTCGTGTGCTGAAGCCGGGCGAGGGCGATGAGTGCGAGCGTATGATCAACTATGTACGTTTTTCGCTTTACACTATTATTTTAGTTTTATAAAAGGGTGTCTGCTAAAAATTCCGTTTCATTCCACCCGATTTTCAGGTGGACGCCGAGGTGGCCAAGCTGACGAAGGCCGTGCTCCCCGAGAAATAACCGTACGTGCCGAGAGATGTGGCTTCTAAATACCCAGTCATCATCGAATTGCCAGCCTGCCCGAAAAGGAAATATTGTTTTTGTACCGCGAATCCGCTGTGAATAAATGGTTGTGTTGTGGAATGTGTGTTTCTGTAAATCTGCCCCTAGATACCAGAGCTATTTTAATTGTTTTTTTGTTCGTTTTATCATAGGTGCAACGCGGGACTCCGATTGACGCCTTCAACAACTTTATAGGGCGGAAGTGTGTTAAAGGAGAGGAACGGTGCGGCGAAAACGTAACGGACGAAAGAAAAGGCGTAGAAGCGCATCGGGGCTGAACGTTATGCTCCAATGTAGACGCTCAGCCCAAGAGGGACCCTTTTATAGGACAAAAAAAGAAACCATGCGTTGAAAACGTAATGAATGAGGCACGAACGTCGGGGGGTGTAGCGCGTCGTAGTCTTTTTTAAAAACGTTTCTTTTAACCCCAATTTGAGTTTTCCTGAAAATTTGAACGTTCGCTTTCGAACCCGACGAATCTGCCGACTTGCGTCTTTTTTTCTGTTGTTGTCTGTTCGACTGGAAGAAGCCCCCGGGCGAGTCGCAATCCGAAACTTTTGTGCCCGGGGCCGGGATGGAAAACCGGATAAGTATATGGCAGCGAGGGATGGGTGGATGGTAGAAAAGAGAGAAAAGAGAGACAAGAGTGAGGAGAAGGACTGGTTGGGTCGGGAGGTGGCATTCAGGTTGCGAGGGAGAGGGAGGACGTCGTGAGGATTCAAGTGGATTGGCACCGACTTGACCTTCGTCTCGAGCCTTCAGGGGCTCAATATTAGTCTGACAGGTCGGCTAGAGGGCAAACCTTGGCGTGTAACAGTTTCTACTGACGTTCCGATTGCCCTGATTTTGTATTTTTAAGCTATTCTAAAAATATCTACAGTTATTTTTTAAGGGTTTTTTGGCATTATAAAATCCTCCTAAATTATAAATTTAGTTAGTGTATTGACTTTATATAGCTAGATATGTTTCTCTGTTTATCAAGTTGTCAACTTGTTCGAAAATTAGCTCTTTAGAAATTGTAAAAATGAATAGTCAAGTTAAATGTCTTTATGGATTAGGTTTCTATTTTTTTTCTATATATCCAATTTTTTCAATAAATCTAGAAATGCTTGATAACGTAAGCGTAAGCATTTTAATAGTATTTTTTCGTAAAATTTAACTTTTTCGAGTGGAAAATTTATTTATACAACTTTATAAATTTTTTAGAAATTTGAGGTTTTGGTCGAAAAATCGCTATTTTCGATTTTTCTAATCAAAATTTGTATAGTTTTTAAGTTTAAAAAGTAAAAAGTTGTAGTAAAATCTCCTCTATTTATATTAGCAAAATTGGATCCTAAAGACAAAATTAGGATCCCCCAGAAATTCAAAGAACCCAAAAATTTGCGAAACTTCAATTATGATTCGGTATAATAACCCGTTATCGTAAACCATGTTCCGTTCAAAGCTTCCGCTTCAATCCCCTTAACATGCCCGTAAAACCGTCATGTCCATCAGGGGTCGTCGGAGGGGCCTCCTCCCCCAAATTAGGGTCCTTGGAGATGTTGTCGCGGTGATTTGTGCCTTCCCCTGTCCAACCCGTCCATTCTGTCACTTTAGAGAGAGGGTAGGCTGCCTCTAAATGCAAATGAGACTTTGGGTCCCAAGGGAGAGAGAAAGAGAGCGAAAGAGAGACAGAAAGAGAGAGAGAGAGAGAGAGAGAGAGAGAGAGAGAGAAAGAGGATCAATGGCTAGAGGGCCCTCTTCAGCCATAAGGCCCATTGTTTATGGGCCACGTTTCACGGCTAGGGCCAAGGGGATCGCGCAACCCCCGCGCGAGCCTTTGTGCTTTGTTCTGTCATGTCTGGCAATGGATACATTGTCTATTTCGCTGACTAACATGGCGTATAAAAGTAAAAGTGGGAAAGCCAGGATTTTCAAGCTCTTGCTATTCGTATTTTTTACCGGCAACCCAAATTTTCAATTTCTATCGAAATTTTTTTTTCTTACGGTAATACTTACTCTTTTTTTTGCTTTATTCTCGCCAAGGCTTTTTAAACGTGTTTTTAAGCAGGCAAAAATGGACTCTAGCGCCCTTTTCTAAACCTAGAAACGCCGCCATTTCCGGCGAAAAATGTCTCGCGGCGTGAAAAGGTGCTGCGTTAGTCATTTGGGAACGGGTGGAGCAAGTTATATTTTCTCTTTTTGTTTCAGCGCCGGATTCTAGACCTAGCGAAAATCCTTGAGGAAGTCGAACTCGCTTCGTGCTATTTTCTCATGTTTTCTAAGTAGTGCGCTGTCCCTTACCGTACCGTTCGTATAAGGCCTTCTTTTTGCCTCGAATTTTGAAGGTACTGGACTTTTAACGGGGGGTGACACGAAACAAAAACCATTTTTATCGCATTGTGCGCAGTTTTGAGATATAAAAGCACATCAAGGTGCTAAAACCTGTGGGAGATATCTGAATTTTTGGACAAAAATTGTGTGAAAAATGATAAAAAGGTAAAAATTTTATTATTTCAAAAATAAATATTTGACAATTTCCTAGCAATCAAATCTGCAGTACTATTACAGTACTACTACTGCTAACAAGCAGGAACTATATTACATTATAATATACTTTAGCTCCCACGTTACCCCCCTCCCCCCGCTAACAGTCCAGTACCGAAACTGGACCCAAAAGAGGCTTTTTGGTGAATCAAGAGAAACTTGGAATTCCTTAGGGTTTTGAGATTAGGCTATTCAAAATCAAGGGTTTCAGACGATTCAACTCTCCCAATTCGAGATAAAACTTTAGCCTTTCACGCTAAAAAGCATCGACTAACCGATTACGCCATGAAATGCATGGATCGAGCGCGTTTTAGGATGCATGATGGAGGTGTGATTAGATGTGATGTCAATAGAGTGTGATGTGATGATGGGCCATCGTGTGTGTCCTTCCTGCCTGTATGTCTGTCTGCTATCTCTCCTCTTTACCCGCTCTCTCATCCCTTCCTTCTCTACCCGTTCTGCCCCAGCTGGCCCCATCATCGATTGGGCCATCGTCTCACCGCCAAACTGTCCGTTGGAGAGATTGTAAAATGGCCCATTTCGTCATCGACGTCACCCGGCTGACTCTACTGTATTTTTGGACACTTTTTAGGGCGCTCGAACCGATGAGTCATAGCTTTTCGAAATTTTTTCTTGCTTTCCAAGTTTGTTTTGCAATATTCTAGCTCTCGGAGCTCTCAGAAAAGATCTTTTGAGGTTTTCCGACGAGAATTTCATTACTTGCGCTTCTATTCCCTTTAAATGTTTATTTCTAGTGTTATGTTGTAAAATTCGAAATTTGATGATAAAATTATGATTTTGAAAGTTTTAAAACGTGTAGAAATAGTAGACGATGTGTAAACTTTACTCTGGCATACCACATAAGTAATTTTAGACGGTTTTTGAGCCCGTAAAAACCTCACCCAAGTTCCTTTTCCCTCCATTTCATCGCCCTTTCCCAGCTAAACAAATCTTTGCGAATCGAGGAATAAGCAGCTAATTGGCTCTATTTTATTTTTATGTTATTTCTAATAGGTTTCATGTTGGATTTCTATATTTTTAGACAGTTTTTCTGCCTAGCAAATGCCAAAATTCGTTTTCCGTCCATTTCCTCGACCTTTCCCCAGCTAATAAAATCTTTCCTTGGAAGAAATTCGGCGCTGGAACTCTAAAATCTTATATAAAATTTTGCATTTTCTTTTCTTAGTTTTCTAATAGTTTTAATAGCGTGTTTTTATAGCTTTAGACAGTTTTTGAGCCAGTATAAATTCTAAATTAGATTTCCTCGGCCCTCCCGCAGCTAATCAAATCTTTTCCTACCGCCGAACCCCGTCTGGGCGCCATTTCCATTAGATTTCGTGCGGCAGCACTTTCCTTTTTCTTTTCCACAAAAGATTCCTGAAAAAAGAGGAAGAAGAATCCTTTTTGTGTGTGTATGGCCAGTGGCCACCGATTCGAATCGAGGGGCTAGAGAAGGGCCCTTTCCCCCCAAATTCCACTCAATGGCCCAAAAACTCGGCTTTCCTTTTGCACCAGAAGCAGAAGCAGGGGGAGGAGAGCTTCTTCTTCTTTTTGGGCCTCAGCCGTTTTGGGGCCCCCGGTTTTCTCTTGGGCCCCATTTGGAAGAAGTCTCCTGAGGGCCCAGGCAGGGTGCCCCAGCCCGCCCGTGCGCCTTCACAATCACGCCTTTTTTTTCGGTTTTTCCGGGTTAATAGATGCCAGTTTTTCTGGCGTTTGGAGGTATTTACACTCTAGTTTTCGAGGTTTTCCACAAATTTCTTTGCTAGCTGGCCCTTACCAATTCGATTTCAATAGTTAAAAATTAGTTTAATTCCAAATTTTTCAGTTCCTCAATTTTCTCGGCTAGCCGACCCTTTCGCATAGCATTTAGAGTAATGGTTTATTCTTTTTTGGGTATTTTTAGGGTATTCACGTGTATTCGAGGGCGTATATTACTGCACGCTTATCAGATTTTTAAGAAAATTACGATTTATACCTTTTTTAGTATTTTTGGAACATATGGAACTGTCCTCATTTGCATACGAAACGTGAGGAGGCTCATTTTAGATGTTATCGTTTAGTTTGTCACAAATATCTCTGCTAGCCTGGTTCTACCTGATTGCAAACCTTTCCAATTTCCGTTTCCGGTTCCACGACTTGACAAATGACATAAAGGGGCTTACAGCATTTCGTGGAGCATAAGCGGGTGGTGGACCCGATTTCGGGTGGCCATGCATGGTGAATGGCCGAGTTTGGGTGTGCCGCTTAGGGTCCCTGGGCCCTAGCCGGGGGCCCCGCTCCGAATTCATACCTTTCCCCCGGCTGGCAACTCGCTTTCATCAGCTCTATTTCAATGTCTGATAGAGAATTCGCGCCATTTCCCTTTCTGACGTTTCCCGATTTTCCAGTTTTCACAATTTTCGGTGTTATTGCATTATCGGGGGTTGGGC